GACTTCAATCAATCTAAAAGTATTCTTTAACAATCTGAACTTTAATGTCTGGAATTAAATAGTGATTATATAACGATGCTAATTTTTAATCGCAATTAAAGCGTACGATACGGTATTGTTACACCTATTAATTCGTTATCTTTCATACCATACACTCGAAGAAATTTGTACGTATATATCGATTTGATTGTCGAGGTGCATCAAAGAGAGAGAGTTAATCGGTCGATGCTTCATTTTTAATCGGAATATTTTTCCCCGGGGAGAGAGAGAGAGATGGATTCCATTATGCGATTCCATTACTAGACGGCGCGAATCGCGAAATATCCGCAATTTATTTAAGCAAGATCCAGCAGCAATCTCCCTGTACAGTAATACGCGTTTTCAATTCGCCTTGGTTAATTCATTACGCGCGAATTCACCGCGGAGCGGTATTTCACGCGTGTTATTCTTACTCGTATCGCCAAATGAGATCGCTAAAGTATTATATATTTCGCTTTTAGCTCGCACCAAAATTCCGCGATCTTTCTCTCTCCGCGAAACCGCCGCATAAATTTAATATCGTACGGTCATCGAGCGAGTATCTAACAAACGACCTATCCTCTCTCCATTTCGTTCCTTCCACTACTCGTATCTCTTCTACTACTCGATAATTGATGTTGCCACCTAATCTCTTCTCGATGTACTCGTGATCGGCAGTGTAGCATACAGAGTGGAAAGAAACCCCTTGAACATTTACTTGTGCACGAACCACAATCACCCGAATGCTCTGCCATGGTTGTTGCATTAATGCTAGTTGGACGAACACTGATATACCGTTCCTTCTCTTTATATAATACATATATATATATATATTTAGGACACATATACACATGTTATATATTGATGTTTTTCGTCTAGTCAAATCCGATCGACTACTTAGGAAGGAACTTCCGTGTTTCGGGGGATGCTCGATCTGTGGCCGGAAGTAATCGCATGAATTTCTATCAATTATGTATCACTAAACTTGAGAACGTGAGTTCGATGACCCGCACAAAATTGATTAAGTAATGATGTTGTTGTAAAATCGCGAAAATAGCTTAACGTCAAATTATTTTTAGAAAAATTCATGCATATTTTCTTTCTTTTTTTATTGTATAAAAATTCAGTGTTTACGATCACGCGTGAAATAAAACAGCTGCAATATAGGTGCGAGATAAAAACATTGTTTTCACAGTAAAAGAATTCACCGTTGAATCCGCGCGTTACAAATTCCACGTCTACAATCACTGTATATACTATATATAAATGAACATATCGCGCAGGTTTGATCGGAAACCAATGAGCCTACGAATTAAACATTAACCCTTTATCCATTTATTTTGTTCGAATTAGGGAATTCGAACGCAGCAAATGGATGAGGGATTAATATTCGTAAGCGCTTGTTCGGTTTGCAATGAAAAAAAGTTGCGCATCGGCGACATGTTCAATTTTATACGCATTTGGTGATTGCGTATGGAATTTGTAACGGCGAATTTTTATTTTACCGCGAGATTTTTATAATCCCGGCACAACATATATGATTTCGAATAAGTGGCAGACGCGAGCCGATTAAATCCCGGACGACAGCTTAATATTTTCATTGTTCGCGGGTATGTAATATCACTGTTCTTTGCCCGGACGCGTTTATCCGGACCGTATTTCCATAAATTTGAATTTCCTCCGGACCGGGACGGGCAATCTGCCACCGCGTGCGCAGTCGATTAATTAATGGCTGTTAATTGGCGTGTCACGCGCACTCGTAAAATTCGGCCGAAGACAGCGGTCATTCGACCTGGTTGGCTTTTAAATTTCTGTCGAGGGATGAATCCGGACGGTCGATCGTTGCGTTCGCGAAACGTCACTGTGTACGAATTAGTTTAAAAATATATTGTTTCGTTCATTCGAACTTTTTGAATATAAAAAGAGAAAAATGAAAACAATATTCCGGTAAATTAAATACTTCAACATTTCTTCCTTACTTAATTAAAGAATTTTTGTCGAATAAGATTTTATAAGCGGGAATAAATGTCTTTCGATAGATTCGTCTTAAAAGACTGAAGTTTCAGAAGAAACAAATATAAATAAAAATTCAGATAATATCATTATTGTTAGTACAAGTATATATTTATACTTTATCAATGTTGATTACGCTTCTGCGCCACAGATCACGCGAGCCCTGGTAACAAACAAAGTGTTTATGATGCGGTTGTAAGACCGTACTCGCCTTGCTCCCCTACACAAACTCCCCACACTCTTCTTTTTGGAATGCGCCTGCTATTTATGCATCACGCACTTATTCTTGACCCGCCTTTAGATAACCGGCAAATCGAGAACCGACCATTAACCTTCCGTCGTTGATCGTTAACTTTCGTTTGGTTTGCGCTAACATCACGCGCGTTACTTGCACAGTAGGTAGCTGTCTGTTGAGGATGCTGTTGATGTAATGCTCGTGTAATTGAATCCACTAGTCTAACAACAGTGCATATATCCATTATACCTCGGTATAATGAGTCTTATAATCAGCGCTTTGAAGAGATACTAATTTCGAATTCTTTTATATTTATATAGAAGAGCGTGAAAAAGTAATAGTAATTATTTTGTATGAAAATAAAAATTAGTATACACGAATGTTATATTCAAGTAAAGAAGAATATTAATCGATACAAAGTAAAGATAATATTTTTTTCAAGAGAAATTCAAAAGTAATATTCTTTAATGGACGCACGTGTTATTCTCTTCAAGGTGAAAATTATTTAAGGCGAATTTTATCTATATAAATGATAGAGCACTTGTTGAATCGCTCTCTCGGCAGCTGATCCGAAAGACGAGATGACTTCGTGCCGATGAAAAGGTAGGCAGAGTCGACGGTTTTTATTATTCCATCTTGGATTAGTCGAGGATATAAAAAGAATTCTTCCCGTCGCCGAGTTTTTTTCCATTTTTTTTTCTTCTATTGGATTTGTCGATAACTCAAACGTCATTTGTCGTTTCCGTCAGTACAGCTATTCATTAAAGTCACTATCCATCAAGGTTAGGCACCTATATGGCTCTCTTCTGGTCGTGTCATCTATCAATGTTAAAATATAAATTAAGAAATATTCCATACAAGTGCAATCCGTCATGATAGCGCGATATAATTTATTTGTCACACTTTCTGAAAAATGAAAATTGTTATCTAGCGATATCGACAATCCAATAGCGATATAATTCTCATTCCAACGACATTGTTTTTTTAATATCTTCGTAATTTATTAGCGAAACATTAATATCTATATAAGAGTTACGGGCAGAATTTCATTTCATTATAAATTACGTCAATCAATCTAATTCAGAAACGCTCTCCCTTTTCTCCGTTATCTCCGAATATAGTAATTGTTCATCGTTTCACAATCTACATGATTAATAGATATCCAGATTGTTTCCCGTTTCGCTCTAGAATTGCAGAGAACGCGGCTAATATTTCATAATGCCGTCGAAATTCGCCGAGCGAAGCTCTCTGCCGAGAATTTAAAATGCATCATCTGGGGCAAGAAAAGCCCAGCAGCAGCCACGTTTGTGCATAGTCAGCTTTCGGAAGTTACGCGCATTCGTCCACGATCTTTCTTCCTCTTCCGGATCATGCAAGCTGCTTCGCAACGCGGACGATTCGAGTCGCGACATCTTCGCGTCGTCATTCCACGTTCAATTTTGCGGAGAAACTATATTCTCCTCCGGAACTTGTGCACAGATCGACTGGAAAATAAGCGATTGCCTTGAGAAAATATCTTCTCCCATTTCGTCAGATTCAATCGTCGCGGAAATCTCGAGTTTCATCAGGCGAGCAGCTCTCGAGTGCTGCTTTGCTCGATTTTTTGAGGACTTTTACAAGTTCGACGGAACTTTGTTCACCTTTCCTTTAAAGCTGCGCAATTGAAATTGCTACGCGCAAAAATTGTCCTTCCTACTTTGTGCTGTGAAAAGAATTTGCGGCGATTCATCCATCGCGATATATATAAAATTGATCGGTCTGTATTATTGTTACCTGAGATGAATTTCGTTTCTCCGAAGTTATACAGTTATTTCTTTTGCTTCGAGCCATTTCCCGAGTGTCAACTGCAAGCGAAGCTAGATAGGGAAGGTGACTTTTCTATTTCTTGATTTTCCAAAGTTTATCGCTCCACCACTCTCTTTTTCTGTTGCCGCCAGGTCTTCCGCTATTCTCCGTCTCCATGTTTATTTCTCGAGCACAATTCCCCAAAGCCAATCTTCGATAGGAAGAGCAAAATTTCCTGCTCGTACCATATCGAAGGTCTCTCCTCAGCGCAGACAGGGTCAGATATGTTTATCGGTGGATCGTGCTTGTTTTTTTTATTACGTCAATGATGTCGATATGCGCGTTATAAAATGAAAGGTCTGTTACATTCCAACTGTGATTGTAAGTTCTTTCTTTTTCGTATAGCAGCTTTTACTGTATTTTACGTCGATTCGTGAAATTTTCTTTATCAATATTTTCGGAATCCTAATTCGAATTTTCGATTATGGAAATTAAAAAATTTGGCAAACTTAACGAGCTAAGTTTTAAAGGAAATCTCATTTTTCAATTGATCGAGTGTTTACAAGCTTTTATCAATTTTTTTAAAGAACATTTATTATACAGCATCTCACAGATAAAAAAACTTGAATCGAATAATCTCAGACTTATAAATATGCAATGGTACAAGTATGTCGGGCGCATGCTGATGCAGTCAGTGAATAAAATTTATTCTGCAATTTTTTGACAATCGAAATCTTCGACGAAGAAATTCCCAGACGGACCGACATCGGTCGTGAAATTTTCATAATCTAATCGAGTCGCTAACATTCTCCTCTCGTCTCGCTGGCTGTCGACGTGCGCCGCAGTTCCTCAAGGAGCAACCTGGATCGATAATAGCGACGTAAGTCTCACGGCAAGGTAGGCCTCGTGTAATTAGCATGTGCACGCGTGTTGCGTGTTGTTGTTGCAGCCGCGGCCCTTAGAGGAGTCGCCATACAACGTGGCAGAGCTGGAACGCCGAGGACTACCTTCCCTACCAGCGCGGCTGCTTTAGCCTTGGTGAGGAATACAGGACCGCTTGCGGCCGCAGCTGCGGCCACGAGTCTGCATCCCTTCGCGCCCACGTAAGTATTGCTTTTCGGCCCGATCACGGTCAGGTCGCGCCTAACCTTGGCCGATACGAAGGCATTTCTGTGCTCCATTAGCGGTATCTCCGTCGGAATTTCTCTTGTATAGAAATTCATCGATATTCCACTAGATTCCGATTTAATTACAATAATTTATTTATTTATTAGTAATTATTTATTTAATTAATAAGACTATCATAGATCTAGGGTTGGTTTAATAATCTTTTAAAACTAAGTTAAGTTAAAAGTTTTACGAACAAAAAATTAATTCGGTTAAAGTTAAGATTAAATTAACTAAAGTTAAATCAAAAGTTAATTTTTTTAAATATTATTTATATTAAATTAGAATTTTGTTTGTTAATTCTTTTAAAATATATAATAACAAATAACAAAGAAATTTTAATTTTTATATAGAAATATATTTTTTTGATAATTACAATTGATGACAAATGAACATAAAAATTAATACTTTAATTTAAAAATAATACGTTTATAATTTAAGGTAAAAAATAACTAGTTGAAATTAAAAATTAATACATTCGAAATGAACTAAGCTAAGTTAAAAGTTATTAACTTTTTAACTTTATTTTAATTTTTAACGAATTAATTAGTTATTACCCAATCCTGCATAGATCAATGCTGTCATGTTTTATCAATAAAACATGACATTTTTTGCGCATCCTTTTCTTTTGATTGGTTGAATAAAATAATAAATACTTTTCCACGATTAAAGTATATATATAGAAACAAAGCGCGAACCTACCGAAAATTTTTAATAATTCTTTTTGTTTTTAACAAAATCGGTAGGTTCGCGTTTGTTTCTATATGTACTTTAATCGCGAAAAAGCTTTTATTATTCTATTCAACCAATAACAAGAAAAGAAGAATTACGAACACCAACAAGGACATTACAAAAAATTACATATGCAATATTTATTTTTTGTGCGATAGTAATTTGACGTTTTGATGATTGGAAATTGACATTTCATCGATTTTATTATAATTAGTCTATGTCTTTTAATAAGAGACCGACAAATACCGTTAAGGGAGCATGTATCTGTGTAAAAGTATCCCTGTATGTGGATCGAGGCAATCTGTGTTGTATCGCTTATTTCGTATTCTCTTTGTATGTATCCCTCTTCTTTCCTAAAATCACGCTTGCAGTGAGTAATCAAGAATGAAAATTCTATTTTACGAAACTTTTACGTGGATTCGTCGGGCGATGGACGTATGATGGTAACGACGATAATTAATTTACGCGAAAGCGGAATGTGCGAGCAACGTTGAAGTTTCGAAAGACTTTTCCGTGCGAGAGCCTTTTTTTCTTAACGATCGGTACTTACCATATATAGTTAGTATGATTTATACGCCATTGCAAGTTTCTTCCACGCGGTAAAATTTTGCTTAAAAATCTACGAGTTAAAACATTAAACTATATTCTCTATTAATTCTAATTGTTTAATTTCGATACAATATCTGATGTATTTTACCAGAATTTAACCTGATCAATAATGAGAGAGAGGGTCTTTATTCTTTAAATATAATTATACATGTTTTTCAATTAGGTTGAATTAAATTCATATTAAATACACACATTGCATTTTCAATAAACAGCGCTTATAACTAACAATCAAATTTACTATGCAATCTCTTCCCGTCTCTTTTTTTTGTTTGCTTCGAGCTTCAACTACGTATTGAAAATTTAATTTTCCACATTGATGATATTAATTATTTGCACAGATAATTCTAATGATTCGATCAGTTAACTGTAATTGCGAATGTACGCGAGAGAATATCGTCGAGTATACGTCACTCCATCGCATAGCGAAAATCATCGAGTGATATCAAAACCGATCGAGAATATTACTCACTGCAATGATGATTTGCACGCGTCGCTCGTTAAGGCTTTTACCTGTCAGTCTCACTGCATCTGCACGACGTCTACCCCTTAAATCCGTCCTATCTTCCCTCAAATACAGAATCGACTCTGTGCAATCCATGCGGATTACAATTTGCGAAAGAATACATCTCGCTAAACGTAGGCGTCCGCAGGATATTTTTTTCAGGAGGGGTATAGTTAAATTTTTTTTAATTTAATTTTTTTGTTTTAATTTATTTGTTTATTTAAAAGGAAAGCAAACGCTTAATTTTTTACTGCGAACGCCCATGTCGCTTATTAAAAACTTAGACTAAGCGAACCGCTAAAAAAGGAGGATAAAAATTCGACAAAAATATTCGATTCGACAGAATCGCTGAATTGTTCTGACTGAATTGATCGGAGATTAGAAATGAGACTATTGGATCAGCGTGAATTATCGCGTCGCGGTGATCTGACTTTTCTATAGGATTTGAAAATCATTCTAGGATACATTTTTTTTCGATTTTTTATCATGTCGAATTTTTAGGAGCAAGCATACGCGTCGAACCGTCAATCGTTCATTCATTTTAACGTTACGGAATTGGACGTGGCATTGGCAGGAATGAAAAATTTGAATATGGACGAAAATCAATCTTTGAAGCCTGTTACACGTTCCAGCCGCGAAATCGGATTTGTCAAATCCAATATCCGCATATACGTGTGTACGTTATGCATTTTAATTTAACGCCCGTGTCGTTTAATTTGTAAATGCAAATTATTATCGTGAAACAGCAGGAGAATAGTACAAAAGAAGAAAAGAAAAATAATTGTTTGGCATCATATTTTATTTTTAATTTATTTAATTATCATACGTTGCTACTGTACACGAAGGCATTAATGGATTTTCTCATATTCAATATAAAGTGTATTTTGTGTAAAACATGAGCATAATTTTTATAAATAAATTAGCAGAAAAAAATTATGAAAAATGTTTGGAAATAAGTTAAGCGTAAAAAAAAACGTATCTCTCTTAATTTTATTTCTATGCTACAGGCGTTTCCACGTTTTTTCGATAATTCGATATAAACTGAAGCTAGCGTGCTCTCGGCTGTTTATCTCGTGTGTTATCTTTACTGATCTCACATGTATTATATTATTGATTCTTTGGGAACGCTTTTGTGAGACGTTTTTAGAAAAATCCGTTCTCTCTTCAATCCGTTTTCTTAACAAAAGCAGTACGTGTTGAAAATTTTCAATACAATTCTGTAAAGGTTTTTGAATTCGAAAAATCATGTGAAGAATAATTTATATATTATTGAACATACGTTTGTAGAATTAATGGACGTAAATATTGTATATATGATTGCTTGATGGATTCAATGCTGACTATGCAAGATTCATACGCGAAATTTTTTTCCTGACATTTGCAAGAGATGATGTATTCAAGATAAATAATTATAAATTGAAGCGTTTCTAACTATCAAATAGCGAACTTGAAACAAACTTGAAGAGGGCGATTGTTTGCACGAATTTTTATTTATAATTTTCGAATGCGTTGAGTTTCAACCTAAAGAAAAAAAATTGTGCTCACATTTTACAAAACATCCCGTATCGCGGGGGTGATAATACTTTGTCTCTGAACTTTTTCCATTCCTGGCAATGTGTAATTAAAATGGAGCGCGAATTCGCATCCCATAAAGTCAACAAGCTTTTTTCTCCCGGTCTTTTAAAACAAGATTATTACTTACCCAAGTTAAATAGACTTTTAACAACGATCTCTTCAACGAGGAGGAGGGTAATAATGGGAGCGAGCTACTCATAAAACTAATTCCATTGCGAATACTTTTGAGCAGATGCAATATAAAGCAATCAACTTTTTCCTCGACATAATTTATGATCTTCGCGCATAAAACAAACTTCGTTCCCGGATAGTCGCGGGAAACAAAGTTTATCGCCACTATCGTCCACCATTATATCCTGCGAGACGAGATTATCGTATTTCAGAAATGAATTTCCAATTTTATCGTCGACTGAGCGCAATGTTTAATACGCGATGTCTATTAAACGAGCGTTGTGCATTATTAAATCGAAAAGATTAAAAGTTCTTTGAATCTTTTAACCGAATATCTCTCTATCGCGTGGTAAATATTAAATGTTGACCAAAAAAAATTTTTTACGCGAAACGTTTATCCCAAATGCGCGTTTTTTTAAAAGGGAATATATATATATATATAAAACTAAAAAGTGTTGAATTTTTCAAAGTAAATAATTGGACAACTCGCTCGCGCGCAACATTAATTATTTCGCACAAAGAGAATCGGCAGATTGAAAATTCGATAATCCTACAGGAAGCCCCAGTAGCGGGATAAACCATACTCGTTACTTATTGATAATTTTATTTTGCAGTGTTTACTACGACCCCTTCCTCGCGGCGCACGCAGCAACACAGGATCCCAACTACAGGTTGCAGGTGAGATATTTCTCGATTTTTACCAACAATTGTTCTCCGCTTCCGGTACACGCGACCATGAAAAGCTACCGAAACGCGCGAGTTACAAATGGGTTTTTAATTAAATCAAAGATTGGAGTTTTGCTCCGGATGGAGGGATAATCAATCAATTCCGCGATCGCCATCGCGCGATAATCAGCTGTTGATCGAAAAACAAATCTTCACGTGCGCGTTGACACGTTTTCATTATGTTACGTTACACGAAAGGAACATGGAACGAACATAATTAATCGGACACGCTATTCATTTTCATGGGATCGTACAATGCAAATGTAGAATTTGCCTTTCGTCACGATTTTTGATTGAAACTTCGCTGGATGTATTTGAATGAATTTTCCACACGGATCATTTTTCGAAAATGTCAGAGAGAAGCGTTTGTCAGAATTTTACTATTTAAATGTTTAATATCTTTTTAGAAAATGGAATTTTTCCGAAATTAAAAGCTTTATTATATAATATATTTAAAAAATTTCAGATTAAAAATATGTCCTTCATATTTTCATTGTAAAGAGAGGTGGAAATTAACATCCGTCAAAGAATAGCGTTGAAATTAAACGCGCCGCGATAAAATACTCTTTAAAAATTCATATCTCGCGATCGTATAACGTCGTGCCAATCATTCTTCGCGCAAAATTGCGAATGTACAATATTTTCCAGAGTAAATATTCGCGTGCGAGAAATCAAAGAAAACGAGAAACGCGTTTACTCCCGCGTGCACCGGAAGCGGAATACGGCGCGGTATTTGTAAGACGAGACAAATGAACGCAGAGATTTTGACTAAAGTCCGCAACACCTTTTGGTGGACCCGTTTAGCTGGAATGGCCTCAAGCAACAGCTGACGTTAGTTGATACACATTTCGCCACAGGCTTGCACACACATAACATACACACACACATACGAGAGAGAAACCGATAACAATTATCGCCACCACTATCTCGCGTTTTACATTGTGTTACGACCGTTCTTCGCCATTCTCATTGTATCTCATTTTTTCGCCTGCCTTTTTTCGTTTCACTCTTTCTCCCCATTTCTCCCTTTCGTTTCATTCGCGCAAAAATCCCGATGCATCCGACGGCACCATTGATCGGAAAAAAGCGTGCACGTTCGACGCGCTATACTAAACCGTCGAGATGATTATTTCTGCCCCGATAAAGCATCTCTCTCTCTCTCTCTGTCTCCGGCATTCGCGCGTGAATTTTACATTCGCCCGTTCGGTTAATGTTTCCTTCGAAACCAATTTGTCAGACGCCAATATCGACTCTTGACAACTAGTTAACGAGAGGAAATCATTGCTAATTAATAATGAACAGCACTCTCGAATTTTTTGTTTGCCTCTGATCATCGAGAGATCATCCTCATTAATGAGAGATGACGGGATCGATAAGAAAAATACGTCGCAAATGAAAAATAAAAAGAATCAGTGTTCCAATGAAATTTGTAACTTTAGTGCTCCAGTTTTAAAATAGAATTCATATTTTCATCTACATGGGAGAACTCTGCTATCAAAATTACGCGGCATCTTGTTGCATCTTGTTGCCTAAATGCATCTTTTCACCCCATCTTTTCTATCCTCCTTGTTTTTTTTCCCCAATTTTTATTTCACTCTACATTTTATATGGCTATCTAAATAGATAATTATTAATCACACAACGAGTACATATACTTTCGAGGATTAAGAAAAAGTGTCACTGGAAGGTGGATAACGTTAATGCGCGCCAATCATACGGACGGACTTTCGCGTTTGCATCGGGAAACGAAGTTTTAACTCGTTTAACGAGGGCTTAACTCCCTCACGTAAAAACTCGAGCTCGTGTTTTCGCCGTCCGGAATTCTCCTTCCGGAATTTCTTTTCAGGTTTGCCGTTTGTGTTTCAGGCTAAAGCGCCCGCCCTGGAGGTAGGAATTAAGGGTCCGCCTGTTCGTCTCTCCGTCTGTTTTTATCTATATACATCCCGTTTTTCTTCTTCTTCTACTACTACTTCTGTTTTATTTTGGTCTGTTCTCTTTGTTTTTATTTTCCATGTTTCTCCGTTTGTTCGCAAGATTGAAGTGCTCACCGATTTTCGGAGATTATTTAGTTAAATGTGTCCCCTTCAATATTCGTTTTTGCTAAAACAAAAACCCTTCCTTCTATTTACCTTCTATAAAAAAAAAAAAATCTCATTGTAATTTTTTCCATGAAGGAAAGATCGTTTAGGGGAGCTGTAGAAAAGAGTTTCTGGCCGCGATGAGGTTTTTCCTCTCCGACCATGTTGCGCTTTTTTTTCGTTGTCTGCGATTGGTATTAGCGTGAGAGAGCATGTAATGTCGCCTTTTTCAATCAGTAGAGCATGCGTCGCACAGACCTAGAATCCGTCATAGGAGGCGAGTGGAGTAAGCGTTGTGATAAATGCACGCAATTTAAATGTGAAGTTTCGTTTGAAGTTTCTCAATTTCGCGGGAGCTTTGTATTATGCGGGCAGTAAATGGCGTAGGCGGGTTTCGTGCGAATAGAAAACTATGTACTGTGTAGGTAGATAGTAACCGTACGATAATCTGTTTAATTAAATAATACCGTAGCTGTGAATCTCGAACGAGCTGCTGCAGAAATTATTCTGAACATTTAATCACACACGAGTCTTTTTATATATATTTTTTAATCTACTTATTATTTTTTGATCATTTATTTTGGAGTATATCGATGTAAATATTGCGGAAAAGCGATAAATAGCCAGCCACTTAATCACACGAATTTTATATATATTTTTTTAATACGTTATTTTGGAGTATATCGATGTAAATATTGCAGAAAAGCGATAAATAGCGATTTAATCACATAAATTTTATGTATATATATTTTTAATTTACTTATAAATTACGAGAAAAATGCTATTTAGATACATATTTATTTTTTAATAATTTATTTCGGAGTATATCGATGTAAATATTGCAGAAAAGCGATAAACTTTATCGTATCTAGAACTTTGATTTCGTATAAATTAATATTGATTTTTATTAAATAATATCTCGTTCTACGCATGTGTGTGTGTGTGTGTGTTACATGCAAAGAGAGGAATTGTATTATATGAAAATAAATATGCCTCTAAATCTCAGGCAAATGCTTGGCAAACAATCGCGGGCTGGCGGAAATGAAAGTAAAAGTCGTTTTGCAGTTATAAATCATTGAGCATTGAGTATTTGTCGACGTATTATACGTACGAATAGCTACTTTACGAGAACACCGTTGACATATCGGTCTCAAGAATCTTGGAATATCATGGTATTATTGCACAAGTGCCTTATTATGAGGCGTGAAAATACATTGCTTCAAGAATTTTCGTGACATTTGCGAGGAAAATTATTTTGAATATCGAAACGTTACGTCGCTATTATAAAAATGATTCACTTTTGCAACATTGAATTATTATTATTAACAACTTTTTGTTTCAATATTTTTTAAGCCTTCTTTAGAAAAATCTGAACTTATATATATTAAAAAATAATGCTTGACTATAGAAATTTATTTAATTACTTGGTATTGCACCAAAAAAATTGTTTTTATATAAAAGCCTTTATTAATTTTTTTAATTATTATCATAAGCTGTATTATACGAATTAATTTGCAAAACTTCTTATTTACGAATATTAAAATTCAAAATTGTTCTTTGAATGAAACACACGAGCGTAAAAACGAATCCGGTGAATAAATAATATTAAAGTATAATTAGCGAGACACATTAATCATATAATTGGGGACGGGAAAGAGAAGATTCTTACACATCCGTGCTCGGAAAGCGCGATGAAAGAACGTGTCCTTAAACGTGTCGGGTCATAAATTGTCGAAACAAGCTGTGAGAATCGCGGAGGATTTTTCGTGGCTAATTTGAACGGACTCAATCTGTCGAATTTCGACGACCAGCCGGCCACGATGACAGAGAAGGCCCCTGATTCGCGGGAGAATTTATGGGCAAATTGCCGACCTCTTCTTTTGCGAGAAGCCACCGTAAATCAACGTCGGCGAAGGAGAGCGCTCGTCATTTAGCAACTGACGGGTTTATCCCGGTCGTTTCTGCGTGCGAAATGTCATCCGCGACACTTGGCAAAATTGGCCCGATACAAAAATATTCCAGCTATTTATATGGATTTTCCGCATCCTCGCGTATATAGCACCGAGAAACTCGAGCTCTCGGGACGGAGGAAAGTTGCGGAAAGTTTCGCGGTAGGGTTAAAATTCACGGCTTGTTTAACTTTCGTCGGTTTCGCGATAATTAGTTCGTTCGGTTGCAATTCGGTCGGATCTGCGTTCCTTTTCCAGGTGGAATGCCGTGTCCGCGAAACACACTTCGAAAGTCTTTTCGTTAACTTTAATTGAGGACTCGTCGGACTCGCTCGTAACTAAAAGCTGATAGTATATTTAGGTCGCGTGTTTGTGTACTGTAATTGAAAAGGGATGTTCTTGCTTTTTTGTGTGCCCGAATGTTTTTCGTAGATAGAAAATTGGAACTTTTATCTCGTGCTTAAACACTAAGTGAAAAATGAAGGATAAAAATCCAAAGCAAACATACATACATGTTCTACTATTGAATTAACTATATTCTTCCGGTATCAAAATCGATTAGACGCTGTACAAACGCTAAAATAATGATCTGTATCGCGATACATCACCGGACTCGATATGTATTTTTTCAACGTCGAAACGTTCGGCAATCTTCTATCGGAATTGAATCTGCTAATCGTTAAACGTTTTATTTGCGAGCCGCAATATAAACAGGGGTTTTTCGTGTCTGCGGTTTCGCGGTGCACCATTTAACAGGCCGGTTCGGAAACAAACGCGAATGGGAAGAAAGCGAAGGGAGGACTCTCGCAGAGACTCGGAGAGAAAAAGTTTTCCCTTAGTCCGGGGATGCTGAATCGGACGTAACTGCGGTCTTCTCCAATCGCGAGATAAAAAGCTAATCACTGGTCTCGCACGCGAATCCGCTTTTTTGCCGCGATCTCTCGACATTTCCTCCGGTTGGCTGCTCCCGGAAATTGGATTCTCTCGCGAGCAGGAATTATTGTTGCCGTTGTTTTCGATGATATCTCGATCCTCAAGTTGTCTCGCTTATCAGTCGCGACTCGAAAAAGGATTGCATAATTCTTATTCTTCGGTAGAAGGGATTGTGTATCGTATCGACAATGCTTTGCGGTGTGTTTTGGAAACTTTCGGCCGAGAAACGCGATTCCGTCCAAGAAAATCCGGAGCGACCTGGCGCCTCTCGTTCCGCTCGCAATACGTCGTCCTGTTTTCTTCCCGGTGGCAAAATAGCTCGCGTCGCCCTTCGCCGTCTTTTTTCGCGACAAAACGTCGAATAACAACCCGCTCCTGACCGCCGAAAGTTTCTGGCGCCGACGGAATCGTGTTTTCGTCGCGATACGTGAGCTGGTCAGCCAATTCGCGCTTGCAAGCCGTTATTTTCGCTTAGACGGTCTAAATTATTACACCTTTTTTTGCTTTCGATGCTTATCCGATATACTATAAGGCTTCTACAAATTTTACGCCGCATTGATCTATCGATAGAAAAGGGTGGTTCTATCTACTTTTCATAGTCAATTTGCATGTCTAAAAAAAATCAAATTTTTTTAATTATTTTTCAATAATTTGAACTTTGAATTAATATTTTTTTAATAAAGTTAGCTTAAAAAGCTAGATCTTTTTATTTATTAATTCGATAACTATTAGGTATTCTTTCATTTTGTGAAAATTATAATTCTATATTTATCAAAGAATTTATGGACGGATGAGCGTATATTTTTGCTACGATGTTCAAAATTATCAGACTTTTTTTGCTTTCGATGCTTATCCGATATATAAAGCTTTTAAAAATTTTACATCGCATTAATTTATCGATACAAAAGGGTATTTCTAATCTTCATGGTCAATTTGCATGCCTTTTTAACAAAAATCACATTTTTCTAAACATTATTTTTCAATAATCAAACTTTAAATTAATATTTAAAAAAAATCGAATTAGCTTTAAAAACTAGCTCTTTTTATTTGTCATTTCGATAACTATTAGATATTCTTCCGTTTGGTGAAAATTATAATTCTATAGTTATCAAAGAATTTATGGATGGATGAGCGTATATTTCAGAATTGAACTTTTTTTTCATCATCGTTTCTTTGTTAACCATCCGATAATAAAGCTGACTAATTAGTACGAGTAGTGAACAATACTTACGACATTTGTTCATAATTACGAACGACAAGATCTAGAAAATTTCTACAATACCGTTTTTTATATTGTTTGCTCTTATTACGAAATAACGAACTTTACTGATTAATGCGAACGGACGGTTCTTGCAGTTTTTTTTGCCTCGTTCTTTGTTAATTTTAAAGTACACGATAATTAATCTATATAATATTTTTTTCTCGACTTAAATTCCAACAATATCAGATATATCAACTAAGCACAAAATTTTTGACAAATTTGCCCTCGTACAACTTGGCGATCTTTAATTATTCTGCATCTACTTTCAAAACTAAGTTCTCAACGTAAAATATTTAAAAACTTATTTAACTCGAAGAAAAATCTACTTGAGAAGACGAAGAGTTCCATTAAATATTCTAGTTAACATTCGCGATTATTCTGTTACAATTATGTATAATGCATATACTTTGACATTTCCATATAAATTTGATTTGTGACGCGTATTAAAGAAATACGAACTTGACATTGCGCATAATTACGTAACTTGACAGAGGAAAAGTTAAGGATCCGAGACCGATAATATAATTGAGCTTAAAATATGAGGCTTTCGTAGAGCGTTCTTATAACGACGATGAGCAAATTGCATTTGGGTTTATGTCGTCAAACGGGCGAATGCAAATGTCATGGAAATCGCGAGCGGCTGAGTGCGCGGGTATTATGTTGTCGCGAAATGGATACATGTACATTGGTATATCAGATTGCACATTCTAGATGCATGCGCGTAGATCTTCCGCCATCATCCCTCGGCGCGCTCGAAAGCCCCATCTTCATCGGGCATAAATCCTCCTCTTTCGTGTGGGGGATTCGAGATGCTGCGTAGAACGGGGTGAAGCTTTCGTGTTAAACACATTTGCGAACTTCGATATTGAAATACCGCAGTTGCTCATAACTATCACATAACTGCGGATAGTGCTTTTGTCGAGAAATACCCGAGAGAGAATTTACTTATTGTATCTGCGGTACAATATAATTATATAGCATTTAATCGATTTATTAGATCAGGGATTAATTATTGTTGTATCAGGAATTTTCTTCAAACGCTCTTCTCTCTCTCTCTCTCTATCTCTCTGCCTTTCGAGCGCTTTGCCAATTTCGATAGCTAAATTCTATTTCATTTATGGTTTGCTTATTCAAGCGAAATGGGAGTATATTTGTTCGAGATTACTTTGGAAAATTAAAAACATTGTTAGATGGGTGTCCACCTCATCGGCGTATCTGCTTCGAGATTAAGAAAAACGATCGGTCCTTAATCCATCTCGTCACTTCAATTTTTCTCTATATTTCATATATTTGTCGTTACGCTCCGTTTCCCAAATATTTTTTACCTTGCACCGTGGCTATTTTCACGAGTCTTCATGTTGCATGACATTTTTTCACATTTCTTTATTCATTCATTTTATTATTTCATGGGTTATTTAATTTAGAGAGAATAACAAAATAAAACGCGCGTTGCAAAGATAGAATAATTTTTCTCACACATCTGGCACACATTTAATGTACGAGAGATGGTTTGATATCAAATTAGTAGTAAGAAATTTTCTTAATTTTTTAGTCTACGTTTCTGTATTTAGAACTTATAATTAGAAATTGGAATGTTCGTATTAAAATAATCGGTGATAGTTGCTTGGTATCGTAAATTGGATATCATCAGTTTTCGATCCGGATCATGTTCCTTGTAAATAAAATATACCCCTCGGAGCTTGTTTTACAAACTACAACTTCGAGTGTCACGGTTAGTCATGTGCTCGAAATGTTTAAATATCCCTACACTGACATTTTTAAAACAGCGAGTGAAATACGATGTAAAGGTCACCGACCATTTTTTTCGTACATTTTTTTGACATTTTTTTTCACAAACCCGAGAATGTTTCACTCCCCATTACATCTCTCGCTGTTCTATTGATGTCGTAGTGGATAACGCCGATGCGTTTTACATAGCAATGGTTGCACATAGAAAACGTTAACAGTTCAAACAGTAGTAAATTCCATTTATTTCGAAAGTTTTGTGTCGAGATAAATTTCAAAAATATATTGAGAATATTTCACTGCGAAACGTAAACGGAATAATTATAATAAAGTTTAATAGTGTTGAATTAACAGTATAATGTGATGTTATGCAGCAGGATAAAAAATATTTCTCAATTTCAAAAAACATTTGACGTAATGACCGAGAGAACGATTATGATAACGATTATGATAGCAATTGTAAACATGAAAATTAAAGCCGATATAATCTCAAGTTCTTTAATAGTCTTGAAAGCTTTTTTATCGCACAGTAAGATTACATATGCTGATATAATCTTTCACTTAATCTTTCTTCCGATACGCTTATACTTAATATATGTACAAACTGTTTTAATTAGCACATTCCGTATTTCTTATACCCGACAAATCAATTGAGGCTGCGATTGAAGAAAAAAAAAAGAAATGCGTATGCATTAAAAATTTTTAATTTCAATTTCTATAGTACTTATAAAGTAATTACAGTGGAACATTGCGTGTGCATAATATCTTGTCTGGTTTTCGTGACTAAAATTTCGAGCGCATCTTTTTTGCGCCTCCCTTCCCTCAACCTATTAATTTACATTTGTTTCAACACACATGTACGCATCTCCTTCCCAGTCGCCGCCTCAATCGTTATCATCCCCCCATGGAATTGGAGCTTCCCTTAACGTTTTCTGTGTGCAACAACGCGGGCCTCTCTAGGAACGACCTTACGTACATACTTTAGTATCGTTTCTCGCTCAGACCATCCTCTCTGTCTGTCTTTGAGCTTGCTTGAGCCTTGCATGGCGGGTCATGGTTGTTGTTTCAGGCCGCGGCAGCGGCGGCCGCAGCGTCACCCCTGTTGAAGACACCCCTATCAACGGCGCAGCAGGCTACATACGCAGCTGCAGCGACCTACACGGCGGTGGCTGCGCGCGCATACGGCGCAGCTGCAGCTGCGGCACAGCCGGTCGCAGGATATGCCGCAGTCGCGGGGTAAGTGCACACCACGTTCTCGCCCGAGAAACACCCTCATATGTGTATATTCTCCTCACCGAGTCCTCTCCGGGACCCTCTCTCTCTCTCTATCTCTCTTTCTCCTTTCACTCGCACAGGATGTCCCAGATTTAACGATGCCCCAGCTTTGTTTCTATGTATCCTGTGAGCTTTTACTTTAGAAATAGTAAGGATATTTAAAATTCAAAGGGGTTGTTAAATCTAGGACAAATCGTATGTGTTTCTGAAGAAATGAAAAGCTCCGCAAAGGGCAAGAAAAATTGTTGAAACACCCTCATATATGTGTATATATTCTCCTCACTGAGTCCTTTCCGGGATCTTTCTCTTTTTTCCTTCCACTCGTATAGGATATCCCAGATTTAGCAATGCCTCAGCTTTTTGTTAATCAATTAAATTTAAATTGAATTAAATTAAATTAAAATATTCTTAATAAATTAAGGATATCTAAAATTGAACGGGGAATATAATTTGGTCAAAAATCGATCGAACAGGGGTTGCTAAATCTAGGACGAATTGTATGTTCTTCGAAGAAATGGAAAGAAAAATTGTTGATCTCTTTATCATTCTCGAGAAAGGGAGCTTTCGCGAATACTTTTCGCAGAAATTCACGCGCTTGTCTTATAAGATTTCTAGATTCTTCCTTTGAAATTCCTGCTTAATTTATTTCGTATGAATTATTTATGACGCGTTATATAGCGCTTGTTGCATCATTGTAATATATATTTGGCACACTATGCAACGTTCGCGTTGCATTGCTATAATAATATTTCTTTGCCACTTTGATACTTGGTATTTTTAAATCGTTATATTATCCTGAGATGAAATTATCTAATATAATAGTATGCATTTTAGAGAGAGATATCTATTTCGTGACAAGACGTAAGATATGAAAATAAGCTATTGTTAAATCGATAACATTATTCGAAGAATTATACGATTTTAAATATTTTTAGTAGTATTTCCATACATAATTTCTCGACCTCACTTTTTTACATCAATTATCTAACATTTTCATTATTAACACGAAGGGCTATGATTTTCCAGCTATTTGTGGCCAGCATGCATCAGACTCATTTGCATTGATATGCATACACATATGTATAGATTTAGGGTCATCGGGTTTCGAAGTCATCAGCTCGACCCCATTACGAGAGTGAGGTCGAGATGTATATATCATGTATTGAACATCGCGATTGCCCAATATTCTTGATATTTATACATGCTATCGCTATCTAACTAATCACTATCCTTTATTCTTTCTTACATCTCTCTTTTTTATCTTTTTCTCAATCCCTTCAAGCTAACGAAATAATTAATCTGTTAAAAGAGATATCAATTATCGCAAAACCTAACACAATTAGTACATTCCTTGCAGAACTTCCGCACGTCGTGGACGAGCTCTAAGGAGTCGCAGATACGTTCACGAAATCCAAATCCGTTCCAATAGTCCTGCCGAAAGTCCAGAAAAAACTGCTCCTGAGAAATCTTAAAATTTGCATTTCGTTTTACGTTCGTATCTTGCATTTTAAATAAAGTAAAATTATTTAATTTAATTATTTAATTTAAAGTATATATATTTATATTAATTATATGTATTATATAAAATTATATAAAATAAAATTTCCATTTCTCATTTACATTTTTCCCGAGAAAAATCGGAAGATTTTTTTATAATATGGTAGAAAGTCGTCCGATTTTCAGTGGATTGGAAAGAAATTTCATTTTATTAATAGTGAACTCTCTTTATGTCCTTTTAGTTACGGGCGTGAATACGCCGATCCTTACCTCGGACACGGCATTGGACCTGTGGCGGGTTATGGGGTAAGAAACAGCTTCGATTACGTATACTTTACGATTTTTCACTTAACGGGAGTAGCGTTAAATGGCCCGCGCGTAGATTTTACCGGGCCGTATTCCACCTATTTACGGGAGAGAATAGAGCCACTCCTTTATTACGCTATAAATAACGGACGGAAAGCCCTTCTCGCCGCGTTTCATTCACATATGAATTATTAATGCCCGGCATCTTCAACTTACGAAACTATGTCACGGCGAGAGTTATGATTCGTGCTCTTCCATTTGCGCGGATATTATCCTTAAATACGATGCTCTCGTGATATTATCGTCGTCTTCTCATATATTTACAATGCGAACGCGAGTTATGTAGCCGATAAACGATGAACAAACGAATTGCATAATATAATGTAATATGTGAAAATTTAATCATCGCCGATAAACTCAATGATACGTTGAATATATTTTTAATTTGCCATTTTGTTAATTCACAAAAATGTATCAGTTTCAGACTACGTTCATTCATTATATAAACAATGAATTTATTTGATATTTTAATGAATTTCAACTATTTGTATTTTATGATGAATTGTACTTTACAAATTTTAATTTTATTTTTACAGGCGACAGTGTACAGAAGTGGCTACAATAGGTTCACACCATATTAAATGGCTCGTTGACAGCGGAGCGCGAGAGCCTTCCAAGTTATATACCGTGTTATACTCAAGCAAAACATGACCAGACACAAGTCGACACAATCATCACCGTCATTCTGCCATCATCGAGATCACTAGCGAGGCGACGAGCCTGGACCCTCCGCAACATTCGTCGATTTTACTTCCCACCTTCCCCAGTTTTGCGACGCAAGATCGTAAAGGGATGAAAACGGAGATTATTATCATTGAAACCAGAATCGTTCGATCAAAGCGAAACTGCTGTCAATGATACAAAGCGACGTCTACATTGTCTAAATCTTGAAATTGTATTGTAACTTTGAAAACTTATAAGCGACAGCTAAATAGACGAGAAAAATCAATCTGTAAACGCAGAACGGGTGGTGTCGAGGCCGGCGCATCGAAATGTCGTATCGTGTTCGGCGGGAAGTCGCCCCTAATCAATTTCCTGCCAGCAGCCATTCGCACATGAAAACAATAGAGTCTGCTCTCTCCTTCTTGGTCCCATTTAATCAATTGGTATTTCAATAAATTGATGTAATGCAAAATTAACATGTATTTATTGTATTTTTTTCGAATTTTTTGCTAAGTTTAAAGTTATTTTTGATAATAACATCGTGAACATATTTGCTGCATACGTTTTTTTGAGAATTATATTTAGTATCTTAGTGTTTTAATGAATAAAAAATCAAGAATTGCTAAACGGAATGTAAACTGGAAATAGTTACATCTCTTTCTATTTCTGTTTGTAGATTCTGTAAATGACACTAATATTAATGTTGTCACGCACCAATATCATGTATCGTTTGTGCAAATTTGCTCATTTATTGAACTAGTTGTAATATAGCTGAACACATATGTTGTAATTATTTCTATTTATGTCAATGTTGCGATATTTGTTTGTATTTATAGTCTAAATTAATGCTGAAGGAAAGGCGTTGAACATTTCGCACAAATATCATAATAAAACGACTCTTGTGCACATGATTCACTTAGCAAGATAAACAATAATTTTATAAATAATTCAGTTTTTTTCATATAGTTTATTATAGAATTAATTATATGGGAATAATGCTATTAATACTTAACAATTTAAATTAATAAGATGAACAAATGTATGCAACTACCGAAAACCAACAATTATTATGAAATGAGTACACAGTCTAACTTTTTATGACATAAATACGCGCATAAATGGCGCAAGATGAAATTTTCTGCTAAATGGCAGCGAAACACTGACGACTTCAGTCGACGCGAACCGGCACACGGTGATCCGGAAAAGCGAAATCCTTAGGTAGCTAGTTAAAAAGAAAAAGGAAAAAAAAACGACCTCTAGGAAGAAACAAAGGCATTCATGTGACCGGTAGGGTTTCTATGCCAAATATGTATGTATGCGCTTTTGCGCGCGTGTGTATGCGTAGAATTGTGAAATAAGCTCTGTTCTCAGTAAACTAGAGAATGGCGAACGGAGACGAAATAGGACAAAGAGAAGAACCGCTTAGACCTCTGAAACAGTATACCGAATTTTTAATTGCATAGGGTCTAGTCAAAACAGTTTCATTTATGTATAATTTCACGCAAAGCTTCGATTTTTATTTTCTAAAATTCGATCAACATGTCGACCCTGAATCCTCATTTCGCGCTATTTGTTCGCTCCATTTTCGAATGCTAAATTAAAGATATAAAACGCAATTAATTAGACTTAAAACCTATCTATCTTGGATATTCTATTATTTTAAAACCAACATGAAATATGTTTTGCAAAAAAAGAAGACTGCAAAGATCTCTTTCAAACAAATTGTAAAATTTAAGACTTTCAGAAACTTAAGAAACCGAATGTTTAATTTTATAATATCGTTACTTGTTCAAGAGAAACTTTGCAATAATTTCATTCTCTTTCTCGCGTACTGATAATAATCCGAATAATGAATTATGCATTGGAGCAGCGAATACACTTGTATTTACCAACGCCTTTTTTCTTTCGAGAGAAATTCGATTCCGACATGAATTCACCATGTACAATAATCAAATTGAAGTGTGCATTGTACCACTTAGTTATTCCTTAATTAAACGACTGAATAGACATGACAATTTTTTTTAACCTTAAGCAAAACTCACGTCATAACCGGTAAATACAGAATCTCAACGCCAATGAACAAATGCACAGTAATAATATGTAGATAGAGGTAGGATTCGTAGAATATGCGCTTGACGACGCAATTGAATAAAGGACTCGTATAAAGACCAAACGAACGATCAAATCGAATATTACTTATTATTAATTATTTTATTAATTTTGTTATTAATTTTTATCCACACATTTTTATATAAAAGTTTATTTTACATATAAAATTAAACTATTTATAATCTAAATTAAATAATATTATTGCCGATATTCATTCATAATTATTTGTTGTTCGTTCACTTGGTTTTTAGATGAGATCAATCCATGAAGATCCGCGATGCTAACAATAAGTCGGACTTCCTTTGTACCCGGTAATAACAATATTATGCGAATACTCTCTTTAACATGACGTTGTATACTCAGCATGTCATTTCGGTTTCTCAATATCGAAGAAATGCGCGCGTGTCTATAAAATGAAATTCGTCTTCTCTTGTCACGAAAAACGATTGGGTACAGCTAAATGTGTTGAATAATCGAAAACGCCGAAATGAATAAAGACTTTGTATTGAATGCTTTTCTTTTTTTTTTTTTTTTTTTAAATTTTAATTTTGGAAAATGCGATAGAATGATATAGTCGACATCGTGCATCTTGATATTGAATCGTATGTTACACATGACATAGTGTTTCACATTTGAGCTGTTTATTTTATCAAAATTATTTGCTGAAATGCGCACATAACTTTTTATACATACAATCTTTTTATACATCCATTTTTCGTTCTCTTGGTATTGCTAGTTTATTTATAAATGGTTTGTCTTTTCATATATACGATTGTGCTATCAATTTCGTTTTCTATTCAGGCCGGCGTTCTCGATTATCAACTTTCTTTCTTTTTTTCTCGTGACACTCAATATCTGCTTCCTGATTGAGTAGATATGTCGGTACGCTATACAGAAAGTAAAAGATACTCTATTTAGGAGTAACGCGAAAGGGAAAAATGGTACGCACACTGAGTCGAATGAGTGATATCTCTGTTAAATTAATAGTTAAGCGAAGATTTATCGTATATTATACGTAAGAATAAGATATGTTGCGCTATAATATGTTGCGTACGAAAAGAATGGAGGACGGTGAATGAGAACAAATGTGACTGAAAAGTAAAGTAAGGAAAGACGAAAAAAAAGGGGAAAACGAGGATATAAGAAATAGCCAAATATGACAAAGATGTTTTAGAAAGTACGGCATGTAGTTTGGCCGTCGTTACGTTTTAATCTAATCTTCAACTAGAGTTAGGCTAAGCTCGAATACTCGAGGCATGACGACAATTCTTTTTTTTTTCCCTCGCGAGCGTCGTGTACGTGTACATAGATCAACTAGATTTTGTCGAGCACAAAGATCGTGGAGGAAGAGATTGTGCCGAGAAACGTGCACTTTTAGGAACTTATTAAGCAAGCAACAAAAGAAACTACCACACTCAGACATACTCATGATTCTCGTAACGTTAAATTAATAAGCGTAGATTATAATTAATTAATTAATTAAATACGTAAAACCGGACACGGATCTTGTCGAATGAAAACGAAACGTGTGCTTATTTTACGTGAACGATGTAACGGCTGATATTCGATGAGAAGAAGAAACCGTCAGTTTCTCATAATGCACACATTCTTCCGTGTAAAAGACAGCACAAGGAAACTGTATCGAATCGGAGTAAGATCGAAGAGAATACGTTTTCGAACAAAAAAAAAGAGATTTTTCGCAGTTGTGCATCTTGCGCGAGAGTAAAAATACGAGCATGGAAAAGATTCTGCGAGATTTATCTCCCTGTGTATATTGTACACTGTAATTACAATTTATACTTATTCGTAATCGATACCTTTATCGGTAGGCTATTACTACTAGTGGCTAGCGTAATAAGTCAAGCTCAAATTAGCGAGACGGAGGAGCCGTGCGAGACACTTTCTTTTTCGCGGGTTCGTCGCGTCCTGTCCTCATTACATGTGCACAATTTTTACTTTCTTCGATTTTCCTCTCTTCTTTATACGCGTTTACTGTTGCGACAGGCCTATCGTACAAGATGTTCATAGAATCATAGAGATTCATAGAGGCTAAAACAGCTCTCTTCTGCCCCTTCCTTTTCACTCTCTAGTGTTTTCGTTTCTCCCTTTATTGTTAGAATGAGAAAATATCCCGTTGTGTAACTTCTGACGCGATAACGAAATTTTCTTTATCGTATTTTATATATTTCCATCGGAATAAGGAAGGAAACAAAATTCACGAGGATTATTAAAAAAATGTTTCGACTGTCGAAAGCATCGTTGTCTACTAAAGAACGCGACACACATATCTAGATGATAATATAATTTACGAAAAAAAGTTTAATAGCTTCTGCCGAATTTCTGCACGTTTACATATTTTCGTGTTTCACAACACATCTTATCATCCTGTCATTTCGGTCTCTCTGACTTTCGTTAAGCGACTCTGGTTCGAAGAACTCGTTTCCAAGCAATATTTCACATCCATATTTCGAATTGTAATATCTAAAAAAAAACACGCTCTAATATATGGATTGCAAAATGATTTAGAGATCGGTTCTTCGATCCTGGCGAACTTACGGACGTCAAACGAAATCCCGAGAAAATCCACCCCTGTGAATTCATCACCAATAATTAATTTACCCTCGTCGAAATAACGACGAGATCCAGAGCTAGTGGATCTTTTCGCGCAATGTAAAATAATTCAATGATACGCACCGTACGTTATATACGTATAATTATTAATTAACGATATAAATACCGTAAAGGGATTTTTAAATGAATCTAGATGAATACATGACTACGTAATGACACATCTTACAAGCAACATATCCTAGGTATTTGAGCAGGGCGCTGCCGGAGGATCTTTCTGGCGATCGTCGTGCGATCGTCCGGCACGAGAGAAAGAGAGAATATATATAAATCTCCGCGACTGATGTCCCAAAGCGAAACTGTCTCGAACCGGTCCGCATCATCGGCAGCGCCGTGCCGTTCTTTTCGAATTATTGCAAATGAAAAAAAAAAAAAGAAAAATAAATGAGGGATGTTTCATGACATTAGGGCGTTATTATTAATGATATTTCTAGCGACGCGTGTGCGTGTGTAAAGTTCAATGTATCTGTACGTGTGATGTGAAATTATATTGTGTATGTTTGTGTTGATGTGTGATGAATGTGAGCGAGAAACTCGTACCCTTCTCCACGGATTGGTGAAATCAAGAGCACGAATTAATTATCGTTAGTAAGGTAGCACAAAGACAAAGTAACAAATGAGGAAAAATGCCCGGTGAGATTCACTGAGAAAAATAAACAGCTAATCGCCATCTGTTTTTTCGCTTCTGTCGCAAATGTAAAAAAAAAAATCCGCAAAGAGAAGGAAACGCCGTTTGGGGATGCCTCTGTATCTCTTTGCGAACTTCCCCATCCTCCCCTGATACACGTAAGTGATTTTATGCTACCGAGAGTTCGTTACATGACAGCGAACTCGCAGGAAATGAATGAAAATCTGTAAAAGAATAAAAAGAAAGATATATAAGAGAGAAAGAGAGAGAGAGAGAGTAAGAATATCTGATCAACTTGATAAACTTTATTTGCGAAATATTGATAGGAATATAAGGTGTGACTCGTGACACCTTTATCATTGTCTGATTTGATGATATTTTGTAAGTCTGGACCAGTTGTTAGGTTCTATTAATCCCATAGCGACTTCTTATGGCGTATTTTCTCTGTATATTGTCAATGTTTATTATTAAATATTTTTCAAATAAATCATCGTGTTCTTTCGTGCGTTGCTTTCATACCTATATACCTACGCACTTATCGAGAGAGAGAAAGAGAAATATTTAATATTAGATTAGACAAACAAAACGAAAAGGCTCAAATATATTAAATATAAAAATTTAAATAAGCAGCTAATAAGAGCTGAACGTAAGAAGTAGACGCAATTAAATTATATAGAAGTTTTCTTCAAGTATGATGAATTTTTCAATCCTTTTTTTTTATCGTCAATAATTCAAATAATGAAACAAGTTTTATTTGTCTTTACTTTCAATTCCATTAAATTAAATCGCCATTAGCTTTTGTCTTTAGTAAGCCTCTTATCTATTCTAGCCGCGTTAAAAAACTTAAAAATTAATTCGAGATAATCGAACATTATTGTGAAAGTTAAAGGCAATATTATACAATTAAAAAAGAGAAAAAACGAAAAATAAGAGAAGACATGGAGACGCGTGGAGCTTTTAAATTTTTGCTAATAAGTATTATAATGTGATATAAGACATTCCGTATCATTTTGTTCGATTTAGATTATTTTTTAAATTTTTTGTTTAAACATTTCTGATCAATCTGATCATATAATCTTATGTAGTGTCTATTGCTACTTAACAATTTGTCGTTATTTTTTGTACATAACTAACAGTATGACGTATACGTGTTTTGAACTTTGTTTTTCATCTCATTTGTGATCGCTGATAAGTATTATCTTTATTTTTTTCTATTTTCTAGTAAATTTTATATTGCCTCTAGCTTTACAATAATATTCCATCATCTCGGATTAATCTTTTCATACACCGAAAGAAATATTTGTGTAAAATTACATGATTATGCTGGGTTTTTTCTACCCAAGATAATTATGCAAAATTGCTACTCATATGGAAGATTACACATTATATGTATTCATATGAAATATATTCTTATATATTTTCAAAAGTAAAAATATTCCACTGTGAACATAGAATTACACATAGGAAATGCTATGTATAAGTGCTATAAAATGTTATAAATAAAATGGATACATGCTTATAAAATAAAGTTCCCCAATAAAGTAAAATATTAAATTTAAAATTACAAGTGATTTTTGCAAAATAGTAATTTTACCTATATTGTACATATATTTTTACATTAATATGTATTTTCACTTTAAAAATATGGAAAAAATTACAGTGATAATTAAGTAATTTTTCCAGTTTTGAACAAGTAATTTACATACAAGAGTACATGGATTTTTTCAATGTATATTAATGGGTGGAGTCGATAGAAGGTTTACCAAAGACGAAAGCGGCTGATGTTGAGAACTGAAGGTCAAGATAAATGAATGTATGCCTTTTTGTCACCTGAACTGCTGAAGCTGATCCAACGAAAGGACCGAAACGTTCGTTATAATTAAAGAAGATTTCTACATAATTGAATTGCGTCTACTCTTTTTGCGCTCGACTCTTATTACTCCACATTCTATTTGAATTTAATATTATATTCTCTCAGAATCTAATTAAAAGCTATCGCTTAACGGTGCGCGAAGTAATTTATCATGTACACGTGCCTCGAATACGTGCAAAATGCAACTTGACGTCTTAAACATTCATGATGTCGAGTCTAACGTAGCGTGAGATGAGATAGAATGGTAACATGTTGAGTTAAAAGTAAGATAAGCGTTCGCAGACAGGATCCTCGCGATTAATACATATGCAGTATTTTTTAGGGCGGCAGAAATTTATGGCACAAACGACAAGGAATATATGAATAACGAACTAGTCGACGCAAGTGACGGTGTTCTCTCACGGAAACCGCATGGAATGCTATAAAGATAGTTATGCAAGTAATGCAAAACTGGTTATTCCCTCGAGTAATATATTTTTGGAGAACACGATAGAGGCGGCCGATAATTATCTTATTACATCCGACGAACTTACGGAAAAACGTGATTTATTACGAGCGTCGGGACGGAAAATTATATCTTCGATAATTAATTATTCGATGAGCAAATAAAGGAAAGTTACCGTCTTTCAAAATGGAGCATCAGTCGTAATAAATTAGTGTTACGACGGATTCTTTCAAACCTGCAAATTGATTTCATCCGCTAAAATTGTATTTTGTTTAATTAATCGCGAATTATTAATTTTGTAATTTTAAAATAACGAAGATGTCGTAGTGTATTGACATTACTATCTATATTAATGCAAAGATATATAACTTAAATCTATATGTATATGTAACTAAATTGCTCTATTTCATTAACTCCATATCTCTTTAAATTGATACAAGACTTTTATTTCCTAAAATTGCCATCATTTTTTAATATGAAATATTTGTCTTTTAAAACGTTGTTTTTTTATTAAAGTACTGCAAAATCTATATACCTGTAAATATTCTCTAAAAGAAAAATAGAATTAAAAGTTCGAGCTTTTTGCAGCTGAGCAGTCGTCATTTTTTATTAAAGTATACTGTAAACTCTATATAAGTATTTTCTAAAAGAAAAACAGAATTAAAAGTTCGAGTATTTTGCGCCCCAGCAATAATCAAAAAGATGTAAGTAAAAGCCTCGGCGATAAAATTAAGCTCTGACTAACGCGATTTGTAGAAGCGGTGGCCATTAATAGGACGCAGCTATCGACACTTTCCGCCCGATCTTATTGTAGGAAACCTAAACAAGTACTGTTGGGTGGTGGCTTTCTCAAACATCCCAGCGATCTACACAACTCTGTTATATTCATTTCCCGTCGGGAAATCAAGGAATAAGATCCGACAGATAATTTCCATAAATTTAATTTACGATGTTATAGACCTTTCGACGCTTATCTATTTTCGCAAATGATACTATGACGAAATTATTTAGAATCTTTTTTATTTTTTTTTATTTTAACTATTTTTACTATTTATTTTCAAATATTTCTCATTTTTTTAAATATATGTACACATAATAGCACCAATGTGCCAGGTAAATCTAAATGCAAGTTTTTGTGCTAAATTCAAATCTTTCGAATCCAAATAATTATTCTCATTATCTTTGGAAAATATAACTTTCTGCACTGTTTCGTTTAGGGAACATTTCTTTTTCACATTCAACAGTAAATTTAAGTTTCTCCTCTCATTTTTGCATTTTTTTCAGTTCAATGTAAGAAACACACGAAAAACGCTAAAGACGTTATAAAACATGAAAAAAATTGCGTTTATCAGTGCAGGCATGCGAATCAATTTTGCATCTGTCACATCGAAATTTCAACTTAACAAAATTACGTCAATTTCACATCTGTCACACATTGGAATTTCAACTGAACGAAATTACGTCAATTTGGCATCTGTCAGATCGAAAATTTTAACTTAACAAAATTACATTTCGACGTGCCGTAAGTTGCTCGTGGAATCCTCTTTTTCATCGTATGACTCACCGTACACACATGGAATTGCCATCGACATTCTGTATTCTGTCCGGTTCTCATCTCAGTAGACTGTGAACCATCGGCGAGGGAGGACGTGGCTCCTGTGCCACTTGTCAGTAACGCGCACGTGGCGATTTGTAGACATGCCCGGCCGAAGGTGACAGCCGGCTAATATTTCAATTTCTTGCGGTTATTCGAAAAACGCGTTGTAATTAAGAATCGTGTTTATGTTAACTACATCCGTGAAAGTAATTATCGGGTCGTGAGTGAATAAAAAGTTAATTTATCTTGTTGGTAAGTAAACCTACTGAAATATATGCTTAACGATTTAATTTAGTCAGAATCAATCTAGTTATTTAATTTATTTAGTATTAATTATTCAGTTTAATTAAGTGTGTATAATTTATATCGAGCCTCTACTTTGTATTCTATATTTCATTATCAAAGAGTTGAAATAATTCAAGAATGATTTGAGAATAATTTATCAAGTTTTTTTCATTTTAGTGTGAATAGATTAAAATATGAGAGCGTCTTACTTAATGAACGTAAACTGAATATTGCAAATTATTCAAACGATTGATGTGACTTTTCTCGGGACGGATTTTTAAACCGCGTCATGTCATTAAGATTTATGTAACAATTGAGTATCATTATTGAATATTTAAGTGGAAAGTAACGCGTATGTTAATTTGCGAATACGGTGTTATGCACAATTATTCGCAGCAAAATGTATTCAAAACGTGTACAAAACATGATTGAAATTCAAACTCTCTTTGTGAATGTGCAACATTCATTTTCCTCGTTTCACTGGCAAGTACAAAATGCCTCGTACAAAAAACCTTCAAGAAAAATTATTTTTTCAGTTGCCTTCAGAATTCTTTTCAGAAATTGATCGAATACGAATAAGCTAATATTAATTAAAAGATTTATTATTCGAGATAAATAAAATATATTACGCTTAATATATCAATGATATAAATTCAGGTCGCATCATTCTGAATAATTGATTTAAGCAATTAATTCTGGAGGGATCAATTTTATGATACTACACTAGAGACAATTTTTTAATGAATGATCTATATGTATATTTTCACAATAGCGTTACAGCGAGAAATGATTTTTCTCGAAATTACATCTGAACTCTTGCAATTCTCTTTTCTCTGAATTTGACGAAAAGCGCTGAATACGATTTTCAAATATATCTCACATACCGCAAGTTCGCGTAAAGCTTCATTTAGCTCTATCGTTTTATTGATTTTATCCTTGACCTTCCTAAATTACATCTCCAGTAACAATGGATGAATTATAAAGTTTGGTGCATACTCGCTCTCGAATTATTGAATGTTGAAAGTTATTCAACGGCTCGGTATAATTTTAGAAAACGTGTTAAAGTGCGAAAATGGATCACGTGATGCACAGATTTTCCCGAACGAAAAGCAGGTCTAATTCGTTGAATGGATCTACTGTGACGTCAGTATAAAAGTATTAACGTAAAAATAAATGAGATCTCCGATTATCCGGTAAAGTGTATACTCTAGCGTATAATTTATTCCAGAAAAAGTCTAAATATTCCAGTCTGAATATTCCAGCGCGCGTTATTTATTTCAGTCTATGAATATTTGACATACTTATTATTCTTTCCCATAGAGAAATGCAAATATGTATACATATGCGCACATATTTCTCATTCTCTTTTCACACATAATACAATGCTTGGTTTTGTCTCCGATTCTCTTTATTCACCATCTTTGATTCAAATGGCACATAAATATTCTTTCTTTTAGGTGCAACTCTAATGAGAGTTAAATAAATGATATTTTGTGTTAAAAATTATCGAAGACGCTACACGCATATGCAATCAAAATGGACTTTTGCAAGCAGTATAAATTTCTACACATCCTGCCTGTAAAACGAATCGTTTGGTTCTGGCGAGCCGAAAACGGCACAATATTCCAAGTGCCGCGAAATGATTTGCAATCAGGAACCGACTGTCTCATCGAATTCATGAACGTCTTCGTCGCTATTTTTACGACACTCGTTGCTGCGATTTTAATTTTCAAGTACAAATGCAGCGCGGTCAGAAAGTAAGTTGAAGAACCAAAAAATATTCAACATTTTTCATTTCTAATCAAAAAATTGTAAAATAATTTTTCTCACTCACACACGAATAATTAATTATCAAAGTTTCGAAAATCAAAGTTTAGGGTTTGTAGGGGGTAGCTATTTCTCGCGCGATTAGTTAGACGAATGGAAATACTGCTGAACAATGTGATATAATTACACAGCGGTCTAAAATGGGAAACACGGGATATCAATATACGTATCTAAGAATACATCAAGTTTCTCGCGTGTTAGCGCATTGTAGAAACATCTGTTACACATGTTACACTTAAATGGTACGCGAGAACTTTCGGGTTTAATTGAAGTAACTTTCAATTAGATGAATTCTATTTCGTTTGGGGATGCCCCATGATTCAAACGAGAGTTACATTCATCCCGAAGAATTTACTCCAATTTAATGCTATAAGATGCATAAAACGCTGGTAATTGTATACGTCATTCTTGAATCAATCATTATTATCCGGAATACAACATGCACTCTCATCATATTTCCGCGTTACTTTTATAATAACTGTCTATAATAAATTCCGAGTAATGTGCATTATTAATCTATTACACGAATTTCAGAATAATCAGATACCTCAATTAATTAATCAATTAATTATTAATAATTTCATACAACGATAAACGAACAATGGCAATGAATATTATTAATAAATAAAATGGTATAAATACCGTTAACGATGTAAGCTGACGGCCTTTCATGTCGGCATCTTTGAAATTTAATTTTCCAATTACTCTCTTACCAGGTATTTACAGTGCTTAACGGTGCGTTTCTCAAAAAAGCGTAAGATTATTTTTATATGCTAAAGCTGTGCGTTGCAAGTTTCGCAGTTTCACATTTCGCAGAAGCAACAGGCCACAAGTCGGTAAATTTTGCAGTATTTTCGCAATGACTCAGTATCTTGTTTGTCAAAGTACAGCATAAACATTTGATTAATCACGCTTGTCCAAACGATTTTTGCCACAAAGATGAATGACCATATATTTTTCCACGATTCTTCAGATTTTTTTCAGTAAAAGATGTTTTATAGAATTTAACATTAATTAAGTAATTAGATATTAATCTTTATTCTATTACTTGAGATATGAACAATATGCAGAAATTTTTTTTAATTACTACGAAACATTGCGTTGTACTTATATATATATAATCGTGAAATTTTTAATTAACTAATTACTTAAAAATATCTTGATTTGCAAATATATATTAAATATTTTTTTCGAAAATTTAAAATACTTTACAAGTTATTAAACACACATTGGTTATTAAACCAATTCTGTAACATTCTATTTCAAAATATATAAACACAGAGCAATTATTAAAATTTTGTTAATTAATAAATTTTGTTAATCTTACCCTGCCCTATAGTAATTACGTTATACATAATCACTATATATATACCTAATTATAACACGCGCGTGTTCCTAGGACTTGTGAAATTGTTGTCGCATGCAAATGAAGCAATCCCGTTAATCGATGTACTTCATCGACACTATATGAATTTTTATTACGCGAAGGCACTTTAATGAACGGAATACCGGAATGTGTTTATGCACAAAAAAGGAAAAGAAAAAGAGAGATGTCTCGTATTAATTAATTATAGGTATATAATTTATAACAGGTTGCCCGGGTCTTTTTCTTTCTTTCTTGTAAGATAAAGATACTATGCGTGATTGCTGATTTGCGTCAGCAATTGATTGTTCAAGGAATAATAATATTGATTGCCAAATTCGCTTATGAAAAATTAAACACTATTTTTTATATATACTAATACTGAAATTCAGTATTAAGATTTTTAAAAAATGCATGATTTTCAACTTTTTGATATGTCAAAATTTGCATGGAATTTAATAAATATTTATATTGACGTTTACAAAGTTGTATTAATTTTTATGTTTGCTTAATTTTATTGCCTTCATCGCAATATCTTGTTTTATAAAATGTTCGTGTTGCATTTCCGTTTCAAAAGAGCTACTGTTTCTCTGCGTAAATGAGAACACACGAGGACTGGGTAATCATAGACATAACACACGCGACTTTCACTGTTCATTTCGCTATTTGTAACTTCGCAATAAATATTTTGCATGAAGAAGAAGAGCCATTCAGTAAATATAAGATTGAAATTGCTTCCTTCTGTACCTCGCAATTACACATCAGGGACAAAGTTAATTTGTCAAGTTAGTTTATCCAGCTTGTCATTCCAAGCAAGTTTGTCTACACAAATTAGCTAATTCAACCCACTCGCCATTATTACGAAATTAATAACAAGTCGCGTAGGTAGAATTTTCAATATATTAATAAATTCTTCTCAATATAAATTTTCCATAAACATTTTTTTCTTATAAGCAAAGATAAAAATATGAATTATATTTTTTAATTTTATTCGTTATATTTTTTCTCTTGACAGATCTCGTAACAGATATTTTTCAACCATATTTATTTTGCGCAATACAAATACTAAATGCCAAGTATCCACAAGTGTAAAATAAATTACCATCAGTGATGTCACATCCGCGATATATCTAAACAAAATCGCAAGCGGAATGATTCAGAGATCATTCAAATTTAAGGCGCGTACAAACTCAACTCCCTATTCATATACTTTTAACCATCGAATATGTAATATACCCGTAAACCTGACACGATTATAAAATGTATTCGTAAAAACAAACTAGTATTTCTTTAGTTTAACTTTTTCATAAAAGTTTCAATATAAAAGTTTATATATACTAATACTGAAATCCAGCATTAATATTTTAAAAAATGCATGATTTTCAAGTTTTCGATATGTCAAAATTTGCATGGAATTTGATAAATATTTACATTGACGTTTACAAAGTTGTATTAATTTTTCACTAGTTTCCAATTGCTGAATTAATGCCGTTGTATTATCTGAATCAAACTAAATAAAACTTTTCGAATATCATAATTAATATGGATTCACATAAGTAAAACTGAATCAAAAATAATATTAGCTAATATAAAGTTACAACGGCGAATAAAAATAAAAATTTTAGATTAGAGTTGTAATAAAAATATTTCTAAAAAAGAAATAAGAATGCCAATAACAAAGAATCGAATTTATATGCAACAAATGTAGAAGTTTAAAAATAAAATTAAAATATGTTTATACATATGCTTGGTGTTTTTATCATAAAATAAAAATTTGATGTCCATCGATTGATGTTAATTTTATTATATTTAATAGAATACACTAATATATTATTCTATTAAAAATTTTGTTATTCGTATTTAGTGTACATTATATAATTATATTTGTATAATAAATAGATATTTATAATGATAAATATAGACATATTTATGTAAGAATAATAATTATTTTTCCACTTAGGCCTTCTAAATCGCTCTTGCCGCTTCACACAAGCAGAACTTTACTTTGTATGTTACTACTGTCAACTCTGTTATTGGAACTATGCGAATCCATATTAACATCGATCTCACTGTCGTCAATTTTGGCGACGATCGCCGTAATATTCTGTTGGATATTACATCGCGAAACCGAGATGAGGGATGGTTTTGGTACAGCCGTGTCGGGAGGTGGATTTACGATAATTGGTCTCTCGCGAGTATGGAGGCTTTTACACTTATGCAGGTATAACACCGATAATTATATCAAATATAAAGATAAAATATACGTCCCCTACAATTAATATGCAATCTGATCAACATTCTCATTGTCAATATAAGTCCTTTTTTGGTAAACTATTACTATTTATTAAATTAAAAATAAAATGTTAATTTTATTATTATTTATGAAAATTTTCTTAGATTATTGTGAATATTATTATTAATTCACTCTTAATAATTTTAATTTTAATTTATTCTAATTTATTCTAATTAATTCTAATTTTTATCTTATCCGTTGTTTTACGTTTATGGAGATACTTCAGAAATGATATAGAACAAAATATTTTAGATTCGGTCTGTCCATGCAACACGTTCGTGTTGCAACAACGGGGATTACCGCTGTTTGTTGTGGATTGCTCGCTATTATCGATTCTTATACCCTTTATCATATGGTGAGTAATAATTTAATTATTCAGTCGAAAAAAGAATCTAAAAATTGATGTCCGTAAAATTCTCTTATAATTTACTCAATATTGCTTAGATATGACTAGAAATAAAATTTGAATGTGTTTTGTGACTTTATAATTATAATATTTAATAATTTCAACTAATAATATAACATAAAATCCTTCTTTTCGTTACATTTCTTCTTCAAAATAATACTCGCTTTCCTTTCCATCCTTCCTATCTTTTTCAATGTGTGATTCATTTTCGACGTGTTAAAGTTCAAACCTGATCGCGTAAGATGACATCGAGCATTCACAAGTGCAACTTAAGCTGACAGTTAGCACAAGGAAGTTATGTTCTTATCGACAGCCTAGTTGCTGCGGCAACTAGTGTAAATGTTTGTTTTACATTTAGCAAGTTTGTTTGAACAATAATTATTATCATGCATCGTTGAGACATGCTTATCGAACGTTAATACGATGCTTTTTGTTCGAACGTTATATGCTGGCACGTCCGCAAAAATACATAAGATAAACTTCGAACGAAGATTTTGCTTACCATAAAGTCGTACAGAAGAAAATACTCCGATTAAAAAGAAACAAGAGATATATGCATGATCAAACTTATATGTATATATAAGTTTTTCTCCCTATTGTATATCTTTTCCCACTCGTTAATATATCTATCAAAATGCATATCCTCGAGACTTATAGTCGAAGTATACAGATGTATTAAAAGCCTTCCCACCGTTTACGTTTACGACTTCCTCGAGTCGATAAAAGCAAACAGCCAGTGGCGGTTTTACTACTCAAATTTTCCTCTCGACGCAAAACCAAATGTATAAACATCGCGTCGCTCGACACTTCAAGTTTTCTCACCGTGTGTGAATACATCCGCAAGGATATTTCGGTTTCGTTTGTCAGATGCAGAAGAGCAGGCGGTACACCGTTAAAAGGCTCGATAACGCACGGGGTTCCTATGTGCACTCCACCTCGCCGTTCCTCAGCAGAATCACCTTCCACTGGGTGACTGACCTGCTGTCACGCGGTTATTACGCATCACTCGAACTCCACGACCTTGGACAACTTCCGAACGAGGAGACAGCGAGAAACCAGTTTGAACGTTTCCGCGATGTTTACGAAACCGAAAGGGTAACGATTCTTATTTTTCCAAACCAAATTTCGAAAAAGATGATCCATTTTTTGCTCAACATGTTTCACAGATGGAACATTTAATTATGTCATTACCAAAATTTAAAAATTAGTCAAATTATTTTTTACACAATTTATTTTTGCAATCTACGCGTATCTATTTATACAAATTATATTATTAAATTTCTAGCTACGAAGTGGTGGACGGAAAGTGTCATTGTGGAAATGTTTCTGGAAACGGATATGGTTGGCTTTCGCGGCGGGTGGTGTCCTAAAATTGTTAGGCGATGCTACGACTTTGGTAGGTCCTATGGCAATTTCCAAAATTATCGATTATGCCTCGGATCTTCAAAACAGCACCATGCTGAACGAAAATTTCTCTTGGAAGGTATCGTCACGTCTCTCAATTATTTTATTTATATTTTAATATATCATCTAAAAAACGGACTTTATTCAGGGAGCCATGACATTTTCCGAAATTTTAAAAAATGGATATTTTTTGGGGATCTTGGTTTTTCTTGCAACCATTTTGCAAAGTACAATAAGTCAAGCTTCTACTCATGTGCTTTGCATTGAAGGAATACGTTTACGAACAGCTCTTCAGGTAGTTTAATTATTACGTTATAGAGAGTATTCACGATAATTGAAAATAAATACAAAGCATTTAATTTCGAATTAGAATTTAGAGTTAAGTTTTTCTTTACTATTTTTTATTCATTTGGTTTTGAGGGAAAAAGTTTAAATAAAGAAAACTTATTAAAATTTCGTTGTTCAGGCATTAATTTACGATAAGGCTCTTCGATTGTCCTCTTGGAGTATTTCTGAGGATGAAAAGCCATCCGACAAAGAAAAGGATCAACACTGCCATCAACAAGCAATTGACATTGGAACTTTAACAAATCTCATGTCCGAAGACGCTTATAACGTAATGAGTTTCTTCTGGATCGGTCATTATATCTGGGCCATTCCGTTAAAAGTAAAGATATTTACAGACAAATTATTATGCACTATGTGCACTTCATGTAATAGTTTAAAAAAATTATATCACATATCATTTGTATTTTAGAACTTTTATTTAATTTATATAGATTGCAGCTATCATCTTCCTCTTGTATTTAAAATTGGGTGTCAGTGCAATTATGGGAGCAATTTGCTGCATATTGATCGTCACACCGATGCAACTCCTTCTGGGAAAACAAATGTCCGAAAATTCCAAGTCCATAGCAGTAAGAACAAGATTGCTACATTTTTTAAAATTTTTACATTATTTTTTAATTTCTCAATTCTATCTTGCGAGTCTCTTTTCAAATTTTTCATTTTTTTATTAGGATAAATTTAATAATATATTATCAACTTTTTTAAATAATATATTATCAATCACACTATGTATTATTTTATTTTAAACTAACTACCTAATAATTATAAAATATTCTCAGGAAAAAAGTGATGCACGACTACGTCTAGTTAATGAAATTCTGCAAGGAATGAGACTCATTAAGCTACGCGCCTGGGAAAACGTTTTCGAAGATCGCATACGCAGAACCCGGAATCAGGAATTAAAACTGCTGAACAAGGACTCTGTGTACTGGGCACTCATCAGTAATTTTTCTTTACATTAAACTATTTATTATAAAATGCAAAAAAATGCAGACGATTGCATGTCTATACAATTTTTTTATAATTTAATACAGCTATAATAGCTATTATATAATTTTTATAAGTCTTGCTAATTCAGTTTTTTTTCTTTGGTAAAATTTAATTTAATTAAAAAAAATTGAATAAATTGATGTTAATATCGCAGACTTCCTCACGCACGCCTCTTCCGTTCTGATGACTCTCTTCACATTCGGAATTTATTTCTGGTTAGAGGAACGAAATCTTGATGCGGGAAACGTTTTTGCCAGTCTCGCGCTCTTTTCGCAGCTGACCGTGCCGCTCTTCATCTTTCCGGCGATAGTGCCGATTATCATCAACGCTTTGGTAAGGAAATAACGCGTTCCTGAGATATCTACTTCTTAAATTCAGTCTCTGCGAGACATTCTTCACGATATCTCTTTGCAGACGTCTACAACGAGATTAGAGGAATTTCTTTTGCTACCAGAGATCATAAATATTCTCCCCGAAGCAAACGATCGAAAACTGGTTGCAGATACATTGTCAATGACAAATTCATACACCGATAATGACGTAAAAGTACTTGTTTGATTAAAAAAAATCTAAGAATATATTTAACTAAAACTGTCCAAGTGCAATTAAATCTTGATAAAGCGCAATACTTTATAATTCAATTCGCGTTATTTTCTTCAAGGTCGAAGTTATTAACAGTGTGACAACTTTCGGATCGCTCGATAATATAGTAGAGGACGAGGAACATCAACGAGAGAATACTTTGCGCGAGTTTAGTTTGGCAATTGACTCCTCGGTTGATACGGTGTTTGAAAAAGACCCGGAAGTTCCGGAATCTGTCCTCAGAATTAGATCGAGTACTTTCGCTTGGGGACCTGATGAAAATACTTTGATGATTAATGCCCTTAATTTTCCGCGAGGTGAATAAAATTGTTAAAAAATCTATTGTATAATGAAGTATTCAATCGCTCAATTTTTTTATTCGCGTTATTTTAGGACAGCTGACTTTAATAGTAGGAAAGACCGGAAGTGGGAAGACTTCTTTATTGTTGGCGCTCTTAGGAGAGATTCAAAGAATCAACGGGAGCATTGAATGGACCAAGTAATGTCAAAGAAAAAACAAGAAATAATGATGATAATTTGTTTGTTGGTGATTTTTGAGCTAAAAATGTCGTCTTATCAGGGGTCTAAAGATCGCGTACGTGGCGCAACGACCTTGGCTCCAAAACGCGACCTTGAGGGACAATATTCTTTTCGGTTCAGCCTATCGGTCACGAAGATATCGCAATGTTTTGCGCGCGTGCGCACTTCAACCGGACGTAGATATACTTCCCGGTCGGGACTTAACCAGAATTGGTGAACGGGGTATCAATTTGAGCGGTGGGCAAAAACAGAGGGTCACTATAGCTCGAGCATTTTACAGCGACGCTGATGTCATCCTTCTGGTCCGTCTAACGTTAATGTATTCATTTTTTGTGCAAAAATTTATACGCAAAATTTTTCTACTGAAAATTATTTTCAGGATGATCCATTGTCAGCGTTAGATCAACACGTTGGTCGACAGATCTTTGATCATGGCATGAGAAAACTTATGTTGAGAAGCGGTCGAACTGTCATTATGGTCACTCACAGATTAGACTTGTTACTCGCTGCTCATCAGGTTTTATGATTTCATTAACAATGAAAAATAAATTTTATATAATTTTTTTTAATTTAACATATTATATTATACATAAATAAAAAATATACTTTTATTTTGACTTTTATCTGTATACATAAAAATGTACTTTTATTATGTGTAATTATTTCTATTTAAAAAAATATTTTTCAAAAATAACAGCAAGTTATAAACATTTATTTGAAGATAATTGTCATGGATAGCTGTCGAGTCCGTGCTGTCGGAACAAAATCCAGTATCGAGGATATGGATCCTGAATTGGCGGCAGAGTGGCGAATCGCAGATTCAAGACGGGAAAATGAAAATCGTTTTCAAAAAACTGCCAAGGATAGATGGTCCTTGATTAGATTAGTCTCTAGGATTGGAATTGGTATAATAAAAAGACACACCAGCGACGGATCGTGGATCATCGATCGCGATGCCCATGTGGTAAATAAAAAAAATAGCAGAAATAGATATCTATAATCAGAGATTTACGAAGATAATATTATCGCGACGATAACGTTATTTTGTTATTGAACTTCTCTTTTCCGCTCTTTCAGAATCCACCAGCATTTATACCTTTAAGACTGCGTCGGACAACTTTATCTGGATCAAGATACCTAAGTCATGATCTCACGGATCTTCCGGTACCAACGGAAGAATGGAACACCGCTAGAAAACGATCGAAGACACATCGCGACAGTGTCAGATCGATGAGTTTTCAAACGCATAATCGACGACCACCGGTTCTTCGACAAAGCAGTACACCGATGATTCTCGAGAATCGAGAACACATGACTTCAAGGTTATTTTTTACGATTTTAAACTCTAAGAAGAAATCTGATCAACCATGTCACGAATCCTTTGATGAAATTAATTTTTCTTTGCCAAAAATCTGCAGCAAATTTTCAATTCTTTATGTTAAATTACTTCTTTGGGCAATTATATAAGTAAGAAAAATTGGAGGGTATAAAATAATATATGATTATTCTTTACGTATTAAACAGCTTCATTTTTTGCAGGAAAAGAAACAATACTTATGACAATGGACAACCCAACAGTATGCTAAAACAATTCTTCTCTACAAGGTTTTTATTTCTTTTTTACGTAGAGAATAACAATTTGATATGAAAAAGTGAGAGATGGACAAGTAAAAAAATAATGATTCAAATTTTAGATATCCGGAAGAAATGACGATAAACAGAGATAAAAGTGTCCTGCGTCGACTGATACTAAATTCCAACAAGTAATTACAGCAAGAAAAAGCAATAAAAAATTATAAATAAATAATTAAAAATCAAGTATTTTTTCACTTTTTCAGGATAAGCCAACAACAGGAACGCGATCACTTTCCGGTAAAACGATTGCTATCGATAGAATCGCGAGCCAGTGACGATGTGGATGACATGGAAGAAAGTTAGTTATAAAAAATAATTATATATATAATTTTATTCTTTGAATCTCTCTATTTTTATACGCGATCCCTCTTATATATTTTTTCTTTTTTTTAATATCTATAATATTTAAAAATTTTTTAGCTCTGGATGGTGAAAATGCAAATGAACAAAATGAATTTGAAATTGATGATAAAAGTGGAATGGTAACTCGAATGACTTGGATGGAATATCCAAAGTCTGGTGGATGGATGCCAGGAATCATTTATATTTTAGCAGCATTAGCCTATCAAATTCTTCGCGTATATACCGATCTCTGGTTGAGTCGATGGACGGATCAAAGTGTTCATTCGTCGGCGAATGAACGTCAGAATGTAAATAGATATTTGCGACATTGACATTGATTAATACACAAGCGATAAAAGTATCGCTTTATTTACGTGCCCCCAAATTGATAAAAAATTTTTAACCAAATCTGAATCAAAATATACGTATATCAATAATCAATTAATTTATATATTAATAACTATATACTATTATTAAAAATTAATAATAATTGTTATTGAAAAAAAATATTGGCACGTCAATTCTTGAAAATGAAAAATCATGTTTACGATGAAATAAGAAATAACGATGAGATATACATAGATTCGTATTTTCTTTTAATCGAGCAATTTTAAATGTCTGTCTTTTTTTTCAGACGGTGTTCTATTTCAAGGTGTACATCATCATATCCGTGGGCTCTATCCTTTTATCATTTTTGTACAATGTGGCAGGTCAGTGGGCAGGTGCCAGAGCTAGATGCAAATTACACCGAGAAGCCATCGCTGGACTTTTCGGTGCACCTATCTCATTTTTCGATTGTAATCCAATCGGAAAGATTCTGAACAGATTTAGTGCTGATATGGGTGTCATAGACAAGGTTAATATAGAAAATAATGTTTAAAGTAATAATTGACAAATGTCAAATTATTGTAATTATGTGCAAATTTTTTAACTTCTCTCTTAATTTTTTTTAGAAAATGTCATCGATCAAAAGATTGACATTTGATTAATATTCTTAATATACAAAATAATGTTTAAAATAATAACTGACAAATGTCAAATTATTGTAATTATGTGCAAATTTTTAACTTCTCTCTTAATATTTTTTTTTTTTTTTAGAAAATGTCTACATCAATCAAGAGATTGACATTTTTCGTATTACTTTGTGGCTCGGCGATGATCGTCAATGTGATTATTTCACCATGGTTCTTGATCGCCGCTGTACCAACCAGCTGTGCTTATTACGTGTTACAAAGATTTTACAGGCGGAGCGCGAGACAATTGCAACGACTAGACGGAAGGTATTATTATTAATAATAATTATTGCGATCTCTCGTATAATTTTTTACAAAATTCATAAATTTCACAAAAAATATTAATTTTTTTAAATTCTCATCTTTTCATTTTTTTTATTTAAAAACTAGAAGTCTACTGCACAAGTATTCTATATGACAAATTCATAACTAACAATTAAATAATAATAACTGTCCAAGTGAAAGTTAGTGAGAATGAAATGGCACGCGTCTCTATAAATATTTCATAGGTCTCCTCTTTCTAATTCAAAGATAGTCATTAAGTTTCTTTCGCATCTTTCGCTTCCTACATGCGGGAATGCATAAATAATTATACGTATGGCTTACAAGCACGAGGGGACCAGTAGCAGCGCATTTCTCAGAAACTTTGTCCGGGCTTCCGACACTGAGGGCATTCAAGCAAGAAAGTCGTTTCATGGAGGAAACAATGAGACGCCTCGACATAAACACCAATGCGTTTCTCATTTTAAACACTAGTAGCAGATGGCTCGGCATTGCATTGGTAAAAATAATAAATATATTAAATATTAAAAAAAAATTAGATTCAAAACCGATTCACCGTTCTCCACAAATTTTATAATCAACAAAATTTGTTCAAAAATATATATTAATATATATATATATATATATATTAATATAATCTTTTTAATATAAATAATTATATATATTTTTTTATATGAATCATATCGCCTTTTCATGGTTTGATAAATAATTTCAGGATTATTTAGGTGCTGTTATTGTGGTAACAGCTATTTTTACGGCCTTACTTTCTGCGGAATTATATCCAAGCCGCGTAACACCCGCTCTAGTGGGTCTAGCAATCAATTATACTCTCTTAGTACCGATATACTTGAATTGGGTGGTCAAATTTACTGCAGAGATTGAAATGTATATGGGAAGTGTGGTCCGAATTTCCGCATATAAAAACGCGCAACCGGAGAACTATCGTGAAAATGGTAATTATTTTTAACTTGAAATCTCATCATTAATTTATAAGAACGTAAAAAAGGTTTACGTTACTGTTATTAAATTTTTATTTCCTATCGAATTTAGTTTCAAAGTAAATCAAGTTTGATTAAATAATCCAAACTTGCACCAGGTTATATTTTATCGATATTAATGAATAATCAATGAATATCAATAAACTTATCATTCATCTATTACATTGTTATATAATTTTTAACGAAGTAAATCAGATCGAATAAAGAAATAACTTGGTTCCAACGCGAGTAATAACTGACTCATCGACTTACATCCGCAAATACGACGATAACTTTTTTTGTTATCAGAATGATACAGTGTATTTTAATTTAAGTATTGATCATATCATTTGCAATTTGCAATTAATCAACTTCTAATCAATGAATTATCAAAACATGACATATACCAAGTCTCCTATATATTGATGATATAAAAATATTTTTCAAGGATCTATATCCTTCCTATATATTCTATTTCGTTATTTCTTACTTTCTTTATTATATATATATATATATTATTAATTATATATATAGTTATATCTTTTGGATTTTTAGATTTACGAGTAGCCGATGATTGGCCCAACAAAGGGGAAATTATTTTCGAGAATGTCTCTCTGCGTTACGATATAGACACAAATCCGGTAATCATAGATTTATTTTTGAAAATTCCAGCCGGACAAAAGGTAATTGAATTTATAATTAGTAAAATAATACATTTTATTAAAAGTGAACAATAATTATATATTAAATAATAATAGTATAAAAATAATAATAAATAAGATAAATTAAATAAAGGTTAAATTAACATTTTATAATTTTAATATGTAAGAAAATAAAGATATAACTATATAGACATACATGCAACTTAATATTTATAGTTGGGCATTTGTGGGAGAACTGGTAGCGGAAAATCATCTACCGTGATGGCTCTCTTCCAGTTAATCGAAATCAGTCAAGGACGCATTTTATTGGACGGGATTGACATTCGACAAGTGCCTCTTCGAATATTGCGATCGCGGTTATCGGCCATACCGCAAGACGCAATCATGTTTAGCGGTACAATTAGGTCTGTATAAACAATGCGATCTCGCAAATCTCTTGTTATTAAGTACATCTAGAGTCTTTAATATATGATTCAACATACACTTTGCAAAAATTATAAGTTTGATGAATTATGTCTCGTAGAGAAAATTTAGATCCACTTTCGGAACATGAAGATCAAGAAATTTGGAATGCCTTGGAACTCTCTCAAGTCAAAGATATCGTAGCTTCACACCCGGAAGGACTGAGTATGTGTAATAAATTTATATAACAAAATAATATAATAAAATATTTATAAAATATTTAAAATATTTTTAAAATAATATGTTAAGTGTGCATGTAATAGAATCTAATTTTGATATAGATCTCGAGGTACGAGAAGGCGGTGAAAATTTTTCAGCCGGTCAATTACAACTACTTTGCATGGCACGTACAATTCTTCAACGATCAAGTATCATTGTTCTCGACGAAGCGACCAGTGCACTCGATGTAACCACTGAGAAATCGCTTCTAAAAGCGGCTGCTGTCGCCTTCGAGAATAAAACTGTGATCACTATTGCGGTTAGTAGATATTTTAATAAATTAAATATGTATTTTATCAAGTAAAAACAATTTTTGTAAATTATTAATTTTGTCAACTTTAATTATTTTTCACTATTAAACTAGTCAATATAATATATTAATTTTAATTTCAATATATTATTTTATGAATCTGAAGATAATGAATAATTGCATGTCAATAAAATTGAAAAAAATGATATTATTTTTATTTGTATAATAAACAGAAAACAAGAACAGCTAAAAATAAAATTATGAAAAAATACAAAATAAGAGAAAACTATAAATTGTAAAAACAAGAGAAGCATTTTCTAATATTTTTTAGAATTCTTACTTTGAATTAAATTTTATTCTAATGAGATTATATAAAATTTTAATGAAATTAATATTTTTACAGCATCGAGCGGCGACTTTGTTAGATTGTGATCGTGTTATTGTTCTTGACGAAGGCAAAATCATTGAAGACGGTTCACCAGCAGATTTAATGCAACGACAAAACGGAATCTTTTCCGCAATGATCAAAACGGTTAACCAAAGTGGCGAACAACGATAATTATAAAAAAAACCACGTGTCAATTTTGACTTCACTGATCATATTGATTAGGATGACAATTTAAAAAGACTGCTTTAGAAAGATAATTTCTTCTACTACAATACATTATAAGAATAATATAGCTTTATTTTTATACTAATCGAATATGTATGACTATAATTTCCTATTTTTAAACAATATTTTATTTTTGTATTGTGAATTTCTATTTAAGATATTTTACGATTCTTTGTAAATATAAAAAGTAGACCGTGAAATATTATGTGTATAATGTGAATTAAAATAATGTGTGCAAAAAAATTGTGACTATAATATAAAAATTGGATAACATTGAAATTTTGTTTTAGACAATTAGTGAAATGAATTCTCTATCAATCTCCAAATCGTCTTTAACAATATACATTTTTATGTAGATATTTTTATTAATATTTTATAAAAGTTAAATTTATATATAAACTTTTTAATTTATAATATATTTTGTAGAAAAATTAAATTTATATAAATTTAACTTTTTAAAAATATATTAAAAATGCACCCGCGCATACTTTTAAATAATTACAAATTAAAACGTAAAGAAGGAACAAGGATATATACTATATAATCTAGTGCAAGGTGATCGAAAATCACACTCCAACATACTTGAACACCCAGTATCGCACGGACATATATAAGTGCCAAACGATAATAATTACCAATACCCCCACATTACCAATCGTATCTACCATCGTGGACAACGTGAACGTATTTTTCTGTTAGTGGCACCGAGGCCAGCCTGCCGATAGCACCGGAGTTGTTTCGCCTATCAGCACTTTTCAGTTCAGATCGGCGAATCAGCGGCGATGCTGATAAACCTGACACGCGTGGAATTATATATCAAGAAAAGGTATTAAGTAAACGTTCTATTGACACAACTGTCGCATGGATCATCGCGCGAGGAAGTTGATTTCACCGACGCAGAGGCGACTAATAAATTAGTTTAGACAGGCAGTTATTAACACTCGCAGTCCGAACTTTTTCTATTGCGTTGAACCGATTTGTAGTAAAAGAAAAATGATGAAAAATAATTCTTACAACGATACAGCCAAGATAATTGTTGCTGAACATTCAATCTAATGATGAATTTGAACTGTCGATGACCAAAGTCTACGTGACGTGATCGAACTGTCAAATAAGGTTTCAGTGATTTTGTAAAATTTCTCAACTAATTAATGACAAAACTTTTATCGTGTGATTAGGAGCAGAGGTGACAAAAATGTAATTGTGAAAGTGTTTTTGGGGGAAGTTACATGTGAGTGGAATATTTTGACACTTTATCGTACATCGACGTATGATCCGAAAGATAAATTAGTGCCGCAACGAACTATCGTAAAATTCAAGAGGCAAGTATTTCCGATTAAATTAATTCTCTATACACGCCTATATCAGCAAATTCTTGCCACGTGTCAGATTAGCAATTTTTAAAAACGCGAGAATGCAAGTGGCTTTTGTTCTTAGTCAATATATCATTATATCTTTCAACGACGTTATATCTTTTTAGTGCTTCATGACATGTAGAGTCATATCAGAATCATAAAATTTTTGCACTTTAAGAGCTTTGTTAATAATATTTATTTTCTCTCTGATAGTGGACATGTCACATGTCAGACTTAAAAGACACAACCTAAGATTAAATATATTAAAATTTACTAAATTGTGATATTTTACAAATTGCTTAGATTATGTATAAAGTAAATGTAAGATTTTAAAATATATATGTAAATATATGCATTTTTAAATATATACGTAAGAATTGCATATAATAATCTTCCTCTTATCGTAATTTATTACTTAACACAAGAATAATCAATTTTAAATTTGCAAAGGCAGCAAAATTTAAATCAATATTAGGTACTGATATTATCAAAAAGAGATAACGCAATATTTATGAAAATTGCTTTAACTATTATAGCTATTGTACTATATATAGTTATTTAGACATAAAATAATTGTATTTTTTGCAACATTTATATATAGCATACATTTAAATTTAAATAATTATTTGCTTCAATTATCGGATAATGTTAATAATGATGTTAATACAAAGTGGATAAAATAAAAAAGCACTCACTTAGTGAATTAAAGCACATAAATAAATAACAGAGTACCGTAGTCATATTTAAATAAATTATAATAACAGTAATCGGAAGATTTTTACAAATAGATCATATTTGTTGTGGCAAGAAAAATATTAAAGCACCAGAATCAGTGGAACTACTCAGAAACGCTTATCATGGTTGTTAAAAAAAACTAAGGTGCAACCAATGAACATGATAAAAGCAACAGATCCATGATAAAAGGCCATTATTTCGCAGATAAGAATGTAGAAAATGTAAAGGCAGACAGAGTCATCGATTGGTTCAGAGCTAACAAATTAATAGAGTCTTCTTTTATCAAATTTTTTAATATTAAATATATTTATCGATAAAAATAAATTATTAAAGCAATTAATTCTTTAAAACATTTCAGGAAACGAATGACTTTCAAATTTCCACGAATCTTGGCAACAATACGATAAACGATAACAATATCTTCAAATATGTTGTACGTGATGCAATAATTGATAAACATATATATTTGAGCATTTATATTTTAGTAATATTATTGTCGAAATGTCATTTATATATAGTTACCGACACGCTTAGTTAATGATAATTCAAAGCCTTGTTTGAAACAGGCTTCGAATTATCTTTAAGTTATAATGTCACTAAAATATATGGAAAATTTTAAACACGTGTACAACTTTAGTTTACTAATGTGATCCTATTCTAACTGGAAATATTGCTGAATCAGTGCGATGACTCAGTCAACACAGACAAAATAATATTTTGTATCCAAACTTTTTTTAAAATTTGTGTACATAACTAATGGTACTCATTAATCAATATGAGAGGATACTATCTACGAGTATTTATTTCTATTAATGTAAAAGAGAGTATAGGTATACATAAAATTGCCGCTTTAACTTTTGCTTGCATAATAGTAATGTCATTATATTTCAAACTATTATATAGATCAAATTACTTCCAATTTGTGTGTATGTGTGTATACAAGACATTTTATTCAATAAGATATCATTCATAAGAAAAATATATAGTAAATACAATATTTATTTTCTTCGAGTCTAAATTGACTTTTTGTTCGAGCAATTAAACTCAGTAATTTTCACGATAAATTTTCTTGTAAAATTTTTCTCATAAATGATATTTCTCTGTTTATTTTGGAAAAACAAATTAATTATAAATCGGAATATTTTCAATATTATTTTTAGTTCACCTTGAGCAAGCGACTAGACTAAGCGAGTAGTAATATTGCTGCCTGGTAGGAAAAATAGAATATTTTTCCTTGAGAATTACAGACGAAGTATGTGCGAACGCTCGAGACAAAGAGTACCAAGGTGGCCTTATTAATGGAAAGAGAATAGACTCATTAGATAAGATGCTCGCACGCCGCATACATATATATACCTGCTTGTTGACACTGCTTGTCGCCATTCTGTGTTATCGGCTAGATAAGATTTCTGCATCTTTGTCGAACTTGAGGCATCAGTCGAATGCGCGAATTCGTACGGTGCAGCTCCGTCGTCGCATAGTTGCGAATCAAAATCTGTATTTCATCATTCCGAGATTGCGCGAACGGAAAGTGTATCATTTCCTTTGATATCTTTTCTTCGGTATCTGTTCTTTGAAGACGTAGTCTTTCAATCATTTTCAATTCATCTCGAAACATCTCGGGCGTCAACCTGAAGGGTGAGTTTCGAAAATGTCTTTTTCGTCAGGTTCGCTTTATCCAGAGAAAGCCAGAATTTGAATTTTCGCACGCATACTTTTATCCGCACGATCAATTATCTAATCAATCCACGGAAACGGCAATTCGTGTTTCTGACAGATTGATTGAGACTGATAAATTTCAAGATCGACTTGCATTCCGGCGCTGATAATTGAAAGAAGGCAGGCAAGTGATAAGATTTCCGTCATTTCATCAATATCATTTCCACGACGAGATCATAAATATCGGATTGTTAAGTAATCTCATTGTGCAATCTTGCAGAATAATCAAGATATCTTTACAATAAAAATAATAAATTATATTTCATATTTTCTCTTATTTTTTTTTGTATTTTTTATATTTATAATCTTTAATTTTTGTTAGAAAATTTATCGGCATTACTAATTAGATTTTTATTTACAAATCTTAATCTCGCACTCTATTATTTTACTTTTTACATATAATTAATTAGTTTTGTATGTCAAAAATTATTATACGATGAGAAGACAAAAGTCTATTTCTCCCGAAATAAATACTGAAATAGTAATTATAGTTATACTTTTATCTTTCATATATCGTTCTGCTTACTTTTCTGTTTATTCTCAAGTAGAAAATAATTCAGATGTGAGCGATGAGCAATGAATTGGAAATAATTATGAAAAAAAGTCACGAAAAAAGCCATTTTTCGAAGAAAACAAAACTGCGTAATTTGCACGTGTCACCTTAAAAAAATATAATTACAACCGTATATGCATTGGTGAAGTTAATTAACCTCGGCAATGCTTGTCGCGACAGTTGATTAAACGCGTCTGTAATAAAAAGCCTATATAATTGATAAAACAATGTTGCCTTAATTGTTCGCAACTTAAAATATATACACAGACTTCTTTCCGCAAATACATATATTGATAAAACATAAGGCTGCATTTAATACGTGCGTTAATTGTTTGCTATCTTCATATTATATATATAATCCGTATTATGTTCGTATTGCGTTATAAAATGTTTGCGAAACGTAAAAATAAACGTATAATGTAAAATGACGAAATCTGAAAGAGGAGACTCCAAAATTACGTACGCATTTCGAGAAAGAGTTTTTACATAATTATCCTAACATATGTAAAACAGTAAAGAATATAAATAAGACATTTACATTTTAAAGATTTTGGTTTCTTAATTTGAATTCAGACTATATTCATATATGCACTTGATTCCTAACATACAAGAGTTTGGAAATTTGCAAACAAAATTTAATCTTTAACACAATAGAATAAAATTAATTAATAATAAATAATTTAGCAATTAATAAGCAATTTAAATGATGATTATATAATCAATATACAAATAATCCATTATAAAAAAAAATCTGAATTAAATTTTTAACTAAAATGAATTACTAGACCAAAGTTTTTCATTAAAAATTGAGTGCAATCGAGAAAAAAAAACACTTTCAAGATATCCTGTAAATCTTCTCAGAATGATGAAAATCCGAATAATCATTGTTCGCAATAAACAACACGTTCGAACGTTTAAAGTTTAAAGAGACATCATTTCCGATGACAAACATTTTAAAGTTCAGTCTGTAAAAATCACTACCGCTTATTCTCGTTACGGCATAGATTTTTCGCAACCGCGACAACCGCGCTTTTAAACATCATCCGTGTATTTTCCATCTGAAAAGTGACACCAAGCACTCATTGTGTAACAGATTACAATTAAATTATATTTATTCTCGACGCTTCCGCAACTTGCACGACCTCGGAATTTTTACAAAAACAAGTAAAAAAAACCGAAGCGACGGAATTGTCGCATTATACTCGAACGCATAGTTACATCGTTTCGTACGTCAAAGCGCGAACTACAATTATCTCTGAAATTTTAATTTCAAACCGTTAACGAAGCACGATCGTCATTTCAGAAAAACAGAAAATATCATTTCTCATTAAGTACAATCGCGTATAATTGATATCGACTATCGTTTTCGTTCTCATTCTTGCATTTTTTATCTAAAGATAATAAAAAGGAATTTTGCACATAAGACAAAAATAGAAAAGATATAAAAGATTTATTATATATTGAAAATTGCGATAAAACGCAAGTAAGAAATGAATAACAAATTATGCAAGCAATGAATAAATGCGAATAACGATAAATAATTAAGTAAAAATAAAGAATATATCTGAATTACAATTGATCATTAAACTACAATTTTCATATAAAGAGAAAAGCGTCAATTATAAAATTATTCTACGTCCAAAAAATTATATCATATATTTAAATTAACGCGCAATTAATTTTATAGAAAAAATTCCTAAACAATCATCATTTAGATTGATTACTCAATTATTTATGTGTAAATATAAATATAATTGTATACATTTGTGCTACAAATATGTCAATAAATTTTACAGTGGCGCGCTTTAATATTTCTTATCGCATGTATATAACTCTCTCTTTTCCGAAGTAGTTTTTAATTATAAGAGCTGAAACGCTTTCTTATTTTTCTTTAGGTTACGCAAAAAAATCATTTAATTATATATAATATACGACAGGAAATGCGAGACTTTCTTATCTCATTTTTGATGCAAGACATGCAATTTGTTCACGCGAATAATAAACAATGATAATAAATCGCTTCGTTAATTATGATTATATAACTTTTACTGCTCGGTGCGCAGCAAAATCTCACCCGGCTTAAATTCAATTATTCGACAGTGATGTAATAGCGAATTGTTTCTGATATAATTTTATTGTTGCACGTTCTCATTAAAGCAGAAAAATACGATAATGATTTTTTTTTAATTTTCTTGTAGAGCAACACTTATTAATTAATTAATAACCCGTGAAGTTTACCGTGTATGTCGCGACGGATGCATACTTGGCGGTCGAGCTATAATTAAGGTTTAGGCAATTGTTTATCCGTTTATGTTTAATCAAATATTGTTATCATGATCCCGATATAGTGTATTGCTCGACCTTGTGTCTCACAACGAGATCATGCATCATTAAAATGTACGACGCGACGCTTCGTTCGAGAATTGTTTAAGAATTGTTCTCTCATAATTATATTTGCAATTTGTTAAAAAATGTTAATAATACTTGAATAATGTTTTTTTATAAATATTCTCTTTTCATATTACAAAAAGAACTGCCTTGAAATCTTATACAAATATACACTAAGCGCAGCAATCTGTAGCACAATTGTACAAAGTATTTGATAGTTAATAAATTCTTTTTGTATATTTCTTACAAATAATAGATTTTTAAATTAATAATTTTTAAACATAAATTTTAAAAACTTTATAAATTGAGAAAACAGAGGTAACGTTTTCTTAATTAATTTTATATCAAATATATTTTTTATTTCTAATTTTTTAATTGTAGAAAGATAGTATTTTATTCAATATATATATTGATAAGAGAGAAGAATGAGTCACTGCGCAATTCTCTAGTGCGAAATAATACTAACAATATAAATAGGACTCTTAAAACCTCGTTAATAAATGAACGCTTCTAAAAAATATCACCTCGAGATTCTTATATTGTTTGCATATTGGTGATAAACAAAGCGATGCTCGCCAAATAAAATATACTCGAGAGAAGATTAGAAGTGAATAGATAGAGTATCACGCGTACCTTGCAAAAGATTGCAATAAAACCGAATAAATCTTCGAATCGCGACAAAATCAACAGCAACATCACGACGTGACGCGTGGCCTGGATTATTCTGAAGATATTTCACAAGATAAGCGCGTACCTTGTCACAGATCTTTTCTGAAACAGCGCTACTGAACAGAATAACAATTCGAGTTGTGAGTTTGTCTCTTATTATTGGTAAAGAATCATTATGTAAAAGCCGATACTTACAATTAGTAAAATCGAAAATATTCTTATAACGTGCATGACTATTCAAAATGATTTTACATATGTTTAGAATACACACATACACACATTAATTTTGTAAAAATTTTTTTAATGAATAAAACATTAAATTTTCTCTCAAAGTCTTAAAAAATCTTATTTATGTAATAAAGAAAATTTATTACTAAAAATTAACTTAATCCTTCCTCTCTTTCCAAGTACAGAGTATCTATTATAAATATTTAAGTTTTCATTTTATGTAATACATTATTATACATAAAATATTATATATTTATAAGTCACTATAAGATATTGAAAAATATCAAACATAATGCAAATTACAAATTTATAATTGCAAATATCATTTATGTATATTACATTATTTGTAGTAAATTTTGAAGTCCTTAGCATCTTTGTATAATGTCCTTTAGAAAAATTACTACAAATTGTTATAAACCGTAAAATGAAAACTTTAACAAGGAAAATAATCAAACTTGGTGAAGTCGAGAATATTCTCATCATGAGCATGTGCTAATGTATTATGACGTCAAGGTACAAAATATCACGTGCACCATATACGCATTAGCATAAGCATGTGACTGTAGTGTGGAATCGATTCTCGCATCGAGAACGAATAGTCGCATAAATAAGCCGTGTGTCACGAAAAATGGAATAGTCTGATGAATGTAACTCCATTCGAACGAGTCGAAGTATTCGACAAAGAAATAGAGTACTGATCATAAATAACTTCATTAATCAAAAATGTCCAGAGACATCAAAGGGTAAATTCTGTTAAGTACTATTATGAAAAAGAAAACGTGACGCGAATAAGTGAGTGGTAAAAATAATCCCCCTAGTATCCTTATGTATACTTTATGCACGCGATTATAATTAGTCCATCGAAACGTTACTTTAAGAGAGATACAAGACAATTGTTCACGAAATATTTTAATAAATAAAACTACGCGTAATATTTTAAATATTATATAAAATTAAATTAATTACTTTATAATTAATTTTTCTAATTAATTTATCTGACCTGTAGAAAAATGATTATTTTACGATAGGACTTTAATTTTAGATATAAATGAATGAAGAGAAATTTTTCTTCACCTCTAAATAATTAATTATTGAAAGAAATTACTTTTTATACTTAATACATATACGCTGACAATATAAAGACAATGTAAATACGCAATTACATTGATAAAGGAAAACATTAAAATATTCTTTAAATTTCCTCTTAGACGCGATGTAATTAATATCTGTACCGTAAATTTTTTTCTACACACTCTATTTCTTATTTCTATTTGTATAATATAAAATATACATTTCTCTTTCGAATAAAATAAATTCAGTTTTAATACTGTTTTATTTGTAAAATAAAATTTAAAAAATATCTCTTAAAATCTCTCCTTTTCAGGCGTCAAAAGAATTTGCTTTGGACATGCACTGGACGAAGATAACATGAGGTTTTCTTGCTTTCCGAGGGTTATCCTTGGACAGAGGGGTAGTATTAATTTTACCCCTCTGTCAAGTCACGAGGAATCTGATAGCTTAATAGGCGTTGTAAGTCTTATCTAATATGCAAGCAAATCACTAATCGTTAAAAAAGCGTAACTTTATAAAAATAAGAAAAAAATATGCAATACAAATTTATAAATTTACATCTTTTCAATATGGAAAAATTCAAATGTATCAATTTCTATATTGGATAAAACACGTTGTTATAAAGTTAAAATTATAGATAAAATCTACAAGTATATAACTAATTTTATGATATAAAATCTTTAACTGTAAAAATATTAATTGATTGATTACACATTTTTAAAATAATATTATTTAAAAACACAAAAATTTGCTTTACAATATTAGATGAAACAGTTCTTAAGGATTGCTTTGTACCATTTGAATTTCCAATAGATACGTCCAATAGATAGATTACCCCCGCCTCCTCTAGTTGTAAATGGCAATGGGCCACCGTCCACATCATCCACATCATCTACAAAGTGTACAGCACCACTACCGCCTCAGGCCAATTATGTTAATCTTTCCACGCATCAAGAATCTGAATTAGAAAATACGGCTGTCGTCAAAAATGACGAACAACACGTGAACAATCCGAGGGGTGGCATCATCGGAAGAACGCCGACGCCACCCTCGGCACCGACGCCTGTGTACGAAAAGGATGCCAGGTGATCACATAGAATGTGTTAATATAATAAAAAATAAAATAAATAACATCTATTAATTACAAAATAAATAGGAATTATTGTTCAGTTAAATTTTAATATAAGAATGCTATAATTAATAAAAAGTAGATTTATAATTAAAATAGTAATTTTTTGATTATTATATTGCGTAGTTACTCTAAAATATATATTTTTCAGTTAATTATCACTTCGATATTTTCAACAAAAGTAGGACGTAATTAATTGTTTCATTTATAGGAGTGCGAGACAAATTAAACAGGCTATTTTGGAGAATGAATTCCTGGGTAATCTTGAAGAGAATCAAGTTGAGGCACTTGTCTCCGCAATGTATCCCAAGCAAATTCCAGCTAATACTCAAGTCATCCGGGAAGGTGACATAGGTGTGTATATAATTGTATATTAACATTTATATATGTATTATCATATAATGATTGAAACAATATAATCATACTAATACCGTCTATAGTAGAAAGTTATATCCTATTTACATATGAATATATGTAATTATTTTATATGTATATTGTTTATTCGTATAGGTTCTCATTTATATGTATCCGCGGAAGGAGAGTTTGACATTTACGAAGGAAATAAATTTCAGAGAAGCTTCAAAGAAGGAGTTGCATTTGGAGAGATTGCTCTATTGTACAATACAAAAAGACTTCGATCTATCAGCGGTAAACAATAAAAAATGTGATCAGAGTCTAACAATTATAAAATAAAATTAGTAAAATAGTGAAAATAATTGTAATCCATAATTAAATGTTAAATACAAATATTTCTACATACATAGTAATGCTATTTTTGTGTGAATTACTATTGAATTTAATTTATCTAATTTTATGTTATTTCAGTAAAGAAAAGTGGAAAAGTATGGGTACTGGACAGATCAGTATTTCTCACTATAATGATGAGAACGGCTCAAGAACAACTGGACAGCAATATCCGTTTTCTCCAACGCGTTTCCGTTCTCCAAAAGCTTCCCGAACCTAAGGATCACGTGCTCGCGAAGATATCTGACCTCATAAGAATAGTAAATAAGGATATTAAAAAGATATTATTTAAATTTATAATATATAAAAATATTATAAGAATGTTATAATGTAAATGTTATAATAATGTTTCTCTAGGAATTCTACCCAGCTGAAGCGAAAATATTGCGGCAGGGCGAGAAAGGCGAAAAGTTTTACATAATTAGCGGTGGTAACGTACGAATCACTAAAGATACCGAATACGGAGGCGAGGAGGAACTCGTGGTCCTCGGTAAAGGAGATTATTTTGGTGAATTGGCTCTCTATGATGACAGGGGTGAACGACGTGCCAACGCGATCGCGCTCGCACCTGGTGTCGAATGTCTTACATTGGATAGAACGTGAGTTTAATTAAAGTATAGCAATTTTTTAAAACGTATAACAGTATCAAAGTTTGTTTCGCGTTTACTTTATTTCAAAGTGAGTTCAACAATTTAATATTTAATTATTTCATATAAATAAAGTTTATAATGTTATTTCTTATATTCAACAGAAAAATATTCGCGTTTAATTAATAAATAATGACTCAATAAGATTGTGTTTTCTACACGGAAAAAATTAGCTACCATAGCTAAATTTTAGCTGTCCCTATATATTACTACCTGAAATTTAATTATCATGTTTAAATTTTAGCTATGGTAACTAATAATTTTTAGCTATAGTTTAACAGAGAATTCTATAACTAAAAATATTAGCTATCGTAGCTAAAAGGCATGATAACTAAATTGCATATGTAATATAAGGACAGCTAAAATTTAGCTGTAGTAGCTATTTTTTTCCGTGAAGAGATGCATCTGTTGAAAATACAATATTATAATAATTTAAAAAATTCACAGGTCATTTTTAAATTATCTGGGTAGTCTGGACGAAATTCGTAATAAGGATTGGTTAGCAGAGTATGAGAAGCAAAAGCGTTCATTGACTCCAAAAAAGTGGACTAATGAATATGCAAGTTTGACCTTAGCCGATTTCGAGACGAGAGAAACGTTAGGAGTGGGTGGATTTGGTCGTGTCGAACTGGTCACGCTTAAATCCGACCCTAACAAGAGCTTTGCTTTGAAAAAACTGAAAAAGAAGGTCATGGTCGAACAGCAACAACAAGTTCACGTGCTAAACGAGAAACACATTATGCAAGCGTGCGATTCGGCATTCATATGCAAGTAAGTAAAAAACTTTCATAATAAGATTGAAATTAAGATTAGTCTATAATATTATAGTAGTAAACAATCAAATTATATAATTGTTTATATAAAATATTACGCAATTTTTTGTTTATCCACGTATTATCAAGATAAATATAATATTTCGATCAATCTGTTAAATTTTATGTTGTATCAAATTGTATAATTTTTTAAAAATAAATAATTAATATAAAATAAATTAATTTTTAATATGAAATAATTAATATATCGTAAATTTATAATAAAAACATTTAAATAAATGAAAATTCTAATAATCTTATATAAAAATTTCTAAATAATCATCATGCCAATATTAAAATCTGATCGAAATTAATATGCTTTTACATTTGCTCAGACTTTATCAGACATACAAGGACAGCAAATATGTCTATTTCTTGATGGAAATATGTCTCGGGGGAGATGTATGGACGACCTTGCAAAGAAGACGTTATTTTGAAGACGCCACTGCGCAATTCATGGTTGGTTGCGTGGTGGAAGCCCTCGACCATCTTCATTCGTTAAATATTATTTATCGAGATCTCAAACCGGAGAATCTTATGCTCGACTCACGCGGCTACTTGAAATTGGTGAGGCACTTAATTCTTAATTCTCTTAATTTCCAATTAGGAATATTATAGCAAAAATATATAAAAAGTATATAATAAATTATTTAAATGTCATTATTATAGCAGAAATAGTTTTGGAAAATTCTATAAACAAATTTTTCTTTCATATAGGTGGACTTTGGTTTTAGTAAAAAAATTGGTCCAGCCAAAACTTGGACGTTTGCCGGCACACCCGAATACGTTGCACCGGAAATAATCTTAAATAAAGGCCACGATAGGTAAAACACATATTTAAGCTTGTCTTTATTTGTTTAACTATTACTTTGACTCCAATTTCTAATATATTTTTATATTGTTTAACCTTTTCGAATTCTTAAGGGCGGTGGATTATTGGGCACTCGGAATCTTAATACACGAGCTTCTTATCGGTAAGCCACCTTTCCGAGGATCCGATCATATGACAACTTATAATAAGATTTTGAAAGGAATTGAAATGGTCGGTATACCAAGCATTGTCAATAAAAACGCTAATAATCTCATTAAGAAGCTACTTCGTTTAAGTCCCTCGGAACGATTGGGTTACCAACGAAATGGAATACAAGACATTCGTGATCACAAGTAAGTTCTAAAAAAAAAAAAAAATAGAATATTCTCTTATCAAAAGGAGAAAAAACAGCATATATAAATACGCAGTATAAAACAACATATATAAAAATTTAAAATATTTTATGAATTAATAAATATATTTTTAATTAATATTTTATATTTAAATAAAAATATTTATATTATATATAATATAAAGATATTTTCTTCCAAAAATTTTTGGAAAATAAATATTTCATGTAACAATCAAATATAAAATTATTACGAAATAGCAAATATATAATTTTTATTTTTGTTCTTTCTACAGATGGTTTTCTGGATTCAACTGGCAAGCACTTCAAAGATTAGCTCTACCAGCCCCCATTGTACCAACGGTATTTAATTTTTTTATTTTTTATGAAAAAAAACTTACCTTTTAATATAAAAATGTATTTTTTAAATTTATTTTATTTTTATATTTGTAGGTGCGACATCAACTCGACACGCGAAATTTCGAAAGATATCCATCAGATCGTGACATTCCACCAGATGAATTTTCCGGTTGGGACATCGAATTTTAAGAATAAATTCTAAGAATAAATTATCGATATGAAGAGAACTAAATAATAGATATAAAAATAATATGCTATTTTGTTTGTAAAAGAAACTTTTTTATAACCGTTCATAATAATTAATCATAATAACTGTTATATAAAAACCTTTTTAATTATTTTTATTTTAATTATAACTTCACCAAAAAAGTAAAACGTAATAAAGATACAGAGATAATTATCGATAGAATTTTGAGATGTATTATTAACTCCATAAACGAATTAACGAATTATCATATAATAATGCATATAACATATTTTTTGCTAAGGAAATTTGCGATGTCAGTTAATTATTAATTAATAAGTAATACTATTTTCACCCAAAAAATTTTTACTTTAATTTTCTTATATTTACTTTATTCTTTCATAAAATTATCGAATTTTTTCTCCCTAAAATTATTTTTTAAATTTATTTAAACTAATTAATAATACAATATTTTACGTTGATTCGATAAGATAGTGTATTTACTTCTACAGTTCTTAGATTTCCAGTTTTTATGTACCACAGACAAATAATTCATAAATAATATAAAAAAGTTAATGATGAAAAAAATTATATAATTTTTTTGCAAGTACTTATTGAGATTCTGGTGTACTTTATATATAATTATATAGATGAATATACGTATTCTTCTAATGATATTCTGTTTGTACAGAAAAATTAATAATACGATACTGCATGTATGTGTGTATATATGTATAAGTGTACTGTATTATATTCTTTATAATATGATAACAATAATTCTAAGTTGTAAACGTTGTTTAAATTTTACTAACGTGAAACGTTTGATCATATACCAAATATTAGCACATAGTCGTGAGTCAATAACGTCATTTGAAATAAATAATTTTATAATTACTATTCATATATGTATGTATTATGCATATTGTATATTTTTGCTCCTGTTAAATTGTCATTTTTAAATATTTTTTATGCCTATTAAATAGACAATTTCTCTGTTTAGTTTCATTCAAGATGATTATATGGTTCAATTATGTACACATTATCATAAACTTACACATATATACAAATTAATTTTTATAAAACAGTAGCCCAATTATAAATATAAAATATTAATAATTTTTCTTCTGTAATTTTTTTTCATCTATTCTTTAAATGAACGATTAAATATTATTGTGTTTTATTTCAAACAGATTTATATATATATATATATATATATATATATATATATATATGTATACCGCGATGTATTATTAATTAATTTTAATAAATTTTAAAAATTTATATATGTAAAACACGTCGTATCATTTATTGTAAATGATTATAACGTTCGAAAAAGACAACGACAAATCAGAAAATATTTTTCCAGCTATTTGCAGAATAATATTTGTAGACCAGATAAAAAATGAAGCAGCAACATGTAAACATAGGCCGCAAACATTTGGCGGCACCACAGTGATTGCAAATATAATATATATATGTAAATATATTTACAGCTTACCAGACGATGTCGAAAAAGAAACCGCTGTCAAGATGCTCCGAAAAATAGACTTACCCTGAAAAAATCCAGAAATTCAAAAGAATTAATAAAAATTTATTTCGTAAAGTCGCGAATCGAGTTCAAAAAATCCAGGTTATATACATACTTATAACATCGATGTCTTCTTGCAATCCGTGTGATCGACTTGGCGGAGGCTGCAAGGATGCACTTTGATGCGATGATGGATACAAAGTCCAGGAAGATTCACTTTCACACATACTTTTTTATACACACTTTTTGTACACGCACTTTAGACATCTGAAACAAAATAAAACGTACGTATGTTTTACTTCTGGAAATGACGTCATCACTACGTGAATTTTTGGCGCATGCGAGAGAGAGAGAGAGAGAGAGAGAGAGAGAGAGAGAGAGATCTAGAATCTCTAACAAAAATTCAATATATATAGCGCTCGCGGAATAAACGCGGATTGACAAATAAAGCTATTTACCATTAATTTACAATTTTCGCGATGTCTCCTTTAAAATTTTCACCCTAGAAACGAAACAAAATACTTATTCGACGCGTCCAAAAAACCTACATCATTTGTATGAATTCTCGACTCGCGCGATTCTATGCATATGCATATTCAATATATTAGATGCATATCTCGATATTCTCAATATAGTCAACATTTATTCGAGTGATATATAATATTGAAATAATCTTACGATTGTACAATTCTTGCGCTGCCTTCTTCGAACTTCTTGCACTCGAAACTAAACGAAGCGAAGTGAAGTAAGTCTCGCACAACTCGGATTGTTGCTATGACTACGTTATTTTTTGGCGCGCAATCTGTGGCGTTGCCACAGAATATTTTCAATAGATGGCGCTACTCGGTATTTTTAATGCTACCAAAATTTATTCGAAAATGGTACATGCTAATAATTTTGCCATATCTTCTTTAAACTTTTCGCACTATAAATCAAACAAAACGAATATTCAATACACATGTCTCGAGAATTGCATTATTATTACTTAATTTTTGACGCGAGTGATTTGGCATCACATAAAATATTTAATATTATAGACACATTTCCAAATATTCATAATGTAATTAAATTTATTCGAGATGAACGATACAAAATAATAATTTGCTATTAATCTTACAATTTACAATGCTTTTTTAAACTTTTTAACTCAAAAAGAAACAAAATGCATTTTCGCATTTCGCGCGCGAACTGTCATCGAGTACATCATTATAATAATGCTATTTGGCGCGCGAGTTGGCGTCGTCTCAGAATATTCGATGTTATAGATAGACTTTCGAGATTCTTAATGTAATCATAATATTTATGGTATTAAGTGAAAACCTATTTTGCCGTGTTCTATTTACATGTTTTGTCACATTGTCGCGTTTGTAAACGAATCGTATAAATATATATGTGTGTATGTGTATATATGTGTGAGGGCTGTCACTCGTGTTACCTTGTAAAGTCGAAAACAAAGCGGTCGTGTTCGATTCTCTTCTGAGAATCTCCTTCTCTCACGCATATCGCAGAGTGTTATCAACATGATTCTCGCTTGTTGTCAGTATTATCTCGACTGTCGCGAAAGCTAGACGGAATTCTTTCAAATCTTACTTGTGTCACACGATCTATAATATCGGGAGTGATAAATTGATTATCTAATAAATATTGCAACACTTTTATCAATATGATAAAAATTATTATATAATACATTCGCGTTTTATATTCGAGACATATGTTAATCATGTGTTTTTCTATTTGGTACGTAACATCACGCATTTATTATATATTTATAATGTATTTCTATATCGTATGCATATATTTGCCTATATATAATGAGGCACGTTTAATGCGCATATTTTATCTCTAGTCCGATCATTACTCTTGTTTTTATTGGTCATACAAGAAACGATAATAATGTTATCAATAATAATGATAAAACAGCAGTTTTTATAATAATTTTATTCTGTAAATATTATATTTTTCAAATAATTAACAATCACGATGCGCGAATATTCAGAGATGAAACGCGCGTGTCAAATCTGTCCGCAAACACGAACAAATTAATGTGTTAAGATTACGTTTGTCTTAGTGCTGCAAATGCTGGAAGCTTTTTATTGACCAATGAGGATAAAGAAATCTTTGCTCCGATTAGTCAATGAGATCGCTCTCAACAGTTGCAGCGTCGAGCGAACACAGCCTTAAATATAACGTCACGACGGCCATATTTAATTCGCCTATAGTATCCCGTGAGTATCTCTTGGAATTAGATTGGTCTTAACGTGAAAATAGGAAATTTAGATATTTAATAGTCTCCGCGTGTGTTACGTGCAATCGTTCGTGATGTGAGAACATCGATTAATCGCTGCGGTCGCAATAATTATACATGTCAGTGCAAGGTGTCAAAATCATCTGTTTGACTCGAGTTACCGAGAATTATTCCAACAATATTAATCGCGTCGATCAAATGCGACGATGTACCACATCGCACAATATTAATTCGCATCTTATTTAGTCTCCGTAACTCCGTTATTATCGTTTCGAAGTTGCGCGCTTTTTTTAAAATAATGCACGACGATATATCGCGACGGTGAGCGCGAGTAAAGGCTTGATCGGGCGGCGCGAAAAGTGGGGGAAGAGACGCGCGCCGCCATTGGTCGGCCGCGTTCGCGTCAGCTGTCCGCGCAGTCGACGTCGCGCGCGCCAGCGCCAGTCGTCTATCGCGGACAATGCGGGCTCGTGCGCAAATGGCGTCGCAGTGCCGTCATGAGCGAGAGTGTGTCGTGCAGTAACGCGTTAGGGCCGCGTCCGGGCGCGGTGCCTCGCGGCCCAGCCTGACGGCAAAACGTGCGGATCGAGCTTTGACAAGAGTGAGGTTACGGAAGGAAGATATTACGGGTCTCGCGGAGGACCACATCGACGAGGATAGAACGACGAAGAGAGTGGTAACAGGAATTGTGAAATAGACCCAGAAGGTGAGTGCGACTCTCGGAGGCTCGTCTTGTGTCGTCTTGACTCTGTTTCCTTGTGTGTGTATATGTGCTATGTATAACATAATGCGCGCGCGCGCGCGTGCTTTCCTTCGTTCATTTGTACGCGAAAATTGTTTGCGCGACGAATATGATCGGGAGCATAAAGTACCAACATCTGGTGCGCGACGTATTTTTTTTCCTCGATCGTTTCAAGGAAATGAATAACCATGGATGCGAAATGGGAACAATAACGACTCGTGAGCGCATTTATCTTTAGGGGTGGAAGGGAGAGAGAAGAGATAAAACAGAAAAACGCGCTGGTGACGATGGAGAAACGTGCGGGCGATTTCCATGAGACGCGAGACAGAGGCTCGCGATAAAAATCGAGGCGCGGAGCAGCGGAGTGATAAGGAAAACCACGACGCAACGCACCCGAGATTCCTAATGAGCTTTGAACAGTTTGCCCCTTGAACGGAGAAAAAGCGTAAATAAAGACGGAAGGAAAGTGGGGAGAAGGGAAGACGATAACACGAAAAAATGAGAGGAAACTCACGCGTACACCTCACAACACTCGTTTCAATCACATTCTCTGTTCGTTTTTATTTCCCTTTCTTTTCTCTCGCTTCTGTATTTTATCTTGAATACATATACAGTTCGGAAAGGAAGGACCGATATAACGCGTAGATTTCTATCATCAAATCGAAATATAGATCCGTAGTGTTGCGTATTGATAGGTGACATACGTATATTGTTGCCAAATTCCCTCTGCTTTTCGACACTCTACAAGAAAGCACTGTAAACATGCGTGTTCGATTGTTGTCAATCTCGTGTATCGTACGATCTCGATATGATGCTTAGAACTCAATGAAAAATAGAAATTCTTAATCCCTGTTTGCTATTAAAGGAATACTTGGAACTCTTCTCTGTTCGGTATAAATATATTATGTCGGGGACGTAACGGTGTTTAACGTTTCGTGCGAATCAAAACAAAGTAGAAACGAAAGCGATTTTTATGGCCCGAAATCGTACGATATCTTTTCTATATTATTGTTTATATCGTTCAAAAAATATGAAAGAAATATTACATAGAAAAATATTAAGGATTTATATATTTAATGCATTTAATATTTTAAGCGAATTCAAACGAATAGTTTTGAAAACATATCTATTGCGTTAAAATGCACACACACACACACACAATTTTATTTTTTTTAATATTCAAAAAATACGAAAAATACAATTACAAACAGAATTAAATTGCGAGACCTGCTTTACAATTAATAATAACAAATATCAAAAGTTTCGTACATAATATGTGAGCTGAGTATTATGTTAATTTTAATATAACTTAATTTTAAGTCATCTATTTTCTTTCTCGTTACAATTTATACAGTATTTTGATTTCATAATTACATAATTGTTAATTATAATTATATTGTGATGCATAATAATATAACAGTACAATTACTAAACTCAATTATTTTTTATTAGAGATTTAATTTAAAATAATTTAAAATAATTTTATGAAATAAATCCAACAGTAAAGGATTATTTTTCTACAAAAAAAATTACACGCTCATATGGTGTGATTCGCAAGTTAATATCAAGTTGAACAACTGAAGATATTATGTGAGTTAAGACTATCTTTGCATATCGAAACTCCTTAAAAAATGTCGATAAAAAAGTGTCAATTGCCCACGAAAAGGAGATTAATGTTAGCACCAATTGCACAGAATTATAATTATCTATTTAATGTATTTATTTTTATTTTATTATCTCGGTAAAAATATATTAATCTACGAGTATGCGAATAAAAATATTACGTTAATCAATCAAATTTTACACTTCATTGAGCATTTATAAATCAGTATTAAAATATAAATATGTAGATAATATATACACATGAATGATTATTTAAATTGAATTACTATATGTTTTATAATAAAATTATAAGAATACGCAGTGTTTTTAAATTAAAACCATGTAATGGTGAGATTTTCCATTATTTAAAATCAGAAATAGCAAATTGTAAATTTTTTCTATATAAAATCGAACACTTGTCTTATAAATTTAATATTGAATTGATCAAATTTAAATTTCATTGTCTCGCATTGATATTGTTTGTTTTGTATTTTATTGTAAATAACTTTTATTTAGTATTATTTTGAAAAATTTTTAATTATTTTCTGTTGTTTCTAAACAAAACATTTTTAAGCGTGAGAAGATTATATGCATCACATGCTGCATAAATATTCATTTATATTTAGAAAATTCAAAAACTAAGCGGAACGCGTGCAGCGTTAATAAGTGAACGGATAAGACATTTGACTTCGCCCTGTGATACGATCAGTTCGTGAGGTCAAAGGGTATTAACATTTCATAGATAGCGAGAAGTACCGGCATGTGTGTTACAGAATAGAATTCAAAAACTGGCTATTTTTTTTGGTGAAGGAGATTAAATAATTTTATATCAAAAAAGCAAATAATTGTACATGTATTAAATTTGAAATTTTAATTTTGATTTGGATCTTAATTGTAAAAATACAACATTGGTGCGATAAGTAATCATTTTCTTTGACATTTTTGCTTAGAAAAAATTGTCGCTGAATTAATTGTAAAAGTTACGATTAAAAAAACGTAAGATATAATTTTCGATTTTAATTGACGATTAAACTTTTACAAAATTTTTTGTAATGTCTAGTTCAAATAATAATTGCGAGATAATTACGATCCCGGTGAAAAATAAAAGGTTTGCAGGTTTTTCATGCCCATGCATGAAAGTGAGGCATCCTCGACGCGTAACGTCATAAATTCATTAGCTCATTAAAAAATAAGGATTGCTGAAAGAAGCATGTGGTCTTAGAATTAGGCACAGTCAAGGACTTATGGGAATTTAAAGGCTTGCAAATTAAACGATCGTAGTCGAGGGGATCTTAGCCGGAGATGAGTTACGTCAGATGCTACTGAAGCACCATCTGAGACCTAACAAAATTATCTGAATGATAACAAAAAACGGGAATGATAACAGGAATAACCGGTTATAATGAGTGTGCCTCGATTCACAAATATATCGGTTGATTCAACGTAAAACCTTCTCCATTCGTGTTAATAGATTTGCATTAGTTGGATCGAATTACTTCCGCATTAGAATTTGTGGTTTCGTCGCCACGTGAAGCGAAGTATTGTCTTAAAGTTACGCGATTGCTTCTTTAATTGCTGTTCCTTCTATTTATAGCTTTGCTACGTTTAAATTAAATATGATTGGAACTTAAATCTGGAACTTCCTACAGATTCTTATACGATCGGAAACCGTATCAAGATAGATGCAATTAATAATATACTTCTAAAAAATTTAACTATAAATGGTATCAATATCAAAATAAATTGATAATGAGCCGGTGGCAATATTTTACTAATAATCGATTAAATAAAGCTGATTGTGAAACTAAAATGCAAATTTATAACCATATTAATATTGCATTAATAATGTCACAAACAATAAGAATATTAAGATCGAAATAATGATCACAATAACGTAATAATATTGTTATCACTACATTTTAAAATTTATTGCTCTTTATATTTGACAACCAATCGCGTGATGAATTAATTGTACGGTAATTTAATAATAAAAATGATTTAATTATATTTATTTGCTTCTAAAAAAATATTGAATCATCTAGAAAACTAGAATGTGTATTTTCAGACATAGAAATATTTGTCTTGTTCAATCATCGCGTGAATTTATAACAAATTTTCTAATCTCACATTGGCGTTTATTAAATAATCATAGTTCAGCAAACAGAATTAAAACCGACTTGTTTGAAATATATTAAAATGCAAAATTAACAGAAAAGATATTCTTGTCGTTTTCTTGTCAGACTGTCGCGAATACTTTTTAAGAAAAGTTTAATCTCGGAAGGAACTATTCTAAAATAAAACGATTTTTATTTTCTTTAAATAAGAAATATAGATGTTTTAGCAGATAGAACAAAAGAAACATTTATTATGCAAGATGGACCGAATTATCATTTGATTGCGTTCAGTACATGGATATATCATCAAGTTAAATTGTCTTGGCTGCGTTTAATTTTAGCCGGCACATATGTACAGTAGCATAATTGAGAGAAAAGTCACTGAGAATTCCGTCGAACTAGATGAATAGCGAATGATTACGATGAGAATTTTTGCATCTGCAAAACCGGTTATAAATTTTCGGTGACATATTTTCGGTCATTCAACCGAGAGGCGGGAATCCGATTATTTTCCGCACGTGCTATCGCGAAATTAATTGTGCATCGACAGGAGATTATATCGTTAATCGTTGCTTCAATATACTTCGTGCAGCCAAAGAATGCAGCTAATTGGCAGATGTTTTAATATATTATATCGCCGAAAATTAAAATGCTCGCAATTTTTATCTTATATATATATATATATGTATATATATATATTTATGCGTCACTTATCATGTATTTATAATCTACCGTATAATCTACTTGATGCGTTTAAGAGGATTCAAACTTTGCTGAGTAATGTTATCGTCGAAGTTAGCGTCGAACCGTGCATATATTTACGTATCGTATACAGCTTAGCTTCGAAAAACATATGTATAAGCTCGTATACCACAAGATCGATTTATCCACAATATTGATTTACATAACGTGTTTAAGCGGCACTAAATTTTTATAGCTTACACTTAAGCATACACATACACATATTGTCTCTCTCTTCTCCTTCGCTCTCTCTTTCTTTCCCTTTCGTGGCACTCAAATATGATATACTTTGATAAAAGGGGTGTGTTATGAACTAATGTGAGTTTATCGTAGGCTCGATAACTGGGGCTTGTTGTGTCTGACGAGCTTTTCTTTCATCGTACGGTACGCCGTCGTATGCGCTGATTTCTTGAAACGGGGTCGTCTAATTCTACCATATTTTACTCCGACGATATTATTTTACAAATCACAAAAGAAAACGTAAATCAGATGTAGTCGAATCTTTCGATTAAAATCCACACGGAATTTTCTCTAAAATTTAGTTGGAAAATCATGGTAATCGTGAGACAATGTATGGTATTGGAAGAATTTTCTTAAAGTTTTTCTGATTAATATTTATCACAACAAAAAATATTAATATATACATAGTAAAATTAATCGAACATATTTTACATCTTATTGTGGATATTAATATTTTTTATTGTGGTGTAAATATTAATCAGAGAACTTTAATAAAATTCTTCCAATATCATATTGTTCCATGATTATCATGATTTTCGGAGTAAATTCTAAGAGAAAATGCTCTCTGTGCATGAATCTGCTGTCGTAATTGTTGAAAAGAAAATCGGCAAATTATAAAATGTTTTACTCGAGTAAGATAAAAATGTTTAACTTTCTAACCATAGAAATGTTTAAATTAATATTTATCTTATTGTTATGCTCGAATATATTATTTGTTCATCCCATCATGAATTAAACATGCACAGTGACTTAAGAAGGAAAGATATTTCTTTAAAGAAATTTGGTTTTATACAATAGCTTATTTGCATATCAATACTATATATTATCTCAAGATAACACGATAAAGAGCTTCCGCTCTTCGAATCCCTTCGAAGCTTCGTTTCATTCTTGAAAGGATCGAGAAAGACGCGCTACAGAGTCTCGAGATTCGAAAGGACCAATCGTTCTTCGCAGAGCATCGAAGATGCAGGCGGAATTGATATATCGGAAGCCGTCGATGACGAGTCAGGGCGGCTTTCATTGCACCGGCAATGATAACAAACGGGAAAAGAACGGCGGACGGGACTCGCGCGAGACGATACACTCGGGTCACTTCATGGTGTCGGACTTCGAGGCCGAGGCGCAGGACGACGAGGACGATCTCGCCGTGCCGGTCCCGGATCAAGAGGAGACGCAGACCGCCAGCTTCTCGATCACCGCGTCTCCCGGATTTTTTCACGACAGATTCGCGAGCAGCATGCTGTTGTACAGCAGAAGCTCGTCCCAGCAGCTGAGCATCGAGACATCCTTGAACAAGCTTTTCCAGTGCATGTCTCTCGCCTACAGGTGAGTTCCTCTTTTTTTTTCGCCGATTTTTTAACAGTCATCGAATGACATAATGTGAGATCAAATCTATATTGAACCGATTTATATTGAATTGATTTTATCATCGAAGAGCTTCTTTTTTAAGCCTTTTTAACTGTTACATACACACAAAAAATTTGTTGACTAAATCTTTCAACTAAATATTATTTTGTTAATTAAACTTATAAAAATATTTAAATTAAATGTAACAGATTAAATCTAACAAAACGTATATTTGATTTAAATACTAATGTATGTTGAATTAACAAAATGTAATTTAGTTGAAAGGTTTAGTCAAGTTAATAAATTTTTTTTTAGTGTACATAGGTAATGTCAGAATAATTAATAAAGCTTTCTTGAAAACACATCTTTGAAACACATTACCTACTCATTTTACAGATGTGAGTAAATTATTTGCATCGCATATATACAACTTTAAATTAAGAATTATCTATGATATTATATAATAAATATTTATATATGATTGTATTGTTTATAAATGCTTTACATTTTTTTCTTTCTTACAATTTACATATTTATTTTATCTTTTATATTAAGTCATTACGAGTCCAATATAAAATTAGAGTATTTCTTAATCAGCAACGTTTACCTTTCAAATAATAAAATAAAAGAGCCGAGGTTGTTGAATCTTTTTTTATTTTTCTTAAAATAAAAAATAAGATATTTTTCCCCTTTTTAAGAATAGGGCATTCAATTCTTATACTATAGTCCAAAAGACCCCCCCAAAAAGATGCTCTTCTCTTCAGAAACACAACCGATAATCGACTTTATCTCGAAAGAGAGATGGATGAAATAAAATATGCATAACAATAGATCTATTCCTTTCTTTGTAAACTTTTTTCTCTTTCTTGAATACAAATTTCTTTGATCTTTTCTTATTCTTTTTTACATAATACAAGAAGATATAATTGAAACGAACAGATCTTGCATCTGTAAGATGACTTTATCATCCCGAAGAAAAATATTGTTTAAAGGAATAAAGAGTTGCTCTCCGTGTTTTGCTCGCACTCGGCAACCGGACAAATGCTCTGCCGGTCTAGGCTGACTAGTAGCATTCCCGCTGATAAAAGACAATTGAATTAATGAAAGAGAGGCCGTAGAACCAAACAACACTGCAATTAAGCGCGGCCTCGCTAAAGTCGCGCGCGGACGGCTTCTGCCGACAATTTCCGTTTTTTCCCGCGATGATGCCACGCCGCAAACGTGTTTCCCGTTACCGTAAACAATTCGATTAAAATTGACTCTGAGGTTTCAAACCCTATATATATTCCATTTTATTAAAATGATAAATTTAAAAGAAAACAAATCGATTAAAAATTCAGTGAAAATTGAATTTATAAATAACAACAAAAATATATCAAATTGACAATGCTCCTATATTCACCAAATAAAAAGCTACAGTTTATGGCCAACTCTTCGAGCATAAATTGGGTGATATACACTAAATAACCAATTTTAAGAGATGCAATATTGGTCCTTTATTTTAGTTCCCTAATGAATATATCATCCAATTTATACTCGAAGAGTTGGCCATAAACTGTAATTTTTTATTTATAAATAACACTTTTATAAAATCATACATGAAATAAATAGACATATATATGTGTGAATAAAACACACATTGAGAAGTGCAGTTTTATATAATAATAGGATTTTATAATAGAAAAAATTCGCACAGCAGAAAAGAATAATATACGTCAGTCAGATACATAATTATCTTATGTGCTGACGTATTATACGTGTAATGACGTTACAGTTGATCGGCTCATTCTGACGTGTTATAAAGGTTGCTATAGATATATATAAGATTAACGGTGTCTATTATATAATCGCATGTAAAGACTTTCAAATTTTTAATAATAATTTAAGAAAATGATCAAGTTAATTATTTTACGATTAAATTAAAATTATAGCAAATCAATTTCTTTAATTTAAAAAAAATTTAATATATATATTATTCTATTAAAATAATGTATAAAAATAAGTAATTTTTCTGTATAATACATATTATTTCGTTTATCACGTGTAAGATCCAAAATAATTTGATATTATATAAAGTTGCAATCATTATTGATAAGGGAATGGGCACATAATTATTGATAAGGGAATGGGCACATAATTTAAAAATAACATTAATGATTTAGCCTAGGATATATTGATACCCTGACACAATATAATTTTTCAGTAAATCCTCATTGTAAAAAAAAGATGTAAAATTACTTAAAAAATATGTAAAATTATACAGATAATAAGTGTAAAATTGCATGCTAATAATGAAAATATATACATATATTTTTATTATTTCTCGTGTAATTTTACACTTAAATTATTTATGTAATTTTACATATTTTTATGTAATATATTACATATTTTTTTACAGTGTAACACCGACATCGCACAACACTTCGTTTTAGAAATACTTTGACAAACACGAAGCTGACAAAATTAATTATATCTTTAACGACTCTAGAAAACACGTCATGTCAATCGATTTCGTTTAGACTTGTCGCGTTATCAGTGATAAGATCCTAAAGAAATTGTCTTCTTCTTGATAATGACGCCATGTCGCAATGTAAACGGTCATAATAATAATATCGTAAATCGGATCAATAAGCGCGTTACGATAAACTATTTTTACTATTCTAAAATAACGAGTGACAACATGATTTTCAACAGCTCGTGCTGTTTATGAGACGAGATTTTTTGTTTGACGCTTACGTAACGAATTAATTTTATTACGAATTTCGTTTTACTTCAAGCAAATTTATCATTAGTAAAAATTTAAATTTACCATAAGGCTACGCACAAGATTTGACGTAGTTCGCAAGATGTTTAATGTTGTAAATTTAAGAAGTGCGAGAAAAAATGTTGATTGATTTGATTCGTTTAATGAATTTTCTACAGTCATAAATAATTTTAAAAATAAAATAATTCGAGCTCTCGAACGAAGAAATTCTCTTAAAAATTAAATATATAGCTTTATTCAAGCGTATAAGTTTTCTAGTATAGATTCTCTCCTATACATTTATAGATTTGAATAACGAGTTTTTTATTTAATCGAGACTAGGTTGGGCGTTATATCGCGCAAAAAGAATAAATGAAGTGATAGAAAATCAGTTTACACTGTAATGTCAATCGGTTGAAACGTATGCTGTTATTAGAATGGAATAGTATAAGATTACTCTGAACACGGAATTTACGATAAAGTTTTATATGAAGTTGTACAAATAATTCCAAAAGTTGTCGAATACGCTGATCATTTTTTTCTTTTTTCATCTTACAATGACATCATCTTATAATACTATCCAGTGGTTTTCGAATGTTTTCTCGCAAACAACCTGCCATACAAAATTGAGTGGGTACGTAAATTAAATTCTTTATTACAATAATTATTACTCGGAATATTTTTTCATTTCATCTATCACACATGTATTAAAAAATCATATGACGAATTAAAATGGATTATAATAAATACTCAATTATGATATACTATAATATACTCAATTAAAACTCAAATTTTTGCAGAATATTTTAGAAATATTTAAGAATAGAGGACTACATTATATCTTCGTATATTATTTGCGTAATTTTCTTAATAATATAAATATCCTTATATCCTAACTGATTAATCATGCAAGAATACTAAGAAAAACACATTCGCGATGTAATAATCGGAAAGTGAAGTTTATACTTCACGTCAGCAATCTAATAGCAGCAGAACACGTATCTTAACAAATACAATCTATTTTGTCACATTTATTTACAAATTCATATTTATTTATTTCTATACGAATTATAAAACAGGCTATTAAATCTCTATCAACGTAAAAATTATTAATTATTATTTAGCAACGTGTCTGCTTTGCAACCAAAATTTTAAATCTCTGATTATATAAAAATTGATTTATATTAAACTATCCAAATTTAAATATATCAGAATAAAATATAGATGTGTATTAAAATTACATTAAAATAATTATTCAACTCGTACAATATAAAAGATGTAAAAAACTCTGAAGTCACCAGATGAAAATTAAAAAATGGTAGTAATTTAATCAACCAACTCTGGCAAATTAAGTACAATATAAATTATTAATATAAATTATTATTTAAATATGTGATGTTACAGAAAATATTTATATATTCTTGAATCTTTTTACAAGAAAAAATGTATATTTATTAATAATTTATTTATTTTTATTTTTATATAATCTTGAATCTTTATAAAAATAAATTATTTTCAAACCACTATAATAATCAACGCGACATACAGTGGATGACAGAATAAAATGAGGTAATCGATTTCGATCACTATATCGCGGTATTGCATTTGAAAAAAAATTATGCGGCATTTACGTCGTAAATTAATCCGATATTTGCGAAATCGACGACACCCGCGTCTACTGATTGTTTCTACAGCTTATGCTGCATAATACGTGTTAAATGCGCGTTATATCATTGAATTAATCGTGAGATTTATTCCGTGATGATGACGCTGAATAAGAACATAGACGTGTTCAATGAAGACCTTCACTGAATTGCTACACGAAAGGTAAAATCTATCCGATGCACTTCCCTCTGCATCCGGCTGCAGATTTACGATGCAACTTTTGAAGTGCAATAAATGAGATGAAAAAGATATATTTTATAGATGAAGAATTTTTATGCTTGTAATACTTGACAGAATTGAGACGAACTTGCCACTTTTATTAGATCTTGGATTGCTGACGTAAATCATAAACTTCAATTTACGATGTTGTATAGAACGTAAATATTCTTTATTCGAAGCCTTAAGCAAAAGAAGAAATAATTTTTAATAAAACATTGCTCATTGTAAAATTGTATGGTAAATCATTAATTCCATAGTAGGTAACATAGACAACTTTATTACTGAATACATCGACGAACTAATGAAACTACGTTGTAACAGTTATCTAATTTTTTTTAATATAAAAATGTGCTCTATAATCACTTAAGTTTTATATCATATTATAGTGAACGTATTCTCAATTTTTCCTTACGTAAGCGCTATCTGCGTATCATGAGAAAGTTTGCTTTCTTTGCATGCTATCACTTACGTCTTACATCAGCATATTGAGATGCCTCAAGTCCATCTTTGCGATTACAGTTCGTCAAGTTTTTATTAAAAATGATGACAGTACTTTGAAAATTAAAAGTTGATTCGGTCAGAAATGCTTCGTAACTAGGGATTTTCTGAAGGGTAACATCAACGTATACTTGAGATTAAGTCGCTCTATAAGCTCTACAGCTTTTTAGCTCTTTTTCACTTTTTGCTCTTTATTTATTTATTTATTTATTTATTTATTTTTTTTAATTTTTTTTCAAATTTAAATTAATTTTTCTGCAGTGCGCTACACCGTTTATAGATACATTTTTTACAGAATAGACCCATGAATATCGATTCCAAGAGAAAGAAAGTTCTATAAACTCTGCAGCTTTTTAACTCTTTTTTTCGCTCTTCGCTCTTTTTATTTATTTAAAAAATTTTTTTTAATTTAAATTTTTACATCGTTTATAGATACATTTTTTACAGAATAAATCCATGAATATCGATTTCAAGAGAAAGAAAGTTCTATAAACTCTGTAGCTTTTTAACTCTTTTTCGCTCTTCGCTCTTTTTATTTATTTAAAAAAATTTTTTTAATTTAAATTTTCACATTGTTTATAGATACATTTTTTACAGAATAGACCCATGAATATCGATTCCAAGCTCTTTTTTAACTCTTTTTTTTTCGCTCTTCGCTTTTTTTATTTATTTTTTTTTATTTTTTTTATCTTTTTTAATTTAAATTTTTTCTGCAGTGCACTACATAGTTTATAAAGACAGAATTTTTGTCCAGAATAGACCGATGAATATCGACTCCGAGAGAAAGAAAAAGAAACAGCTGGTGTCGGAGTCGGGCCGAGTGCATCGCTTTCGCGAAAATGCGAAACGCGCTAGATTACCGTGAAGAGACCCTCCTCTCCTCGATATGTCGCGCATAACGTGTCTTTTATCGACACAAGGCCACTGCGTCATCGCGAGGCGTACATTCGTAGTACGTACGTTGCGTCGACAACGTAACACCTCCGTACGACGCGCGACGAGCAACAAGCAAGACGCGTGCGAGGTCGAGAAATCCGCACGCACGAGCCAGAGAGGCTCGCCCACCGATCCAATCGGTTGGCCGGAATCTATTTCCGTTCCCCGGCTATTCGACCCCGTATATTTACAGTGCTCGATAACATTGCACGGAAGCCACTTATCATTCGATAGCTATTTGAGGAAAATGCCCGCAATTTTCACGATGTATATTGTCCGGAATATCCCTCGCGTTTCCATCACCTCTTTTAATGAACATTTTTATTCGACTCGAAAGACATTTTTGATGTATCGAATTCTAATTTACATTTTTTTCATTTGGAATATCGATTTATACACGCAGAAAGAGAATTTTCTTTTAGAATTTAGCCTGAAAATCGATCATGGTAATTAATCGTGGGACAATATGATATTGGAAGAATTTTATATAAGAGTTTCTCTAATTAAATATCTACCACAATAAGATATAAAATATGTTTGATTAATTTTACTATGTATGTACATATTAATATTTTTTATTGTGGTAAGTACACTCTGAAAAAAATTTGTTAACTCGACTAAATCTTTCAACTAAATATTATTTTGTTATACAAAAATAGTTAAATTAAATATAAAATGGAATCTAACAAAATGTGTATATTTGACTTAAATACTAATATATGTTCAATTAACAAAATAATAATTTAATTGAAAGGTTTAGTCGAGTTAACAAATTTTTTTCAGTGTATTAATCAGAGAAACACTTACATTCTTCCATATTGCGATTAAATTCTAAGAGAAAATTCTCTCCGTATAGAGGCTTAATATTACGTATTTTTACGAGACATTCTAAAAAAATTTAATAATTAAAATTTTAAATCTGTCTGTGAAAAATTAATTTACTCTTTAGATTTATCTTAAATTATATCCCAAACTGCATTTATAAAATATCCTGTACAACGAGAGATTCGACACAGAGGCAGAGGACGTTGAGAACATACGACAAATTTAGTTTCCACGGTGTGATCTTTGCTCTCTTCTTATAATTCAGATAATTAAAGTTGCAAAGCGCTTAAAATAAGAACGGTATCGAAGGATTTGTGGCGCTTATCGAAACGAGCGACTGGAATTTCTTTTGTTCGTTTTATACGCTATTTGTATTTCATATTTCTCTCTTTTTTTAATGATTTGACCATTACGACGTGGTATCAATTTTGTCATGACATTAAGTTGTTCAACAATGCAATATAATATTCGCGATTGCGCTATACGATGGCAATGGTAATTCGAACCGCATATCGTGCAATAAACAAATAAATCGTTATCTGATAATGAGAGCACTATGTTTCATTAAAGCTTCTATTTAAACTGAAAATGAAGAGGGCACACCGATAACTTGGTTTATTTTCAGGCAAACAGAATTTATTAGACATCATTATGAGAAAAGTTTTTTTCGCTAAATATGCTATTTAATTAAATTTAACTCAATAAAAAGTAATAAACTGCGTAACTTAAAACTCGTGAAAAATAAGAAAAATCTGTATTTATTACGATTTCTACAACTTATATGATTTAAATGACATATTAATTAAATGAACAATTTTAGAGTTATTATTAACAAAAATTTTTCCAAATGAAAAGATATTTATTTTACCCTGCTTAATTGAAACAGTAGTTTTCCAGTAATTTTCTCTTTTCTTTATTTTTCCCTTACTTTTTACTTAAATTATTTCTGAAATTTTCAAATTAATACGAAGAGCATGCTCTCACCTTGAACTTTGTATATTTTTAAAACAGCATTACAAATAAGTCAATTCGACAACTTTACTATCATTAATGATGTAACAGCTAACAGTACTATAAGCAATAAGCAAAAAAGTTAAAAGTTCATGCATTATTTATAATATTTATATATATGTATTTTTTTCATACGTATCGAAAGCGTTTAGTTCAGGAATAATTTTATTATCTTCTTCAATAATGAAAAGACTCTTTAATTATTTTTATTTATACGAGTAATATATGTGATTCTTAATATATCACAATCGTAAAATTAAATACAAATAATTTTATACAATCGTAATTTAAATAATAAACATCCATTTTACTTTTTTATTGCTTTAAATATATGAAAAAAAGAATATTGCAATAATAATACATAATTTAAAACTTTGTTTTTGCAGAACATTTTACGTACGCGTGACTAAAATTAATTATATACTATATATAATTATTATAATATATATAATACAACAGATATATGTTATCGTTCGACTTTTTTTATTTTTTAATTCTGCTGACACAAATCAATCAGATATTATGAAAAAATTCTGAACGGAAACGATAACTCGATTTGTCAAAGCGATTTCTTTCCTCAGTCATGCTTCTCGATCCGTTACGACTTATCTAATCACGCACACCCAATTAGAAAAATGAAAATGGCATCGGAAAGAAGAATCCGAGCAGGGTCTAATGCCAAGGAGAAGAACCCTCGCCATGTCTGTCATGAGATACGAGTAAATGTGGAAATCTTCCGACTACAGATATTTTCTTACTGTTGACTCTTCGTCGGCGATATATCGACGAACGAAGCGATAACAAAAAGTCCGTCTCAGAATTACATACATTCAGAAATTAAAAATAAACTCGTTTTTCTGCGGAAATGGTTAATGTATTAATATATTTTGATATTCATCGCATGCAAAAAATTTATTTATTAATAGAAAAGATATTTAAATATCTCTATTTTATTGTGACATTGTTTACTCTCTGTATTATAAATTGATGTCTTATCTATATGTAAAATATTCAAAATTTTATAAATTACAAACGCGAATAAATTTACAATAATTTGATAAAATAAATTGTGTATCGGAGGAATATATATTAGAATACATAATAATATCTTGTGTTTTATAACGAGAAATATATACATTAAAATATTTCATTGTCATAAAATATTTAAAAGTATATTTTTAATTATGTTAATATAAAATGCCAGGAAAAAATATGCAAACGCGTAGTTTGTTGAACTCTCGCGTGGAAATTCACTAGACGCTCTAACTGCGTCTCGCACAAAGCAAATGGTCTTTTCTTGCGATAGAGCATTCGCAGATAAATTTGTCGAAATCACAAACACTCTCGTCTACTAATAAGACAAAATTATTGCGCGTCTGTTTAAAATCATTGCGATGCATCTGCGTCGTCAAAGGAAATCGTTGTAGTACTTAAAAATTGTTACTATAAAATTTATGAAATATGCAATATTTTTTTTCTGAACGCTTTATACAATAACAAACTTTGTAAATGTATTTTTCAATTTCGTTTCGCAATCTATTTCCCCAGAAAAAAAATTTGTCCAAACTATCAGCAAATCTTATTATTTACTTCAAGTGAATTTTATTATAACTACATTTTATTTTAAAGATTTTAGTTGTATTACGATATTTATTATATTGAAAGCTAAAGTAAGTTGTAAAAACGATAAGATATATGATCAGTTTTGTTAAGAAGAAATCCAAAATGTTTAATTGGCTGAAAACACATCTACGATGTTTATTCGAATCTTAAAGTATTTTATACATAGAAATAAAATATGGAAAATTAGCTTAAATTAATTATACAAAATCTATAGTTCTCACAGTGGATATGACGTATGGGCATTTGAATTTGTTCCAGACAGAAGCTGACATCGCCCAAGTGGAATCGCTTTAAAGGAATCAGATTGAGATGGAAGGACAAGATCAGATTAAATAATGTGATTTGGAGATGCTGGCACATGCAATGTAAGAAAAAAGAACATTTAGTACTTTTGTTATAATGAAACGATAAGCGAAATTATAATATCTTCTAATCTAAAATTGTTATTTATCGAAGAAATTTATTTTTTCTTTATTGATAAAACCGTAATAATAATCTTTGGAGGTTTGCTTCATTATCTTCAACACATCCACAAGTTTAATTATAATCTTCATTATGTATGTACATATTCTTAAAATGCTAAATCAAATCGAATCAATTTGAATCCTGAAAGTGCTTTTATATATTTATATTATACCATTCATTGAAGAGCATTTTATACAAGGGCGAAATAAATACATATAATTCGCGAGATTTATTTGAAATACAAATTCATATTTAAAATGGACTGACGGATTATAAATATGTCTCACTGATTTTTCATATTTAAAGGGACTTATAAATTTTGAAATTTATATCACGAAGCCTATCTTTTTTTTTGGTCAAAATATACCTGAATTTCATTCTGCTTCGATTCATTGACAGTTCAATTATCGTGATACGCAAAGTGCTGCTTACTCGAATTGATAGAATTGTCTTGCTATTCTTCAAACGAACAGATAAATAATTATCCATCTATTTAAAGAGTTCCATCTCTGCGTGCTACATTCGCACCAATAGTACTCATTCTGCTCACCTGGCTTACGTCCAACTAATCATTGCAAGCCGAGGAGGCTCGTTTTATGTGTATACACGTTTCTTAATCAACTAATCAATTCAACGAACATGAAAGATAACTTGAACGAGGTAGGAAGATAAGAAAATAATCCATAAAATCGGGAAAAAGGAGCAATCAACACGAGTACTTTTGGATTTAGAAAGACTATTTATAAAAATCACACTAAAGCTACTGAAACTATTAAAATTATATTGAAAAAATTTGATTAAAAAATATGGTCGAATTATATACATTTTATTTACGTGTTTGTTCTAATTATTTAATAGCTTTCCTTGAATATAGATATATAGATACACTAGGTATTTATTACATGAATCGACAGTAGTAAATGTATATTCAATCATATTGTGATCTCATTTTTTTTAAGTCTGCTTATCATCGACACGTTAATAATCGTAGTATCGTAGTTATAATCGTAATGTTAAGCATAACAAATTGAAATGAACTTAAAAACGATTTACGAAAATATATGAAGTTGCAATTTTTCTACTCGAGTTAAAACAAAATTATTTTAATATATCGTGTTTGAAAAATCGCGAAATTGGATTTTTTATTCCATTTAAATTAAAATTTGCAATTCTTATAAAGGATATTTTTTTTAGATAGCTTTAACAAAGTAGAGCAGACAAAAAAGGATCTCTTTATATACATATATATTAATATATGTAATAATTTAATATATATGTATTTGCTATATTTGATGGTTTGTGAAGGTACACATAATAAAAATTTTTTTTCTCTTTCAGTTATATTGAAACAAAACACGTTGGTGTGTCAGTTTGCGTCCCCACTTGACGTTGATACTCATAATAAACCCGAGGTATGTTCCTTATATCTAATGTCAAAATTTCGACAATATATTGCATTTTTATAAAACGCGCGATTAATTTATTATACAAAATTTACAATTTACGATAATCACGAAAAAAATTGTAATGTTCTACAATAATTATTCAATCTTAATGTCGGTAGCGGATCAAGCATTGTGCGCATCAATATTAATGATGATCATTAAATAGCAGCGATTTATATTATTCGATCTTACTGAATTACGCAATTGGAAAGTGTCTTTATCGCAATTGGCGGCGGCTTCGTTTGATTAGATAATTGCGTTGAAGCAGTTATAATTCCCTCGAAATGTCGCTAGCAAGACACATTTAGCGCATCATCGCGCACTCGAAGAAGTTAGAAAATTCCGAATAAGCCCGTCAAGTTGTAAACGTGATTTTTTTTATGTCTGATAATACGAACTACGCTTAGTGTGAGCGTGAATCAACGACGTATCTCTTTTATCAGGCGGTAGTCTTAGAGGGGAAATACTGGAAACGAAAGCTTGCAGCCGTTACAGCTGAATACAAGAAATGGCGCATGTTTTATCGAAACAAGATCCTTGGCTGGACGAACAAGGATGGTTCAGAGATGGTACGTAATATTATATTATATTTAATAATTATATATACGGAAGAGGTATTTAAAAAGATTCAATATTTCCATTGCTTTGGAGGGAAGAACATGGAATAATAATTAGTATGCAAATAAATTATACCTAAAATGAGAAATCTAAGATTTGAGAATAATTCGCTTTTAAAATTCTTCGAAATTTTAATCCGAATTTTTTTAAATAAATATTTAGATAGATTTTTTAAATTGTTTTCGATATATTTTATAAATACGCACAAGAGAATAATACGCTTGAAATAAAAATATGCTTGCTACCCCACTCTAAATTTCTTGGAGTGGAATCTCACTCCAAATCAGTAGAATCTCATTCCAAAATAGTGATATTCACTCCACTTTTTTGGAATGAGATCCCACTCCAAAAAAATTTAGAGAGCACGTTTTATTACAAATATATAAATACATAATACGTAACATGGTTTTAGATGGAGTCAATGGACATGCTAGATTGGAGCAATGGAGGCGGAACCACCGGTAATTTTGGAACGGGTATAGGGAATGTATTTGGTGGTACCAGTGGTACTCCAAGTGGCGAGAGTATGATGGTTGATGAGGATTACATGGAATTGATGACTGACACCCTCTTCTCGACCATCAGCTCGAACCAACCAATATATTTCCCCGATCCTAGAGAAATAGGTAATTTTTAATTTTTCTAAATCAAATTTTGCAAATTTTTTGTATGTAAATCTTCGGAGAATCCTGTGTTATTAAAAAATAACATTTTTATATAATATTCAATTAATATTGATTAGTAATATCGATAAAAGATTTAGTAATTGATTAATAATTATTTTTAATTAAAAAAAAAACATTTATTTCTGTAGAAGATTTTTTTGATTCTGCACGACATTCTATACGAGTATTATATAACATGAATTTATAATATGATTCGATAGCACGTGGTGCCAGTATAGCAGACTTCATGCAACCTAGTCTATGTCCTTTACAACCAACTCTGGACGATTTTATGGACACTTTGGAACCGTTGCAAGGTATATAATTATGATGTACATTGAGTTTAAGATTTCTCAAACAATTCGAAGAACGTTTCTTACATGTCGTATACTTTTTTTTATCTTGATTCAAGAATTTCTAAACTCAAAATTGCCTCCCGTACCTGAGGAGGACGATATGTTTCGACAAAGCAGTTTAAACACTAATTATTCTGATCTGGACCTGATGACACCAATTAATCAGATGAACGAAATAGGCGAGGATCCAACGACGATAAAGAACGAACAGACTTCGCAACAGCTACCACAGGAAGAGCAAGAGGCTAGTATGCAGAATCTCCAGTATACCGCCAAAATATATACTCAGCCCCAACCTGAATCAGCAAATGTATATAGAAATAACATGTAAGTACAAAATGATTACAATAAATAATAATTCATCTATACAATAAATAATAAAGTCTAACGATCATTCATTGATATATCATGCTTTTTTCATTTAGAGCTATGAATGAAGATTACAGTGCTATTCAGCCGAACTTCGAGTCTGCCACGACGAGCCAATCTGGACGAGAAAAGACTAGAAGTAGTAGGACGACGTCGAGAGGTAGCCGTATGATGCAGCAATCCCAACAACAACAGCAGAATACGTATCAAGCGACGAGCGCGTCGCAGCAGCAACAAAATCCGGGATTCCAGCAGCAGCCGCAATCTTACGCGATGGAGATTCAGACGGTACAATTAGCACCGATGCCGAACCAGCCGCAAACGGTGCAGATCACTGCGGCGCTAAATGATCAATCGGCGACAGTTAATGCCAATCAGATATCCTCGATCGCTGCCGCGGCCGTGCAAAATCTAGTGACGGTGCAGCAAAACTTCGCCGCGCAAGCTGGCAACACGCCGTTGCAGACTCAGCATCCAGCAATAAGGCCGTTACCAACCACCTCTCCGATGTCCTCCAGCAAGCCTTACAAAATCGTTCAGCCGCAGCAGCAGTGTTACAAATTTCCGAACCTTGTACAAAATCTCAATGCTCAACAGTGTAAATTTAACACTAATAATAGCTTCAAGGTAAAGCGACAATTATGCTTGCCGAATTATCTCGGTCGAATTTACGGTCGAGACGTAAAGAGCTAAAAAGACATATTGTGTTTATTTTTCAGACACATCCCACGCAACAAGTGGTATCGGTTTCTTCGACAGAGCAACCGTCACAATCGCAGATATTGCTGCAATGTAGATCTGCCGGTTTGGATCTTACAGCGCCCGCTTTGCACCCAACTAAACTGCTACCTCAACCGACAACGTCCAACGCGGAAAAAGAAGATATATTTTTACGACCTAAGGTCCATATCATGCGTATATATAGTAATCTACGTTTTGACAAGTAAAATATTTTTGAAACGGTACAACTAGACAAAAAAATCATGTTAAAGAGTGTATATCTTTAGCTCTTTACAAATAGCACTTATATTTTCTAAATACTTGGAATTCTAATTAGCTCTTGCGATTAATTTAAAAATTAATCTACAACTTTTGAACTTGTTTAATTGTATTATTTATACAAAATTAATTGAAAAATATTCAATTATTAAAAAGCTTGTTGTATTTCTTTAGATACAAATGAAAGGAAGGAATAGATCACGAAGCAGTTCCTCTTTAACAGCCCCCAGGATACATCCACCATTGGTATCCGCAGTGAGCGATCCAGCTCTGAATCTGAATAATAATGTCTTGCTTGCACATTTGCTCACAAATAGTACGTATTTTTATCATACTGTTACTATTCATACAAGAAAAATATGCACACCTTTATCAGATTCATAACTACAATTGACATTATGTATCAGTATAATAACTAAATTTAATTAATTTAATATATTAGTAAAATAAATACTTGATAAGAGTACATCGACTAGTTCTCAACCACTGTTATTTTTATGATAGAAATAACACAAGTGACGACTGCGCAACATATCACAACCCCAGTGACTGTTCAAACGATACAAACTTCTAGCATACCGCAGCAGACGCAAACGCAACAACAGGTATCAAAGAGAAATGTCACTCAATTTATATATATTACAACCCATTCAAATTCGTTAAAGATCAATTATTTATATCTTCTTGCAGGCAATGCAACCATCTACAACCCAACAAATCCTTCTAAACGCAAACAACCAAACGCACCAGTCTCAAAATAGTCCTAGTTCGCCCAAAGATAGCAGTTCTAATGCGCACAGCCCCCAAGCTTTAAGCCTCAGTCCTTTGCATAGTCCCATGAGTATAGGTAGTCCTTTATCGCCTACTCGTGGATATATAAAGGGTGAATCAGAAAGAGGACAATATAAGGAGCAGAGACGTGTCGGACACATTCATGCGGAACAGAAACGTAGATATAACATCAAGAATGGTTTCGACATGTTACACAGTTTGATACCGCAACTCAGTCAAAATTCCAACGCAAAATTAAGCAAAGCCGCAATGCTGCAGAAAGGAGCGGATTACATTCGGCAACTCAGGGCAGAAAGAAATCAATTGAAAGAGGAAATGGATAATCTGAGACATCAGATCGAGTGCCTTAATGCGTCTATTAGGTATGTTCAAATAATACTAATCTCAATAAATAAAAAAAACAAATACTTTTTATTCTGAAAATAATACAACAAGTATTATATTTATATAAATTAACTAGTCTTGAATCTTTCATAACGAAATAATATTCTTGTAGTAATTGTCAATCTATGCTTCCTGCAACGGGTGCTCCAGTTTCTAGACATAGAACCAGCAAAATGAAAGAGATGTTTGATGAATATGTACGTACGCGCACACGAGAAAACTGGAAATTCTGGATTGTATCCTTTTTTTCTTTGACATCAAAATGTCAAATGTCAAACTCGAAGTAAGCTGTGCAGCAAAATATGTATAAAACTCTAGAAGATCAGCTTCCTTAACAAAATAATCAGTTCAGTGCATTGCTGGAACCGTTAATGTTGTCCTTCAATACTTCAGTCTCAACTGCGAGTATCGAGGATTTATATAGAAGTACAATATTGTGGGTAGAGCAACATTGCTCGCTTGTCGATCTCAGACCAGGTTTGTATATAGAGTGAGGACGCCTAAAAAGTGCACATATATACTCTATTCTATAGTGTATCTTTTAAATATTTTATTCTACAGATAAAAAGATAGAATAAAAATAAGAATAAAATATCACAAAATAAATAAACATACGCACATGCATAACAAATATTTTTATCTATTTTAACTAAATTATCATTTTCAGCTGTTCTGAATTCTCTAAGGAATTTGTGTACTGCCACTGATATTTTATCAGATCCGGCCCGTCTACCTGAAGAAGCACTCGCGGCAGTTAATCGGTCGGAACGTCGATGATCCACACAGTGATCAAGTGCGCAAATTCTTGTTACAATCTGTTTGTATAAAAATGTTCGAGGTTTAGATATATACGAATGTAAGGGAGATGATAGTTACCGTATAGCTTAAATTATAGTCTATGCAAAACAAAATAAATAATGAAGAAGTTTGTTATTTGACGATAACAGAAATGCAAACAAAGAAATAAAAATAAGTGCAATTCCTCTTTTTATTGCGATATACGAAAATTGTAAAATTTATCACAGAATATTATATAAAAAAAAGTTTTATATTACAAATATAATTGAATAAAATATATACATATATATAAATACATGTATTATATGTATGTATATATTATATGGTACAGTATATTGGATATGTGTACTGACAACATAATACATCAATATATAGCACATTCTCATTCACAGATAATGATTTTTTGGTAAAAGAAACATTTCATATTTACTTTGTGTAATAGTATTTAAATTTGCATTAAAAACGCAATACTAATAATAAACATATATATCTTAACAATATCATTTTATAAAATATCTACTTACAGTAAAGAGAAAAAAATTACTTACATGTTTATATGCAATTATTCAATAATAGTAAATTAATGATAAACATTTATACTATGAATTTTTACATTATGAAGAAACTCATTCTGCTTTTTGAAATGTCCAGATTATAAAGATGGTGATTGATAAATAAGATTATTAATATGTAAAAATTTCGAATTTTCACTGTGATAAAAGGAATTAATTGAAAAAAAATTTCAAATTATTTTTTTTAATTATATAAATATATATTATATAATATATATCATTATATTGATATAATATATATTGTTATTACACGATGGAAAAATGTTACATTGTAATTATTAAATTACTGCAAATTTATATATACCATGAACAAATAGTTCAAAAATAAATTTGGAGAAATTAATATGCGATAAGAATTGAATAACAAAAAATAATGGAATCGGTGCTATATAAATTAATGTCAATGTCTGATTATAGTCAAAGACGATTCAGGAGTTTAAAAAAATTTGAGAAGAATAAAAAAAAAGATAAAGTGCAAATAATTTTCTTAATATAAATTATCAGTTTGTTAAATACGCTGTTAAATTATACTTCAAAATTGTGCTAGGAGGATTATGTAAACTTTACATAGAATTAATGATTATGTAAACAATATAAAAAGGGGGTTGTTCACAAATTACACGTTTGCACTGTTACGTAATATGAGATCTTTATTAAATTAAATGAAAATTCATGAATGTACAAATCACTTACAAAAAGTTTGAATGCCGAATATAGTTTAAGCTACAAAAGAGACTTCTGTATATTGTAATATTTTTTGTTAATGTATATAGTCAAATTTATAATTCGAGGTAAGAAAACAAAATTCTTTAAACTGACATTTTATTGTATTGTATACTTTGCGATTTTATTTTAGATTTATACAGAATATTTTTTTCTTTTTTTTTTTTCAAAATACAATATATGGAAACTCTCTCACATAGACAACACACTCACATTGTGTATGTACATGTATAAGTGATAAATAATATTAAGTGAACTCGTCGAAAAGGGATGTTTTTTTGTACAATATGTATCATAAAGATTCACATGTTATTATTCCAATGTTATAACAACATGAAGAAATCTGAATTATTGTATTTTTTTCTATACCTGTACACACATACGTCATATTTAATTATTATAAATAACAATCTTATATACATATATGACCACTTTGAAACATACTCCTGAATAAGTCTATATTAAACAATAAAAGATTTTTGAAGTTTTCTTCATATTACCTGATATAATTTGACAATTTTTATCTCTAATTTAATTTAAACAAATATACAATGCGATAATGTAAATTTGAATAACATTTAAAACTACCTTGAAGAAAACCAAAGAAAAATTATGAGTAGCATTAAAAGTAATGCAAATCTAATTATAATTTACAATTTTATTTAAACAATGATTCAATATTAAATGTTTTTGTATAAAAATATTAATTGTCCAGTAATTCTATCCTTAATTTGAAAAATTGGAAAACTCGTAATTAATTTTAAATAATTAACAAATGAATGCTAAAGTAGAACAACCATAACATACCAAGTATAACTCAAGATTACAATTATCAGGTATTATCATGAATGTTGGCACTTTGGTGCAATTGAATGTATGAATTTTTACACTCTCATCAATTAATTCTTTCACTTCTTGCATGGTGTGACCAGTTAATTTTAGTCCACAAGTTGCACAACTTACATCTTTATTTTTTTCTTGTAACATGTCTTTCTGACATATAGGACAGAACACTTCTTTGCTCTCGTTATCAGCATAGATTGCCAAAGATTCAATCTCATCGTGTGAAAATTTTTCATATTCTTGAAGTATCCATTGTTCTGGAAATTTATTTACAATAATATTAAGTACTTTCTTCCAACTTTATTATTACAAGTAACAAATTACTGAAATGTAATATTAATCACACCTTGTTCGTGAACAATTTCATTTTCCAATCTAAGAGCCTCTTCCTGACTTAAAGGTTCATCAATTTCTTTGAACGTAAGACTTGTGCCACCATCATTTGATGTTGCCAGATTCTTAAATTCTTGACGTATTATTTCTGTCAATTTACTCTGCATATGTATAGAATCGAATTGTAAACCAACTCTACTTCTGTTGAACAATTGATGTCGCCTCTCTTTCATTCTCTGACGGCATTTCTGAAAACAGATTGAAAAGAGTAGTAATTATAGCAAAAAAAGCTTTACATGTACGCAAAACAGTAATTAAAATTAAAAATTCTCTTATAAATTAATTCTAATAAATATTTTTGCAGATTTAGTATGAAAGGTCTAGAACACATAATAAACAAAAACTTAACCAAACTTATATTATTGAACATAATTTCAAATATTATAGTAAGAACATGGATATAAAATAATATTTTATGCATATTTTTTTAAAAAATGCATATCTTTGCACTATGTTTCAGCTCACTATTTTACGAAAATCTTAAAAATAGCAAAAAAAAGAGTAACACATTAATTTTCCAACCTCTCGCAACACTTCCTGCAACTTTGGTGAACCGTGTCTAATTTTATTTATATAATCCTTGTTCTTTATTTTTGTTGTGGGACTGAATGCCATAATTTTGTCTCTGAAATAAAATTAAATTGTGCAACGGATTTACTTCTCTTCGAGAGAAGAACGTCAAATCTTTCGTTTTGGTGTACTACAATGTTTCTCACGCATGCGCGATGTCTACAACCTTAAATTTGAAATCTGTTTTTTTACTGAAGGATAGTCTGCAGAAAAGTTTATATAAATTAGAATTGATTTGAATAATTAAGTAATTGAATCAAAATAAATCATATTAAAAAAAGCTAAAAGAAATAAGAAAAAATCTCTCTCTATATTTTTAAATAAATTTAATTATCAGATCACAGATGTATAATTAACTGCAAAGTTCTATACATATGTCCCATATGTATAGAATTTTGCATTTTTAACATTGCAATTAATTATACATAAATAATATTATTACAAAGCAAAAAACGCAAACTATACCATCAAACTACTATATAATCACAAATAAACTTATATTAAAATTCTTTGGGGTATTAATGTAATAGAAATTCGATCTAACAATACGCTTAAGTTTTATTCACATTATGATGGTTTGTCTATATACAGAAAAAAATAATGACAGCAACAAAGACGTTGATCTGTTATTTCCAGTCGAAAGAACAGCAGATGTTGACTAAACGCATTTATACGAATGTAAGGCGTGTTATTCGTACACGTCTTCTTTGTCCGCGATATAACGCACTACATCTCTAGGTCTTAATAGTCTCTGCGCATCCATGTCTGGAATCTCGAAACCAAATTCGTCTTCCATCGCCATTATAATTTCCACATGATCCAGAGAATCTAGACCTAGATCGTCGATGAAATGTGACTCCAAGCTCAGCTGAGGGGAGAGAATACAACATATTATTAGAATTTTATCGCATATATCTGGGCTTCCTGCACAACTGACATGTCCTAAGAATCAGTAAAATTGATAGAGCCAGATATATAAAGAAAATAAATATTTAAATATGTGTAAAATGTTTTAAAAAGAAAGAAAGATAAATATCTTTTTTATCACATATTTTGTTTTAGTGATGTGTGATAATCATTATATTCAATTAGCAATAATTAATAATAAAAGGTTTGTATCCACATGTCAGTACATATGCAGACGCCACGATCAAGCGAGGTGTTAACCAACTATTCTTTATTTTAAAAGCTATTTTTTAAGATTTCCAGCAAATTTATAGAAAGAAAAAACATACTATTATATTATATATGTAAAAATTATATCAATTATTCTTAATATTGAAAAGCTATATGTATTCCAAAAGCCAATACATTTGCATATATTATATTGAATCTATTACTCTAGAGACTGAATATACTGAGAATATACTAATCTCTTGTAGGTACCTTCGCGAGTTCAACTTTGTCATAAAGTTTCAGAACTAAGAGCACCCGCTGACTGATAATGTCAAGGGTTAGCGGATCCTTATGGCTGTAGTGGCGCACCTGCTTGATGCGTGTGTCCTTTAAGCCCTGTAAAATTTTTCCCATAAAAAAATATATTTATGTAACCTTTTCTGTGAGGCCTTCATTATAAACAGCCACAGCTTTCAATACACGTTCTTCAATATCCTTAATAGATTTTGGTTTTGTTTTAACATCCTGACAATATCCACGATTGCACTTCACCTGCATTTAGTATAAAAAATTTTGCTATTTTAATGTTTACAAAAGGTTATTCTACAAAAGAGTTTAGTTATATTCCACTAAACATATAAAGCACATCTTTTTATATCTCTTTAAATTATTGTCATTTAAACTGATTAAAAATTGACATCTTATATAAATCTAAATACAATAGAAATATAATAACATAGATGAGAATTTGTTAGATTGTAATATAAATTTAAAAGTAATAATTAAATGTTTTAAATATTAAAAAAATTAAATTAAAAATTAAAAAATTGAAGCAAATATTCAAATTTTAAATGATTTACTTTAGAACAAGATATAGTGATTTAGAAATGCTTATTAATAAATAAAAGATTAATTTTTAAATTAATTTCTAAATTCTCATCCTTCTAGTTTTCAATTTACATTTCCTAAAATATGTATTTTTCCACAATAAACACATATTCGCATACACATTTATTCTACTGAAAAGACAATAAGAAATAACACATTGTGTTATGCTTTTCCTTGTAAAATCGAATAAAAGAATTTTTAGACTGCAGAAATTTAAGGAAAATATAAAATTGCAGGTCAATCGCTGCATCTTGATAAATACGTCAGATCTTCGGTTATATAATGTGCATTTTACAAAACAACACGTCGCGCGAGGATTCGCGCAGCGGAGTCTCGGGCGTCCCAGAGCCGAGGAGACGACGTCCTCGGACGTTTACCTGTGCGACGACGAACGCGGTTTGTCCGGTGCTGTGCGACAGCCTCTGCTCGCGTTGTATCTGAATAAACGTGGTGCTCGCACAACGCAGCCGGCCGCTGATCGAGTTCCTGAGGCAGCCGGCACTCCTCGCCAACATACGAGCGCACGTGAGCGATGCCATTTTTCACTCCACGACGAAGAATGAGAAACAGCAAAAACGACGACGACGATGACGACCACGAGGACAACGAAGACGTTTCTATGGTTGGATTTACTCTCTCTCTATCGTCTATCAGAGAGAAACATCCACAAAGATTCGCAGCACGTGGTGACATCTACTTTCTTCAGGGTGCGTTCGAAAAATTCCTGCTCGTAGGAGCAGATTTCTTTGCTCTGATTGGTCGATTCGAAGCTACTCTATCTTATGAATAAGATTTTTGAAATCACTCTTTTTATTATTCTTATCAGAGAAGCGCAATAATTGACGCGATAAGTTTTATATATTTTTATTTTTAGACGTCAAATGTCAGTCTATATATGTAATAATTTTTATGCAACATTGCGCGGAATTAGTATGTGAAATGTATCAAATAAATTACGTATAAATAGGAGGCAAAAATAGAATTTATTATAAAAATTATTTATAATTATAAGCGATAGTATAACTTATTTTTAAATGTGATGAAGAATAAGAAATTATTAAAAATAGACAAGTATTTATATTTATATTACTATTATTATTCAAACATGTAGTTTAAATATCAATATATATTTGTTACCTATATTAAAAAGAAGCTGCACAATTCTTGTTTGTAGCATCTTAAATATATCTTTAATATGGCCATTGCAGTAAATGTGCAATTATTGATACAAACATAAATTATATTATTTTTTGCGTTAATCTATATAATGAAGCCATACATATACATATATATATATATATATAATTAATATAATTAATGTTGCATATGTATGTATAACAAGTGTTTCAAAAATATATTCGCAAATATATATATTTCCATACTGCCTCACGCATTCAAAAATTATCAAGTGTTGTTTAATACAAAAAAAAGTATAACAAAATATCTTTTTACAATTTTAAAACGAATATACTACAAAAAGAAAAATAAAATTCTTAATTATTGAACTGTTATTTCTCTTTATCTAACATTAACTGTTGCCTCAATCTATCTAACGTGAGCGGCAGTAGAGTGACAAATTCCTTGGATAATTTGATAAATTCGTATTTTTTAAATTGATCTTGAATATCCGAATGCTTGTCATAATAATTAACAATAAACGAATAAGCCTCGAGGCTCTTCTCTATGTTTTCTATCTTCTGTTCTAGGACGGAAGTTATGATCTTATTGAACAATCTTCCAATGTGGAAGTAAGAGTACAACGCTTGATATAATTCACCATTCGAGAAAGACGCGATGCCATCGTTGGATTCTTTCATCTCCAAAGAATTCACGTACGACTGGTAATTCTTTATGCTGCTTCTCGCCAAGCGTTCAATCTTCGCTGTCATCTGATCCGTTGGTTTTTGATTGAGCGCTTGCAAACGATCTATCTTTATGTCCAGGATCTCCGAATACGTTTCCGCTAATTCAAGCCAGATTTCCCGACAAATAACTCGATAAAATCGTGGACTTAATCCTTGACTAACTTCCTCCAAAATGTCTATTCGCCGTTTATGCATCTTCGCCTGCCTGTCTTCCTTCTCTTCGTAGAATGCCAGATACTTGTATGCCTGAGACATGTCTTGCGCAATACGCGCGTAATCTGATGCATGATTTTCAAAACCATAATACAGTTTTGCCTTATTTAGCCATTTTTGAACATTCAGGAATACTGGTCTAGCATCATCAAAATCCAATAGGTACTTATCTGTGATTTCACTGGTAATTACTTCTAATTCTGGTTCTAGATCTATGAATTTTGGATTCTCTGTAGCTTCGTTCGCGTAAGAGTATTTGTCGACTTCATTGGAAACTTCTGCATGCTTTGAATCATCCAATTCATCTTCCTGATCAGCTCTTTTCATTAATCTTTCCTTAGATGTACTTAAAAGGGCAATACCATACTTTGCCCAGCATCTAGCAATGTCTGCTGATCTGTGACAGAAATTTTCGTTTTCTGGAGCTGTGCTCTCGCATTTTTCGGTGTTCTTTGCTTTCAAGATCTCTGAGTATTTCTCTAATACACAGGACGCTGCAGCTAGATGATGCCTTGCTTGTGGAAATTTATCATTTTCTATAAAATATTGAGATATTGTCGCGGCATTTAAGGCCCACTCGATATAATCCAAATCTTGTGTTATTTTACTTTGGCTTAATTGCTTGCTCAGTGTTCTGTGACAATATAATGCAAAATTACATTTATCATCTAGCTCACGGCACACCTGTGCTAAATAATACAACGTTAATGTGTGAAGCTTCTCAAGAATATTTTTAGCGCACAAGTCACCCTCTATCTCTTCGATACCCATGATGGTCATCATATGAACAGGATCAAGTCGAACTTCTTCTGTAAACTTAATGTATATGCTTTCTGCTTGTTCTAAGAAATCTTTAGCCTCCTGATACAAGCCCTGTTGTGCGTAAACTATACCCATTTGATTGTTAGCACTTATAGCTGGTAAAATGCCTTCGGATGTCAGTTTATATTCTTCTAATAGATTGATACACCTCGTGAAATATTCTTTGGCAATTTCAGTATCTTGCATGTCAGCTTGTAAGATGCCTATGTTTAAATGAGTTATCGCAATCATTACAGTGCAGACAGTTTCTTTGGTAAGCACATCCAGTATTTCTGTTAATATCTCCATAGCTTTACATTTTCTTTCATAGAGTTGATTTGGATCGCACTTTGCTTCATGTTCCTTCGTCAGTACCTGAACCTCTTGATATTTTTCTTTTACCCATGATCGTGTGTAATCAGTTATTTCAAAATTATTATCGCTTTTGTTATCCATTTTATTAGAAATACTTTGACAACAAATGGCTTTATATATCTTTCGGTTTTTTCTTTTTTTTCTTTCTCTCTCTTGAAGTATCCAATTAAATTAGAAATTTTACCATCCACATATAGATTTTATTATATTTATCTTAGAGAGATATTCAAGATGACACAGATCAATTACAATCCTATGATGATCCTATGTAAGTTTTGTCTATTAACAAAAATAATTATATATGTTTATAAATATTTGAACATTTGAATTATTGTTTTGAAAACTATTGAGAATCAATGAATAATTATTATGCATAATCGTACCGTCAGAACTCGTAATCTTGTCCTATTAATGATAGGTAGCTCGAAACATAAAATTCTCACGATGTCATTGCTGTAATAAAACACTTGTCTCGTATTGTTTAAATACTCGTTTGCACCTTTAAAACCATATATGCTTAAAACTCTTTTAGTGTTTTGTTGCTATAAGAACCAGGGGCGTGCTGTTGCATTTCTCGAGGCGTGTTTCAAAATCTTCCGTTGATTGGAAAAACGTTTAATCGACCAATCGCGACTAGAGGCGCAAATATTCTTTCGTTCCGATTGGTCAATTAAACATTACTCTTCCTCCGAGGAGAGAATTTTTGAACGCACCTTTAAAATGACAAATTCATATATAAATATATATATATATACATATATACACGTACATATAAAATATATATAATATATATACTAATAATATAATAAATAATTATAATAAATAATATAGATAATAATAATAATATTAATATATATATATATATATATATATATATATATAATATTATTATATATATTAAATATAATTATTTTATTTGCCAAAATTTCGATCAGAATTAGAGCGATATCGATAACGATATCTCCGCAGCACAGTGACATTTAGCTGTCACCGCGTGGCAAGCGTGTATTCTTCGCGAGTGGCAGCTCGGAAAGCAGCTGATGACGGTCGCTCGCGCAGGTAGAGAAAGAGTCTGTCGTCGCACAGTTGGTGTTTATCTTCATCGCGAGGATTCTTTTTTCGTTTCGCCGCGAGACGAAAAAGGCATCATCGGCATAATTACGGACGAGGTCTCGGATAAAGTGCGCGTGCCGCGTCGTCTCGTCAGTGCCATATGTATCTTTGTCGACGACGTTGCTCGATATGTGGGTGAAGCCGCAAGAGGTGCTGCTCGCCAACGCATTCTGGTAAAGTCGCACGGGCTTTACGCGCGTTTCGTTAATTCATTACATTTTATCGCGATCGGCAAAATTAATTCACTCGTCGATTATCGTCTCTCAAGTTGTTGATTATATGTCAAAACGTGTTGTACGGATTTTTGTTGAAATAGCGATCGGCGGCACAACCGTTCTGAATGTTTACATCGTGTCAAAAACACAGCTGATGGGAAGTTCCCTCTCAGGGGAGCTCGATTTTTATCGCAATGTTAATTACTCATTGTTTATTAGCGTATAAATTTGCGTCTCTTTGAGATAAGAGAGAAATATTAGCGGGCATTAACGTAAAGTCATAATAAAATTGTATTTTTATACGCGAACTACGTAGATAACGAAAAAACGCTAGAAACTGTAAAAATGTGTATATAAATTTGATGCCGTATTTTGTCACGCAAATATCTGGTATCGCGTTTGATAAGCGGCGATATTGGCATTAACGCGTATCTTCAAATGTGTATATGCTTTGTCTCAATAACAGTTAATATATAATATATAGATATTAATAAAATAATTGTGGAATTAATAATAATTGTTATTAATAAAGTAAGTTTAATAAAGTAATTATGAATAATAATAATCCAAACATGTGTATGCTAAAATAAATAAATATTTTATGATTTTTTAAAATTTCTATTTAAATAATATACTTTGACAATCAACTTTTAATTATCTAGTTGATATCAATGGATATTATATTTACTATTATTTTTTAGATATTTATTAGAGACATTTAGTGTGTGAAAATAAATTTCTTTATTTTAATTATGCCCTGAAATATGAATTTATATTAAATGATAATTATTTTAAAGACTGTTTTCTTTTTCAAAAAACATAGATAAAATATATTTAATTAATGCATATACATAATTAAAATATTAGTGAAATAAAATTACTTGTTATTTTGCAATAGGATTAGTGAGCAGGAAACCGTATATTTTGTTTTACAACGTCGCAAAGGACATGGAAAAGCAAAAGGTCTCACCTCTATACTGGTGGGCACATTGGATAGTGTCTTTGACACTAAACCACCACCTTTTAGAATTCTTCATCAAACACCATCATCTGAAGTTTATTGGGGTAATGTATTATAATCAAATTTGAATAAAGTTTTCAAAAGTATAGTCTTGATAGATAAGATAGATAATATATTTTAAAAAAGAAAAAATAGAGAAAAGGAAATAATTTTTACCTGAACATAACTTTAATCAAATTATGTATTTATGCATATGATTGTTATTGTATTGTTTCTATACGTGTATTGTATGCAGATTTTAAAAAATGTAAGGGCAATATGTATACAACATATATGTACGCAAGCATTATTTTAGTAGCAATGATAGTAGGACAATAACCGATAACAGCCTGAATTAGCATAAACAAATGCCAGCTGTGTAAAAAGCAGATGTTGGAGGATTATAAGAAGTTCAATATTCTCTTTCATCTATATATAGTTTAGTTTTATATCTGTGCACTTATGACTTTGAGAAATTACTGAAAATAGATTGTCTTTGTTTTAAGCAATCTGAATCTTTAATATTTTTTTTATATTGGATATTTATAGAGGTGGCATGTTCCTTGACTCGTGAAGAGATTTTGCAAGATTGGGAATGGCTTCATACAAATTTAATGACTACACTCACATCGTTCGATACCGAGGAAGAGATAACGGAATTCGTTTGCTGTAAAATCCAATCCATAATAGCAAATAGCATTCCGGATTCTCAATTTGCAGATGGTAGAATTATTCATTATTATATAAATCTGTTTAACAATATTATTGTAAATGTACATAAATTAAATATTGATATTGTTTGCAGAAGAAGACCCAGAATCTTTTAAAACTATGTCTTTTAAATTTCACCAATTGTTCAATATACCAAAAGAGGACAAATTGGTCAATTATTATTCATGCAGGTCTTTAAATTTAAAATATATAGTATTGAATATATAATTTAGGCTAAATCGTTAAACGTTATCTTTTTCTCTTAGTTACTGGAAATCTCGATTACCTAGACAAGGATGGCTCTATTTATCTGTAAATCACATGTGCTTTTATGCTTACATATTGGCAAGAGAAACAAAGTTGATTGTAAGATGGACAGATATTACTGAATTAAGCAAAACTAATGCCCTTCTAGTTCCAGATAGTATACGTGTCGTAACGCGTGACAATAAAGAGGTAAACATTAATATGCATCTCTTTACATTTCTATGTATTATTATTTTATATATATGACAGTTAATCAACTTCAACATTCATCTTCTGTGTATTACAGCATTATTTTTCTATGTTTTTACATAAATCTGAAACCTATTCATTAATGGAACAACTGACCAATATTGCTATGAAGAGGTATTTGATTATTTCTAACATCTATTGTGTATAAAAAACATATCTTCACGAATTTTATTAATATCGATTTTTACTCCTGCTTTCCCCAGGCTCATTGATGAAAAAAGTGGATTCAATGAGGATAGAGATTTATTGAATAAATTAAGGTATATTTTGATATACATTTATTTTGATATACATTTGTTTTTCAACAAATTGGATTAAAGAATAAACATTGAATTAATTTTTAATTTAGCAAAAACGTGCCTAAGAAACCATCTTTCTTGAAGAGAGATCTTGATGCACGAGCACATTCAGAAGCATACAGGCTTCAGTTTAGATTGCCAGGAACTGAAAAGTTGGATGGTAGTATTGATGCAACCTTATGGACTCCATATAACAAAAAATACGTCTGGGGAAAGATATACTTATCACAAAATTATCTTTGCTTTGAAAGCAGAGTAAATATCTTTATAAAATATGATATATACAAGCATTAAATATAAATATAAAACTAATAATATTTGCATTTATCTAGGTAAGAAGACAAGTTAGCTTAGTTGTACCTTTGAGGGAAGTGACACTCGTTGAATCAGCGGAAAATCAGTCTAGTGCAGGAGCGGATAAGTCGATACTGGTTACGACGTCGCGTTCATCCTTTCTATTCGCTCAAATCCACGACAGAGATTTCGTTGTGCAAAAAATCTCGGAGCTCCTAGCAAAGTCCAAGCTTAATTATATGTATGTGTTGCATTATAGCACGATATTTTCTAGCTGATATAAAATATATAATATACGATACACAAGAATACACGAATTGTAATCTTGTTACATGCTTTATGATGTAGAACTAAAGATAACGTATGTACGTCAAATTCCTCGAGCAGTAACATTAGCAACTGCGAAGAAGTGAAACCTACAGAACAATGGAAACCTCAACCGCCGTTAATGATGCTTTTCAAAGCTCCATTGACCCCCGAAGCCGCGTTGAAGCAAGAAGCTAAAGAGAAACAATGGGAGCTTCATTTTGCAGAATATGGAAGGGGAATAACAATGTATAGGACTACGGAAACGTCAAAACTCGTTATTCAAGGAATACCACAATCCCTTCGAGGAGAAGTTTGGCTTACCTTTTCTGGTAAAGATATATTTATATATATATATATATAAACGATTCAGTATATCAAATAATAAATGTGACTAACAAATTTTATTACAGGTGCTTTAAATGAAAAAGCAATGAATCCAGAATTATATAAATCGCTTGTTGAACAGGCTCTTGGTAAATCGTGTCAAGCAAATGAAGAAATCGAAAGAGATTTACATAGATCGTTACCAGAACACCCTGCTTTCCAGTCCGATACTGGAATCAGCGCTCTACGAAGGGTACTTTCTGCCTATGCATGGCGAAATCCTCAGATTGGCAAGTTCAATATTTTCTCTCTTTATGACAGTAATTTTAAATTTTTATGTATCTAAATTGTTCAGATTTTGTTAATAATTTTAAATTGTTTTAAATTATTAAAATAATTATATTTGTTTTTTATATACCTCTAGTTTTTATATTTAAATTATTAATTAATTTTATATTAATATTAATAATATTAATATAATATATATTATTAATAACTATTAAATATTAAGACTATTGAAAGTCAATATCTTTAAAATAAAATATAAAAATTTCTTAACATTTGTTTATTAGAAATAATTATATAATTTAATGATATTGTCATTTGTTAATATTAAATTGATACGAGAATACATTAAGAATTTTTCATAAATGTTTTTACAGGCTATTGTCAAGCAATGAACATAGTGGCATCGGTCTTGCTAATCTATTGCTCTGAGGAATCAGCATTCTGGCAGTTATGTAATGTTTGTGAGTCATTACTACCTGATTACTATGATCGGAGAGTAGTCGGTGCTCTCGTTGACCAAGGTCTTTTAGAGGAATTGGCTGCCGAGCATTTGTCAACTTTACACGCCAAGTTACAAGAACTCGGCCTAATAAAAGTTATCTCGCTATCTTGGTTTTTAACTATATTTTTGAGCGTCATGCCAACAAGTAGTGCCGTGAATATTATGGATTGTTTCTTCTATGATGGAGCAAAAGTTATATTTCAGGTAAGAAATTCGACGAAAAATTCAAAATTTGCCATATAATGTGTATCTCAAAAATTTTTAATTAGAATATATATTTCAAAATGAGATCTCTTTCTCATTTATTAAATTATAATAATGACATTTAAAATAAATAGAGCATTCTTATTGAATTAGATAGCATTGACAGTGTTGGCATGGAATCAAGAGAAATTACTCAACTGTCGTGATGATGGAGAAGCTATGCAACTGTTGACAGATTATCTTGGCGGTGTTTATAACGATGAAGGTCCAATATTTCCTCGACCAATTGATAGCACGTCACCCAATAAGGCAAGAAAATATATAATACATAATATATTTTATTTTTTATACATTTAACATGATGATTGATAAATTATAATATAGCTGAAATATATTGATTATTGTAGAGTATATCTGTCCAAACATTAATTTACGAAGCATACTCGAGATATGGATCCCTAACAATCGGTGGGATAGAAAGATTACGCCTAAAGCATAGACTTAGGGTAGTTCAAAGTCTTGAAGATGGAATAGAAAAGAATGTAATCAGAAGCGTTATTGTTGACAAATATATGAAAATGGAAGAATTGCAGGTAACGCAAATTATTATATTTTATGCTTAATTTATGATTAGATTATATTTTATATAATCTAAGTTCAGAATGTGATTGCGCAAATACTTTAATTATTATGTGTGAATATATGTTTACAGGAGTTATTAAGCTTAGTAAGAGAAGAACTAATGAGTCAACGAAAATCTGAACCTGATCGCTACGATCCAACCCAGCCGCCGTACGAAGCGTATAAAGTAGATTTTGATTTATTCAGACTATTATTTGGTGGCCTGTCTCCATGGGGAAAATGCACTCAGGCTGAATCTCTCTCCGCTCGATTATTCCGTGTAAGTTCGATCTTTTTAAACAAATCAGTTTCTCACTTAATTAACAACAATAAGCTTGTACATATATAAAAGTTATGTTTGTTCAAAAACTTTGTATTTTATTAACTCTTTAAGTGCAGCGCATTTTATTTGAAAATCATTGTCCATAATCGCATATTTACAACTTTTGCAATCGATTTTTGAGAACGCATGTACATGTTCGTAAATGAGAGATTGCTTTTACAATTTTGGTTACAATCAATTACACGCAATATAAAATTAACATTAATTCAGTATTCATAGTCATCTAAAAATATCGTTTTAGTTGATGGATCGTAATCGCGACGGTTTGCTAAACTTCCGAGAACTAGTGCAGGCTATAGGAATGACAGCGACAGCTGATCTGACACAAAGATTAAAACTGCTGTATACATTGCATTTGCCGCCGCTTCTTACGCCTGTTGATTTCGACTCACCGACACATTCGGCAGGTAAATATTCAGCAATTTATGTAACTAATATATTTTAACGTGGTGTGTGTGTGGCACTTTTTATTTATATATGTGTTGTACATGTGTTACTACCAATTGATTAGATGGAGCCGAAGTAGCAGCAGAAGCTACAGATTTCTTCGACAGCATGGAGCAGAGTGTAGCTTCCTTAGAAATGCCAGTTAGTGTGGCAGAAGAGCCAACTGTGGGCACTTTATCGCGATCCACAAGCTTGAATAGTCAGCAGGGTGATCAGTCATGGGAAGTTCAGAGTATGGGTAGCTTACGCTCTATGATAGCGTCGAAGGACAGTCCGTTGGATTTCAAAACTGTGCCAAAAATGTCTCAAGGACATTTTATAGCCTTATGGAAAACTCTTTATGATATGTTTCCTGCACAACCTGAAGAACAAGAGACGTATCACTGTATTGCTTCCATAGGTAAGAAATATGTATATAATTATGTATATCTAAAGGGACTACTTTGTAAAATTTGTTTAATTACAATAAAATAACTCAAAAACCACAGGTACCCTTCTGCTCCAGCTAGGAGATGTTGGTAAGAAATTTTATGTAGAAAGAGAAGAATCTGAAGATAGCTTGCTTCTAGCTGCTTCCGCTGCCCAAACTTCTTCAGTTATCGAAAGGGTAAATATATATCTAATTGTACTGACAATTAATTAATATTCTTTATTGCAGTAGTAAGTTTATTTATTCGATGTTTGTTACAGTCACCTGATCGTAATGGAAATCCGTCGAGTATAGCGTCATCCGCTGATCCCGATTGGTCGATAACTGTTGAACAATTTTTGGCATCCGCTTTAACTGGCCAAGCGATAGTGGATTTCTTTAGTAAACCAACCGATCTCATGGAAGCTATGGCAACATTGAAGAATCGTAGATTCAATCGAGTTCATTCTTTATCAGATACTCCAACTCTGAATGGATGACATATGGTAATCAATGTGTAAGAGAATACAATATCTACATACTTCTCAAATAATTGCCTCTCAGACAAATTGACAAAAGAGAAGACAGAAAATTCTTTAAGAGAAATACATACACACATTATTAGAGAATGGATTTTAATTTGAAATGAAACTCATTTATAGTGCAATATATACAATATGATAAGCATCCTAATTTATCACGAAAAGCGATACTGATAATTGAAAAATCGCATCAAGATCTGTTTAAGTTTTTCCTAAATTATGCATACAGGAAAATATAAACTTTAAATATAGATTATCTTATAACATTATAGTATCGATAAACGATATAGTTTTTATTAATTTTGAAGAATTTCAGATGACAGGATATACATTTAATATACATTGGCCTATTTTATTATATCTGGTAAATATATAACGAGATGCGTCAATAGTAAATACTCAGGGTAAAAATTTGAAGCCAGTTCCATTATTTTAAGATCATGTATAAGAATTCCAACCGCCTAGTGTCTAGTATTAACACATGACATATATATATATATATATATATATATATATATATATATGTATATAAGATGCGCTTTTTCAAACATATTGTTTAACAAAAATATATTAAATGATTAGAAGAATGTAATATGTATGATAAAAAAATATTGGATATATGTCAATAGTTATTTACTTATAAGCTTATTATTCTAATTTTACTTTACAATGTTAAATTACATTAAACTTTATGTACAAATATTATAGAATATTGACATATTATTCAAGTATTATTTAGCTATTATAGAGAAATAAATGGAGAAATATCGAATATAGAACTAAAAATTTAAAAAATTACGTAGAGTGCATCTACATCAGAATTGCAAACATTGCAAAATTTATCTTGCAACAAATTATAAATTTCTTATATTATGACATATTCTAGCAAAAAAAATAATATGCAAATACATTAAACATACTCTAATAAGAATATGCCATATCTGAAATGAATAACAAAGTAAACTATCTTTTCTAATTTGTTTGATTACAATATTAAGTCAAAATTTTTTAATTATATGCAATTAAAAATATATATCTCAAAAATTATTCTATAAACAATATACGTAAATAATAATAAAAATTAATCTGCATACTTGAGGATAATGCAATTTTGATATGCAGTATTATTTGAGAATTCTAATTGTTGCCTTCCAATACAAATTTGATTTATTTATAAAAAATTTCACAGTTAGGATTTATGATTTTCCAATTATATTCAGTGTATAAATTTAGGAACTTATATGAGAAAAAGAAAAATTACTTAATTGGAAAAAGTTTTTCTAAATTTGAACTTTGTGATATAATTAGAAGTTTTTTTTAGGCTATTCAACTTTAAAGCTAATATGCGTATCTAAAATAATAATATGAAATAAATTAATATGAAAAATTTTAGATGATAATTATAACAAATTGCATTGTACACTACATTGCCTAAAAATATTGAACTGTTTGTTTCTTGAAAAGATTTTTTTAATATTTGCAATCAGGGCAACAAAGCTTTAGATTTGCTCTATCAGATAAGAATGGATTTTTATGTAAGATAGAGTTTGATCGATTACAAATTCATTAAGAATAGCCAATTCCAATTGTACATGGCACAACATGATTATACATATACTTTAGTGATAATTTTTATTTTTATATAACCGGAGAATATATTCACACAAACATAATTTTACAAACGTGATTCGCGAACGATAATATAGCATTTGACATATACGGAAATGTCTTATTATATCAATGTATTATATGTGTATATAGATATTTCATACCTGTACTGTATGTATAAAAATATTAAATAAATATCATATATATTATATACAATGTACATCCATGGAGACAATGATTTGTCTCATTTAAATGAGAAAAATCAAGTCTAAAAGTTTGCATATAGTTTAAAAATTCACATCATAATTTCTGGAGAAACCTCTTTATATATTTGAAGTTTTGATAGCTAATAAATTTTTTTCAATTATATAAATTTATTATTTCCAGTGGGATGTATAATGGATATATTTTTTTTTTAAATGTTATTATTTTTGATAAATATTAACAATTATTCAAGTAATATTTACAAATTCAATTTCTATAAAACCACTATTTTTGAAATAACTTTTATATTAACTTTGTAAAAAAAATAAGTAAATTTTATAACAATGCATGTAAACGGAGTTACAAGGGAAAAACATAATAAGTTCAAGAAAAACATAATAAGAATCTTTTTTTTATGTTTATTGAAAATTGGTCACATAATTTATATTAAAAATTCTTCGGTAAAAGCCCATCTTTCTTTGTCAATCGCACTAAACAATCATCTGATTCACCCTGTAAATATAAGTTCAACATAAGATTTTGTTATGTTAAGAGACTGTTATATCAATATTGTAACAATAGCAATATCATGATTTTATGTAATCTGTATATTAGTTAAGAATGAAAAATATTTGCGGAAGGAATACTATTAATTCATTATGTATGTGTACATGTACAAAAATCATTTGTACATACCATACGACGGATTGCTCCACAGATTGCATACATTTTATGAGTATCAGTCATGCGTCCAGTTTCTGGATCAACATCAGCCAATGTCAACTGTATCGATGCATGATCCTTGGCATGGATGATGCGATTGCTCGCAGAGCTGCAACACAGAAATACCTTCAAATGTATTTTTCAAGGTAAACTTTATGCACTTTTACAATCTTTTTAATTTTTGTTTTCTTACAGACATATCTACTTTATTTTATGTATAGATGGTATAAAAAGACTAAATTTCTGGGAAATTTGATACTGTAATTTAATGTATTTAACCTTACTTTATAGATTGCAAATTGCAATTTACTACGTTTTAAAATCGATCTTAAATATTAAAGAAAAGTGCGATTATGATCAATTGCGATTAAGTATATATATATATTTCAATACAAAATTTCACACATTAATATTTCCTTATAAAAAATTTATTCATAATCCAAAATATACACGTGTCTTACCATTTTCGTGGGATGTACAAGTCGACAAGAGTTCCCAAGTCGTTCTCCATTTTTTATAATATTCTGAAATAATATCGTAATACAGGCAATTAATATATCCTTTCTTTACGCAGAAAAAATACTACTGTGTCGTATTATTTAATAAATATTTTTCGCTTACAGTCGGCGTAACTCTCTCAAAATGGCAACCGAACGAAAAGACCGGATACATTCGATGACTGACGAGACCTCATACCTCATCGTGGCGGTAAGATTCAAAAACAATTTTTAAATAAAATTAGAGATATATTTTGAGTTTAATTAAATTAAATGATGAATGAAAATTTATTAATCCATCTCTTATTTTTCACTCATTATTTATTTATTTTTTATTAAAGATTTATATATATTATATTAATATTATTTTGTTATATTAATATTATTTTTTATATTATATTAATTTAATTTAATTGTATATTTAATTTTTTTAATTATATTATTATATAAATTTATTTTATTTTATTATATTGGTTTATTATATATTTATTATTATATATTATTATATTAAAATTAAAGAAAGAAATAATAGTAAGTTTCCTCTCTATAATATTTTCATGCTCTATGGCAAAACACCGGACGGTGCTGCCATCACGTGGGTATTCGTGGTAACTCGTGGTAGGTTTCTACGCGCAGTTCAATCGGAGCAGTTCGCGGGGACGGGACGGCTGGATGACGTCGTCCGGGGAACGACGACGCTCGGCGTCGCGTGCGACTCGAGATCAGCGATACCTCGGCGAGGCGAGCAGCGGAGTGCGGGTGCTACAAAACGGACCGCGGTAGAGGATCGCGTTCAGTAGCGGAGCGCGCCGCGCGCCGTATAGATCGTGTTTGTGTTTCGCTTGTACGCGCGAGCGAACCGTCATCGTACGCCTGTTGTTATGCATTGTACTACGTACGATCGGGCACGAGCGATGCGTCCTGTGCGTTTTTCGCGCGAAAGAGCGACGAGCTGATTGATCATCGGTAACGCAACGCGGATCCAACATGTCCATGAAGGTGAGTGTCGAAGAGCGTCGAGGCTCGCGATTTATACAGGGTCGCGAGATTTCCACTTCTCCCTTTTAGCATCTCGATCTCCGCATATTTATCTCGATAAAAAGTTGTATAGTGCATATTTATGCCTCGTTTTGCTGATCAGATACGGCAGGCAAGAAGGATAAAAATGCATTCCCAGATAGCAATAGTAATTAATTAAATTGAACATTAAAAAATAACTATACTTTTATTGCTACCTGAACATTTTTTATTTTCCTCCGTGTATTCTAAATTAAATTTAGCAGCTAGCATATGCATGTTACGTTAATATATTATTTGGCAGTCCCAAGTGATTCACAGTAAAATATTTATATATATATATATTTATATACATATATATATATATATATATATATATATATACATATATATATATATATTATTTATTACTAATTTCGAATCTATATAAATTTAATCAAACTTCTTAATGATAAAACAAGAATTAGACGTCATTATTGAAATATACGTCACTTGTTCGTAATTGTCGTCACTTTATCGTTTATCATTGTTCATTTTTTTTTCGACTAGTCAACTATTTTTCCTTGAGGAGAGAACGTCGCTGTCGATTCGAATGTGTACTTTGATCGTTATCTCTCGTTCTCGTGCGACATCATCGTATTAATCGAGTAAAACGCGAATGACACATTGTATGTTAAATGTATACCGCAGGAATATATCGTCTTATCTTTTATTAGCGCGTTATTCCTGGTTCGGACGATGAATGGACGCACCTGCGATTAAAAACGAAAGGCAAAGCTGTCGCTCCACGAGGCGCCGCTTAATCATTTCCTCGTCCAAATATTTTCACAGAATATAGCGGTTTTTTATTTTTTTTCTTATTTTTTAAATTATATTTTTTATTATTGATTTATTTTGATAATTTTCAAAAAATGAGATTAAAATAAAACGCACTGCGTGAACATGTGACATTACGATGATTTTTAATCAGAATATCGCACAAGTAAAAACAATTGAATAATTTAATCTACTTATGTCATTAATGAACTAGATTTTATGGAACGAATATTATACTGAATAGAGTTTAAAGCTGCAATGTCAATAATGTGTGCAATCGCTCAGCTTAGTTCGTTAAATTTACATTCTTCATCTACATGATATTACATAATAAAATTTATATCAGACTTGTCGATAAATTCGCAGTTGACAATCGTGAAAATTTGAAAACAAAAATATATCTATACATTTTTCTAAATATCTTGGTATTTATGAATATAGTTGAATAAAACTGTATTAATTTTTCTAGATACATTTAATATATTTATCTCTCTAGATAAAAATAATTTTATACAAAGATTAATCACTGCACCTCATTATGGAAATTTTTGAAATGAAAGCATCTCGATATCAGGATTACTCGCCTCTCGCGTTCTACATTTTAGAAGGAGATACTATTTGTTATCGTGCACGATATATCGGTGCAAAATCCTGGTAATAAGACTTTCCGCGTCATTAAGCATAGCTCAACGGTAACGCATTCTGCAATTTTACATTTGTAATCCGCGAAATCGGTGAACTGTGTGGAGTAAAGTTCTAGATATACGTTTGAAATTTTGCAAATTTATTTTCTTCCCGTTCGTGGAATTCCTCGAAATATTTCAGAGCGAAAGTTTCCAATCCGCGGTTTCAACAACTCGACACAAACAATTCTCGAGAGCAACGCAAATACATTCTCAATGCTTCCTAAAAGTTGTTTATGAGATAACTCGCGCTCGAAAATCGTCTCGTAAATAGTCGAAAGCAAGAGTCGAATTTCGATCGTCGTCAAAAAATTGCGAAGATATTTGCGCGGAAAATTTCAATGGATGGAATAAAGAGCACGTGCCGAGAAATATTAATCTCATGATCGTGGACATTTTTTTGAGATTATGAAGATGCTAAAAATATTTTTGTGAATATTTGAACTTTAGACGAGCCATCATCCATATTTACGTGCGGCTACATTATTATTCCACTATACATGTTTATTAGTTTCTGGTGCTTATAGGAATGTTTATTCTCTTCTTATTTTCGATGCGAAATTGATTCAAATGTTTTATGTAAATATTTTTGATAAAAATATGTATTGAATAATATAATTTCAAAATTAATGCAATATAGTTTATTAATTTGAAAATATTAATTTCTAAATTGATTAATTCAAATTAATGTGTTAAAATGATCTCTTGAAAAGTTTATAAGAATTTAAAGTTGTTTAAAAATTGTGTTAAATTCTCTTATAATTTTCAAGATTGAATGATACAATAAATATAAAGTACATTTATATATAATTTTATTATACTTTTATTATATATTTTATTTTTTTATTAATTTTATTTATTATATTACTTTATTATTGATTACATTATTATTTTATTATTTATTATATAATTTTGTTGTTTCATTAATTTTATTATATATTATATATTTTAAATTTATTTTTTATTGAGTAATAAATTTGAATTTTTCTGATTTTTATAAAAAAGAAAGGTTATATAACGTTATCGTATTGGGGTGTTCAATTTTATATTCATCATTACTTTAACGATTACAAAATATTCAGGGAACGTATTGACGAACTTAGACACTTCCTGAACGTTTGTACAGCTCGTAATTATCCCCAGTTGTAACCCATCTTACGTAAGCTCAAGGAAATAGGAATTTCATTAGCATGTTGATTAACCTGGTTTTCTTTCTTTTCAGAAGGAATCGCCTTGGGACGTGGAGTTGCATTTGGCGGCAGCACGTGGGGATGCTAAACGTCTCCGTGTTTTATTGGACTCTGGACGCGTCCACGTTGATTGCAAGGACAAGGTCAGTAACATGTATATTTTTATTCTTTTCAAAGAGTTTGCTAAACAATCGGACAAGTTTTGCAACAGTCGAAATAAAACACTCGTGATGCGCCCCACAATTTTTTTCTTTGAAATAAATCCTCTCTTCAAAAGCAACTAGTTTGGCCTCTTCTGAGAGCCCGTCTGATTGGATCTCCCAACTTTTTAAATTAATTTGTATATCAGTTTAATTAGTCAAAGTCATATGAGATCGCTTTAGAAATGTATATATATATTAGAACATGCACGCATAATTTTTTTTCATAAATTCTCTTTAAAAGCAACTAGATTGGCCCCTTTTTGAAGGTCCGTGGTATCTGATTGGATCTCCCAATTTTTTAAATTAACTTGAATATCGGTTTGATCAGTCAAAGTCGTATAAGATCGCTTTAAAAATGCGTATGCGATGTTGTAGGAAATAAAGTAGATGGAATCTCGCGGCTTCTGATTGCGAGATGGTGAACTTAGTATTACCATAAACCGACTATTTCGTGAGCGTAAAGCAGCGATTTTCTCTCCTAGTTGCCAGTCGGCTCATTATGCAAACGATGAGGAGCGAGCAATGCGCGAGTATATCGTTACACTCTTTTCGAAAGTGGTTTATTAGATCACGCGCGGACACTAATCGTGCCACTTTTCGACCTGGAAGCCAGAGGCGTTTTTACCGGCGAGCTCATCATCCGAAAGAAATCGTGTCACTGTCAGGATCGAATCGAGTCGCGATTTTGTTTAAAGTCGGCAAGCATGTAAAAACACTTTCTGCTGCGACTTTCTGTCCGTTCTCCAATCGAATATACCATTCCGCGAAGCACATACTTATATATAATTTTATTATTTTATTATTCTTTTTTATTATATAATTTTATTATTTTTTGTTACTTTTTTATTATTTTATTTATTATTTATATTATTATTTTACATTATTATTTTATATATGTATTTTATATATAATTTTCTACGTTATTATTTTATTATATATTATATAATTTTATTAATTTTGTTATATATTTATATTATAAATAATTTTAAGATTTATTTTATGAGATCTTAATTTACAAAAATAATGAAATCTTTAATTGTATATTTTAGATCAAACGTCAGTAAAGCGGGAATAAAATGTCTCGTCGTCGCTACGATATTCTTTTCTGTAGAAATAATTGTTCTTCAGACGAGATGCGACGTATTATCGTTATATTCATACTGCGTGCTATAATTGACGTGTTAATAGACTCAGAACACTTAGCGTATATCTTGATATATACGCTCACGAGGATCGATTAGAAAATACATACAGCGGCATACATTCACCGGCGCGAGGAAAGTTTCCGTAGCCAATTGAATCTTCGTATAAGTAAGCGTTAAGTTTTGCAAATGAGGTCATTTTCTTTCAGGATGGCACGACACCTTTGATTTTAGCTGCCGCCGGCGGTCACATCGACGCCGTGACCGAGCTGTTGCACCAAGGAGCGGATCCTAATGCCAAAAGACTGGTAAGTCCTGACCTTACAACAAAGTTGTTATCAAGCAATCTGAGAAGTGAATGAAATTCCCCTCGAGTGTAGCTAGTGGCACACAAGCGTGTCTATCACCTCATTCTGTATAATCATATATATATATATATTAGCAAGAAAGAAAAAGAGAATACATATATTCACAGAGAGAATTTTCTCTTAAAATTTTTACCCTGAAAATCATGATAATCGTGAGACAATAATGTGGTATTAGAAGAATTTTAGAAGAGTTTTTCTGATTTATTATAACAAAAAATATTAATATGTACATAGTAAAATTAATCGAACATATTTTATTATGATAGATATTTATATTTTTATTATGGTAAATATTAATCAGAAAAACTCTTATAAAATTCATTCAGTAGGATCATATATATATACATATATTAACAAGAAAGACAGAGAATATGCACAGAGAGAATTTTCTCTTAAAATTTTTACCCTGAAAATCATGATAATCGTGAGACAATATGATATTGACAGAATTTTATAAGAGTTTTTCTGATTTACCACAATAAAAAATATTAATATATGTATAATAAAATTAATCGAACATATTTTATTGTGATAAATATTAATATTTTTATTATAGTAAATATTAATTAACAAACTCTCATAAAATTCTTGCAGTATCATCATATTGTCTTACGATTACCATGATTTTTAAGGTAAATTTTAATTGTAAGAGAAAATTCTCTCCGTGTGTATAACTTCTTCCTTTTATACTACATATGTGTAATATAAATAAGAGAACTCTTATATCTTTATTACATGAAATATTGCTTATGAAAAGGCATTGTACCTAGTCATTTTTATTATTATTTATTTTGATTAATTTAATAATTATTTACTAATTATTATTATTAAGTATATTTTATATATTTTAATTATTTTTTTATTCTTTTAAATTTTATTTATTGTTGTTGATTGTAACACGAGTGTTATCAAATGATTTATCTATATTAAACATTGGTTATCTCTTACAAAGATCATACGAGATAGTCATTGATGAGATAAGTGATATTCTGAAGACTCTTTATGCATAAAAAATCCATCTACGAAAGTGTCGTGTCATCGAGCTACGTCGCTTGCAATTCGGAATACTTATTTTAATTGTCGCAAAATATCTATAATTATAAAATATGATACATACAGTTATAACTATAAAATAGTTGTAATAACGTGATGACATGATGATGCATTTACCACACTTATCATCTTTGATCTATAATGCTGAAAAAGGGAGGAAGACGTTTTATTAACAAATGTTATATGTCTTCGGGATTATACGTTATTCCATTTCTTTCATATAATCATCATCGATATTTTTATCAGAACCGGTATTGAGCAGTCTTGAATCCACATGCCAATTGCACTTAAAGAACGGAATAAATAAGATCAGTACCACATATAACATGTAATAAGCACTGTGAAATAAACTCCGATCAATTTGATGTTGATTTGTTTTGCCATAACGAAGATTTAATCGCACGTTATAATTTTTTCACTTCTCTAATTTATCAAGTACTTATCTTGATAATCAAATTAAATTGAAATATATTAATGTTTCAATGTTAAATAGCATGCACAGAAGATTTATATTCTCAATTTATATAAATTTTATTCAAGTTGATAACTCTATCCTTTCTAAAGAGAAACTTTAAATTTGACAACCTTCTTGTTAAAAATATTTTTTTATCTATTTTTTTTCATTGCCTCTAGAAATAAAATTGATAAAACTTCCTGGAGGCACTATTCCACATGCAAGCTTTTTTTAAACGCGTGCAAAGAGTCCCAGGGTGAGACATAAAAAGCTCGTCGTATAGCACGTCACGTGAAGTAGGAAGCTGTCGGGCATTCCATTTTAAGTGCCTCGTGAAGATTTATCGTCAAACCCACGCCTCTCTCTTTCTGTCTCGATGTCTCGTGCCATCTAGAATTACTGCATTGTATGTAAATCGATGACAAAACTGCCAAGCGTTCGACCGAATGACACTTGCACTGTGCACAACTTACAAGAAGTGAACGAGTGACAGTTTAGGAAGTATTTCATAATTCACGATTTTTTCTTTAATATTAATTTTGCTAAATCAGTCTAATTATTTTTGCGTGGCGCAGAAAATCTCAATACACACAGAATATTTTGAAATTTGACAGATTTTAATTATTATTTTTTTTTATTATGAAAAAAGGGGAAAATCTTTGCAATTTATGTATAAATAAATATAGAAAAATAAATTCTAGATGATCGGCCACGTTCGCGTTTGATATGATTATACTGTTAGAAACGAGGATTAGAATTGTTAGAAAGAGCGAATGTTACACGAATAAATGCGTATATCATTCAATGACGGAGTTAATCATATGATTTGTACTGCTTTCCTGAGATTGAGAATAAACGATGACGACGAGCAGAATTGCGCAAACGCTGCGATTAAAAACCCGTTAAACGTATTCGTCGTCTTATGCAATCAGCGGATCCAGGATCATTTTCCGACTCGGTTGGAAAACGCGGTCCTCTCTAAATTAATATTCTGGAATCTCAAGACCGTTACTTACAGGCATAATTGTATCTCATTTCGATTTTCCATATTAATTTCTCGGTAGAGAAATGCGTAGAGTAATCTGTTAATAAATTGTTTAGAAGCAACAGTAATTAAACCGTAAAATTATAATCTGCGAAGAACGTGGAAATTTTTTTTCTTTTCAAATTTAAAAAATCCGTAAAAAATTTGGAACTTTAATAGCTTAATTTTAATAATTCTTTCAGTATTGATTTTAAAGCGTTACTTTGACATGAGATAAATATTTAATGATTTGTATATAATATATAAATATTCGCAAGGCGAGAAACGAGCTATTAGAGTTAAATGGAAAATAGAGGCAGAAAGAAATGCCAAGGTTGCTTAAATGAAACACACGTGAGCTTGTACTATAACATTATATTATAACGTGCGTGCAAGTTCGCGTGTTTCTAATAGCGTATAAAACATGCAACAAACGGTAACGTGGCAATTCAGGAATTATCGCTGATACTGTATGTCTATAATCTATTAAACGTATTAATCCTCTCTTTCTCTCTATCAGATGTACTATCACAGATATATAAATAAAATTAGAAAATCATACGTGTGTGTATATAGGTACATAAAGTGTCATATGTTATTCATAAAACATCAAAAACATCATAGTAACAAGGAAATAAATATTTCATGCTTCTTCTCAAGTTGAAGCAAAATGCAATTTTAATATTAATTAAATATACCATTAAATCTAACAAAACGTATATTTTACTTAAATACTTTTATATGTTTAATATGTATATTAATATTAATATTTTTATATTAATAATAATTTTTATTTATTATATATATATTTTATATATTTCTATAAATTCTTACATATTAATATTTTATAAAATTTGGATAAGTATAAAATATTTAATTATTCTATTAGGTCTTTTATTCACATTAACTTGACATTTATTATATGACTTTAATTTTCAATGTGCAATTGTCGCAGAAAAATTAAAAAAGAAACTTCAATAGATAGTATCATCTAAAAATTCTCTATCCGCGATTATTGATCGTCTAAAAATGGACAACGCTGACAAGGGTGAATGACATCGCTAGGTCGTCTGACAGTCTCTGATAAATTACAGATCTTACAAGGTGTAGTCGCGCGCTGCAACAACAATTATGTCATAAACGAAGGGTTGATTGAAGCGATTCTGTAATGTAAAGCATCGATCAAATTTGTGTAATAATCGATCGAATTTGCCGTTTAATATCATCCGGCGAGAGTGTCACGCCTCATTTATTACTCATTATCTTTCGATCATTTTTCCGGTGAATTAATTGAACTTGATGTTCCGCGCTCTTGCAAAACGAAAATAACTTTAACCTTTTGTTGTCCCACTTGCGACAACCGATGGAACAATCGGCGGAATTTGCATTCGTAAGCTATAAAAACGTGGTACCGCTATAATGCACGCATGTCATGACTGATTCAGCAGATATCTCTCGGATGCAACCGAATCTTCAATTTATATCTCACGTCGGACTTTTCTTCGACAATCAGTTCTAATTTTTGATTGATATTAATTTTTTGCACGGATAGAATTTTCTCTGAAAAAATATTAATAAAAATAGAACATATTTTATATTGTAATAGATATTATTGTTTATCAGTAAATATTAATCAGAGAAACTCTTATAATATTCTTCCAATATCATATATACTGTCCCATGATTATCATAATTTTCAGGGTAAATTCTAAGAAAAAATTCTCTGTGCAAATATTTATATTATTCTTATAAAAAACGCTCATATATGTATAACAAAAATTTACAGAAGATATGTATAAATCTCATTCTTATTCGAGAAATCAAATCCACGATGCACATATTTGATTTATTATAGCAATTGTTGATTTATTTTCATATTTAAGACATTTGAAAAACATTTTTAAATTAGATCGATCGAGGTATTTTCGAAAGTCCAAAAATTCTTTTAATTTGTGTTATTATTTATAAAAAATTATAAGCGATATAAATATGTTAAAAAAATAATGCATATTTTAGATTATATGCATTATTTTTTTCACATATTTATATTGCTTATAATTTTTTATAAATAATAACACAAATCAAAAGAATTTTTGGACTTTCGAAAATACCTCGATTGATCTAATTTAAAAAATTTTTTTCAAATATTTTAAATATAAAAATAAATCAACAATTGCTATAATAAATCAAATATATACGTCGTGGATTCGATTTCTCGAATTGACAGGACATTTTCGCGGGCGTCTCCTGCTCGCGCATGATTGCACCGATAGTCGGAGCGAAAGAAACGTGTCACGACTTTTATCGCCAAACATGACAGGTTGCGTTATAGAATTTCTGCGGTTTAGTAACGGATAGGTACATATATGTGTCCCCCGTTTTGTTCGCCACGCATCGCGGCACATGTAACTCCATGCACGCTCGTTGCATGCATGCACCCGCGCGGCCCATATCCAGACAGGGGAATCCGCTCTGCAAGTTTGCAAAAAAAAAAAGGAAAATAAAGTTCACCGCGCCTTGCAAACGGAGTGCGCAGGAGAGCAGAACTCCGAAAGATAAGTGCGATCAAGAATGTGGAAGGAAGCGCAGAGAGATTTTGCAATCTCTTCCTTTCTACTTAAAAGTAATGCTAATACTAAAGAAAAAAGAATGTGCCACACCTCGCAAATTAAAGTTTTCGAAAAATGTTTAAGAGAGAAAAGAGAAGAAGGAGAAAAACAGGACAAAGCTGTATGAGAGTTCGTCGCTCCTTCGAGAGAAGCTTTACGACAGTGAAAGTACATTTTACTCGTGACGGGCTATATTTACTTAGGCATAGGCCTATATAATGTCTGTGCGAAAGGGACATGGAAATAAATCATGCGGTTAAGAAATTAATACCCGTAGAGAGAAATTAAATCCGTATAAAATAAAAATGTAGAGAGGAAAATGAACTCCATTGCAGTTTGTATCAGTTTCTTCGAGTCAGATTTAAGTAATGTAGATAATATTATGCGGGGTATATCTAAATAAGAGCGAAAAAATTTAGGAGATGAGATTCTTTGTCGAAAATTAAGGGGAGTTTTTTTAAAGAAACAAAAATTAAGTTAATTTTTTTTCCTCAAATTTCAGGCAAATTAAAGAAATGAAACTTGATGGATATTTTCCACTAATAAAAAGGATATTTATTAATATTTAAAAACTTTTACCTCCCTCTTTAAAAAAATGTAACTACTCAGGGAAGGAGATATAAGAATTTGATAAAGAATCATCTAAAATTTTTCGCACTTATCTAGATATACCCTGTATATATAATCTTATATATAAATATAAATCTCGATGCAATTTTTAAGATGTGTTATTAAAAAAAGATTTGTGAATTCTATCGCAAAGATCTTTTTGCGAAAGAGATATCACGACGAGAAATTTGAAAACATTATTTAGTCCTTAATTAATTTGGGTGCGATAACTTGGAGAAATAGAACCTTAAGAACTCTTTACGTGTGTAAATAAGAAAGAGAGTGATTTAATTTTCTTTCTTCAGATTGCTTTCAAAAAGCGTGTCGAGTCTCGTTGCGCTTATTTGATGAAAGAGCGCCGTGTAAATTTGGCAATTTACTAACATCTCGTGCCGCATTTCTAATTTATTTTTTCCGCGCTTATATAGGATATACGATCGAAATCGTATTCCTTCCTTTTCCCCTCTTTAGAGAATTTATCTTCCCTCGTGAAAGCGTAACGCGCCGGATTCTAATTGCTTCGTCACGTAATTTCGAAGCTTGTATCTCGAAATAAACTCCGATTGTATATTTCGATATCGATGAAAGTTTCGAAAATTTATCACTTCGCGCCCGATCACGACATGTGCTTTATACGTGGCGGATAGTCACGCTTTATAACGCTAGCTATTATCTTAAATTAGGTGAAGGACACAGATCCGCATACGTTTGTATTGTAAAACAGCGTTACGATGCTTTGTAGAAATCAATAGTTAAGAACTGCAAAGTCTCACTATTGTGTACGAGATCGACGAGAATTAATTAATAATTTACAAATAATGTTCTATTATAAGAAACTCGTAGATAAGACTTACATTATCGATCTTTTTCCTCTTCTCTCGACTCATTTGTCATCGTGTTTATCTGCATGATAATATATATAGAAACTTACGAAATCGCGACCTCGTAAATTTTACCTTGAACTTGGATGAAATGGTCCACTTAACTCGAGTATCTTTTTAAAAGGAAAAGAGAAAAATATTCATTATGATTTATTTCAAATAGAAATATTTTCATAATTTTTTATAATTCAAAATAGAATAAATAAATTATTCTTAATTAGAAAAATCGGAGAAATTATCATAGAAACAATCTATTAAAATTATAAAATATATATATATATATATCTGTTTAAAATTCATATAATTTTTTTAATAATTAATTGACCTGGAAAAAAATATTTGAGATACTCAAGTGCACATTATCTATGACAGTATAATCATATATATAATGAAATAATCGCATTGTTTTTGCAGACCGGAACAACGTCTTTGTTTTTCGCCGCCCAGGGTGGTTACATGGACATCGCGAATCTACTTTTGGAACATGGCGCGATCGTGGATTCATGTAGTATAGTAAGTAAAAAAGCGTCAGTGTGTAAGCGAGATCTCGCTGCTCTTTAAACACGCTAATGTATTCCACGTGGATTTCAGGACGGGGGCACGCCGCTCTTCGTTGCATGCCAATACGGTCATCTGGACGTTGTGGAGGGTTTAATAGAGAGAGGTGCCAGTCCGAACGCTCACATGAAAGTAAGAGAGCGGAATTTTATCTCCCTATATCCCGACAGAACTTTATACTCATTAAGCGTACGAGAGAAAATGACATTTAGCGGAGCAATAATTTATTTTCGTCAAGCTCCATTAAACTCATCAATTATGTCTCTAATAATTTCAAGATCTATATATCTTTACGAGCGAAGATTTCTAGAGGTAAATAATTATTTTATCGAATATAAATTTCTCTCGAGTCGAGTTGCGAATCTCTCCGACAAGTTAAATCGCTCTTTATGCATATATGTGTTCCATAAGAGTTTATAAAATTGAAGTCTATCGCCAAAAAAGAACGTTCCAATTCGATCGAAAACGTACTATGTATATATTCTCAGTGTGACATTAATATGCAAACGTTTTAAGAATTAATTACGGTTTATTAGGACGGCGCCACGGCACTGTTTATCGCTGCCCAGAACGGTCATCTTCGTATTCTGGAGGTCCTCCTGGAGCGCGGGGCGAAGACGGACGCAGCGAGGACGGATGGCGCCACGCCTCTCTGGATCGCGTCGCAGATGGGACACGACCACGTCGTCAGGAGGCTGTTAAAGGCCGGCGCCAAGGTCGACGCCACTAGACACGTAAGTCCTGCGTTTTCCATAATTTGGCAAACAACCGTGTTGTGTCACCGCGAACCATCTATTCTTGCAGGACGGCGCAACTCCGCTTTTCAAAGCTGCCCATAAAGGTCACACGGCCGTCATTGGCGAGCTGCTCAAATATCGTCCCTCGCTCGGTGTACTTCCTGTAAGTCTCAGCACGAGTATCAAAGGAAAAAAAATTAACGAAGCAATTTTGCAAAGCAGTCTTACCTTACCGACGACAGCCTATTTTAAACGATTTAAAATTCTGCAATTAAAAACAATTTTACATGTGCGTGAGATAAAAAATGAGAGATCTCTACTATACATAGTATAAAATTTGATATACCATATAATATATATTATATAATAATTATGCTATATATAATTTATATAATATATATATATATATATATATATATATCTAACTCTACGTAGAAATCATATTATATGCAAGAAATGACTGAAATTTTTATCGTTTTAAGAATGGCGAAAGTGCACTGCACGCTGCAGCCTTGACGGGACACATGACAGTCGCGAGGCAACTTGTAGGAGCTGGGGCTGATCCGTTGCTCGTAAATCAGGAGGGCATCACGCCACTTCAGCTAGCTGTCAGGCACTCGCAGACGCAGGTCGCCAATTACCTAAGGGATAAAGTGAGAGTGCGAACCGCATCCTGTTAATGATATTATTTCTATCGAGAATCTCGAGATATCATTCGGCTCAAATCAATTTCTAAACAGGATGTAGGGGCACCAGATAGAGCGATGCGAGAAAAAAAATAGTCGATCTCCATAAGAGTTTTATTACTGATAAGAGAATCCTTATATAATGTTATATTTGGAAAATTATTTTATTATTTCGTTATATATATTTTATTAAAGAATATCTCTGTTATCATATGTGGAGAAAAGGATACGCGCACGAGCGTATATTTGTTCTTTTATTGTTAATGAAACTCTTATTGACACTAAAAATAAAACTGAGCTACTTTTTCGTACACTGCTCTGTATTACATAAGTGATATTAATGACGATCATTAAATACGCGAAGGATGCGATGACAGGAAATTTAACAATTTCACGTAGTGAATACGCTGACAAGCACAAGTAGGTCGGTTATATCAATAGAGACTGTAATCAGAAATCCGTCTTTATTAGAGAGTGGGTCTGTTTATTTTAATTGCTCTTTTTCCTGAATATATGCCAATTTGATTTTAAGTACAGAAAGAATAATTTAAAAAGTGCAATTAAAACGAACAGATCTATTATAGAGAGTGTATATAATCATAATACCGTTCCATTCTGTGGTAAATATCCCGGTAAAAATATTTTAATACATTTTTCTACTGTAAATATAGTATAGCCAAAATGTTATAAACGCCTGAAAGATAATAGATCTGTTTCTTTTTGTATTTCGCAATATAAACGCATGTGTTAAAATATATATCATAGATTTTCCGAACTTATTAGTTATAATCTTATGTTATAAAAATTCAACGTTTGTCTAGAGCATAATTACAGAGAAGTGATGTCGAGATTTCTCGAAACTGATAAGTTTCTAAGACTGAATGATTTGCCTTGAAATACATATTTTTCTATTGTTCTATTCTGCAGATCTTTTAAAATCTATCTTATATTAGATAACAAGGGATGTGCAAAACGATAAGATTGTAATCGTTATTTGTTTATAATTTTATTAAAATACTGACACTGAACAATGCACACTGAACAATGTTCTGCGAAAAACTGAAACAGTTCAGCGCATTTATATTTTCAATTAAAAATAAATCAATAAATTTCTTATGAATAAAAATAATATATATAAATAAATAATAAATGAAATAAGTCACAATAAAGTGTGATACTTAAACACTTCAATATTCAAATATTTTGTAATAATTTTAGCTTTATGGGGAAGTAATAAGTACTCTTCCCGTCTTCCTAACACTCGGTTCATTAGTTATAATTATTGTTATTGTTAACGAAAAATTAATAAATAACTTTATAAAGAAAGTAATCGTTACTAATAATATATAAAGTTATGTACATTACAAATATATTACGTTATAAAGTAGTATTTATATTATTGTTCCTTCACGAGAAATATATTATGCGCATTTATTACATAAATTTATATAATTATTGTTATGTTAATATTATCTTATTTTATTGTATTTATCACAGAATAATTCACATAGCACATGGACATAAATTGAATATAAACTGATTACATTTACAGGCGAAACATACTTGAATAAAATTAATAATTTTTATTAATTCTATGATTATGATACTATAACAAAAATCTGGATTTTATGCGAATTATGTTCATATTTTTAATTAATAATACAATCTATTTGACTTTTTAATTAATAATTCAGAAAGTTGATTTTTTGCTTTACGATTAACTTAATTTTATTTCTATTAATTTCCATTTTTCACTTATGTCTATTAAATAAAACAAAAATAGAACGCAAAAAATATATAATCTAATGTGGATTGACATGAATGATAATTAAATATTATCTTAACTTTATTTTAATTTCACAGCATTCTCATTAAATGATATATGCACATTATAAGTATAAATAATTTGATAAGTTATTTTTATAACAGAAATAAATAATTGGCAGTTTTTCATTGCAATCAATGTCAAAAATATGTCGTTTTATATATAAATATATATATTATCAAGTTTTATTTTAAATATAATTATTATGCTATCTTTATGAAAAGAAGAAGTAAATTTCTGTTTAAGAGAAGTCAATATAATGATTATCTTATCTTGAACAAAAATTATTTCGAAACTAGTAACATTCATTTTTTTTCCTCTTAATTTTTACTTAAACGAAATTTTTACGATCAGTATATATTATTATATATTACTTTGTCTGATGAATTAAGAAATTAATAAGTTATAGAAACATGCGCAATTGTGATTGCTTTAATCATCGGCCTTGCAGTGCACAGCTGTCAAGTGCCCATTTCCTATTTTCATTTCAGATGCAAAGTATCTTCCACCTATGACACTGTACTTTACTCCAGAAGCGTGCCACGCAATTCAAAGAAGTCACACTTGTGACGGAATACTTCGTCGCCGATACATTTGATTACGAGTTACAAAAGTGAACTGACATGAGTAGGATGGATTTTATGCGATATCCACAGTGTCGCTGATAAGAAAGATAACGAAAATACATACATCATACATCACATGTATTTCGCTCACAAAATTATCAGTTTTGTACCGATAGTCTTAAGGAATCCTCATCATGGTTCGTGATCGTATGCCCGATTTACGTGCCGTTAGTACTATTTCTATAAACTATTAGAAACTATTCTAGAAAAGAAGAATTTGAGCTGATCAAGTGTGTACATTGTTTCAAACAATGCGGTCATGCATAAATAATTATGTGTACAAATAAAATCATGACTAAGAAAGTTTCGCTTTAAAATCAGAATCCATTACGATTCTTTCTCATGTTATTTACATAACATTTCTATATAAACTCTGATTAACATGCAATCGGCGATTAATTTATGAAACAATATTTATAGTATTTTGTTAATATATAAAATTATTATTAATTTTCTATTGCTTGCAACAAGAAAACAGATTTGGAACCACGAATTTCATAGCTAGATTTTTAAGCAATTCTGCCAGTCTGAATTTATAGATTAAATTAATTGAAGTTTGTTAAAAGTAGCCCTTAAATGGGCAGTTTACGAAATTATTAAAAAAATAATATACTAATTTCTCCAGAGCCGAAGTAACAGTAGCACCTTTGCCAGAGGGTTCTTACAGGAAGTACATCTTCAAATAGCCCAAAATAAAAAGCTGAAAGAATTGCTCGATGAAGTACGTATAAATACTATCGAGATCGCATGCTTATTAAATAAAGATATGCACCGTTTTTGACACAGGCCGAGGAAATACGTACGCTGATCCATCTTTTAGACGAAAATACTACTATCGTAAAGAATTTGCACAATAATATTCTGTCGCACACGAACAAAGGTAAGTGGCTAAAAATAATAGTATGAATCTATAAATTATGTACACAATATACACATGCATACACATTTGCAGACATACAAAAGAACTGGAAACACGAACGTGTACGATTTCACAGACAGCTTTTCGCGTACAGCGAAAATTACGAGGTAGGTTGATTTGTACGTGAAATAATTCCTAGACAATTTTGGACGTTCGTATCAACAACGAAATTACTCATTCTATTTCTCACAATACTTACGCCGTTTAAATTCCGGTAGTTCTCGCTCGTTCGAGGATCTATGTAATCTTGGCGTGGAAGAATCTCTAGAATACGATTTTTTAATCGACACAGGAGTACTGGAAACAAGATTCGGCTCTGGAGGTGGCGTTTGTATTGACAATCTATCTAAATATATCATTGAATTTATGTCAGAATCGACCGATCTTCTTTCTTGTCGATCTCTGTCCTTGTAATGCATTATCGTTGAAGGTGAAAGACGGTGAAGTATAATTTTGGGTGTCGATTGCTTGCATAGATCCACTAATTTCGAATTATCGCTGTGACTTATATTAAATGATGAATTGGCGTTCCTATCATTATCGCTTTCTGAAACGGTTTTGTCCCTCAATTTCCTGAAACATTACATTACATCATGTACATTTTTGAAGAATTAAATATATATGTATAGAATATGAAAAGAAGAGCTATAAATTCATTTATAGGATATACATACCGTTGATAAAGATTCATTTCTTTCTCCAATTCAGGATACTCATTTAACACCCCAAGCAAATGCTCTTCGTCGTATTCCGAGTAGATCCTGAATAGCAGACTCTCCACATCATCTTCCAGGCGGGACTTCATTGCGGTGAGTTTCTTCTTCAGCACAATTAACATAGGTAATAAATTGTCTAAATTGTGTTTCTTCATCGCCACCACGTTGGCATTCGCCGCGTTATTATTTGGCGTAGAAGAATTAGGAGAAGCTTCATCGAGCTCCGCCGCCGCATCATCCTTTTGCTTCTCGCCGAGGGATAGTTGCAGACGGTTATTACCAATTATGAACACTGTATCCTTCAAGACACACTCTCCCTCCTCCGTCATAATGTCGATGGTATCATGATCACATATTTCGCCAAGTATATTTTTAGTTAACTTCTTAATTAATGTAAGTTTCGCTGACGCATCCAAATGTTCCAGCATGAATTCATAAATAGCATTACGCTTATCTTGATTCACTCTTCCAGGTAGAGTCAACAGTTTCTTCTCTCGCTCGCTCATTCTGTGACCGCAGAACACATTACGGGACCGATAATGGTTGTAATGATATATACTCTCGAGGAACTGCTTGGAAATTAAAGTCTTATTCTTCACTAGGAGTTTCTCTTCCACCAGGAAGATCGTCAGCTCACGTATCGTGTCATCAGTATCAGACAGCATCGTTAATATATGAAAGAAAAATGGTCCCTTCAGCTTGATGAAGTCCTCCAGCAGCAGTTGAATGAATATCACGACTATGGCTTCCCTCACTTTGGAATTCGAATCCTTCATGCTGATGCACATGTCAGGCAAATATGGCTCCACCAGATCGGTGAATCTCACACAAATGTCAGCTAATGCTTTCGCGGCGTTTATCTTCACCGCGAACTTGACTGGTGAATCCGAATTTGTTTCCTGACGCATCAAATTGCCCAGTATCGGTGTAATTTTCTTCGCGATCTCGCGATCTCTCAGCGCCTGCTGACAAAGGATGACCACCGCGGATGCCTGCAGATTCTTGGTCTCTTTCGCAGCCTCCGGTAACGATTCCCATCGTAGCAGCAATCGTTCCAGAGCTCGTAGAGTTGACGACGAAATCCTGTTGGTGCACAAAAGCGACGCGTGACCCAACGTACATATAGCCCTTACTTGAAGTGTCTCTTGCGTAAGATTATTACTTCCATCCAGTCTTCCTTCCATCGAATCTTGAATCTCCATCTCTGACAGTTTCATTAATTCCAGCATATTCGTTTCCATCAACTGGCTGCTCTTCTCGGCATACAAATATTGTAGTACGGCGCTCAGGATGTCCAGGCAAATGCTGATCAAGTTGAACGTGATCTCGAAGCGGCTGACACATTTGTAGAGATGCTGATGGAGATCTTCGAGGCAATCGCGGTCTAAAACAGACCAGGCGTGTCTCAAAACGTGCAAAACCAAGCTGGCATGATAGTCGTTCTTCTGGATAATCTCCTTATAATCTGCGATATATTTATCTATGGTCGGAATAGTCATATTTTCAGCTAGAGCTGCTAACAGGATCCACGCGCCTATGTTATTATCCGTATCGATATGCGACTGTAATTTAATTATCATAGAGTTGTTGACAACTCCGTTTTTGATCCACAGGCCGCAAGCCTTCGACAAGTGCTTCCTCATTCTCAAGTTACTCAATTTCTCCAGCACTCTCCATGGCAGATTATTCGCAGCATCTGGAGTATACGTAGAGGCTTTCTTTATCCTGTTCAGCAACACGTTTCCCAAACATTCCAACACCTTTTCTTGTACCTTAGCTTCTATATCGTATATCTGCGGCACTACAGCTTGTGTCCATTTGTCGAGGAGACTCAAATTGTGAGGGAATTGTTCTAAAAGCTCTGAAAGAACGTGTACCGCGAATTGACGGACAGTCAAGGTGGGATCCTTGCAACGATCGCTTATCACATGCATCATTCTGTCTGTAAGCGGTGGGAACATAATGGACAAATTCCTCAGAATCTTCAGAGCGCTTCGTTGAACCAGCGCGCGCTCGTCGCTAACTCTTTCCAATAGCATCGTAACAACAGTATGTGATCCTGGTAATGGATCGGTGTCCTGGGAAAGCGCTCTCTCCAACTCTTCAAGCGTAGGAAACGGTTTATCCGAGACTGAGTCCTTAAATATCCTTTCAAGAATCGTCTGATCAGCATCACTGCTACAATCTGAAAACGAAGCAAGTGTAGCCAGAGCTTTTCCTCTTACCAAGATTGATTGATCCATACAACGGGATGACACAACAGCTACTAGGATTCTTCTCATCTTCATTGTCATGTCTTTGTTTAGACTATTGTTGGATAAAGAAGATTCTGTCAAGAGTTTTCCTATGATTTCTTGTGCAAATAATCTATAAGATATTTTATTATTGTGTGAAAATAATATTATATCTTTAAAAACGCTTGTAGTAAGGTCTTCGTTACATATATTTAACAGTCTTATTACAACAGTTGCTTGTTTTTGGCGTCCCTCCGCTCTTTCTGGACATTTCACCATCAACTGATGTATTAAAGTGACAACTGCCTGCACTGTTTCTGTCTCATGTATTTTCAATAAACTCTTTAAAAAGTTCATAACTGCCTCATGCACGATAATAATACATTTTGGTTGCACATTTGTGTGATGAAATAACAGATCAGGTAACATGTACTGCACTATTGACATTATAATTATGGCGACAGTGCCATGATTGTTACTGCATAATTCTTGCAAGCCTACAAACGCACTTTTGGACAAAGTTGTCAATCCATAATTATTACAAGACTTAATATACATCTCCAGTCTTGTAATATCCAACAGCATGTGTATGGTAACGTCCAAGGACTCTGCGTGCTCCTTGAACCGAAATGACTTTAACATTGTAACAAGATCGCAAACAATCTTATTTAATTCTTTCACGAGCTTCAGCTTCTCCGAGTCCAACATAACATAACAGTTCGTCGATTTATCCTCAACACTGGAATTTATCACATTGTTCTTGCTGCCCTTTTTGACAGAAGGGAATACCAAGTCATCCGACATCTTCAAGGTTCTTATCGCTCTCTGGTACAAATTGGGGTGATAAATTCCGAATGCATTGCTACCAGGTACTGTGAGAAGCATAATATACAATCTTGTGGCTTCCAGACAACCCTGTCTGGAATCTCTGTCAGTCTTACATTGACCAGTCTTCATTATGTAACCCAGCGTGGCGAGCAGACCGCGTACGTTGATACTTAAGCTCATCAGGGCTTGCCAGGAGTATTCGGAGCTTTCGCGCTCGTGTTCGTTGTCGACGATCCAGCCCTCCAGGGCACGACGACTCTCGTGCAACGCTCGCTTCGCGTCGCCGCTCTCCAGGTGCTCGAGATACTCCTCGGGTGGTTCATGATAAGTCAAGAACTCCGCCTCCCAGACTGACCTGATCCAGTCCGCGTCGAGGTCGTCGAGCCTGAAATTATGAAGTACGCGCAACGATTCCATCGCGAGAGAGAAATGTGTGATTTTAAATTGCGCTCAAAATGTCAAATCGTTATCATTTTCTCCCGCGTGCGGCTCTCGCAGACGTAAATATAACCTTAGCTTATCGTCGTGATAACTTATAGATATTCGGAGGGCTTGTGGGTTATCGTTTTCGCATTCGTATATCGACGATCATTTTACGGTCCTGCCTTTTCGGTACACTTGGACCAGCCGATGTCGCGGAGAATTCATCGTAAAACATTGCGTTTGTCACGACAGGATCCACGAGACGAACGATAGCGTCCATGTAGAAGCGGGAAACTGCGTAATCAATGATTGGTTACCAATCATGTGCATAGCTGCTCATATTATACATATCATATATATGTATATACATATATGTATATATATGTAAATATATGTATATATATTATATAAAATTTATTTAAACTTTATACAATGTTTTGTATTTTACTAAACAATTATATGTTAAAATAAATTAAATATTTATATAAATTATATACATATATATATATATATAATTATATTTTATTATAAATATTTAATATGTATATAAAATTTGAATATGATATGCTTTTATTTAGATTTGTTTTTACTTATACAATAGTTTCATTTAACTATGTGTACTTGTATTTGTATATTTCTTTTATAATTAATTATTATTTCCAGATTTGGGAAAAGATATTACCGCGTCCGACAGTTTGACTATAACTACAGCGCAAGATGGATCTATATATACAAGAATTAAAATATTGCAATATACAACTATGCTGCAATTATTTTCTGAAATTATGGAAGATTATAATGTGTCTTTGTTAAAATATCATGATAAATGTCTCTTGCTCTTGCAGCAGCAACGTTCGTTAAGTGTGTACTTATTAAAAATGTTTTTTCTTAAAAAAAATATGTATATATAAATATATATTTATAAATACATTTATATAATTATTATAAATTCAAATTTAGTGAGACGCCAAGTTACAAGCGAGGAATTGGATCATATGCTGGATGCACAAGAAACCAGTTTATTTGTTGACAATGTAAATATTTAACTTATCATGTAATAGTATTTTTAAATTTTGTATCTTTATACATTAATATGATATAATGTAGATTTTAGAAGACAGCGAAATTGCAAAACAACAATTATCAGATATAAAGAGCAGACATAACGATGTTTTAAAATTGGAAAAATCTCTGCTAGAAGTCAGAGACATGTTTGCAGAAATTGCATTTTTAGTGGAGAAACAAGTGAGTACTTCTTTCTGTTTAGTAATAAAATCATATGTATAAAGTACTAACAATGTAACATAAAAATGTGAAATGTATACAATGTAGAAATATAAAAAAATAAAAATTTTTTTATAGGGGGAACAAATCAGTAATATAGAATATTTTGCCAATAAAACGACGGATAACATCGATGGCGGACGTAGCCAATTGAAAAAAACAGAAATAAAAAGCCAGAGATACAGAAAGGTATACTATTAGATATTTATCTTAGGATTTTACTTTATTTTATGAAGACATAATAATTGCAATTGTTTTTTTACAGCGAAAGTTGAAGATTGCAATTATTGTAAGTCTAATAATAATAATTTTTCTTTTATTTATCATTATATCATTGTAAAATAAAAAAATATCTCATAGAATTTTTTGCTAACATTTATAATGTGTAAATTATGTGAATAAAAAAAACATTTTGTGCACATTGTGCATCTGTTATATAATGAATATAATTCGAATATAAATAATATCAATTATTTTTTCTTATTACTGGCGCATTTTTCGAAGTAATTTACGAGTGCTTTCGCGCTCGGTCTTAATTTATAATTAGCTGTAGTACATATGAAAAATACTTCAAGTATTTTCTCATATTCTTTGCCTAAGTCAATGGCAGGTAAAGCTGGACGTGTGCCTAAAGATTAATTTTTAATTTAATCTATCATTCAATCTAATTATAAATTATAGTAATTATATGATAAAAAAAAGATATTTAAAATCGTATACACTACTTACCATATTTACTGGATGCACGTGACATTACTTCTTTAGGGAAAATATTTTCCATAGCCAAATTAGAATCATCAAGCTGATTATCTGTCAAATCTGTCTCTGTGAGTGACGCGTTAAAAGATTCATCAAGTTCATCAGTGTGAGGTATTGACAAAGATATCATTTCCCAAAGAGTAAGGCCATATGTCCAAATATCAGCAGCATTCGTCACTGATCCATCTTCTGCAAGATATTTTTTTTTATTAGGAGATTATATAATTGCAAATTAAAAAGTAAATTCTGATACTCAAATTTTGAATTAATTATGATTTGGAACAAAAACTATGAATTAAAAATTTTATACATAATTTTGAAATATTAAGAATTGAAACATGTAATTAAATAACAAACATATACCAAAAATAATTTCAGGAGGATTCCAACATTGTGTCCCAACATAAGAAAAATTTCCTTTGGATGAGTCTAATTCTAAAGATTCTGTCAGTGGTAAAGCAGTCCCAAAATCACACAATTTAACTACATTGAAATCATCAGACACCAAGATATTCCAACTTTTTATATCTCCATGTAATATGTATGCTGTGTGATGTAAATACTTCAATCCTTTCGCAATTTCAAAACCAACTCTCATAATGTTCTTAGCTGGGAATGGTTCATCCCCCAAACGGTCTATTCTTTCCTCTATCATGTCACCTAATTTATAAAGCAATCAATATTAATGCAAACATATAAATAATAAAATATACAAATTGGTCAAATTTATCAATACCAAGCGACATTTCCAATGCTTCCATAGCCAAGCACGGCTTTCCATCTAATCCTTTAGTAAAGGCTCTGAAACCGACAATGTTGGGATGATTCAATTGTCGCAGAACATCTGCCTCTAATTGAAGGCGCTTATTGTTTATTTCGTTGTTTCTTCCCTTTATCCATTTCTTTACTGCCCAAGGTGAACGTATAGAGCCTACTTTGGGTGATCTTTGCATCATGTATACAGCAACACCTGAATAAAAGAAAATGTGTTTATATTATCTATAATAGTGATTAATTATTATTTATAATCTAAATAATTATAATATAAATATCTCAATAGTTTGACTTATATAATGGTAAAAGTATGTTTGAAAATAAGCACCTGTGCCATAGCCTATCTGCTGCAAGAAAGGCGATGCTGGTATTTTTATAGGAGTATTTAACTCGGAATTATCCGTTTTGCCTTTGGATTTTACTCTCGGTGGTGTACTGAATTCAGCCATTTGAACGGAACGAAAAAAAGCTGAAAGAAAGACTGAAAGGGAAAAGCGAGCGAAACGTGCGTATAATAAAATAAACGTTTCATATAACCGACTTTCAAATAATTTAAATTTTATCGAACTGCGCAAGCGTGCCTTGCGACGAATACGATTGGACGCAACAGTACATCTAGCTATTTTTAATTGCACTTTCTGCACTTTGTGCTCTTTCTCTTTTTAAAAGAAAAAATAAAAATAGAATAGTGATTGAATTGGAATTTCTGAATCGATAAAATCAATATTATATAATATATAATAATAATATTATTTATTTATTTTATTATTTTAAATATTATATTACATAATATTTATATATTTTTTAATTCAAAGTTGAAGAGCAGAACGATCGATTCTTCTCCTCGGCAGCTGATTGGATGCGCATGCGCGGGAAACTCTAGTGACAGGTGACAACTCTGACGTTCGACAGGTTGGCGGCAGTGCGGCCTGAAAGCAGTCGCTCGCTTCAAAAGAATCGAAGCAAAGATGGACTCCTAAGAAATTTTATATACAGCGGTCTCGTACGACTTTGGAGTAACTCCGTTGTGCTCGGTGGTTAAATCTCTGCCCGGTGGACGCCCGTGGGGCCGACGTTCTTTTATGATCACGCTCGCGGTGTGAACGCGATGATCGTGCAGGAACCAGTGCAGGTAAAAAAAAAAGAAAGAAAAAATAGAGGAAAGAAAACAGAATCTGGTCCGATATTCAGAGGCTCTTTACATCACGTTACTCGCGTTACTGTAACGTCGCGCGAATTTCTATATTCGGAGGGGCGCATCCATGCTCTCGCCGATATTGACGTCTCATCGATGCCGAGGACACGCGCGCACGCATCCCGAGCGTGCCTCTAATTACGTCGTACGATGATTTCGACGATCGCTTCTTCGGGGATCGTCCCTTGGAAATCGTTTCTTGGAACGACGATGCGATACATTTTACCTTCTTATTTTTATCCGGCGCGAATATTCGGGATTTCTCGCTTCACCGCGAAAGAGCGAAACGAAATTAAGAATTCTACCTATAAATAAGCATGAAACTTTACTGTATTTATGGATTTTTATATAATGAACATATAATCATGCATTTTTTATAGTCAATTAAGATGTACGCATATAGATGCACAGAGGATAGAGATGTTGCTTTTTTTTATCCATCTGCCAAATAGTTTAAAATTAATTAATATATATTATGATACATATTATCATTGGTAAATGTAAATATTATGCATGTGTAAGTCGAGCAACAACACATTTGGATCAGTATTTTTAACTGTATGTAATAAAATGTACGTATTGATTATATTCCATCTTATCTCAACTGAAAAAGCAAAGCAATATAAATTATATCAAACTTATATAGCATTTTTATGGCACTGTGATACATTGAAACAGTGGATACTTTTTCAAGCATACATTTTAAGAAAGACTAATAAACAATACTGAATTATTAAAATATATCATTAGTTTAATATGTAATAATGTATTTAATATATAATTAGAAGTATGTCTATATTTCTCTCAAATATTGCACTAAAATCTTTAAGAATATTAACAGTATTATTTATATTGACAAATATTTTATATTGCTGATGATAATTTTTTTTTATCTAAATTTTCATGCTACCTATTCTTTTCCTCATTAACTTAATGACTCGCGTGTTGCATTGGATAATTAATGATGTAGCATGAATTTTCTAATTTTAGGCGGCCATATGGCATTGTTTGAATCATTATGCCTATCCAGATGCTATATTCCTGGCAGAAAGGTTGTGTGCAGAAGGTAGAATTTTTTACTTTAATTTATAATACTCTACATTTTTTATTTATTCTTAAAATAAAACGAAATTTAACAAGTGTATACTTATATATTAATACATATTATATTGTTATATAGTGGACACGGAAGAAAGTTTATTTCTTTTGGCAACATGTTACTATCGTTCGGGCCGGATTAGGCAAGCTTATGCCTTATTATCCCAGAAAGCACCTAGTTCGGCACAATGTAGATTTTTACTAGCAAAATGTTGTTACGATCTGGAAAAGTAAGTAATGTGGCCAATTTGCGCATTGTTCTATATGTAATATGCGTATAAATGTCTTAAATTTATATTTTATTAAAAATTTCTAGATATGCGGAAGCGGAAGCTGCGATAATTGGCGGATATTACAAGCAGTTAAAGAGTTTGGAAGAGATAATAAGTCAATTTGGGGAACAGGCATGTTTTTCTCTGCAGATAATAGCAAAGATTTATTATAAGATGATGCGCACTGCGAGAGGCAACGAGGCGCATAAGTTAGCTTTAAAAGTGAATCCCTTTCTCTGGCATTCGTTTGAAGAGCTATGTAATGTCGGCGAAAAAGTGGATCCAGCCAAGATTTTTCAAGTAGACAAACTAGATTCCTTTGCTATGTGCCATGGTACTGTGTCTACGCTCAATTATGTCACCGAACCGGATTTTATTGTACCTGGAAATAATGCCAACAGTACACCTATATCAAACGGCACTAACTTGTATGTATATATTATATATAGCATAAAATATGTATTATATATATTTAAAAAATATAATATATATTATAAAGTTATAATGTTAAGTTATAATATCATAAAATAACTATTAATATTCTATTCGCGCATTGCAGAACACCGGTGATGGCACCAACGCTGATAAATGGCGGCCAGGTACGCTTGTGTTCCTCCATAGAGGATACTCCACAAAACAATGCACCAATGCAAATGCATTACAATTGCACTTCGATACCGCCGAGAGTCAAGTTGTCACGCTATCGAAGTATGTTTAGCAATCCCATGAGTCCGCTCACGCCTAGCTTTGGTATTTTGCCGCTGGAAAATAATACACCCGAGCCGACTCCACCCTCGCACACAACTCTCATGGAGGCCAATGATCAGAAGAGCTTAGCAAAACGCGTCAGCAGTCTGAGAGCTCATGTAGGAGTGAGTATAGTTTGTCAGCTTTATAAAACATTGAGTTTATAATAGCATTTTTTTATATTTAATTTTTTTGTTTAGCAATTAATGTCGAGAAAAGAGACTCCATTACAGCAAGGCAAGTCGGTATTTTCCCAATCGGGTAATGCAAGTAATACTGCCAACATCGTGACAGTGACAGCCGCTAATCCGACTTCACCTCCGTCACCGACGTTTCAGAGTACCAATGTTAGACGTTCGTCGCGACTCTTCAGTCATAATTCAGTAAAAGTATGGATTTTTATGAGTTTGATTCTTTTAATTAGATTTGTTCGTTTGTCTGTAATTTTGATTTAACTTGCATATATTTCAGGAGAACAATAAGTCACCTAATAGGAATAAATTTGCAACTCCAAAGTCTCCATCTCGAAAGACGAAAGCAAGACTTGCTAAAACAAATTTGAATAAGACCAATTTTAACGAATTAAACGAAAGAAATAGAAATGAGAAGGAAAAGAGCGAAACCATCACGTCGGAAAAAGCTGTAGCTAATGCGAATGCGCTTAACGCCCAAAATAATAATATTCATTCCGGAATAACATTGCAAAAGCAATCAGCGGGTATGTTGATTATTGAATATTAATATTTTAATTTCTTCAATATATTTTTTTTATTTATATAGAATAATATATATAATATTATATATATAGAATTTGAGATAGTTTTATATCTGTAACACTTTCAGAGGGATTGATGTCTTTGTTGCGAGAATTAGGAACAGCGTATCAGCATTTGAGTCAGTTTAAATGTACACAGGCTGTTGAGATTCTAAGTATACTGCCAAGACAACACTATAATACTGGTTGGGTACTTTCTATGTTGGCTCGTGCACACTTTGAAATGATGGACTATAAAAAGGCTGCTAGGTAATAATTTATTAATAATTATTATCAAGAAAAACATCAGATTATCTGTTTTAACATTTTTTGTAATATATAATAGTGTATATTTAGACTTTAAAATTAGAAAAGAAAAAAATACATTGTAGAAAGTGCAACTAAAACTGACTTGTCTCTAATACATTTAGATTTCTTTGTAATTTTCATTTATTTAATTTGTTTTTTTTTCTGCAGTTATTTTGCAGAAGTGCGACAGTTAGAGCCACAGAGAACAGAGCTGATGGAAATTTATAGTACTGTTCTTTGGCATCTGCATGCAGAAGTGCAGTTGTCTACGCTTGCTCAAGATTTGGTTTTACAAGACCGTAATTCAGCGGCAGCATGGTGCGCCACAGGCAACCTATTCTCGGCGCAAACGGAACACGAGACAGCGATTAAATTTTTCCAAAGAGCTATTCAGGTATTTATGAGTTTAAAGGAGCTACATATCTTTGTCACACGCAAAAATGGCTTATTTACGAAAATTGTTTTCTAGTAAGTAATAGTAATCCAATTACACGTTTTTTTTATTTTAATTATTATATTATTTATTCATTTTGTATATATATTAAAGATTATTAAGTTTCATAAAAAATTGCAACTTTTGTGAAAAGTGAGCATTAGTAATGAATATGCAGTGTCTGCATAATTTTGCATTTTAGATTAGTTCGATCTAAAAATAAAAATAAAAATATTTGCTTGGTGAGAAATGTTATAGTTAAATAGACAAACTATCGGATAATTTTTTAATTTATAAAAATTCACGAAATAATTAGACAACTTGAAAGAAAATAGGTCATTTTTATCCTTTCAATTACAACATGCATGTACGATTGTTATTTTGTATTCGGATAAAAATAATATACGATTTTTCGACACTTTTTCTAGGTGGACCCTAATTTTCCATATGCCTATACATTGCTGGGACACGAGTATGTCTTGACCGAGGAGCTAGATAAGGCAATTACTGCTTTCCGTAACGCTATCAGACTTGATCCCAGGCATTATAATGCATGGTAAGTTTCTGTTAAAGAGATGTTATATTTTTATTCAATATCCTTTTAATTATTTTCTGAGTTTAAATCATAATCTCCGTATATTAAAGGTTCGGACTGGGAACGATATTCTCGAAACAGGAACAATATAGTTTGGCGGAGTTACACTTTAAACGGGCCTTACAAATAAATCCGCAGAATTCTGCGCTAATGTGCCACATAGGTGTCGTGCAACATGCTCTGAAAAAAACCGATCAGGCATTAAAGACTCTGAATACTGCGCTATTGAATGATTCGGATAATACTTTATGCAAGTTCCATCGCGCGAGCATCAACTTCTCTATCGGTCGACACATGGAAGCTCTCAGAGAGTTCGAGGAGCTAAAGAATATTATACCCAAAGAATCTCTAGTCTATTATTCGATAGGAAAGGTAAGAGGTTCTCAAACGATAATTTTAATTAAGTTTTCGTAATTTTCAATTTTTTCTTTTTTAACAGGTGCATAAAAAATTAGGCAATACCCATCTCGCATTAATGTACTTTAGTTGGGCGACAGATTTAGATCCAAAAGGTGTTAATAGTCAAATTAAGGAAGCTATTTTGAGTCCTGGTCAGGGAGATGACGATTCTCCACCAACGCAATCAGGTATTATCAGAATATCATGTGATATAATTTATATATAAATTATATAATTTATATAATGCTACATATATAAAAATCAGAATTTTAATTCTTCAAAACTTTGAGAGAAGTCATGTAAAATGTTTTAAAATATGACTGATATATGACAATGTATAATTGTATATTTGTTACAAGTATGAGTTATATAATGATTCACATAACTAAAATTTAGATAGATACTTACCCCAATTTACTATATCAGATGAGCAACAAGCACAAAATAATTCAATGGAACAGGATATTGAGACGAATAGAGAAGGAAGTGCTGCACCTCTTGCCGGAAATGTTTCCGTTGAGCCTCATGGTGAGGATAGCGACGACAGTTTATGAAAACGATATGCGAGACTTCCGTGAAAAGAACGAAATATTATTATTCTCGTTATGGATCATTCGAATTATTTATTCGCCGGCCTGGCTTCACTTGCGGAATCGATAAAATTATTGATACGATATTATTGATTTTTTTAATCGAACAGTTGTCGACATTTTTCTCGCAAACTGCCCCGTCTATGCGACATGCTTAAGTTAAAAGAAATCATTATAATATTATCTCCTCGCGTCATCAATTTTTATTTACCTTGCACGAAAATCATGCAAGTTCTTTTATATATATATATATATATATATATATATATATATATATATATATATGTATATGTATATGTATATGTATATATATATATATATATATATATATATATATATATATGTATATTATATATGTATATGTATATGGATGCAGTGTTCTTGCGACAATAGAAAACTTGTGTATCGTATCCTTCATCAACTTGTACATTACGCGTTTATCTCTGTATATTTTTTTACGGTTGCTCGATCGCCTTTTATATTTCTTCATATTTCTTCTTCGATCGTGGTTTTCTCTTGTGCCTCGTTTCGTCGCGCATAAAATTCATTAAGTCGTCAGGTAAGATACAAGTTTTGTTGATTCACGCGAGATTTGGATTGAAATAAAAAATGAAGTAAATATAATATTGCGAGTTTTTTTATCTTAGCTCGCGAAGACGAGGTATCTAGAGATTCACACGGTTGAGTAGAGACTGTCGTGTCGTGAAAAGAAATGAATTGAACGAATGTAACCGTAAGCATGTCTTGTACGTAGTTAGATAATGTAATTAATTAATCGTTCTCGAGTAAGAGAGAGAGAGAGAGAGAGGAAAGAGAGTCTTGTGTAAATGTAAATTATTACTGTGTATTTACCGCTATTACTACTACAATTAGTGCTATTATTACAATTATTATTATTATTCGTATGATTATCATTGTTGATTTATATAGTGTTGTGGAGATATCGTCATTGGACGATTGTGCAATTCTCATCGTGAAGAAATAAGATTCCCCGATCAATCGAACATACGAATTCGCGACTGCAATTTCAGTGATGTCGCGCGATTATATATATTCGGCTTCGATATCGATATCCGAAATTAGTATAACCCGCGCAAATGTCTATATATATATATAGAGAAAAAACGCTCGTCGGATTATATTCTTAATAGTGCTGGACAGAATTTATGACATTTACGGCGTCGTTCTTCGTTACTAATATTAGGTGTACAATGCAAACTGTGTCAATTCCACATTTCCCGGAATAAAGATCGTTATGTGTTATTCCTGGAAGAGCATCAGCGTATATAAGTATATACGTTCGTATCTAATTTGAAGCGGATTTAGTTACGATAACATCTTATAACATTTTATATTGTACACGTAATTAAACGAAAGACACGTCACAAAAATGAAAAAGAAAAAAAAACAAAGAAAAGCGAATTGTACTGACTGAGAAATACGTTTGTGTGATACAAGACGCGCGTATCTTCTTCTTATATCTCTCCCTATAGTGCTCCTTTTTTGTCTCTTTTTTTAAATTAATTTATTTACTTCTTCGCATTCTCTTTCCTTCTCGCGCGTTCTTCCGTAATCATCTCGTATCTCTGGGAGAGAAAATAAAAGTGGTCTTTTTTGCATCTTTTGCTATAGCAAAGCGGCGACAAATCGTATTATTTATTCTTTTATCCTCATATATGCGTTTATATACGTTTCTTTTATCGAACGGAAAATTAAGTCGGATCTATCTTCCAAAGAGATTTAAAAAAAAACAACTACGCATATATATATGCGATGTCTGCTCGTCTTTATCCAGCTTCCGCGATGGTTCAATCGAATTCAACAACCGCTGCCGCGTTATTCGTTTACAAAAAAGAGGTGTATGCGCGAAATAAAGGCCTGCACTTTTTATGAAACTCTATTTGCTGTTTTGGCGAACACACCTGTGTCCTACGTCGACAATAATAATATACATACATGTCGAAAGAAATTTATCTGACAGACTTCTCTTTGTTTCCCAATTTATTTATCGACTTAATGATGAGTCATCGCTGCAGCTTTGCGACGAAAATTGTCTAGGTCAGCCACAGTGATTTTTTTCGCAGCGAAACGATTTATAAAATATGAAACCAAGAATTTATATTAGAAACATAATATCGATTCTTCATGAGAAATGATAATGTGTTTACAACAACGTGAGATAACATTGAAAATAATCACTGATACGAAAATCGAGACGCCAAGAGGGGAGCGAAGATGATGGCGACCCACGGGGTCGACTGTTTCGTCTCCTCTTCGGTTTGTTATTTATTCTTATTGTTGAGCTGACAGTCAATAAGTTAGTTTGCGCGTATATGATGAGGCGAATGGATCGAACAGTTAGCATGACCGTGCGAAGATCCAGGAGAGATTCAGACCTCGTGCTATCGCATTTCGGTCATCTGAAGGAACATCTCTTCAAGTTCCTCGTCATAGGCGATTATGGTGTCGGTGAGTTATTATTGCAAGCGATAAAATAACTTTTATTCGAATTTACACGTAATATCATTAAATACTTGAGAAATATAATTTTTTTCCAAGCGATAAGAGAAAGAAAAATGTCACAAGTAAATATTCGATAATCTTTCTTATCCATCCTGATTAATTTTATCGATTATTCGAGAGTTCATTTTGCAACCGCATTTATATCTAATGAATTGTAAATTTTAAGGAATTTCTTTATGCACAATCTGGAATTTTTTACAATATTTCGAAACTTTACCAACAATAAGAAGTTTTTGTATATAAAATTTCTCGTATGTTATATAAATAGTTTAGAAATATTTAAAGGCTTTTGTAAAATCGCTTTTATACAGAATTATCGACTCTTGCAAAATTTATTTAAATTTTTACAAGCTTTTTTTTATTTCAGGGAAAACTGCGCTGGTCAGAAGATATACGGAAGGTAAAAGTTTGCAACTTCTTATTTTTTCGACGATTTTTTGTCGATCAAACTCGTTCTTTTTATTAAAAAACGTAGATGTAGATTGTAGATTGCGATTGCAAATAAGAGGATTTAATATTATGAAAATTATGCGTTCAAAGAGAGAGAGGAGGAAATGATAAATATGCGCGCAAGCCGGTTTATGCGCTCTAAAAACACGTGCGTCGAATTGTCAACCTGCAGCTGCAACTACGATATTACATCTGCGTCATTAACATAAAATTCACACACATTGACGTCATTTTACACACTAGTAAAACTTTTCCAGGGAAGTTTTCCTCGAATTACAAGATCACCATAGGCGCTGATTTTGCAATAAAAACGCTCGATTGGGATCCACATACTAAAATAAACTTGCAGCTATGGTACGATTCTTCCGACATATAATTTATCTATTTTATTGCCTTTTTGACATTTATATTTGGCAAAAAAAGAAACGAGAATTTTATTTCGAATATTTCAGGGACATCGCAGGTCATGAGAGATTTGGATATATGACAAGGGTCTATTATAAATACGCGTAAATATGATTTTAATACGCCTCTTATCACATCGGATTTAGTCGGCGCTTTTGTGCGTATATAATCTCTATATTAAAAATATATATTTATTATTATAAAAATTAATAATTTGTGCACTTTGATATATTCTTTAATATATAGTACGCTTTATCGAGAGTAAAACTAGTACGACTATATCCCTTGAACGATTGATTGAAAAATTCCGAATCAATGACCGACTTTTTCTTTGTCCATCGATTTAACTTGCATTAAACGCAGGGTGGCCGCGGCTCTCGTATTTGACATTTCGCGCGCGGCGACCTTTCAATCGATGAAGAAGTGGCTGTGCGATCTTAGGGAAAAGATCACGCTGCCGGATGGCTCGAATATACCGGTCATTCTTTTGGCGAACAAGTGCGACATATCGGTCGCCGTGACCGATGAGCAGATCTCCAGGTTCTGCAAGGAGAACAGGATAAACGGCTGGTACGCGACTTCCGCGAAGAATAATACCAATGTTGGTGGGTATCAAATTCCGACCTGTCGGAAATTTATTATTGTGCTTGTAAATCATCTCTTCTTTTAATTTTTATATATTTTTTTAACATTTATTTTAATATATAAATCATTTTAATATATAAATCACGAATTTAATAAATTTTAATATAATATTACAATATATTTCTACTTTGGAAAGGAAGAGATGGATTTAATCTGGAAAAAATCTATACATTTATTAATACATATATTTAAAAACTCTTAATATAATTAAAAACGAAATTTTCTGTAATTATAATAGTCGAAATAATAAATCGAGAACTAATTGTGCTATTATTATACAATTTTCAGATATAGCGATGCGTCATTTGGTGGAGAAGGTGTTGTGCGCAAAAATCGACAATGGTGTACGCGATTCGATTCGATTACAACGCGAGAGCTTATTGAAACATGAAAAAATGCATTGTTGCAAATAGAGTGCAAAATGGATAGATATTTTAAGATTTTAAGATTATTCAAAGATGCGCATGTTAAAAGAATCTTCAAGCATAATATAATCATGTGAAAGGTTTCATACGATGGGAAAATGGAACTGCGATTATCTCGTTAAAATATTTATATATTAAAGATTTATATACAACATTGTAATGTATATACATTTGTATTTTTATACATCATTCTTTGTTATTTTTATTGACTATCAATGTCCTTTTCCTTAAATTTCACATCTCGTGATGAATTATATATAAATAGCTGTAATAAAATATATATCTAATTAAATTAATCACATCTGAAAAGTAACAACTTCTAATAAAGATAATTTTCTGAAATACTTCGTGTATTCGTAACGTCTCGTAAATATCTTTATTGTTATCAATGTCAGTTACGTATATATGTTAACAAATCTTTTTTATCCATTACATTTATAACAGATAACATATTATCAGGAATTTAAGTCGGTATTTAAGTGCCAGGCGAGACAAGTGATAATGAGATGAGTCTCTGAGGTAGAGTTAGGTTGACAGTGACTTGAATAAGGTGTGTCACGTCATAGTAGTAGCGAGTAATAGCTCGCAGAATGTTGTTTACATTTCTGTGCTGCTGGCGATAAAAATAAAAATATATATGTTATTTTAAGACGTGTATTCGTTATACATCATTATATAATTTGACATAGAGTCCAAGATACAAATTAAATAGTTCGGATAATTCCTCTTATATTTGGAGCCAAATAGAACATGGCTAATTATAACGTCGTAGAAACTGGTGAGTATAAAGGAAAGTTAAAAATATACATCACTAATACACTTAAGTTGTATTTATAAATTCATATATAGAATGTACATCATTTCGTATTATTTTGTGCATAAAAAATCACAGATTATATAAAAAAGAAAATAAAATCTCAAATCCTAAATTATTTAAATCCTATGTTTTTTAAATTTTGAGATATAAGAAACAATATATTTATAATTAGTAATATAAAAATATCAAACTTTACTCAAAATACTTCATACATATAAAATAAGTGATATATTATTTAAATGATAAAATAAATCTCTATTAAATATTACAATTTTAATAATTTTTTTTAATGCAAAAACAAGTCTTACAATAATAAAAGTTATTTTATTAAAATATTTATTTATATTACATTTTATGATGCAGTGCTAGGACCTGTATCATTGTCGAAACTTGGTAAAACGTTAACGCACGAACATCTGGCTGTCGATTTTCGTAATTTTTACGTATCACCACCGAAGCATATTGAGAAACATTTTCCCAAAAATAGTCTGGATCTCGCTGATATCGGATATATCAAACAATATCCGTAAGTAATTATATAAAATATATCTTTTTACAATAGATATTTAAAATTATAATATTTGAATGCATTTTTAATTTAAAACGTTTTTACTTTAAACAGTATAAATATAATTTCTATAGACTTTCATAATTAAATCAATAATCAAACTACCTGAATAAATTTTATTAATAAATGATAAATGATTAATACACTAAATATATTAATTCAGATATAGCAGTTGGAGTAATGTGAAGTTTTATAACGTGGAGGAAGCTGTCAGTACAGATGTAAAATTATTGAAGGAAGCTGGCGGTGGAACCATCGTGGAAAACAGCAGCCATGGTTTGAAACGCGACATCCCTTTAATGAGAAATGTTAGTAAGTCGACGGAAGTTAATGTGATTGCTGGAACTGGTATGTGCTTTTGCATTTTATTATTATTATTTGAAAATTATTGCTAATTATTTTTAAATATTATATATACATAATGTTTTCGCACCTCCGTAGGATATTATGTTGCCAGTGCGCAAACTGGATCAACCCTCGACACGACGAAGGAAGAAATGTACAATCTCATGTATAGAGAATTGAAAGAGAGTTGCATAGAGTGCCCCAAAGAGATGCAGGTAAAGGCTGGATTTATCGGAGAAGTCGGCAGCACTTGGCCGATCGAAGGTAAACCCTAGCTTGCTAAATATTTTTTCCTTTATTATTTATTATTTTTATTATTTTCATTATTTTTATTATTATTATTATAGTGAAATATGTATATATCTAAACGTTGAGAAAACTAAATGCAATTAAAACGAGCAGACTTTATATATGTAATTTAGACTGCGATATTTTTGCGTTGCGAAAATAATCTTGTTTATTAAATAAAATATATATAAGTATATAGTTGATTATTTAATGACACAAATCTGATAAGATATTAGATCTTAAAATATTTCTGCATCTGTAATTAGACTTTGAAAAACGTGCCATTTGTGCGACTGGCGAACTTCAAGCTCAATTGCATTGTTCCGTGAGCTTTCATCCCGGAAGAGACGCGTCTGCACCTGCGGAAATCATGCGAATCTATCAAGAGGCTGGTGGAGATCCTACCAGAGCCATCATGTCCCACATTGATCGTAAGATTTATGACAGAATTTCTCTCATTATTATTTTTTAATTAGGTTTTTTTAATTTAATTATTTTTTTATTATTTAAAAAAAACTTTTTTAAATACATCTAAAATATTTCTTCACAAATACGTTAATTAAATAAATTTTAATAGGTACATTACTCAAGAAGGAACAACTCCTGGAATTCGCCGACGATAATAAGTGTTACATCCAGTTTGATCTGTTTGGTATCGAATGTTCTTTTTATCAGCTGAATCCATCGACTGATATGCCATCGGATGCACAGCGTATCAAACGTATTGCACGTCTGAAAAAGGAAGGAAAATTGCATCGTGTTCTGATGAGTCACGACATTCACACGAAGCATAGATTAGTAAGTATTTGTTAATATCTTTAGTCAATTATTTATAATTTTGCTAATTAATTTTAATTTTATTAAACATATTTCTCGTTTATATTTTAATTTTTAAACACTTGAAATTATTTTTTAAGATACATTTTGGTGGCCATGGATATTCCCATATCGTGAATAACATTCTGCCAAAGATGATAAATAATAAAGGTTTTACTAGGGAAGACATTGAATTAATAACAGTTGAAAATCCGAAAAGATGGTTTACTCAGCAATAATTTATCTACGAAACAAAAATTCAATTTTCTTATAACACTACTGTATTTTCACGATTATTTTTTGTAGGTTTCTACGAAACTTTATTTCCATTATTATTATGAATTGTATTATATTTTTATGAAATATAAAAATTGATATCTATGAAATAAAAGGTAATTTTCTACATTTTTTAAGTCTTTCAAAAATCGCAAACGCGTACATATTTAATCTTCGAAACATTTCATCGTTTATTAGCCAATAAATAATTTATATTGTTTTTATATATAAAAATTATTAAAAAATAATTTTTTATATATAAAAATTTAAATTTAGATAATTCATACTTATTTGACATTAAAATATACGTTATCAAAATCATAGATCAACAAACGTATATTTTAGGAATACTAATTGTAAAACAAATTTTAGAAAGATATCGAAAGATTTATTCGAACTTGAATATCTTTTATATATACCAGTTTATAATTGTTATGAAAATAAATACATATTTTAGTGACCAATATCAATTGTGTGTAAACATAACAAGCTTAACGCGATAAGAAGTATCGTTAACTATAAAATATTTGGATTGAATACGCGATGTCACAAGAGTTATGATCGTCCTAAATGTTAGATGTTACATTTGTATTGACGCTATTTACAAGACAATAAACTTATGTTCTTTTGATCAGTTGAATTTGCATACAGAAATACTGTCGGATGCGCAGAGTATTAAATTTATGGCACATTTAATTCACATTCAATTTTACGTAATGAATTTCATCACCTTTAATTTTATAATTTCATATTTACTATACTTCTTGCCGCATTTTACAATTAAATAATAAGTATTTAAATAAAAATTGAAATTAAATCTCATATTTAAACAAAATTGATTATAAATGATAAAATTATTGAAATTGTTCTATTGATTTTTCAGACAGCCTTTGGCGGGCTTGGATATATTCATATTACGAAAAATATTGTGCCAATAATGTTAAAAAGATATTTCACGGCACAAGATATCTATGCGATAAGAGTTGTAAATCCTTCTAAATGGCTTACCCGGCATAATACCTATCATTAATTTTCAGGATAAATTGCATCAGGATATATTTGTATGATTTTTAGTTTTCCATACAAATCATAAAATGACGGAATTTCTGGAATGTATATTTTTTTTCTTTTTAACAAATAATACTCTTTTTGCAATAATTTTCCTTATACACTAGAAAAAAAGTCTTGTCGCATTAATAAAAATTCTGTTCGAAAATAGGCAAAACAGAGTTACTAGTTGAATTTACCAGAATTCTAATACAAACAATATGCTTGTTAAGATACAAATATATAGTATATTGTTACATTATATTCTGTACCATCCATTTTTGAACAAAATTGTTCATGCGACGACTTTTTATTCAGTGTAATTTTACATTATAATAAACATATTTGTAAGTGTATTTTAAATATATGAATGAAGCAATATAAAATTTATATTTTATTTACAAGATACAACAGTATATGACAACCTTTGGTACGAATTAATACCCAGCTAAGGGTAACTATGTGGTTGTTTCACAAATGCCACGGAAAATAAATATGCATGCGCAACATTTATTTGATATTTATTGCATTATTTCGCTGTTTTGCGAAAGAATAAATAATTTATAGAACGTATATTATTATATCATACTGTGAACGTGATACGAAAATACGAATGGTTCGATAACACAGTCACAAAGCTCTTCTTTCTCTCTCTTTTATCTTCTTTCAACAGAAGAACGTTGATATCTTGTTTGTCGAAAAACGTTTGATATCTTCTCGTTCTTTTCGTCTCAGTCTATTACAGCTCGTCCTGGAGTTGCGAATTTCTCACAGGATTCATAGCGATAGAGACCGTCGACACCATCGTTTTACTGAAGTCCTTCGAATAATCTGCAGTTGAAAAAAAATGCGAATACATTTTTTTAATAGAACTCGCATTTTCGCCAAATGTACAAAAAGAAAACAAAAAATAGCAAACTATTTTTATCTGCAATAAAATGTCTTTGTAAGACATTATACAAAAGAAAAATACAAAAGTTATATAGAAAAGATATAGTATTATGAAATTATTAAGAAAGAAACTATATTATATATGTATATAATATATTGTAGCGTAATTCATAATTTATGAAAATAGAAAACAAAATAACTCAAACGTAAGATTAAATTCTTTATTATGTCAGTCAATTAATTAAACGAGTTAATTAAAAACAAGCGATGAAAAACAGTGTATTTAAGTACATTAAATCAACAATATAAATTCTACAGCGTTCTACAGCGAAAAAATCTGTTGAATATATGTTAATTCACAATTGTTAATTCATAGTTAAAGAGAATGCAAAATTATTTGACGTCGTTTGCTCGTCAGCTCCAAAAGCTCCTAAGCTCCAAAAAGAGAACACAGAAAAAACAGTATCCTTGAGAGAATGCAAATATGCCTTAATTCAAGTATATTTTATTCTTATAATAGCGCCAAATATAAATAATTTTGGATAAAGGATAATTTATCCTTAAAACAAAGTGCAAAATATTCTTGGTTGAAGCTGAAATTTACTTATAAATATTGCAAGGACAAGTGACAAGTGTGCATCGGATATAAGCGGTACTTTCAAATATATATAATAATTCTTAGTTCAAATGTAACTAAGTTTGTTTTTACCATATGCGATTTTTAAAACAAGAATATATCTTAAGGATAAAATATACTTCACACAAACTTATTATTATTAAGGCAAACAAAAATTTGTGATTACAAAGAGCATTCTATGCTTAAATCAATCAAATAGCGTTCAAGAATAAAAATATACTTGAATCAAGGATTCCTTTTTTTCTGTGAGGTTTTAAGAAGCTATTAAACACAAGAAGAGATCAATGAAAAAGGGTTGCGATTAAGGATTAATTGATTAGCACGCGCACACACACAGACTCTGGCCATGGATATTAGCGGTACCAAAAGTGGCAATCGAACAAAAGTAAGAAGCAAACTTGTGGTGCCCTTGACTTACGAAGTGGTCGCGCGCTCGGTCAGAGCTTGGTGAGCTTTATCGCGTGACGTTGCTCGAAGTTACCTTGGACGTAGTCCTGATGATGAGCCTGAAGACCAGCACCCGGCGCGCTGCTGCCATATGGCGTCAAGCTCGCCCTTATCCACGAGCAACCAATCGCCCCGGCATACGCCTGTCTGTACTGCTTGTTCATGATCACGTAGATGATCGGATTCACGCATGACGCGAAGTACAAAAGCAGGTATCCCAAAACGTGACATTCTGAAACAGTTTGATGATATAGTTTAGCAACAGTGGAAGTAAACTACAGCAAATATACAGAGTATCCTTACTGTACCACTCGTTAATGGGAGATTCTTCAGGTGATCTGAAGACGATTTTTCCTTAGAAAATGTCCAGGCACCATATCATAATTTTCGAGTTTTAAACGATTGCAAATAAAAGTTGTTTTGTAAACCAAGCCTTGTGAAAATTAATTGTTTAACAAAACTAAATTTTTTAGTTAATTTCACGTAAAGTTTACTTTAATAAAATTTTAATTTAAGACTTAGTTACAAAGATATATGATTTTAAAAATTGGGAACATTAAAAAAAATGATGACTTTTCTCGACATTTTCGCTAAGAAAAAATCGTTTCCAAATAATCTTAAGAGTCTCCCATAAACGGATGGTACGGCAAGATGGAACACCCTGTATACGGTTAAAAGAATTAGAAGAAGATAAATATATATGTATTCGTACCGGGACATCTGACCTCCGCGTCGGCCACCTTGACGATGGTGATCGGCAGGTAGCACGCGAGGAAGCTGATGAAGATCACCAGAACCATCTTCGTGATTCTCCACTCGCTACGCTTCTGCTTCAGCTCCCTGATGTCTTTCCCAGGCGTATGAGGGGATTTTATCGTTGGCGTAGTGTGCTTTCGCATTCGCGATTCTGATCTGCAACGTCAATTGCAGATTCCGATCAGTTACTATCATGTGAAGACGATTGTAAAAAAAAAAATAAAAAATAATAAAAATAGAAAAAATATGAAAAGTCTCGAAAATGTCAATTACTTGTGCACCACCCAGAATATCTTGGCGTAACAGCCGACGATCACCACACAGGGTATTAGGAATCCCATGATGAAGAGAAATGTCTTGGGGGTATGACCATTACGATCCTTGACGATGGAGCAAGTTTCGAGATTGTTATCATAATCGAATTTACCTGATAAAAAGAATTAAGAATAAACGATAAATAATACGTGATAATAATGTAGGATTGATTGATTATAAAATATATAATAATAAAAATAGCGACTCACCCCACACTTCTAACAACGTAGGTATCTGCATCCCGTAAGAGAACACCCAGCAAAAAATTATCATCGCGGCGATCCAAAATTTCTTATAAACTCTGCCATATATGGCGTGATGTGCTATCATAATGTATCTACAGACAAAAAAAATTAGGAATTTTTAAAATTTTATTGCATACTGTAATTATTCTCTTAAAAGTCAGAGAAAATTAAAAAAATGAATTAAAGTAAATATATCAAGTAGATTAAATACTTAAGCTTGTGAAGAATCGAATAATATATAAAAATACGCACCTGTTGATAGTGATAGCTGCTACAGACAGAAGACTCACACCGACGTTTCCGTACCTGAAGAAAGGCACGAAGACACAGAAGAATCGGATGTCCGTCCAGCTGGCGTTGACAAATCTGATGGAATCGAACGGCAACACCAGCAGACAAAACACAAAGTCCGCGATGCATAAACTAAATTCCATTGACATAAGTTGAGTCATTTTTAATTGGCATAAACATGAATGAAAAAATAACAATCTTAACCGCAGTCAGAAAATAGTTTTTTTATGAATGACACGATATGCTTCTATGAGGTAATCACTGACGTGAGAATGATTCATACTGTTGTATTAGCTCTTTAAATCAGCTGTGCAAATCAGCTTTATATCGAATATTTTAAAGAAACCTTTATCGATGAAATTAATGAAATAAAACTTGAATATAAATTACCTTATAATAAAAGCCGCTGCAACGTTGCGAACTTTGGGATATTTACATAAAGCAACAATCGTCAGTAAATTACCAGCTAGACCAATAAGCATGATGATGATCGCCACTACTGCCGCAAAAGTTCTCAAAGGTTTCGGGAATCTGCAACAGTTAAATCAATGATAAAAAAATTCTACTTTATTTATTGCAAATTATAATTCTCTTCATTGATAAAAATCAAATAATTTTAGTTTAGACATACATGTATTATTATATTTTTTTAATTTAAAAGTATATATTTTTTTAATTTACTAGAATATTACAAAAGTGCGCGCTATTTTTATTTCCTAATATTATTTTTTCCTTATTATTTATTTCCATCATATATTATTTAATTTGTATAATAAATTATAATAAATTACAACTAAAAATTCTTAAATTAAAAAAAATAAATGTTTTGAAATATCAAAATTTGACGTTAAAATAATAACATTAAATTAATTCACAAGTATATAGTTTCTTGATCAAAGTAAGATAAATAATTTAAGAGTTTAACAAGGCTCTGTAATATAAATATAAATATAAATTTAAAGTGTCAAACAGGCAATAAGAGCCAAAGATAAATAATATTTTTTTATATATAAATTACAAATTATATGTATATTATATTACAAAATTATTTAACGACATATGCTTTTACATTAAAAAGATTAACGTACCTTGAAAATTCCGCATCGATCATGGCGTTTTGCGTGGCGTTGTCCATGACATGAGGGAACCAGGTATCTGTAGCAGCCATACCGAAGGCGTCGCGATTCTGATTCAATGATTCCATTTGGCCTCGATCGACCTTGGAAGCCTGCGACATTCACGAGCGAAAGATTGGAATTAAATATTCGATGTGTGTTCCACCTGTTCAGGTGATGACTAAAGCAGATGACTAATAAGTCGTGCGTATAGTATAATTTTCAAATATTTTTAATAGATGCAAAAAATAACTGAGACAAGGGTTTCTTAAATTAATTAATATATCTTCATCTTAATCTATCGCTCAAGGCGATTTGCCTTGGAAATAAAAAAACATCGTTCAGAAAGAACGGAGTTCAGACAAGTATATCTCGTTTTTTATTCGTTTCTCGTATTTTATTATTAGTAGACGTGTCCTGAATTAATCAGTATCGCTTTGATAAAAATAGATAGATGTGGAATTACCACAAATTACGCAGCACGCAAGGTATAGCTGATCTGATGTAAAACGGATGCGACGACATACATATATGTTTTATAATCATTTCCTAAATTGCGACAGAGAAATATGCGTTGGAGGGAACTAATAATATATACCGTTCGTCATATTATAATTCGTCTATTGACATTTTCATAGAAAGTTTCAATAATAGTCAAATTCTTTTTCTACAATTGCAATCGACATGGGAAAAAACTTTATATAGTCAAGTAAATAATAAGTTATTAATTTATAAAATTAAAATGTAATTATATATGTATATCGCAATGCTAAATATCGAAACGCATTTTTCATGTATATTCATTAATTTGATTATATGAATATTAATCCATACTTAGAAATTTTAAGTTAATTTTTAATATATTATAATCAATAATTCTTTGTCTCGCCATGATATTATACTTGCGTTTGTTACGTGTATTTCCAAATAGTTAAATTTTATTTTCATATCAGACTTGATAAGGACCCAAAACAAGGGTTAAAACGTTGTCTTGTTTTAATAACATGTCTTGGTAATAACAATAAAGATATTTTTATGCCAGTTGAGTCGTGAAGATTTGTTTATTTATTAATTTAATATACCTACTATCTACATTATATATATTAATATGTTATTGTATTATCAATAAAAGCTTATTATTACTATCAGTCGAGCTTCGACACTCGAGCAATAAAGACGTATAAGTTAAACGCTTTGCATACTGTCAAATTCTTTTTCTAAGACTGCGTTTGATTTGGGAAAACTATATTATATAGTAAAATGATTAACAAGTTATTAACTTCTACAATTAAAATATAATTATATATATATGTATACCGCAATGCTGAATAATATCAAAACATATTTTCGTGTACATATATTCATTAATTTGATAATATTAATATTAATCCCAACCTTAGAAATTATAAATTAATTTAATATTCCATGTACATTCATATATGTTATAAAACTTAAAATATTTCGGCAACGAATAGTGAATAGCATATGGTAACCATCTGCGCTTCCAATAGATTTGCGCATCTACACCCCCCACGTCTAATCCGGTGCGCGTCTCGCGCGACACTGATTCTCGTTCGAGATATTGCGATTGCGAGACTGACGATCACGTGATCAGTTTCGCGCGAGCCGCGCAGGCGCAGCGTAGCGGACGTATAAAGACGCGCGAATCTAATGAAAGCATAGGTATTTCGGTCGAAAAATTTTTGTAGAAAATTTTATTTTTTTGTTCGCATCTTCTGTTAAAGATTTAAATATTGAATTTTCACTGCAATAATAATTTTTATGCATATTTGCAATTTTTAAGATTTTATTATCAAAGAGTAAATAATGCTACAGTATTAAACCATTATATGTTAATTTTCTATTTTATTATATATATTATATTTTAATTCTAATTTCCGAATGTTTATTATGCACATAATTTTAATTTGTCGAATTTTTATTATGTATATGCAATTTTAATTTCTGAATTTTTGTTATGTACTATAGACAACACAAACGCACGCTTCGCGATAATCAACTTTGCATGTTTTTTTTAGAAAGGAATTATATTATAATATATATTTTTGTGCATTTTATTATGTGCCTGAAAAGTTGCTGAAGACTTTGAAGAACTTTAGAACTCACAATTGTCTGATGTCGCGTAGGACGTTTGACATTTGCGTTATGCAAATAACGTGCGCGCAGGGCGCATTAAAATAATTTCCCGACGTGGACAATGACTGGAGAACGAACGTTACGTTAAGGAAAGGAGAGACTGTAAGAATTCATTATTATTTATGGGCGCCACCAACGGAAACAGATCATCTAGAGGATTTATAGAAGACAATATTCTCGGTGAATGCGATAATCTCTCTAACTCTCTGACATCCATCAACGTGCTCGATTATATTTAAATACATTATATTTGTTTGGAAAAATTTCAAAATTGGAAAATATTACGATTCACTATTTTTCAGATATTTCAATATTAATATTTAGGAATTTATAATTCATAATACTTATTGTTAGTGTGTTATTTTTTGCTCTTTCTCTATCTCGTTCTCTGATCATAGCCACGCGACACTAAATAGCTGCGAGTATTAAACTACATATGATTGTAGATCACTATACATGAGTCACTTGTTATCGAAACATGCAAACACGTGATACTACAATTTCAAAAGGAAAAAAATATCAATTAATTACCTGTACAGCGAATAATTTTTAGATACTAAATATTACTATAATATAATTTCTTTATTTACATTAATTTATTTAATTGCATATGTATGTGTATATATAAAAAATTTTAATTTATATATACTTTTTATATTTTTCTGTGATAATTTAAAAACAATTTCTACAAATTCCAAATTATGCAAATTTATTTATTGATCAGTGATTTATATGTAAACGCATGTTACAAAAAGTTGCGTTCGATTTGGTAAACTGAGGTCAAACTGCAGTGCATTAACCCCGATTGAGTTTAATTAGGGGAAATTAACGGACACCCGGTACTAGGCGTCCCCTCGGGACAAAAAAGCGATGAAAGCCACGGAAGACATGGGAACGTACCAACGCGTCGTTCTGTCGTTGTTTCGTTTTATTATTGTCATCAAAGAATTTAATATTATCGCACAATAATTATATTATTATGTAAATTCTTACAAAAAATATATACGAGTATAATACATATATTTCTGTATTTATATTATATATATGTTTCGAGAGAAATCGAACAAAAGGAAAAAAAATCATTCGCTTTAAATCTAAAAGTGAATTAAATTCTACTAATTTACAATTTATTTTTATTTGAAATATATATATATATATATATATATATATATTACTTTATATTATATATTTGTAAAATATTATATACTTAATACCATCATATTATTATTAAAAAATATGTTGCAAAAGATTTATATATGTTATAGTTTAAGTTTTTTTTAAACATTATTAGCATTTTAAATTATTAATTTTTTTTATTATTATTATTTTTATTATCATAACATAACAAGTTGACTATTAACAAGTAAGTATAATCGATTAATTCGAATCTGATAAGTGGCATGTTTGGCTGGTTCAAGAAGGGCGTGTATATATTTGACTTTTATATCAGCCTGATAAGCGAAGTTAATCAGTCGCACGTCAACGGAAGAAGATGCGAAACCGCGAACATTATTTTTTATTCCGTGGAAGTCCTCGGTGATGGACTGACGTCATCGAATGATTTCCGTGTTAATCACGCGGCGAACGGCAATGAATGAGTCAAGTTGAGTCACGGTGAAAGTACCTAGATCGGAGTCGATGCGTCGTCGACTGGGTTTTGTTGTACATGCGACCAAGTACCTTCCCGATTAACGCTCTTTAATTCTTTGTTTCAATGAAATTACATTTATCAGAGACTGATCGAACGAGGTTTTGTACAGTCAACTTTGATATAAATCGATAACATTAATAACACCGTATCGTAATGTTTACCTTTATTCCCTTCCGATAGTCCTCTTTCTCTCATTGAAAGACAGAATAAATATTTAATTAAACTTAAATTATTAATTAAAATGTTTCAAATAAATTAAAAATCAAATTAAATTAAAAATATATAACAAAACGCAATTTTGAATTTAATAAAATAAAATACACATACATAAGTATGTAAACAATAATGTGAATTTCTGTAATTTAAATTTGTTATGCGTTTTGCATATTTTTTTTACGATTTAAGTGATCGAAATATATAAATAGCGAGTACGAAAAGATAGTACGTACACATGGTTCGAGTGCAAAATTGTTGAAAGTCGATCGAGACGCGACTACTATACTGCTCTCGTATCCCGCCCACGAGAGCACCACGTGGTGTGAATGTCAAACGTCTGTACTTACGGTACAAAACATGTGTCGTGCTATTCATACCGTGCATTTAGCTCTAAATACGCTAGTGTGTATCGATATTAAAACACGCCTCATCGATTTGTCTGACTGATCTTTTTCGTGAATCTTTATGTGACAAAATTGACAGAAAATTATAACTTATTAAATGTTTTCTTAAAACAAAAATATCATGAACTAAAATTAACAATAATTTAATCAAAAATTTGGAATTAAAAATGTATATTTGAAAAAAATGTATAATGTGTATAATTGTTAATGTATAAACTATATATATTGTATATAAAATTTTTAAGGTTGCTTTCGAATGTGGGAAATATATATTTGAAGATCTACTTTTACATTAATTCTTGGTACACAGCCCAGCTAATTAAATACTCCACCCGTCATAATTATCTCATTCACGTCACGTTTCTAAATTGCCTCGGGACCTCGCTATTTTTTGCCTTGTTCTCGGTGTTGGTCCCTTACAATCTGGCAGACCAACTTGACATCAACAGAATTCACACGAGCGAAAAATACAATTACGATCTTTTCAAGAGTTAATTCTTCAAATATTTAAATAATTATGTGTCTCACATGCTTTTTTATTTCTTCTTTCAAAGAAAAAAATTTTGTCAATTAAATTCTATAGAAATCTGTTTTGTTTTGTAAAGTTGAATTCATGTATTAAGATCTATCTGAAGAAGAATATCTATGAAGAAGAGAATAAAAGAGTTATTGATAATTGTCACTTACCGCTTCGATTCTTATTACTTTAAACCAGTCATAAGTCCGTCAATGAGATAGATAATGGAGAGGCGGAAAGACCTTTGTTGACTGAAGAATATGACCGAGGAATGTGAGAATATTCAATGTCCTTCCGTTTCAATGTACGTCCTTGCGTATGTCCTCCTCATCAGACACGATTGAAGTCACTTTACAAAGCACCAGACTGAGAATTATTTAAACGTTGTTTTTTTGAAAAAAAAGAAGATACGATAATTTCTATTGTTCTTCTAATTATTAAGTATTTCTTAATTATTATCGATTTAATCGATAAAATCGATTTAATATCGCTTTGATTCGTCATTAAAAAATAATTAAATAATTTTCTTTTCTCCTTTTATTTTTTACTGTGTCTCTTTTTCCAATCTTATTGTAACAATTTAATTTCTTTCTCTTACAAAAAGATAACTTGATACCTTTGAAAAATTCGTCGAATTTCGCTGGTCACGAAATGATATGTCCAAATTCGTTATTCACAAAAAAACTCACTTATTTTAATTATATATTATTTCAAAAATTTGTATTTAAAATGTCTTCACCTTTATCCTAAATTGCACGATATCTGGCGAACGAGATTATGATTTTCTTGTAACTATTCGCGATGTAACTTTTGACTAGTTTATTCCTCAGGAACCATATTGTCTCTGCGGGCTATTGTCTTGTAATTTTTTTTAAATTATTCGACTTTAGCAAAAGTGACACTTCGCACGTGGCGACTCGCGGATTTTGACTGCGCGCGATCGATTCTCCCGGGGACCGGAGTCACGCAACTCGGGGACCAGTGACGCGGATACCGCATATGCGTCAGCGTCACCGTGGATAGACTGCTGCTTAACCAGCATTCCGTCAGATTATACACACTAGATACAGGCCCCGTGGGTAGTCGACCGCGGGAGAAGGAGGTGACGAAGAAAGATCGTGAACGCGGGGGACGATGACGATGTGCGAGAGCAACATCTGCATCCAAGATCTGGGGACCCAGTTGACCCTTTCGCTGTGACACACCGTGCTGCTCATCCTTTTTAAATTGCGCGGAATGTGCTGCAATTGCGATATACGTCGTGTTCTTTTTGTGTGCCGCGTAATCAGGACAAGAGCGATGTATGCAAATTGCAAACAATCGATCGCAATCGCTTATTTTTCCAAATTTTGCTGAATATTAAAAAAAAATATAATATAAAAAAAAAATTCAGTCTTATATCTATTTCTGTCAAATATGTAGAAAGTTAAAAGATTTCGAGGTCATCTATAAATGATTTCTATTTTGACATGGAATTTTAATTAAAGGATAAACATAATAAAAAAATGATAATAGTTATTGAATAATTAAATAGAAGAAATATTTTACATTCGACATTATTATGTAATAAAAAATTCACTTGTGATTAATAAGTTAAGAAAAATCAGTGCAGACGGATTATCATATTTGGCAAATTCGTAAGAGAAACTTTTACGCTTGAATGACCGCGAGCAGATAAGATCGTTGCTTTTAATATCGCGTGTATTTATTACGGTATTTATTACATAAGCAACCAAAGACATGGCGAGAGTGAATTAGACTTAACAAAGTGGAACCGACCGGTCGTATTAATTGGAATGACTAAATCGAACATCTCGCTGGATTCACACAGAGGCGACCCGCATCCAGCCGCCTACGATTGTTCGAAATTAACATCGTCTTCTCGAATCTCTCGCTTTTTTAATTTATATTTTAGACACGCTATATCGGAAATACAATAGATTTATTCCGATTAAATGTAATATTAATTATATAATTTATATATGTAATATGATTGTATGTGCGATGTCCTAGATTTACCGGATGCTCTTCCGGTACCATAGATATATAAAAACATGCATTATCATAACATGCTGAATGAGAAGAATTAAAAATATCAATAGTTATATAATAATTAAGTATTGAGAATTAAAAAATTGTAAAACAATAATTAATAAAAATTAATTTTGAATTAATTGTAGCAAAAAGACATTTCGTTCAGACAATATTAATTTTAGAAATCATCCAAAGAATCGTTTGTTAAAAAATAATATAATAAAAAAGCAAGACATTGTATATTGTTTAATTAATTTTTTACATCATGTAAAGTATTTTTAAATTGTGTATAATAATAATTTCAATTCTAATTTTTAATTTTCTATATTTCTTAATTATCGCCTAATGTTCTGACAATTACAACTCAAATTTCATTAATTTAAAATTAAGATGCATTAAGAAAACGCTGTTAATTAAACCTTGCAACATTTATTTTTGTGATAACATTTTTCTAGTCCGGATGCAAGCAATTAAGAGAGACATCGACGAATTCCCCGAATTCGGACAAATAACGAAGAAACGCAAAAATAATATAATAAAAAAGCAAGACATCAAATATTGTTTCATTAATTTTTTACATGATGTAAAATATTTTTAAACCGCGTATAATAATTATTTCAATTTTCCTTAATTGTCGCCTAATATTTTTACAATTAATTACAACTACAAATTTCATTAATTTAAAATTGAGATGCATTAAGAGAACACAGTTAATTAAATCTTGCAACATCTATTTTTGTATTTAAATTTTTTAGTCTCTTCCAGGTGCAAGCAATTAAGAGAGACATCGACGAATTCCCTGAATTCGGACAAACAACGAACCGAAGAAACGCACTTCCGACTCGCTCGCTTCCGTTCGCGGACGTTCGTACACAGCTGGAGACTCCCCTCGCGTTGGGAGAGACTACTACTAACAAAATGCAATTATTTTTAAAAAGGATGTAGGGACACACGCGCGCGCGCTGCAGCGCGTTTCCAGGGGACGGTACGCTCCGATTAGACACACGTAGGTGCTTCTAGTAGACCATAAGTGCCATATCGACGAGATGGGGCTGACTGGCCCCGTTTAACACTTTCGCTATTGCGTCGTCGGGAGCGACGTGCTGCAAATTGTTTATAATAGGATTGATGATCGGTGCCCTCGTTTGGTACCCGTTTGATTTTCTCAAACATGATTGACATTTCTCATGATATGTCACATCTTCAAAAAGGAATGATCCCTATTACGATAATATGTCATTTAGATAAACGTTCGATATTTTTTGTAATTTAAAATGTAAAAGATCAAATTTGAGATTATTTGAGGTAATTTATATTAAAGAAAAATATGTTTAATAATTAATGACATTTCTCATGATATATTACATCTTCAAAAAGAAATTGTCCCTATTACGATAATGCCTTTTAAATAAATGTTCGATATTTTTTGTAATTTATTAAAATGTAAAAGATAAAATTCGAGAATATTTGAGGTAATTTATATTAAAGAAAAATATGTTTAAATAATTAATAGAATCAATGAAAATAAATAACGAGTTTGGAGACATCGAAGCCGCTTTGCACAAAGACGATCTTCTCTCAAATCGATCTGCAAGAAGAAGAACCTCCCTCGATGTCGAGGGAGGAGTCGAATTTGGCGCAGACGCGGCTTCGAGGAAAAGTTCATATACTTACTCTTATGTATACGAGTCTTGCTAATAATTCCGCCAGTATATTCGCGAATTTTGCCAGACGCGCTTCGACATACAATTCTATTCTGTGTTTTATTACTATATATTTTGAGAAATAAACTTGAGTATTTTTATAGAAGAATGCCTCTTTGTTAAATTTTCGCTATCTCGAATTTATCGCACTCTGCTGACAAATTGCAACAAAGTGATCGCAGGCGAAGTTATAGAGTTTTTCAGATGATGTCGAGATCAAAATGAGAGTTGACAAGAAAGAAGAAGTACAGACTAACGTTAACGATGTCAAAAGCAACGAGAAAAAATTTTGAAGCACTACTTCATTGATTGTCATCGATAAATTAGAAATGTATTTCTCATTTTCATAAACGTAAGTGCAGCTTATTTAAAGAACCATAAGAAAACTTAAAATAATTCTTCTTTATAAAAAATGAAAAAAAATATACTAACAAAATATGTTCGCGAATGGTCTAACATTTACATTAGCTTAATTTGCATGCAAATATTCCGTTGTTCGGCAACAATTTGCTGAAGATTGTGTCAGCTGATTATTGATGATTCGCGGGATTATGAATTTGAAACATAGAAACGCCTGAAAGTTTACGCTGAGACGAAAGAGTTTATCGTCTCGGGTGATGAAAATAGATCTCTCAGTTTCTCTTTTCGACGCTCCGTCTGTCGAAAGAAAAAAGAAACGATGGCTTCAGCACATGTATATACGCATAAGTGACGCACAGATATCGTTTGTGCGTAAAATTCGCGCCTCCGGAATGGCAAAATGCACGTATTAGCTGTTAAGCGGGCTCCACATATGAAGAGCAATTAAAAGCAGAAAGCTTAAATGAACTAAAATAAATATATATCTTTGTTCAATCATCTGTCATTTAAATCACATCTTTCCAAGGATATAAATGTGCGGTTAAATGAATAATTTGTGTGACTTGATTTTTGCGAAAGTAACAAGATTAAATGTACTCTCGCGATTACAGAATGAAGAGATAATATCTTCCAGATTTTGCAAATTCTACATACGATAGATAAAATAAAAACCTACGTGAAAAATCTCAATATTATGTATTATTATTATTATTTCGCAGATGGCAAAATGACAAAAATTGTACCTATCCCTAATGACTACTGACATTCGTATAATGTTTGACTTTCTTTCAGATGCTGAAGTACTGGTGGATGGCGAACAACAAAACTGAACGCAATGACAGCGACGATGTGCCGATCGAAGAGATGCTGCAGGATCCAGGATCGATGATCCTCTTCGTCGGATATCCACGGTGGCTGCTGTATTTCGCCGCCATCTGTTGTGTTCTCTTCATGTTGATCGGCATCCCGGGAAATCTCATCACGGTAATCGCGTTGTTCCGCACCAAAAAGGTCTGTAATTAAAGCTATAATATTTAACAACATGCGATAATATTACAATAATTAAAAAAGACATAAATAAAAAAATTAGACATAAATAAAAAATTAAATAAAAAGAATTTATCTAAAAGCGATTTGAGCTGAAAGTTGATTGATATAAATTGATATAACTTTTATATAATTTTGATATTAAGATGATCCTGATTTGTAAGATAGTGTTATTGGGATTGATGTTCTAGAAAATATATATTCCCCGAAATGTCTATCTACATGAATCACAATAATATACTGGAAAAACTGTTTCGCGTTATTCGTGATTTTCATGACTTATACGCGGAAAGAGGCTTAAAATACATCATAATAAATTTGTATTATACTAAAGGCGTGTACCGTTACTGAAGTTTCCGGTACTGCTTACGCGCAAAATCTTAAAGTAGTCCGAGTGGTTTACCTTGAGTCATTATACTTGTTTTGTCTTACAAGACGTTAACAATAAGTGAGGGCGTTAAATTGGACAGAATATTTCTCAATTAAATGTACTTTATTCATTATATTTTCAAGAGATAAATTCTATATATATTATTCTATATTTTTTTTACACGCTACGTTTTATAGCATAATTTTTTAGTTTTACATAATAATTAAGTCATATTTGTTTTATATTTTAGAAAATATTTTTCTATTTATTTCTCTATTTAACAATAAATAATAAAAAATATATTTTAACTGAATAATTTCATAAAACATATCTACAATTATAAATATATGTAAATAGCTATACTTATATACTAATAATTTTTAAATACTCCTTGTATTCCGGAAAAGCATTGTTTTGGATTATACAAAAATTGTTTCATTGCACAGCAAAATGCAATATTTTATTTCTGGAAAATACTTGAAGATGTGACACAAGCCAATGAACAGAGGTCGTCGGCACGATTCTATAACAAACGAATCCTGCCAGCAAAGTCAACCATCAATGGGTTAAATTTGGAGTCGATTACGCGGAACTGCGTACATACACAATCGTTGTGTTTGCATGACGGTTCACGTACTTCTCTGTGATATAATCGACTAGTTAGAATTAAATCACGAAGTCTCCATCAATTTTAGCATGTTTGCTTCGTGGAATTTGGAACAGTATATTCGGCGAGCTACGCAAGTTAATTTTCACGTTTGACAAACTCGTCGTATTATTATTTCGTCTATCAATCAATACATATTAATCATGATTGATAATCAAATAAATAATTGATAATAAAAGCAGATAAATAATTGACGTTAAAAAATAATTGACAATTTTATTATAATATTAGTATAAAGTATAATTTTATTATTTTATAATTCTTTATTTATTTATTTTTGCATTTTCATTTTGTTGCAGCTAAAGAACGCCACCGCGGTCTTCATCATGAATCTGTCGATATCAGATTTGATGTTCTGCTGCTTCAATCTGCCACTCGCAACTTCCACATTCTGGCACAAGTCATGGTTGTACGGACCACTTCTCTGTCGGTTGTTTCCGCTCTTGAGATACGGCCTCGTTGCAGTCAGCCTCTTCAGCATTCTCGCAATCACGATCAATCGCTACATCATGATCAGCCATCCCGGTCTCTACCCTACGTAAGTAGGGATCCCCTCTTTTCCTTCTCTTGCTGTACAGATAAAACTTAGTTTTGTATAATTATTTTAAACATTTATTTTGAATACTACATTTAAATGACAAATTATTATATTGCACAACAAATTGACAAAATAAAAAAAAACAGATTTAAAAAATATATTCCTTCCTTTCTTTAAAAAAGGCATGTTAATTCGATTCTCGAATGTATCGATTCATCTCGAAATACAATATATTGTTGCCTCTTTTCCGCAATGCGGTTATATAATTCTTTAATAATAAAATCTCAAAAATTGCGACGCATGCATACAAAAATTATTATTGCAATTAATGCATAAAAATACATTAATTAATTATGCAACGCATACAAATTCAATATTTAATTCTTTTACAGGAAATACGAACAAAGAAATAAAATTTTCTACAAGAATCTGATTAAATATCTACTTTTATTAGACTCGCGCGAGACTTTACACCCCATACATCCATCACACTGCGCTGCTCGCGCGTGACTGATTTTCATGCGGGGTATCGCGAGCGCGGGCCCGATGGTCACATGACCATAGTGGTCAGCTGACCACTGGTCATGTGACCATCGGGCCCGCGCTCGCGATACTCCGCATGAGAATCAGTTTCGCGCGAACCGCGCAACGTAATGGTCGTATGGGATGTATTAATCTGATGAAAAGATAGAAAGAGAGAGTTGCTTTCGCCGTTCAGCGTGCAGAGCTGTGCAGCACAGCGGACGCGTACAGACGAGCGAATCTAATGGAAGCGCAGATATTTTGATCGAAAGATTCTTGTAGAAAATTATATTTTTGTTTTCTGTTAAAAATTTATGTATTGAATTTTTATGGATCACGTAATTAATAAATATATTTCTATGGATGCATTGCAATAATAATTTGATACATAAGTTGCAATTTTTAAGGTTTTATTATCAAAGAATATATTCTTTGATAATATAATTATAATATAACTTTGCTTCGCGCACGTAATTATATTCGATTAAACTAAACAAAATGAGAAAAAAGATATGTAAAAAGATATACATTTATATACAGAATAGTAGTTCTCAAATACAATAGAAATTCGGCAAATTAAAATTATATATGTACATAATAGATATTCAATAAATTAAAATTATATAAAGATAATAGAAATTCGGCGAATTAAAATTATGGTCATAGCATCAAACAACTGTCATTGCTAAGATTAACAATTTGACAATTGTAAAATGAATAATAAAAATGATATCAAAAGAGCACGCAAAGCGCGCGCTTGTGTTATTTAGTATTATTAAATTTTTCATTTTTTTTAATAATTACATATTATTTTTAGCTTGTATAAAACGAAATATTTGATACCGATGGTTCTGGCGATATGGATCGTCGCTTTTGGTTTGCTGATCGTCACGTGGTTTGAGCAATTCGGACGTTTTGGTTTGGATCCCGCTATCGGATCCTGCTCGATCCTGCCGGATGTGAACGGAAGAAACCCAAAGGAATTTCTCTTCATTCTTGCATTTCTAATACCCTGCGTGGCTATTATTGTTTGCTACGCCAGGATCTTTTATATCGTTCGCGAAACTGCTGCGAAGAGCAGGGGCAAGATTCTCAGTGTGGAGCCAATGGAAACCAGCCATGTAAGATATAATTATTTAAGCAAGAAAGTTTAATATATAATACAAAAAATCAAGAGAATATATTTATCTATATTTATCATATTAATATTAATATTAATATAAAATATCAATATTAGATATATATTAATATTAATATAAATATTATTATAATATTATGGCTATAGCTATATTAATATTAATATTATTAGATATATTAATATATTAATATTAATATTAATAAATCTTGTTTTTCGGGTGATCATATATAATCATGATTTTGCAGCAACACTCTACATCCAAAAACCAGGAGCAAGAACTGTCAGTTCTTTGCGCTCCTTCTTCGATACGAACGAGTTTTCTCAATCCAAACGAAGAAACTGATCTCGAGCCATCGACATCTATTAACGAAGATTCTTCCTGCTCTAAACAGTCGATTCACGATCGAGAAAAATCGGATTGCACGACGAGAACGCATATAGACGATCCAACAATTATCAGCCTCGATCCAAACTTCAACGCTCTTCATATGGGCGCATCGGAAGACATGTCATTTGTGGATGACGATCGCGAGGAATCCGGTCTCACGGAAATAAAGATGTTTCTGAACAGAAATCAGAATAACGAATCACAGCAGAAGTCGTCGAGAAACTCTTGCGGGAGGCTGGAAAGATTGACCAGCCGAGCGTCCTTCATTGTCGAGTCCTCGCTGCAGAGATTCACCAGCAATCGTCCTGATTGGCGACCGGAAGTCCTGGTGGATTCCACACACTTGCCCACGAAAAAGGCCTTTCGCAGGGAGTCAAAGTTCAAGAGCATCAGCAGGATCCGCAACGGCGAACCCATCATCTTAGCACCCAAAATGTCCACCAAAGATCGGAAGCTGCTGCAAATGATCCTGGTGATATTCGCGTCCTTTCTGGTGTGTTATCTACCGATCACCATCACGAAGCTCTTCCACGACGCAATAGACTGTCGAGGCCTCAACATCGCCGGCTACATACTTATCTATTTGACGACTTGCATCAACCCCGTCATCTATGTTGTGATGAGCTCCGAATACAGGAGTGCGTATAAATATATATTGCTGTGTAAGGGCGAGCAGCTCGCAAGCAAAAGGAGACTGCCGAGTTTGTTAATGTTCAGTTGAACTCGTGTATGATCACAGAAAAAACAGTATCCTTGAAAGAATGCACATATGCCTTGATTCAAGTATATTTTATCCTTATAATAGCGCCAAATATAAATAATCTTGGATAAAGGATAATTTATTCTTAAAACAAAAATGCAAAATATTTTTAGTTGGAGCTAAAGTTAATATAATATAATAAATATAATTCTTAGTTCAAATGTGACTAAGTTTGTTTTACCATATAACGATTTTAAAATAAGAATATATACTTTACACAAACTTATATTTATTATTAAGGCAAATAAAAATTTGTAAATTACAAAGAGCATTCTGTGCTTAAATAAATCAAATAGCGTTCAAGAATAAAATATACTTGAATCAAGGATTCCTTTTTTCTGTGATTAATTATGCATAATGGTAAATGTAATAGATTAATATAATAGATAAAATAATGTTTAATTTTTATATGTTTGTTATATTACAATTGTGTATATTTTATCGGTAATGTATCTATGTTATGTTATATTTCTAATAGCTAAATAATAGATATATAATTTTTGTTTGTTATATTATTTGTATGATCAACGTTGAGGAAATTCAGATTGTTCGCGCTCATCAATAATTCCCTCTTTGTAATCATAAAATAATACTATTTCGAGCATAGCTAATTCTTTTTTTAGACACTTGAAAAATTATCAACTTACTGTTAATACAAAGAGTGCAGATTTTTTAAACGTAGTTTAAATCAATAAAGTTATTTTTATTGATTTTGACATATCTAAAGTAGTAGATATATAAATTTATTTCTCTGATGACGTGTGCTTCTTTTCATTATTTCTATTCACTTTGCGTGTAATTAGATAACAGTGATTGTCATTAATATTTTCGCACTGAATATCTATCTATTAATCATAAAATATAACTCTAACTCTATAAATCTCTAAATGATCTCTTTACATAAGAATATTTAGAATTTCTTGCCAGCGGTACTTATTGTTATCCTTCTAATTTTTTTGGATCTGTGCTAAACAGTGTTAAATCACTGTCAAACACCAAAATTTATAGATTGCGTTAAAAAATTTAATATTACATATTTTTATAAATTTTTTAAATATATTAAATAAATAAATAATTGACATTTTTTAGCAAAAACCGTGAATAATTTAAGAACCGTTCATTCGTACAATATATATATACAAGTTATCGCAAAGCATCACTGAAATATTTATAGATAATATTCTACAACGAGGTAATTAAATAATTAATTTTAAATATGTTACATATAAGAATTGAATCTTATCTATACAATTTTTATCTATATACTTGAATTTTCTCTTGAAGAAAAAATTACTTATTATTTATCGTTTAATATTTTGCTAAATGTCAGCTCTAATAATTAATTATAGAATAATATGATTTCCATAATAGTTGTAGTCTTTTTAATTATTTAGTCAATATCATATCTAATCACTGCATTATTCAATTTCTCATTATTTTAATAAGAAGATTCAATCTTTCATTTTTTTCTTCTTATATCAATTCTAATGGATTTCTATCAATCGTCCTTTACCGTACTTGAGGAAACCTATTCAATTATATATTTTACAAATAAATCTAGTTAAAAAAATATTTAAAGCTGAAAGGATTTTTTCGTTGTTAATATTGAACACCAGCCTATCAGCCTACAGTGTTCAATTTTTGTCGAGATTAGGCGGCACCGTTGCCGATATCGTATTGATAGTAGGTGGCCAGCTCTTCTCCGTCTTGCCACTTCCGGCGTCCTTCGGGGTGACCTTCGTGACATCTAACTTGCCAGTATTTTCGCGATTTTTGTAGTACAACACGCCAGCTGCGGCGCCCATGCCTATTCCGCCAAGTACCAAAATCCACTTCAGAACACTGCAAATCGAGATTCCATATGTTAACATTCAATTTATTACATCGATAAATTCAGAAAAAATTTTAGAGAAATTAAAAATAATTATATTTATAATTATATTTATAATAAAATATATTTATATAATTATATTTATATAATTAGAATAATGTGGAAGAAATTGCAAGAGTTATCCATCAAATTTAATTATTCGAGAAATATCATTATAAGTTGGAACACTCACTTGACAATCGATATCATCTTGAATACGACCTTCACCTTGTCAACAAACTCGTCGTCGAGCAGTATTCCTTCTTCGACCCAGAATAGCGGCAGTAGTGCTTCCGGAAAGTTCTTCATCAATTTAAATTTCGCGATCGGTTGTATGAACATGTTGAACTGCAATCGTTTATGCGCGCTTATTGGCGTAGCTGTCATCGGTTCGAAATCCATGTCCATTTCATGATCGTCCTGTCAAGGAAAACGATTTCATCGATTTCTCATCACGATTATACTTATCTACTTATGTAATGTTTCTTTTAATGATATATTTGTATTTTATTCTTCGAATCGATATCTACATATATTAATATCTTACCTGATTCGGATGCAAACCATCCACCAGATCTAACCAGTTCTTCTCGCAATCGTAAAAATGAGGAGGCGATCCGATGATAGGTGCACCTACACACTTCGTCATGTCATAGAGATTTCTCGTTAGGCAGGTGTCCGGTGTCGGGCAGAAACACTTTTCATCTTCGTTCTTGCTCATATCTCCTAGATCCGCCGTGTAATGAAGAGTTTTGATACCTACGAAGTAAAAAACGTGTCATATAATAATATTATAGTATGTCATATTTATATATATGTATTCAACGAGATAATTCTTCTTTGTTTTTACACTGAACAAATGACTAAATTAATAAATATTTATTTCAATATTGTCTAATAAATCATTTATTTGAAACAAATATTTATTCGTTTTAAAAAGAATTTTCTTATATCAAATAAATATTTTTTTCATATTAAATCAATATTATTATGTCAAATCAATACCATTCGAATTCAATAAATATTTTTTCAGTGTACTTGATTATACTTGATTGCGTATCAAACCATTTATTACGTACCTTTGACAGTGTTGTGATAACGAAAATGCGCGCTGATACTTCGACAAATCTCGTATCCGAACGAGACAATGTCATCATCCGGTCCGAACAGAGGTGCAAAGATCGTCGAATCGGTACCATTGTAAGCGTTGCAGTGATCCTCCGGCCAAATATCCATCGCAGGTTTACCATTAAATGTCAGGACGGTACCGACGTCTTTGTAATTTTTAATACCACGCAGAACCTTCATACGCTCCGGGACGGCGGTTCCATTTTTCTAATAAAATTATATTCGTAATTGTCATTAATGCAACGCGCGATAAATTTTTTCTGACGTCTGCATTCACGTATGCATTTTTTTGTAATATATATATATTCAATTAAAAAATTACAATTTTCTCACGGCCAGAGTTGCGACCGACATACATATACTTGTTATCCTCATGTATGACTCGCTTCTTTTTTAACATAGAGTGATCATTTAATATTTACTCATCAACACGCGAAGAATTAAAAACGTCACAGAAATGTTACGTCAAGAAAACGCCAGAAACGTTAGAAATGCATGCATTATTAGAACAATAACATAATATTACATGTCCATGCATATAAAGTATTATAGAATATATACGTATATATATAAAAAATATATATCTCTATGAAAAGTATCCAAAATATTTAAAAAATAAATAAATCATTTAAATCAACAATTTATGTAAGAAAATATAATTAATTTTATTAAAAGTACTATGGCAGAGAAAAAATATCTTTGCTCGAAGAAGAATTGTTGAATATGATTAAAATTGTAAATAAAGTACAATAATGAAAATTTGTAATTTTTTAGAATTAAAACCTACCCCGCCGAAGAGGGAGAACAGGTAACGATTTTCCCCATCCTTCACCAGATCCTTTGCTTCAGTTTTCAACACGTTGCACACCGCCGATCCAGCAAAGTCCGTCACCGTGCAATCAACCGGGAGACCATCGAAAAGTATATCCTTGGCCTTGGCTTTCACGAACAACGAGGGTGGTTTATGAAAGATGCTGTCAACCGCTTTGCCTAAATTATTCAACGAATTATTAATTGATCAAGTTGAATCAAATCAAACAATTGCGCAGCGATTTCTTCGAAACTACCCCACCAACACACTAACGTTATGTAAACGTTTAACAAACGTTTTTTCGTTTGTTAACTTGTCAAATGGTTTGTTCTTTTAACGATGAGAACGTCTGTTCACTCGAAGAATTGTAAGTCTTATATTTTTTTAGTGCACAGAGAATATTGATATAAATTAAATTTGCAATCTTTTAAAACTAGATATGTACATTCACATGTTTTATGAACGTTAAGATTCGAGCGTTCCTGAAACTCTTATATAACGTTAATATATTGGTGAGGTAAATATTTTCATGAAAATCAAATTTAACCGTCGCATGACACAAATATGAGACGATCAAGACGCTAGAAGTCTTATATAAGTGCACACCCTTGACGAGAAGATACGTACATGTATATGCATTATACAGAGAAAAGTATCTTTCTCATGTCCCACTTTGAACCTTCCGGCGTGCGTTATTATAGTCCGAGACGACCTAAGCGGCCGATATTTGTTCGCAATCGATATACGACTTTGAAAGGAAATAATGATATCGTATATATACGTACCAACGACCGGCATCGCGGTTGGCTTGTCCTTCAGGGTCATCATCGCCATGCCCAAGATCATGAGATGCGGAAACACCATGTCCTCATCGCCCGTCAATCCGTTGCTCTTCTTGCGATTGAAGAACCATGTGGTCTTCATGCTGTACTCGACGCTGTCCTCATCTTCTTGATCGACGAGGTCAAACTTCAACTTGTGCTCACTAAAACGGATATCCGAGTTTTCGGAGATTTCGTAGAATAAACAGACTTATGGAGATCTCAGAAAAGATTCGATAACTGCGGACTAAATGTATAGAAAAAAGATCAACTTACTCGTAAAAAAAGGTCCGACCTCTTGCACCTTCGGCTTTTGACCCTGTGCAATCTCATCAGGGTTGGTAATGTTGAACATGTAGACCTTAAAGTCCAGTGGCAGAGGGAAATTTGACCACATTTCGCGTATCTCGGAGCCTGGTTTCAGCATGATGGCCTACGAATCATTGAATATCAGTAATTTCATAATCACAATTTAAAGGACATTGAACATAAATGATCGCAATGCTTTTAATAATTAACGCGATAATTTTAATAATCAACAACTTTTGTAATCTCGTAATAATTTTTATATTTTTCATTTAATATAGATTTACGGTAATTTTTTTAAAATAAGCTGTTCAACTTAAATTTGAAATTTTGCAATCCAGAAAATAATTATTTTTTTTCACAAAAATTATGCAAATTATAATCTTAAGGTAACAGACACAAATATTTATTTATTTGTTAAATTTACGCTATAGAAATTAAATAAATGTATTTTAGCTAGCTATGATAATCATTTCTAAAAATGTTTACTTGTAAATACAACGATAGAAATTGTTATAATTTTGCCATTTTCAGATCGTAGGCTGGAATATATAATGAGATACTAGAACAATATGCTAGATTATAGTAGCCAACAGCAGGGTTCAAGGATATTTTGCGCCATACACTTTTACAGAATGACTTGACTATTTCACAAGATTTAGTAAAGTCGCAACAACTACTTGAATAAAGCATGTATAAAGAATTTTGCTAAGAAGAAAAAGATCAATATAAGTTACATTAAAATTTGCCAAAATTATACATAATACAACATGCTTAAGTATTTATTTAATTAATGTATTAAAACTAGAGAATATAAAATTATTTTAAGATATCGACATATAGCTACAGCAAAATATATTACAAGGAAATGATCAAAGAAGTAATAACATATCTCTAAAAATTTATCTTTATAGAAAATTGTTACATCCTTTCGATACATTCTTCAATTAATTACAGGAGTTACGCGAAAATTAAATCGTTGAATAAATAAAAATGTGATGTTCTTTTCAATTAAACTGGCTACACTAATTCAGAAGTTATCTTTTTCTTCCAATGTCGAGCAAAAAAGACAACCTTTGACCTAGTGTATAGCCAGTTCAGCTGAAAAGAACAGACCTATTATTGTAATGATACACATATATACTGACTGACGATTTCAAATAAGCATCAAAGTAGTATAAATTATACAAGTATTATTATCATTACGCTTATTAAGCTGCATATCGAATGAGTGACCCTAATGAGCGAAACTTGAATATATGTATAAAACAATGATAATTTGTCATTTGTTTACCTTCTTAATCTGCGATTTAATGAGTGCGGGAAATCCACACCAAATTAAAATGCCAAAGGCAAACATAACTCCACCTGCGATTCCGAGTTTCTTTATAGAAACCATATTGACGGTCTGTGGAAATATCGAGTAACATTTAAGTTTAATCGCGCGATCGAAGCTAGATAGATATTTTCAACGAATAAACTACTTTTAAATAATCATGATTTACTCAAAATTAAGCTACGCGCTTAATTTTGTTGTTGTTCTAATAATAAATCGGATATTATTGTATATACTTCGGAAATTAATTATAATTCTGATAATCAATCGCGGCCTATTGCGCTATATTTAATTTTAAGTGTCATAATTTTTTTTCATAGAATACCAATCAAAACTATAATTTGATCAAAAGTTTGATTTTTGAAGAACAATTGCATCCATAATTTAATTTTTTGTGAATTCCATTGTTGGATGCAAAAGTCGCGACATTAAATCAACATTAATACGATTGAAACCTTATTGTAGTCTTCAAGAACACGAATCACATTTCTCAAGATTCTGTCGGATAACGGAAACACATGTTGCAAATGGAAACGCCTCATAGCATCGTATATCCTCTGAAGGATGTGAACACTATATTCGCGTTTTTTGGGATCCTTGAACCATCTTTTCTCTTGTTGATGTCCCATTAATTTTAATATTAAAACTTAATAATAGCACCTTTTTCTCACTGCACTGACGAAGAAAAAATTCAAGATTGTCTCGTATAAGTTTTAAATTAATAAAAATTTTGTCTGTGTGTGTGTATATAAAATCAAATGCAATATGTATTATATATATATAAATTATTGTTAATTATATATAATTAAATTAGATAAAATAATGGATCTTTTTTGAGCAAATGATTTTAATGTTGATTTATTGTTTGAATTTTATACAATCTAATGGTGCGGAAACGTTTCGAACATTTATTGCAGTTATGTCATCTTCAGCCGCTGATACTTATAAGTTACTCTGTAATGGAGATCAATTCTGCAATTGAGATTATTATTCGAGCCGATTTTTCTTTATATTTTTAATATATTTAATAATAATATAATATTAAATATAACAACAATAATGTAATTTAAGAAAAAATATTATTAAATTTAATTAAAAAATAAAATGGAATATTATTATAGAAAAAAATAGAATAAAATATAAACGAAATAGATTTTTGCAAAAGTTAAAAACTTTGCTGAACTTTATATTATATGGGAATAAAATATCAAGTTAAAATCCGTAAAATTAATACTAATAGAAATAAGTTAAAGAATAAAATGTTTAAAATTTAATTTTTGAGTTGAAATATAATTAATTACGCGATTTAAATCGTCTTCGTCTCTTTTATCGAGTCTGTTTTATATTCAAGCAAGTAATAATCTAAAGTAAATTCAATGTAATCTTGTTTCTTTTAATGTCGTCATGTGTCCAGCACCAGTGCAATTATCTGATTTCTTATATAATCTCTTTCGTCGATTTTTCTCAAAAATTATTGCTTTACGTAATTCGTATTTTTTTTTAATTGAAAAAATAAATAACAAATATAATACGCAAAAAGATTAAAATAAAAATTCCGATTCTCAGATCCTCACTCTTTTCGAGCACGAAAAACGAATTTACAGATCGCTCTCGTTGGTTTATCTGAAATTCTCGCAGAGTATGGATATATCTCGAATATCGAGTCTGTTTTTATATTCAAGCAAGTAATAATCTAAAGTAAAGTAAATGTAATCTTCTTTCTTTTAATGTCGTCATCAGTGTCCACCATCAGTGCAATTATCTAATTTCTTACATAATCTCTTTCGTCGATTTTTCACAAAAAAATATTGCTTCACGTAATTCGTATTCTTGTTTCAATTGCAAAAATAAATAACAAATATAATCCGCAAAAAGATGAAAATAAAAATTCCGATCCTCATTCACTCTTTTCGAGCGCGAAAAACGAATTCACAGATCGCTCTCGTTGGTTTATCTGCAAGATTGAATATGGATATATCTCGAAAACACGAGTTCGCGGATCGCGACGCGGCAAAAGCCCTCGACCCTTCCCGTGTGGTACCGTTCTCGCACCTGTGCGATCACCTGGCCGATTTGTTCGCCGCCACCCTTGTCGTCGCCGTTGATCGTGCGCGGCTCGTCACGAACGAACTGCCCGGGCGATAATGACGCCGACGTCTTGTCTTACGCCGGGCCGGCGTCGGCGTACTCCTGTCAGCTCGTGCCTCATTGCGAACCTCTTGGCTTCCCCTTGCTTAGAAACACGCATCTCGATGCATTTTATTCCACTCAGGCGCGATGCGATCGAAATGCGAACGGAATTCGCTCGCTCACTCGCAGAGTCGTGTGTGCGATTCTGTCACGCTAGAGATCCCCCGATTAAAGTCACCGAATGACGTCATTTTGCTAATAATTTTGCTATGATGACTCTGTCAATTCTCCTTCTCTAGCTAGCTTACGGATAAAGACGGAGTAGTGCATTATTCGTATTCTGTATAAGAATCAGAGAAAATTGAAAACTGATTTTTTTATGTAAATTGATATCGTCCATATTTTTAGGTATCTTTCTAAATAAATCTTTTGCAGAAACTTGTTGAGAAAGATATACTAAAATAATTAAAATAGAATAATTAGAGTGAGATAATTAAGATCAATTAGAAAAATTAATTAGACATGATTAATTAGACTGCATTATTTCGTAACTTTTGTTAGAGCAGGATCTTTAAATGACGTAAGCTTTTTCTCGTGCAATTTTTATGGCAGATTATCTAAAACAGTCTTGAGATTATATGAAAATCATAAATAATTGCGATTCTTCAAATTCTCTATTTTTATTCAATTTTGTTAAATATATATCTCTTTTATAAATACACCACGTGTTACTTGAAAATATATATGTAATTTGCAATTACTTGGCGTATTAATAATAGATATGTCATATAAGTGCATGATCTATGCATATAGTAATAGAATCTAATGATTGTAAAATATGATTTACATTTAATATTAATGTTAATTACTTCTCGATCGATTAAGGCATCGCATATAAGCAGCTGCTATAATTACTGAAAATTACTATTAATAATTACTAGATACCGTTACAGCAATTTATCTGCTAATATATACTATAATGTATATTATAAACGTTATTACTATTGAGCTAGTAATAATTATAATCAGTCGAGAAATAATCAACAATTAAGTACATTATACTAATATCTAATATATCACTCGTTATCAGTAATGATATTTTTCAAGGAATTAATATATTTAGAGAAATAATTATTTGTATTAATATTATTCTATAGTAATATTCTAATTATTGTATTAATATTATTATAGTTCTATTCTATACTATAGCAATATTCTCTAATATTGATTATAGCTATTGTAATAATATTTTACAAATAATTCTGATATTATACGTTTGTGTAAGACAAATATTGCTACAATAATAGGAACTATATCACGTTAAAATGATATAATTAGAATTATGCTAATATAAGCATGTTATCAAAAATATGAATTAAATGACAAAATCTTTCAAATTATTATTTCCAACACGTAAATTCCGATTAATATCGCGTGGTTAACGTTCTCTTAAATCTCTTAGCATTTATAGAGATTATAAGTATATAGCAAATATATAATATTATTTATTATGAATTATTACTCTCTGTTAATCAATGTTGGGTGGCACCATTTCAGCTTGTATGGTACTAATTGTCGATTTTTGGGTCGCACTGTTCTGCTCTGATTGTTTCGGCATAAGATCCGGTTTCGTAACGTTTCCCGCATTCCTCTCCTTATAATATCTCATTCCGGCGACTGTCATCATGCCGATTCCACCCAGCATCGAGAGCCACATTAGTATCCTAAGATAGGAGATAGATCAATGATTTCGATGTGACAGGAATCTCTTTTGCAAAAGAATCATATTTTCAAGCGATCTTATTTACAGTGTATATCAAGCATTTTCGATATATATCCAGAATAATAACTACTTAATTAATTAAAAGATTAAAAAAAGTTAATCATTTAAAATGTATTAATTTCTAACTTCAACTAAATAGTTATTTTTTATCTTAAATTTAGTAACTTTTTCCTAAATTAAATTTTTATCTCTGAATACCATTATTGTTTTTTTAGTTATAAACGTGTTTTATTTTTAAATTAAAGTATTATTAATTTTTATTACTTCATCTTTGTCATCAATTGTAATTACTAAAAATATATATATTTTTCTATATAAAAATCAAAACTTCTTTGTTATTTGTTATTATAAATTTTAAAAGAATTAACAAACAAAATTCTAATTTAATATAAATAATGTTTTTAAAAATTAACTTTTAATTTAACTTTAATTAATTTAATCTTAACTTAACTTTAACTGTATTAATTTTTGTTCATGCAACTTTTAACTTAATTAAATTAATTTTCTATATAACTATAAACAACTAACTTTAACTAAACTTAGTTTAAAAAAATCATTAACTTACCCAACCCTGTATATATCAAAACATAATATGAAAAAAAGTGAAAAAAATAGTTTCGACGTAACAATAAATCAATAACATATCACTCACTTTGCGACTAAAATCTGTATGTACGCAATTTTCAATGGTTTTATTAGAATAGGTCCGAGTTCAAGTCCGTCCTCTATATAGAAAAACGGGAAGAGCGCTTCCGGAAATTGTTTCATGATTTTAAGCTTGGGGACGGGTCCGACCAACACGTTGAATTGAATCTTCTTGTACGCTTTTATCGGAGTGCCCGTCAGTATCTCAAAGTCGAAAGCCATCCGGTGTTTCTCCTGCGCAAGCAATGTATCATTTTCTTAATTATTGTTATCATTTTTATAAACACCATAATTTTGCGTTAATTTACGTTAATTTCCGCGACCTAAGAGTCATCCTGTATTGTTCTCTTATTTAATGTAAACTCTTCTCATTATTCTTTTCGTAAAAATTAATTTATTGCAATCCGAGAAAAATATAGTGCATCTGTAATATTTTAACACACAAGTATCTCGTAAACAGTGATGGGTAAGATACATTTAAAATGTATCTCGATACAGATACAGGATACGTGTAAAAAAATATATCTAGATACAGATACAGATACACAAATTAAAATGTATATAGATACAGATACTCAGATACTTTAAAAATATCTCAGATACACAGCAGATCATAATAATGGTAATATGCACAAAATATATACTGAATCATTCTTTTATCTTTATTAATATTTTTGTTTATATTACGACTTTAATTCCTTAGTCTTAACACGTGAAAAATGCGTCAAAGATATCGTCACTCAAACTATTTTGTCATGGTACTCAAATTTGACCAATGCTTAATAATCGCTTAACCGGTGTTGATAACGATATGTTGATAACTTGTAGTCTTGATCTTTCAAAAATTTAAAGAATTGGGGTATTAAAAAAAATCTGTGAAAATATATCTGCAAATGTATCTGAAAAAAGCAATTGAGGTACCATGTTTTGTATCTAAATACAGATATAGATCTAAATGCTTCAATTCGAATATATCTCAGATACAGACTCAGATACATAAAATGTATCTAGATACTATCCAACCTGCTCGTAAATAAATAAATATGTGTAAATTTACGGGATCGGGATTTATCCCGTCGATCATCTCCAAATATCGTGGATCCGAGTTAAGAAAATGAGGCAGGCTTATTATTATGGGCACACTCATGCAGGGACCTGCGTTAAATACGTTTTTCGGCATGCATCCTTCGGTGTTACTACAAAAACACGTAATATTCTCGTCTATAGACGGATCTCCTAAGTCTGTCGTGAAATGCAGCGTTTTGAAACCTGCGTTAAAAAATGATCTATAAAATATTGACATATTATCATATTAATTTCCAAATACAAAATATCTCAAAAACGAACAAAACATGTAGTTTTTTGTAAAATTTTAGAGACTGTCTATTTTCAATGCTTAGCACACACATTTAAATATCTTACATCTTTATGCATAAATATTAATAATTCGAGTTTATTAAATTTGAATCTAAAATTTGTTTTCGCAGATTTACTATTAATAGAGTTTAACTAAATTATTCAAGTCTAATAAAATTATTTTGTTCAACATATTCATTGTACGAAATTATATTAAATTATAATAATTATATTTTTCATTAAATAATAATTGATCAAATAATTTATTGAATTTATAGGTATTAAATAATTATATACAATTATTTATATGCGTTAGAGAGATATTTAAGAAGTCAGTTCAAAACAAGTACAACTCTTCTTCATGGAATACTATCGTTACCTTGAACTTTTCCTGGTCTAAGGTAATATGTGGGCATACTTCGGCAAATATCTGGAGAGACCGCCCAGACTTTTCTATCTTCGGTGAGAAACGGCGGAAAAATGGTTCCATCCGTTCCAATATAATCGTTACATGGGTCACCGGACCATACGCTCATCTTTGTATCGTTTCCTACCGATACTACACGGCCGACATCCATGTAATTTTTGATTCCACGATTTACTCTTATGCGCTTTGGCGATAGAGTCCCGTTTGCCTGAAATGCAAATAACAATTACAGGATATAATTACAGAGATAGATACTATATTTTTAAATATACTTTAATATTTTAAATATATTTAAATATTTTTAATAAATATATTTAATTTAAATATATTTAAATATTTTTAATAAATATATTTAATTTATATATATTTAAATATTTTAAAATAAAATATAAATATACATGTATACTGTGTTATTAAAATAAATAATGATTTATAAAAATTTATTTTATATAATAAAATTATTAAAAAAATTAGTACATTAACAATCAAGACTTTGTAAGACTCTCAAATGTAACAAACATATTTAAATTTAAACCACCAATTTTCTTGGCTCAATATTAAGGAATTAAATATTCGAGATTTTAAGTCAATTAGAGGTAATAATCTCTCTGTCTCTTCCCTAAAGAAACGTAAGCAAGAACAATATCAAGGATTATTATAAGTTAAAAATCTCGGATTGAGATTTGACTTTGTGAGAGAGTGTAATAGTTTATTAAAAAAATGTCAAATTAAAATTTAAACAATTCTTCGTGTAAAATCAGTAATATCTTGAAAGAAACATCTTTTGTAATATCTTTGACTTAGCAAAATAATATTCTTACAGAATGATTTTTGTTCTTGCAGCAATATAAAAGTACAATTGCGTCAAAAATATTACATTAAAATGTAAAACAAGTGCACACCTTAGCAAGAAAACCATATTTGTAACGTGATTCGCCCTCTACGATAAATATAGCTTCCTTTTCCTTTAACGCGTTACATACTGCAGATCCAGCAAAATCTGTTATGTCCGTACAATCAACAAGTATACCACGGAAGAATAGATCTTTTATGGTGGTCTTAATAAATATTGATTCAGGTTTCTGGAAGATACTGTCAAACGCCTTGTCTAAGGATATTCGTAATATAAAAATGTAAATTAGCTCTTTTATGCCGTTTCGTAGTTTCGACATTTTAAATTATACTATAACATATTACATTCCATTATGTATATATTTCAAAATAGACATAAGCATATAATTAATGCAATTTATACAAAAAATTGAACATTAAAGTGTGTAAATCAAGTAATATAATTAGAAACAGTCACATAAAAAAAGGAAATTGACGTATAATATTTTTCGAATGTTTAGGAGATTTAATTCTGGAAACTTATAGTGTGCATATTTTATTTAATTGTAAAATATCGCGTCCTCGCTTACGTTTATGTATAGATTTTTGAAAAAGAAATCTCAGATTGAAATATTTTACAATAAAATAAATATATGCTACATTCACAATTAGATTTTAAAATTCTTTAAAAATTCAAAAAATATTATACATATCGTATATTTATCTTTGAATTTTATTTGAAACTTTTTAATTATTACTTAAAATAAATAATATATTTTAATAAAAATAAATTATTCAGTAATTAAAATAGGAGTTTAATACTACATTTTTTTCTTAATCATACGAAATGCCGAATGTTTAAGGCCATATTACAGCTACGTACTGATAACGCCCATCGCAGATGGCTTGTCTCTTTGAATAATCAAAACTACTGATATCATGAGGGGATGAAAAAAGTAAATTTCCGCATCCTCAGACATGATGCTCTTTTCAGGATTGAAGTACCAAGTTTGTCTCAAACTATACTCTACAGTATCGTCTTCTTCTCGATCTTCAAGATTTTCCTTGTCCCGATACAAACTGAAAATAAATAATTTATTATCATAAAATTGATAAGCTTTTATATTAATTTCTTTAAATCAAGATTTTATATTTGATTTTTTTCTTATTAAATCGTCTGTTTTCAGGAAGCATTTGTAGCACACCTGAATAAATTTCTTCGGAAAAGTAAGTAGTATAAGAAAAGACATGCCGATTCCTCTTCTTGTACTTCTCGTCATTGGTTCATAAAAATTTTCATCATATTATAAATTTCCACATTTTTATTTAATATTTATAATTTTTTCAACTTTTATTTATAGAATCATAAATAAACATTATTTAATAGCGGATAACATTTTTCAAATTTTTTTACAATTGTAATGTATAATACGTATTTGCATATACTATTTACAACTCTTTGTGCTGTGAAAATTTGACCCAGCTATTTTTATAATAAATTTATACAATTGTCTAAATTACTTCAATATTATAAAGAAAAAAAAATTACAATATTATAAATATTATATACTCACTCATAGTGAAAAGGTCCCACTTCCTGCACAATCGGTTTCGCTCCTGATTTAAGCTCAAAAGGATTTGTTACGTTGAAGACGTAGATCCTAAAATCCAGCGGCTGCGGAAGTTTTTCCCAAAAACCGCGCATTTCATCCCCTTTCTTCAGTCTAACTTGCTGTAAATATATAAAATCACATATTTATTCGTAAACAAACTTTTTTGCTTTCTGTATTCAAAAAATATAGAACTCTGTAATAAATTTTACTGTGACAGGCATACTTTTATTTTGATTGATAATAATTATTCATAATCAAATAAAATTAGTAGTAATAAAATTTATTTAAAATTAATTTAAAAAATTTTATTAGATGTTTACAAGCTTGAAACTCAATTTGTGTCTTAAAATGAATAAAAAATTATTCTTTTAATTTTTTTAATATTTGAAAGGTAATTGTAATTGTAACTTACAGATTTGACCATCGATTTTAATATAGCGGGAAATACTACGTTGTATATAAGAAGCATAATGAAAAACGTACTGGAACCAGCGATTGCTAGTCTCTTTATGGTCACCATATTATTATTAATCTAAAACACACACAACACAAGCAAATAATTTGTACTTTCTATCTTGCACGATTTCCATAAAAAAATCATCGACACCTTATATTGGTCATAAACGTGTAGCACGATGTTGAGGATTTTGCCGATCGTGAAAAAGGATAATAGCTGATTCACATACGGATTACGTATTGTATTGTCTATTTGACGTAAAACACGACGCGTATTTTTTTTTAATTTTTTACAATGGCATTCTTGAAAGACGCCCATTCTTTGCACTGCCAAGAATCTCAATTTTCAAAACGGATAAAAAAATCTTGGATTTTCAAATGTGAACAAAATTTTTAAATCTTCCATCTTTCAAATTAACATCAAATATTTCATTTTCAAAAATTAACAAATTTCTCTTAAATAACACTTGATTTCTAAAATTGATAAAATTCCGATTTTTAGCAAAATCTTTAATTTTCAAATTAATGTAAAATATTAACTTCACAGTTGTTCAAAATTCTCGATCTTCAAGATTGATAAGCTTGCATATTAATTCTTTAAATCACGAAATTTTAAATTTTATTTTATTTTTTTATTAGATCGTTTGTTTTCAGGAAACATTTGTAGCACACCTGAATAAATCTTTCTTCGGAAAAGTAGTATAACAAAAAAAATGCCGATTTCTCTTCTTGACTTGCTGTCGTCGGTCCTCAGCAATTCGCACTGGTGAACTACCCGTTCCTGCAGAGTTTCTCTCACGTTCGCACTTTCTTACATACATATATATATCTTTATTTATCCACTGATCGTGATTCGACGACATCGGTTTATTGCGACTGCGCAATCAAGTAGCTTTTGACTAAGATTTATTGGTCTGCGCAAATGCATGTGCATGCTTATTTATAGGTTTTAGTGTAATATGTGCTTGTCTTATTTTGCCCTTTAAAACAATTAATGCAATTACGTCAAAAATCAATATTAGTAATGTAAAAGAGAACATTGTGATTTTAAAATGATAGCAAGTTGCATCCTCTAAGAGTAAAACCCGAAATCAAGTTCACGACGCATCCAAAATAAGCATATGTAAGCTCGAAAAGAAACAGGCTCCCATACTATTTAAATTATATTTTTAATAAAATTTAAAATATAGTTATAAATTATATATTATATATGTGATATTTTACACAGCAAAAGTGAATTGTCAGTACAACATTCATCATTTCCCTTGTAGAAATTTATCACTATAGTAACGCCAATTAATCACTTATTTCGAGTACTTAAAATACTGATATATATACTAATAATTTAAGTACTCGAAATAAATAATTAAGTACTCGAAATAAGTGATAAATTGGCGTTACTAGTGATAAATTTCTATAAGGGTTATATATAACTTTAAAGTAAAAAATATAAGAACATAATATTTGATCATAAACTATATAATTAAGAGAAAAAGGCCAACTTACGAGCATAAAAAACAAGGTGTAATTATATATTTATTTTTTATTTATTTCAATCCCACATAGCACAAAACATTTCAGAGACCTTCGCAAAATTTATTCAAAAATGTTTCATATACGTGAAAATGTCCGCTATTTTGTCACAAATACGTTTATGAAAGATTGCATAAATGTTTCAAATGTTACTTTTTCTATGTTATGTTTCATAAATGTTATAATGACGTTTCGGTGTTACTTGAAACTTTTTTGAAACTTTGAAACATTTCTGCAACATTTATTCTGTTGAGTTTTGTGCTGTGTGGGATAAATCGTAAACTCAAAGTGTTATCATAAAATTAATAGTATACGTTTCGACTTACTTAGGCCGATGGCAGAGAGCTAAACGTAAGCGCCGTAGTGTAGATCTAAATCTAAAGTAAGACAGAGAAATGATGTAAGTCATGTCGCGAAGCGCGCGTGGTGCGTTACGTAGTTACGTCTTTTTTCTGTCACTTTACATCTACGACAGACGTAAGCGCTTACGTTTAGTTCTCTGCCATCGGTCTTAGTCTTCTTCTTCAGTACAAAGAGCATATCAAAAGAAAAACATTTAAAAAAATGAAATACATCATGATGTCAAATAGACGGTGATAACGAGGATGCTGATGGAGTGACGACCGAACTCCAATAAGTTAGTACCACACATATCTAAATATATGCACGTACACAGAAAAAACAGTATCCTTGAAAAAATGCAAATATGCCTTGTGATTTAAGTATATTTTATCCTTATAATAGCGCCAAATATAAATAATTTTGGATAAAGGATAATTTATTCTTAAAACAAAGTGCAAAATATTCTTGGTTGAAGTTGAAATTTACTTATAAGTATTGCAAGGACAAGTGACAAGTAAGCATCAGATATAAGCGATACTTTCAAGTATAAATAATAATTCTTAGTTTAAATGTGACTAAGTTTGTTTTTACCATATGCGATCTTTAAAACAAGAATATATCTTAAGAATATATCTTATAAAATATACTTCACACAAACTATTATTATTAAGGCAAATGAAAATTGTGATTAATAGCGTTCAAGAATAAAAATATACTTGAATTAAGGATTCCTTTTTTTCTGTGTATACAACACATATGTGTGAAAATGTTTTTAATTTAATATTTTTAATTTAATTTTTAATTCAATATATAACTGTTTTATTAGACTTGCAATCTCACTTTTAATTGTTTACTAATATTTCTTCATATTATCCTTATCGCCGTATATTAAATTTTATGCACAGACAAACTGCAGAACTTTTTTATTAAATAAGTATTGTTACGAAACTGACACAAAAGAAGTCGATAACAAAACTGCAATTTTTGATTTTTATATGATTTATATATGCAATCATAGCTAGCGCGGTCCGTTTTTATAAATACTTTAATCGTGAAAAATTTATTGATCAGTATAGTCAATAAAAAGATATATAAAAAAACTAAATATTCGCATTCTGTCGGTAAAAACATACCTGCAGCATCCCCTTAAGTTTTGCAAAACTATCTAATTTACAAGAAGCCGTGGCAAAAATTTATGACAATATCAATAATTGTAAAAATTATGGAACGTATATATGTTGGTGATAAGAAAGATGTAAACTAATTCTTCATTTAAAGGCGAAAAAGATTTATATTTTATGTGAATCTGAATGTAGTTGTAGATAAACTAAAAATTAGTAGAGATAAAATAAAAATAAGTTCCATGAGTCGAGTAACGTATTTAATATTGAACTGTAACTGTGCGTAATAATTAATGTACAACTAATATATCAAAGGTTCAAATGATGAAAAGATCACTTACAATATGTCATGACAATGTTACATTCTGCCATTTGTAGCTTCTTATTTATAGCGTATTTCTAACGTGACGCGGGAAAATATTCAAAGACTGGACCCTGGGTCAATATGTAAGACAATAAACAACAATCAAAAACTTGCTAATTCACCTATAGGATGTCAAAGTAACCGTTATCAAGTAATTCTGTGTCCTCGTTTAGAATAATAATAATACCGTTTTGACACACATGACATATTGTAAACGATCTTTTTATCATTTGAAACTTTGATATATTATTTGTACATTAATTATATTACGCACAGTTACAGTTTAATATTAAATACGTTATTCGACTCGTGAAACTTATTTTTATTTTATCTAATGACAACTACATTCAAACTGACATGGAATATGGACAAATCTTTTCTCGCCTTCAAACAAAAAATTGGTTTACATCTTTCTTATCGCCAACATATATACGTTCCATAATTTTTACACTTATTGATATTGTCATAATTTTTTGTCATGACTTCTTGTAAATTAGATAATTTTGTGAAACTTAATTATAATACAATATATTTTGTTTGTTATCGTTACCACGGTCTATTTAATATCATGATGTATTTAATTTATGTTTTTTCTTTTAATATACTTTTTGTACTGAATAAGACTAAGTAAGTCGAAACGTATACTATTAGTTTATGATAACTTTTGATGAACACTTTATGATTTTTTTATATTGAAATAAATTAAAAATAAATATATAATTACACCTTGTTTTTTATGCTCGTAAGTTGGCCTTTTTCTCTTATTAGTTGCTTTACATTATACAAGCTTGATTGTTTTTTATTGTCATTATAAACTATTTAAAATTTTATTATTTACTGAATTCAAGATATGATGGTGATTTAAATCTTTTCCAAATATAGAGAATCCTTAAGGATTAAGAGAAAACGAAAAGTTTTTTTAAAGTTATAACTAATTACAAAATTAAAATTATAATAATTGCAGGAATTTTTTAGTAGTCAAAAAATGTAAAATATAGATCGAATACATATAAGTAATTTAGAATTATTACTCATCCAACAATAAACTTTTAATAACACAAATACACAATTGAACTTATCAAATAAGCATTTAATTTTTTACGAACAAAATTTTCTTACAAATTTTATTTCTAATATAAATTATATCAAAATTATGAATAAAAACTTGCAAAAATATTTTTTATATCTAGCATCTATCTCATAAAAAGTCTTTTTTATAAAAGATGTTTTTTATTATAAGCACGAATTTTCAATCAAATATTAAATTTTGCTGAACAAAAATATAGAGTATTTATTTCTTTCTATCGATTGCAAGTCTAGTTCAATATGTGTGTAAAATACATCTGTACATATGTGTGTGTGTGTGTGTGTGTGTGTCATTTTCACACCTAGAAAAAATGTCAATTATAATTAAATATACATTTCTACGATTTATTATGTACACTAGACTGTAGATATACTGTAAAATAATGACTGTGCAATATTTCAAAGCAAGTAAAACTCACAGACATGTTAACCCTGCAAAAAACACAACAAAAAATTAAAAAATACATTATATAATTACATATTTTAGATATTCTATTATATAAATTAATACACACACACACACACACACACACACACACACACACACACACACATACATATATATATATATATATATATATATAATATATAAATATAAAAATATACAAATATCAAACAAAATAAATCTACAGATACATATTTAAATTCAGTATAAAAATATGAATAAATGTATTCAATGTGATAACGATAAATTATAATCGCGTATAGATCATTGAAATGTTCTTCTTTCGTGTAACCCGATGTAACTCGGTGTAATCTGTTTTACTATTTTAATTGATCTTCCGGAGTTCATTTCTTTCGATCGCGACGATGTTTGTCGCCTTTAAGTCAGTGTTATGGATCCGCGCCTTTGGTGTCAAGTGTAACGCCTATCGAGCGCAAAAGGCGCCGAAGTATTAATTAAATATGAGCCTGCTATAGATACTCTATAGTACTCGCTACGAGCAACTTTTATACATTATTACTAACGTCTATCGTAGACATAGTTATCATAACCGAGGTCTCATTAAAATAAATCTATATATGTACAATAGAAATTTGAAGTTTTCGCACGCGTGATTAAGGTAAAAGTATTAAGAGAGGATTATATATTTATTTTTTTGTAGAAAAATCCCAATCGTAAAATGTTGAGAGAATCCAGTGCATACTCTGCGATAATTGCAGCTGCATTTTTAATCATACAATGTAGCGTAATTAATTTCAATCTTACGCATAATATAATATTCTTTTCCCTTTCAATATTCAAACAAATATTAACAACTTGTATAAGAGAAAAAAAAAGAACAACTATATTTCAATTAAATTAATATTTTATTCTTATACAAATTTAAATGTTTATATATAATTTTTTATAAAATAAAAAAGATTAATTAAAATAAAGTATAAAATAAAATAAAAATGAAAACGTTAAAATAAAAAAAATAATAAAAAGAAATAATAAAGTATCGCAAAGAAAATAATTCTATCACATACATATGTCGTACCGAAAATTTCCTTTAAATTTCATCTTGTAAAATTGAATATATTCCATCACATAGGTAAACAAACTGCACTTAACATCATGTATCATACTACACCACGAGTTCTGCATAGTTTCCGTATAATTACAAGTGTGTTTTTCAAATTTGCTTCTTTATACAATCCACCAGAAGCAAAATTTCTCTTCGCCAATGCAGAACATTTACGTTTCATTGTACCGAGAGAAGGAAAATTCGCGTATCTACATCGCTAAGCGCAAAACGGATACTGAAAGCTATGGCGAAGAGAGAATGGTTTGTCCGGATATAACGGGGTTGCGGTTTTCTTTCAGAGCACACCAATTTGACAGATGACATGAGCCATTTTCTGAGATGACAGAGGGCGAGAACGCGTCCACGTGTTTTCGCTCTTTATTTACGGAACAGCCGTATACGGTTGGCGAATAATGGTCGATCACCAGTTCGTTCGCACGATCGCTGATATATCGAGATCGTGTATAGTTAACCCTCTTATAGGAAGCAGCTGACGCGATTCTGCTTGTTTATTTTTTCTGTAACTATGGAACTTACTTGCTAAACAATTTTATTATCTAAAGCAATCATGAAGCATTAATTTCATTTCTCGATTCTAGCTTAAATTGCATTAAATTTGTCCTTTTTGCGTATTTATAATTTAAAATAACAAATATAGTTATATTGAAGATATACATATTCATATTTGATTATGTTTCTCAATGTTACCCTTTCGTTGAAGAATTAAAATCTATGTCAGAAGATTTATCTCCGCGATAATAATAAGTTTCGATCGCGAACAATTGATGGTATAACTTGGAGGATTGATTGAAAGAAATGTAGTTCTCGGACCTATAGACGCGAAAGTGGATTTATGTACACTTCCTAACACGAGCCGTGCGACGCCTCGGCTAATAATAAGCGTATATAGCTCGTCAACAATGCATGAGAGAGCCGCTACGTGGAAAACGCGACCTTTCCCTGTATCGCCTCCATCGCTACGCTTTTCCAATCGTAGGAAATATGACGTTTTTTCACCCTACATCGCTCGATGCGCAAGCACGGGGTGGAGATTCGAGGACACGCGATGGAGTCCGATTGGTCGACGATTTCACCCTCCAGGACAAGGGTTGCTAGACGACGCGGTATGTAGAAATTTTCGCGTTTCTTTTCGCATATTTCTTACGATTGTTTTGCGCAAGAAACTTGTTTCGCCAAGACTACATAGATTTTTTTCCAGCTAATATTGATTAAAAAATACCTCTCTTTTCCAAGCTGTCACTTTCTGCATGTTTATTTTTCTTTTTCTTCAATCTCTGAAATAAATCGTATTATTTTTTTAAGATAATTAGTTAACTTTTTTCTTACGAAGTATATATATATATGTATAATAAAATGTTGAAGATATTCAATATTAATATATGTTCAAAGGACAAGGACGTTTCAACAATTTAAACTGCGTAATAATCTAAAACTTTATAAACTTACTTCCTATTATGTATATATAAATTAGTAACTCGATTTTACGTTGCAGCTACCTGACGTGTCGAATATGACCTTGTTAATGCATTAATGATGATGTCAATGCTTATTAATTGAACAAGTTCACGCTATCATATGACAGATACAGTTATTACATCTCAAGATTGTTGATAGGTATTAGAGAAAAATTATTTAACTTTTTCCTTTCTCCCTTTTTCATACATCTATATAGCAACTAAAAACCTTCACACAATATTTCCATTAATAGAGCAATAAAAAATTATAACAGAAAGTAATTTTTTGTAATATTTATTTAAAAAAAACAAGGTAAATCGGTTCGTCAAGAGACGATAAGTATGAATCCTTACAGTATATACATTTCCAGTCGGGCAAGATTAATTACGATTAATAAGATGTCTAGAATAATTGCTTATATAATTAAAAAAACGATGAATACTTTAAGCAACGAAAATATAATATCATCGAAGCGGAAGTACAAGTACGCGCTACCACCAGCCGTGCTTGTTGTAGTGCGCGTGTACGGTCACCGGTACCGGGTACGGTTTCGGCACGTGTACCGGCACGGCCACGTGCACTGGATACGGCCGGTCCACGTGCACGATCTTCTCGAAGGTGACGGGATATGGTTTCGGCACCGGCACCGGCACGTGCACCGGCCGATCCACCGGAATATGCACCGGCTTCTCAATTGGTACCGGAACCGGCCGGTCCACGTGAACGACTTTCTCCACCGTGACGGGATACGGTTTGGGAACCGGAACCGCCACGGGAACGAGCTTCTCCACGGTCACGGGAACCTGTATGTGCTTAACGACCGGCACCGCGACGGGTATCGCGATTGGCTGCGGTACCGGATGCGGTACCGGCTGCGGAACGGGTACAGGAACTGCTGGAATCTCTGTGAACAAAGAGGAGAGTGTTATGAATTAATACGTAAGTGATTATAATAATTACGCCTTCTTCTGTGCAATGAAAACATTTGAGGCACATAAATAAAATCACAATTTTGCTCTTCGTCGCATATACATTTGTAGACAGGATGAGACAATTGATGAAACTTTGTTATATTTTTTAATTATATAATATTAAATTTATATGTTTTTATATTTAATTAATATGTTTTTATTTTTTGAACTTTAAGATTTGATGAATATATTTGATGTCACTTACGGAATGGATGATGTCCAACGGCGACTGGCGGTTCCGGTATGGGTCCCGGTACCGGATGCGCGAGGTCTGGCGCTGGAATCTCATAAACCGGAGGCGCTGGAGCCGATGGCGGACCGTATATGTGTTCCGGATGCTCCTGCTGGTAACCGTATGCCTGCAGACCTGCACCTTCCAGATCCCTTTTTCCGTATTTCTTCTCCTCAATAAAAACCCTCTTCCGTTGTTCTGAATTTCTCCCAACGGTAACTGCTATACCGCTGGTAAACATCAGCGACATTATCTATGTGACAAACAGAAATCGAATTTTATACATGTTTTTCAAAATTTTTAGCTTAAATAAATTTGTTATATATTTGAAGTTAGGTATGTTTAACAATTTAATCAAATTAATTATTGCAAAAATCATACGAGTCAAATCTTTTCAGAATTTCATAACATTTCGATAAATGCAATTCTGACTCATATTCCTCCATTTAATTATTTTAGTGTCTTCATCAAAGTTTAGATACCAAAATTTATTTAATATTTTTAGATGGCGCGATATCATAAACAATGCACTATCCATCGCAATTCACAAATAAAATACACAAAAAAATCACTGAATAAAAACGCGTCGCGCTCCTATCATCCTCTCTCGCATCCGCGCGTCCGAATAAAAATAACATCGATGATAAAAAATATTTCACACTGATACCAGGTACAGCCTCATGACTAATGGACTCGAGTTCCAGTTGCTGGTCGCGATGCCGACGAAAAACTGAGTTCACTTCAGAATCGTGACCCCCCATATATATTTATAGGGCATCAACTGCGATGCGAGTCGCATCGCTCGACCGGTTGTCAAAGAAGAAGACGTGCATAATATTCTATGACCGATACACTTTCGCTGCCGCCCGAATCTGGGTGGCAGCCAAATTCGGAGCCGCGATTTTCTCTCCTATACGTGGTCGAATGACATGTAGCCGACGAGGAAGACGACGAGGCGCGCACCGAGAGACCCTGGAGCATACATTAACGATGCATTTATATTAGATGACCTTTCCGCTTGCTTCGTCTTCCCGATCGTTAGATAGCCGCAATCGTTCACGATACGTTCAATTTACTATCGTATACATCATTCGGAAATCGAAATGAATCAATAACGTTGCTATGCATCAAGAAATTAGGTATTCACAGTACATCGTGGATTTAGTTCCTTTACTAATACATGTGGAAAAAAAGCGTTGAAAGCTGAGTTTATAATAAATAATATATAATATCCAATATTTATAAGTTCTTAGTCTTTGTAACAAATGCATATTATTTCTATACATTGTATTTTACGGATTTTAATATAGAACAAGAAAATATAATTACGAAAAAATTAATAGAAATTAATTAATAAGTTTATTAATAATAATATTAATAAGATCACAATTAATTAATAAAATTATTAAGAAATAAATAAACAAATAAATATAGATATTTTTTAGAATAAAAAACTCGGGGAAGGATTAAGAAACAATGAAGAAATTTGACAAATAAAATAAATTCCAGCATTCCAGCTGCTCCAGCAACGCGGAGGTCGCGCTCGGTTCCTGTCGGACGCTGGTTCTCGTTCTTTATTCGGGCAACGAGATCGAGCGCGTTTTCCTCCGCGTTCTTCCGCGTTACTTGTCGACTTTCTTAACTTTCATTTTCTAACGCGGCCTGGCCGTTCCTAATGTCGACCGCGCTACCAGCCATTCATTATTCATCGGCGAGTTCGAGCCAGCGAACGCGTAACATACACACCCAATGACGTCTGGTCAAGGTTCGCCAAGTCACGTATTGCGAATTAGCGGAGTATACACTGATACGGTGTAACAAAAAACGTTCGCGTCGAATCGAATTCATTGACGAGGAAATAACGATGTCATCTGTATATACTTACGAGATAATAAAAGAAGTTTCGTCGCTCAAGCGCGAGCTTTTCCCGTTTCGCTCTTCTTTTCTGACACGTGTCAACTTCGAGATTCACCTTCATTTCTGTGCTTTTACATATACGTACAACTTAACATTTCTTCATTCTTATTTAAATACCTGGAAGAACGTCTTCCTAGGAACTTAGAAACTTCAGCGAAATTGCATTCATAATTATAATTAATAATTATATTTTCTTGTACTATATTAAAATAAGTAAAATAAGCATTTGTTAGAATGTAGAATTAATTAATAATAGAGAGACTGTTAATACGATTGTTAATGCGAAAATTAGCTGTTATATTTGCACTCTCATAAAAATAGCGTTAATTCGTTTGTAAAGAATTCTCAGGTATTTTCTTTTCACCATACATATGCGAAAATGCGATTCAAGCATAATAATTAAATAAGGCATAGGGATATAGGTAAATGATACGAGTGCTTCGATTTTGTCGAGCGTAATTATGACGTAAGCGCTGTGACGTAAGCACGAGCTCGTAATCAAATAAGAAATAGATGTCATTCTTGACACCTGTGTGACTCGAATGCAAATCATTTAAATTTAATAATTATATCTTTTAATTAGTGCATTAATAATTGAGAAATTAATTTAATTTTAATTTAGAAGAGATTAATTCTTTTACTTTAATTATTTTATTTTAAATAATATATTTTGCGTTAACTAATATATATTTTGCACTATAATAATGTTTTTTTTTAAGGTACGTACGTTCATCCTTTATGTGCTATAATATTTTTTATACGTCCCTCGTGTACTTTGAAATGTCACCGCAAACTGGATCCCATCACAGGCAACTTTCATCACCGGAAGCTCGGGCTTCGACAAAGGTGAATTCCTGATTTGATCATAGATGGGAACCTGACCTGTTCCTTGAGCTGGATTAAACAATTTCAGCAATTTAATCTGCAAATATAAAAGGCGTCGGCTTGCAACGATCTTACTACAAACAGTTTAACCGCGACGAGAGAACAATATGTCGTGGATTCCTGTAAGTTGCTCTCTGTATTTTTTTATTTAAATATTATTTTATTTAAATAATTATAAACCAAGATAACTCATGTAAAATCTATATATACACAGAATATTCGATTTCCAAAATAATTTTGTTCTATTTTACTTTATTTATTTACTCTACTTATTGAAGAATTGCATATAATGGATTTATTTGAAATATTAAAAATTGTTTTCATTATATATATATATATATATATATATATATATCGCATATTTTAGCTGTTCCTGACATTAATATGCACTTACGCACTAGCATCGGTCCCGAAAGATGCGAAGCAGCAGAAACGGGGCATTATTGGTAATAATGGATGGATCGGTCTATCAAGTCCTTATGGATATGGACATGGACACCCGTGGACATCGGTCGATCATATCCCATGGAAAGGACTGAAATTGCCCGAGGTTAATCTGCATGCAGGGTAAAAATATGTGACATACTTTTAATAATATGAAAATAATAAATAATGGCCCATACATATAATTTTTAAATATAAAGTACAAAAATCGATTTATATAATAATATCATGTCTAAGTCTCCCCCTTTTCGTAAAACATTCTAATTAAATATCATCTAATTACTAAAAAAACATTCGAACCTTATATAGGGAACTTGAAAATAAATATATAATTTTTAAAGAATTAATTTTAATTAAAAATTGATTTTAGTGAAAAATTATATGTACCTATAATACGCTCTTTAATTCTTGTTAATTTAATGTTTCCTAATTGTACAATAATGACATAAATGCGTCGTTGCATTTATTAACATTTATTTTGTCGTTCGACAGATTACATTTGGCAGGCGCGCTTCCGGCTTATGGTCTAAATGACATCGCTCTGACATCCGGAATTCTGAAAACCCTTCCAGTGTATATAACTAAGCACGTAGTGCTGGAGAAACCGGTGCCAGTTCCAGAGCCAGTGATCATAGAAAAACCGTATCACGTGCCGATACCAATCGAGAAGATCATTCATAAACCGATCCCTGTTCCGGTTCCGGTGCCTCAGGTAACATAATTATTTTTTTTTACTTTCATTTTGATACGCACAAATTCTATTAGCGATTAATCAGTCTTTCTTGACAAAAATTCATAAAAAAATATTATATTTTTACTACAATCTTTTCTATTTAACATGTTGTATAAAAATTATATCAGTAATTTTCTATTTTCGAAAATTGAAGCTTATATTTAAATTTGAAAATTCTATCATAGAGAGCTCATGAAAAAAATCGATCAAAGAAAAAGCATCTGTAGATTTTATTAAAAATCAGGGTTGGATAATTAAAACTAATTGTAAGTTAAATTAAAGTTATATAGTTACTTATAAAATTAATTTATTTAAGTTAAAGTTGCATGAACAAAAAATTAACTCATTGTCAGTTAAAGTTTCTTTCTTTTAAAATTCTTTTAAAATTTGTACTAACAATATAACGAAGAATTTTAAATTTTATATAGAAATATATTTTTTGATGATTACAATTTATGACAATAAATGAACATAAAAATTAATAATACTAAAAATAACACGTTTATAACTTGTAAAAAAACTAATAATAGTATTCAGAGATAAAAAATTTAACTTAGGAAAAAAGTTCATAAGTTTAAGATAAAAAATAACTAGTTAAAGTCAAAAATTAATACATTTTAAATTAAAAGTTATTATAACTTTTTAAATTTAATAGATATTTTAATTATATATTGACTAAAAAATAAATATGAAAATTTCTATCTCATTCACAAATTTATCATATTTATCTAATTCATTAATTTTTTAATCAATATATTATTAAAATATTTATTAAATTTAATAAATATTTTAGTTATATATTGATTAAAAAATAAATATGAAAATGTCTACCTCATTCACAAATTTTTAACTAATTAACTATAATTATTAGCCAATCCTGTTAAAAATATAATCGAATAATATTACTCCAAAATTCTTACCAAACAACCGCATATATCCAAACTCGCATATTTCGATAAATCAAAGTATATACATATTTTCCAACATATACAGGCGGTTCCGGTTCCCGTGGAACGTCCGGTGCCGATTCCAGTGAAGGAGCCGATCGCGGTGCCAGTGCACCAGCCGTATCCGGTTCCGGTGAAGCATCCGGTGGCAGTGCCGGTTCCGGTACCAGTTCCGGTTCCGATTCATTCCGTCCCGCCCTCGCTGCCGCTGATCCCGACCGGCGGCCTGCCTGGCGCCATCTACCTGCGCGACTACGCACCCGCTCACCTCCATCCCATCCTTCATTCGCCGTCGAGCGCTCTCCACCTGGATCACGGCGGCGCCCTCGCGCATCTTCCCCACGGCTTCGATCACGGGCTTGGTCACGTGGCTCTGCCGCATGGTTACGAATACGATGCCCATGCCCACGTCCATGCCGACCATCTTGTCCACGGGCACGATCACAAAAAGAGGAAGACTGACAAGAACTGAAAAATAAAAATCTTTTTTAATCTTATTAGTCTGTAAAAAAAAAGAAACAAACTTAGACACGAAGAATTATTAAATTCATATCTCGAGTTGATTAAAAGATTCTATAGAAATCATTATTTCTTTTCCTTTTTTATACATGAGCTTTTGTATAAAAATGTATATATGCTTGGACAATATATAAAAATTTAAATATAACTTATATTTTATAATGTTTCGAATTTTTAGTGTGATGTGGTTTCTGTAATCCTATATATTTTTCAAATATAAATTTTAGATAAATAATATATTCTATGCATCTACTATAATTATTTAAATATATATATATATATATTCGATGCACGCATAGTTGAATATAAAAATATACATATAACTTAAAGATTATATTAAATTTTCATATAAATTCGTAATCTGTGTATTATATATATATATATAACGAATTTATAATTCAAATCCGATATACACAAAAACCTTTTAAATTCGAATACCCGGGATGAAAAATATACACCTTTTATAATTTAAGAGAGATGGCGACTATAAAAAATATAAAATTTTATTTTAACTTAGAAAATTAAAAATAAAAAGAACGAATCATGAATGAACATTAAAAAGAATCAAACTGGAGAAATAATATACGATATTTTTATTTTCTTTACTTTCGTCTAAAACAAAAAGCGTACACAGACGTACACATACACACACACACATTCGAGCCATTATCGGTCCAGGGAGTTTGAAGGAAGGAAGAAGAAGAAGAGCAAGAGAAGGCACATCGCGGTTTTTTTCCATTACAACTTGCGACGTAAATTTGTCGCCTTTCGAGCCCTCTATTTCCTTAAACGAAAGGCGATAAGTGACATACAAAGTAAGTGTGCGGCGAAATTTTATCAGCCTTTCTCTCTCTCGTCTCGAGAAACAGCTGATCCAGCTTTGTCGAGAGGAGAAACGCTCCGTGGTCTCTCCCGAGAAAAATCACGCACGGTAAACGAGTGACCAACGTTTGAATTAATTCGATTCTCTCCTGCAGCTTTTTCCTGCTAAGGACAATAGAAACGTGACCATTGTTTTGGAAAGAAATCTGGATCCCAAGAAAAATCAATGTCGGGGGTTGCAACCTGATGTCGCGTCGCGAAAAGTGACAGGAGTCTCGTCGGCACGCGGCTAATTGCGGCATTGGTGAGTATACATATTTCTCGATTTTTGTAAGAATTTTGTAAGTCATTCGCAAATGACATGGAAATTCATTTTTCCTAACGTTTCCCGTCCGATTATTAACAGAATATGCCACGGCGTCAGGTTATGTTACGACATCCGTCATAATAAACACATATATACTCGCAATGTCTGTATGATACAATATTGATGAGGCGACTCAAAGACTGACGAGATGTTGAAGCTGGACGAAATCGAGTGTAAGAACGTGTCCAAGAAAGCGAGGAAGAATCTGGAGGACAAGAAGAATAAGGGTCACAAGAAGAATAAACATACCAGCAGCGGTGGACACAAGCTGAGAAGCAACATGGAGCAACTTGCTCCGTGCAAGACAGAACCTGAGGAAGAGGAGACCTTGGAACTGTTGTATCTCACAAAGGATCCTATGGCGTCCGATGTCACCTGTAAATTGGAAGAGGAACCATCTGTGTCCGAGAACGAGAATGATTATATCCTGGTACCTCCGTTGGAGAGTCTGAAAGATGCAGGAGTTAGTATGGAAGAATTGTTGGAGCAGAGTGTGCACAATATCTCTAAGAATCAAAAGAATGGTAGGTGGACACACAGTTACAAGATGATATTCTTGAGAAAGTGCTTGGCTGATGGGAATGAGTCGACGGAGGATGAGATCAGTCAGAGCACATCCTCTGACCAGCACGAGCGTATTCCCAAGATCGAGGATTTCACATACGAGAATTCGAGAAAAATCAAAAGGGACCAAAAGTGGACGAGGAAATTGAATCCTCTGTCCCTGCATTATACGGATAAAAATAGACCCTATTTAAAGTGCTCGGCATGCGGCGCAACCTTCTTCAGTCCGAATACGTATCAGAGGCATCTAATCTCCCACGTGCATGAAACGGAGGAGAGTTACACGTGCAATTTTTGTAATTATACAAACACAGAACTCGGAATGTTATTTGCTCACTTGACTAAGCATCAAAACCAATGTGAATCCTGTAACGAGAATCTATTGCGGAAGGATCACTACGAAAAGCATCAGCGTGCGAGCAGCTCGTTGGAGTTCACGTTGAAGCGCGATCAACACGGGATGTTTGTCTGCGGGATTTGCGATTTGGTGTTCGATCTTTCGGCTCAATTGGAAAAACACTGGTTCAAACATACCTGCAAGAGACGAAAATCCTATCAGTGCAACGAGTGCAGCGGCATGTATGAGAACCTGGAGACCCTGAAGAACCACATATGCTTGAAGTGTCCCATTTGCGGCGAGGTTTACGAGAGTCTGCACAGATTAAAGACGCACACCAGGTGGACGAAGCATAATCTAAAGTGTCCAATCTGCTCCTACGAATTCGTTCTCTCTATGGATCACAAAAAGCACATGGCTCTACACAGAAAGGTTTATCAGCCCATGAAAGATTATACGCATTGTTTGCGCGCGGCCGATGGCAAGACTTTCCAATGCAACCTCTGCGACAAGATATTTTACACCTTACAACCCCTATTCACGCATCTCACGGAGGAACACAATGTGGGGAATGTAAAAACGGAAGAGGCGATGGAAGATGAAACTTACGAACTGAAGGGAGACGCTATTAATATAGTTGTAATTCCTGACTTTAAAAATGAGTGTGACTACTTTGATAACTGTGAAGATATTGATCCTATGCAACAGGACACTGATCTCTACGATCCATCATAAAAGACGAGAGAATATCGATCCGCTTGAGCTTAAGTTTGTAAAAATAGAGGCGACACATTTCTTCTGAAAAGAATTGTTGGAGCTTTTGCCAACTTCTCAAGGATTCTCATAATACTGATACTCAAATCGGACTACCAAATGATGAAAACTGATACAATTGTAAGTGCCGTTTACAAATTATAGATATGTAACTTATGTATAAAACGCTATTTTTAAAGATGTATTATTTGCTTCAGAGTTTTGATATCAATTTATACAAAACGTTAATTTTACACAGATCGTATATCATTCTTTTTTTCGTTAAGTAAAATATATTGATGAGAGGATAATTAGACACATATATTTTAGCAATCTCAAAGTAGACGTTAACGAAATAGCCACGAAATGATCCGAGTAACACGTATTTTCTAATGACTCTAACGATTTTGCCTGCATTAGACTCTGCATTAATGCATATTAAAGTTTTCTTTGAAAGTAAAAAATGTAGTGTATACATCAATGATACTTGATCAATGAAATACTTGATACATATTTAGAGCAAAATATGTGCATTTCATTAATCAAAATTGTGTATTTACACTTGCAATTTTGCATATAAGTCTTTAATGTGCATCAGTACGAGTTTAAATTTGTTACATATTATTGTTAAACAAATTTAGGAACACAGCTTCAATAAATAATCATTGATAACGATCATAATTTTGGTTTATTTTACGAATTTTTGAATATAAAAAGTTATAATAATTTGGTCAGCTCTTATTTTTCTTCGGCCAATAATTCATTATTGATTAAATTAATTTTATTAATTATATTTTCATTGTATCAAAAGTTTCTCGATTAAAAGGTTGTTTACCTAAAATGATAATAATCTTAGTAATAAATTTGATTTTATTTAACTTCTTAATGTTAATATATTTTATATTTTAATGTTATATATATATATATATATATATAATTATGCATATATGTATACATATGTATAATTTTAATTTTATATATAAAATTGTAGAGTTTTATATATAAATATGTATTATATATTTTATTTATTTATAAAAGTTTGATTCTTATTAAATAAATCTATTATTTTCTGTGTTCCTAAATTTTTTGATGGTAGTCTCTTTATAGAGAATCTAAACGCAGAATAAATTAAATTTATAATATAAATACATTCCGCTATCACATGTGACGCTTTTATGTCAAGATTATTCGCTCGAAAAATTTACATCACAGATGTAGTCAATTTTCTTATAGTCCGTAAAGATATATATTGATCACATTAGGAAAGGGGGAGTTAAATCTCATCATATATATTATATATATATATATATATATATATATATATATATATATATATATATGTCAAATGATGTATATGTTTATATGTAACACCTTTTTTGAAGATTATATCTATGTGTTGGAATATATTTAAAAAAGCGATATTTCGCGAGCTATCAGTCCTGCTGTAGCTTAATTATAGCGCCTTGCTAAAGTTAGTATCGTTAATTTTAATTAATTTTAATTCATGAAATCTGGTATTTCCTAGAGAACTATTTACTATTCTCGCAATGATTTATGCAGTAACATGAGAACACCGGGCTAAACACGATGGCATTTTTATAACAATACATGATAAATACTCGAAAACACCTCGCAGGGTCGTATTTACGCGGGTCGTTCAAATTCACTCGTGCGTCAGGAAATATTTTGCAGCATACGTAAATGTAATGTGTGTAGGCCTATAGTATCATAGTTACATTTACATCAAGAATTTCAGCTGTTATGTACTCGTTTTGAAAAATAAATGTTCATTCACAAGATTCTTTTCTGTATTAGATATCACTTTTTTATAAGTATATTATATATATCAAAGCAGCGCAAGAGTAAAATATCAATTCTTGTAATCATAGATCAATATCGGTCGATTAGCGTTTGATTCGTGCTATACAATTTAATAGAGAGCAAATGTGTGAGAGGAAAAAAGCCACATGTTTAAAAGTTTTCATCTCACGAAAACAAGAATTACGATATTTTTACTGAGCACGCAGTTATTGTACAATTATATTGTATATCACTTACGTAGACGTACACATAATCGTCGAGCGTTCATATAGTTCTCAGTATTTTACAATGTCTCTCTCTCCCTATAATTAAAACGCGTATACACGTCGAGCAGTTTTATGTATTTAATAGGCAATAATAGACAGACATACATATATATATATATATATATATATATATATATATATATATGCTTTTTTTATTACATATAATTCGTCCGCTTTTATATTTTACTTTTTATACTCGAAAAATCGTCGTTCAGAAATATTGTAAAAATAAAATTGATTTCTTCCGAGATGCTTTTATCTCGTAACTATATGTAACTAAGTATATATATTCCCTAGCCGAAACGTAACCAATTTTCATTTCAAGCCTTTATCCACTGCTCCACGTATTCTAGTGCGCCCAAGAGTATCCTCTTCTCCGTGACCCTCAATTGAACGGCCATTTTTTTTATCTGCGGCAATGTGGTCTCGAGTAATTCTAGATCCTCCTGCAAAAGAAAAGACATCTGTATTGATAACGGTGCTCGATAGCAGCCAGAAGACGGATGCAACACCGGATTTTCACTTTCACCTTCAATGTCGTCGGATAGTTGGCGATTAAAAGTTGCAGCCTGGTCAGCAAAAATTTTCTGACATTCTCCTCGACGACCGTCTCCAACGCGCAATCCATGTGCTTCAGGTCGAAGACCTTGTCCGAGCGTAACCAGTGCGCGAGCTCGGCTTTTCGCATACTGAACACTCGTAGGAAGGCCAATAACGTGTCGGAGATGGGTTCCATACCCGGCTTTAGTAAAAATTCCCCGACTGACGGCAAACTTAGTTTGCTCAGCAGCTCTATTCGCTCCTTCTGAAGGGAGTCCGCTTTACTAATGCCAAGACGAAGTTTAAAACCATCCTGTAAAAATTGTAATATATATATAATAATAATATATAATTAATATGTAATATAATAATAATATAGAATTAATATGTAATATAATAATAATATAGAGAATTAATATATATAATATAATAATTAATCCTGATATTTGTATATTTGTAGAAAGTGCATCGCGTAATTCGTTCTTAATTAATCATTTTCCCCTTAACGTTCATAAAAATATAATTTATGTATCAATCATTCATATATATAATTTAAATTTTTTAAATGTAATAGAATGATAATTAAATAAAAGAATTATAATTTAATAAAAATTTTTTAATTTCTTAGTATTAAATCTTATAATTAAATCTCTCTTTCTCTCTAATATTTAAAAAAATTTCTAATATACGCATACTTGTTCATTATTCATATAGACGAAGCCCGAATGCACGAAAAAATCGGAATTCGTTCTCGGGCCGTAACTTATGAACACTTGTTCTCCTTTCTTGAAGTCCCTCAACGCGTAGCACTCGCAACGATCCGTGGTCGCGTTGAAATCTGTCGTAATCTACGGCAATGACAGAGAAAACATCATTAAATCGTCCCACGCGAGTTCATTATCCGTGTTACTTACCCTTCCGTTCTCGTGATTGCACATATCCCACATCGGGATCAAAGCGTGAATCATGCGCGAGCCATCCGGGCTCGGAATTAAGTTCTGTCGTGTCATCACAGTTGAAACTGCCCAACTGAAAAAAAAACAATTAAATCAACATTTCAATAGAGATCCGATTAACCGACTTAATTAATTACGCTAATGCAACATCAACATATTGGTTTCGTTTTAAATTAAATCAAGTACGATTAATGTATATTAAATAGCTCTGGTCTAATAATCCACATTTTTATTTAATCTTTTTAATTTATAATTTCATTTTTACTAATTTTTTAAATAATCCCAGTTTATTAGAAAAGCCGGATGGTTTCTATTTTAGATCTAAATATACAAGGTGTCCTATAAAGATCGGAATCCTGGAATCATTTGGAGACGATTTTTTCTCAAAATGTCATTTTTTGCATGTTCCCAATTTTTGCTATCATGTATCTTTGTAACGAAGGCTTGAATTAAAATTCTATTAAAGTAAACTCTGCTTGAAATTAATTGAAGAATGTAGTTTAATTAATATTTTATTTCCACAAGGCTTAGTTTGCGAAAAAGCCTTTATTTTCAATCGCTTATAACTCAAAAATTATTGGTACATCGACATTTTCGCTGAGGAAAAATCGTCTCTAAATTAATCTTTTTAACTAAATATTTAATTAATAAAAAATACATATATATATATATATATATATATATATATATATATATTATAATTAAATATTTAAGTAAAAAAAAATAAATTAAAAAGGTCGATAAAATATAAAACTATTAATTTAATAATTTTTATTAATCAATATACCTAAGAATTTTTTTAATACTCTAACTGGATGATAAAAAATCCTGTCTGACTTCGAGGTGAAATCCGGTTATTTCGACTATATCAAAAAGGCCGTTACGGCGTAATGCATGTGCATTCGCGTCAATCTCCGGAGCGTGAAGCGTCGACTTTCGCCTTCGAGGAAGATTGAGGAAGAACATTGTCACCCCATCGCGTCGCGTCGAGCGGCTGCTTTTCGGGCGCGAGAACTTGACCCAGAATTCCGGAAATGAATGTATATGTACGTACGAGAAGAAGGCATAATCGCGCCGATCCGAGACAGAGCGTACTTTCTCTCTTTCTGTAGAGAAACGCGCGCTTCTCACCATCACCCATCACCACGTCATCCACGTGAAAGATATCGCGTGTTACTCTCGAGATTTCATCGCTTGCATTCTATATCTAGATATATAATAATATGATCCCGCGCATATAAACTATTGACACTAATGTGCCGGTTGCGTGATCCGAAGCTCTTCTCTTCCTCATAGAACAAATTCAATCCACAGTAAACCGTGTCAGCCTAATAATGCCTGATTATCCATTCGCCACAGTCTATTCTCTCATACAGGACTTTTCCAATTCATTTCAGATGATCTAGAAATCTTGTGCGCTTCTTGCGAAAAAAAGGAAAATATTAGAACTGTATTTATTTTATTAGATTTTCTTATGAGAAACTTGTACAATTTCGATGAATTAGAGTGATCTGGAAGTGAGACCGATTCGATTCGATTTAAAATTCTACGTGTCGAAGAGAGATTTTGTCTGGAATATTGCGAGTTATAGATCGTTTAAAGGTCGATTTATGAATAAGTCAATGACCCTGTGAGAAATATTTAGATCCGATTGCGAGATAAATCCGGGATAAGAACAGGTTCGTCGATTGTAGTTTCACTGTGCAAACTAACATGTTATTTGATGGAATCGCTACAAGCCATCGCGTTGTACGCAAAAAGTCTAAACGAATAATCAGTAAATAGAACAATCGTGTCGTAATGATGATAAAAGTGAAATTTCATAGCGAAAAAAAAACGCTCGTCGTAATAAATCGTGGAAAATTAAACATTCTTGTTACTTTACATTGGCTCAAGGATAAAAAGGAAAAAAATGTTATAATTGGTCGATAGTTGCATTAAATTTCTGTAAACATTTGCAGCATAATCTGATAATCTGATACAACTTTTAAAAATCGCGTGTGAAGTATATTTTGTACTACTAGAAAGTTCATGCGAAACTAGTAAATCATTATTTGCGCACGATATATTTTCGATATTATTATTAATTATGTGATAATTCGCGCAGCGTGAACATTTTTTTCATATTTGATATCCATATGTATTATCGCTGGTAAAAATTACTAAAAAATATTACAAATAAATTACTAAAATAAAATATTATGATCAGAAATATTATTTTATAATAAACTAAATTTATAATTTACTAAAATATATAGTAAAATTTTAATATATAATTTCAAAATATATTAAAAACTTAATAATTTTTTAAGTGTTTTAAATGGAATAAATTCTAGAAAAGTGATAAACATGCATATAAAATATTACAATGCGGCATGGTAATTCTTGGCTTATCAGACATGATAAAATTTGTACTGAATTTTGCGATAAAGCATGACGAAAAATTCTCTCCGTGTACGATATTTATCAAAGCTAGACTTGACAATTGTATGAAAGTCCATCCGTGAAAGTATGCGTTTCGACTAGACTTGATCGACTCACGAAGGGAGATACAGAGACGAGGTATGTACATGTATCGCGAGAAGAGAGTTCTTGAGTTTTCGCTCGAGAAAAGCACCTCACCGACCGTTTCCTCCTCCACATCTGCATGTGTGTGTTCATCTGTACCACATACTGCGAAAGCGATCTTTCGCCGTCCGCGATAATGATTGACGATGATGCGCTAATAAATAACGCTGGTACCTCGCAATACATTTCTAATATTTACCGCACGTTTTCCTTTCGCATCGAGTCCCAAAATGCAACCAGAAGATGTTTCCTTCAAATGTAGAGTGGAAAAGATCAACTCTGAACAGACCTATAACTTAATTGTTTAATTTTTTTCGTAACACTGTGCCATTTATTTATAAAAATGCTGTATATTTTGTATTGTTAATTTGAAGTAGGTTGGGATAAAAAACTTGGAAGCAAGTAGGACAGATGATTAGTATGCAAACTTGTACATACATACGTAACATATGTATAATACAAAGGATCAGTTGAAGATTGCTCAAGTTCTCGTAATGAGAATTTTTTAACGAGCATATAAATATATATACACATTTCTCATAATACAACAGTCTCTCTTTAATGGCATATAATAATAGTTAATCGGGACAGAAACGTTTCATGTTAGAAATCTTAAAGTGTTAATGCAACGTTTCGCGGTTATCATTAATCATCATGCGTCTAATATATGAATATGTATATACAATATTCGTAATAACATTTATATAAATTAGCAATAAATATTTCATCAAAAAGAACTTAAAAAAAATATATAGAGAGTTTCACAAAAATTAAATATTGCAGCTCTAAAACACGAGTTATATAATATTATATTATCTATATATATATATATATATATATATATATATATATATATATATATATATATATATATATATATATGTATGTAATATCATATGAAAGATAAGTGTTTCTTATTACACCTCTTTCATAAATATTTTTTTAAACAAGCAAGATGATATTTGACCGTAAAAATCCCAAGAGCGCTGTGAGAAAATTCCGCAATGCGAAAATAGATGTTAACTTAAATTGATATTTCGAAAGAGAACAAAAAGAGAAATTATCTCGTATATCATCATATACACATTCCTCATCATCGACACGTTAGATTGGAAAGTATCGTCGCTCAGGGAGCTCCAACACGCTAATATCATCCTTGCGGGTTAAGCGAATACGAGGTTTCATTAGACACACTGTAAGACGATCGCTATTATTTTCAGCATGAAACGTATCCGAGGTCGGTTTCGATCCCTTCGCTTAAGCGCAACTCGCTCGCTTATTCCGTAGAAAGTGTGCATAGAGAAGATCTCGTGATCCGCGATTCATCGCGCGACCTTCCCACGAGTACGCTCAAGTATCTATATACATCCATTCCCCGTGTGCTTTCTGGCAGTAAAGCTCGTTTCGAATTATCTACATGTGCAATCGAGACTTATCCCCAACTCATCTTGAATTTATAATTGAAATAAAGATGTTGCGAGAAGCCCGTCACATCATATACATAACGCTTTTACTTTTTTATTTTTTATTCATCGTAGCAACATATTTTATATCAATCACGCGAAGACTTTAAATATACAGGGTGTTTCAGAACTGGAGGAAAAGTTTTTAATGGCGGATTCCTGGTATCATTTGGAGACGATCTTTCCTCAGCGAAAATGTGAATGCGAGGCACCAATTTTTGAGAAGCGATTAAAAATAAAGGTTTTTTGCAAACTAAACCTTGTGGAAATAAAATATTAATAAAACTGCATTCTTTAGCTTCATAACGCTTTTGCTTTATTTTTTTATTTATTTATTTATTAGTGCAATATATATTTTGTATCATGGAAAAAGACTTCAAATATATTAAATTATATGTAAAAGTGTCTGAAATTTTTTCTCGTATATTCTGGGTCATCTAACAATAAGATAAGATTAAGACACAACTGCGGTTAGCAGCTTTCGATGTCCATCTGCATCTCGGCAAAAGACCGCATCGTCATTATCATCCTTGTCATCGTCATTTTATGTCGCTGTTCAAAGCGACGAGTTCGTGACAGCTATTTTTCATCAGCCTCATTCTATGCATTCAAAGCGTAATCAATACTCGATATAAATTTTTCACAAACTCTTTGGAGAAAAGAGAGATTTCGTTCGAAATCGCGATCAACTTGAAGCTTCTTACGTTTTCAGGATCCTCTATATTTTTATCATTATTACACCGAAACTTACAAAAATAAGTAAGCTCTTCATTATTCTAATAATTTATTATTTCAACGTAAAATATAAAGATGTAGAAAAAATATGGTAAATTAAATGAAAATGTTAAATAAAAAAAGAAAGATGATAATAACACAATTAATTTAAACACTGAGCTTTTGTTCATATTAGAAAAATACTGTTTTCAAGATATATGCTGTCATGGATAATGTCATAATTTCCAGAAAATTGTTACAAATTACATTCAGTTTCTTTGAATAAATGTCTCACTTTAAAAAGAGAAGAGAGAAAGGAAGAGAAATCTCTGCGGGGCTACTACAAACGTTATCTACGTAAATTACGCGTAAAAAGATAGTTTACTTAGTAGACCCGCCATTCTATTGTTATAAATGTTCGACACAGTTTTCTACTTTAGGCCCATTTGCCGTAATTTGTTGACGTATATAATGCCATGATATAAAAATATACGTTGCACACATAATACTTTACTTTTATAATATTTATTAATAATTATTAATTATAATTATAATATAATAATTAGAATATTATATAATATTATAAATGTAATATTTATTAATATTTATTATTATATTTTTTAATATTTTATACTATTTAAAAGAAAAAAAAATAATAAGCATTTTGTATGCTGTCGCACGAAAATCAATATCTACAACTCACAGTTTATTAGTTTTTCTAAAAGCCTGTACAAGCCGCATCGTTAAGAGCCATTGAAATCCCAAAAGCGAGTTCTTCGTCGCAATTAAGAATTCACGAGTGATAGATATACACAAACGACATTTGCGTTAAAAGGATTTTCGTTTCGAGTGCCTAATGACTTCCTTTTGCTTTAACACTCGACACGACCTTACATTACCGGATTCTGCGAGCGACTAATCATAATTAATATGCAAACAACTCGGATCTCTCAGTACATAAACTGACAATTTATATCAAATCTTAATGATCGCGCGTAAATATCCATAGATTATATAATCGTTTTTATGTGGCAATTTTAATATGCCAGCAACCACTTAGAAAAAATGTTTTCTCGTCGTTTTTTAACGATAGCGCATTTCTTTTCTCATTACCGATGAAATAATATCGATAAATAAATGATTCTATACATAGAGGGAATTTCATTTTAGATAGAATTTTATTTACTCTGAAAATCATAGTAATTATTGTGCAGGACAATACATAGTATTGGAAGAATTTTATAAGTTTCTCTAATTAATATTTTTATCACGATAAAAAATATTAATATCTATCACAATAAGATGTAAAATATGTTCGACTAGTTCTATTATAAAATTTCCTATGTACATATTAATATTTTTTATTGTGATAAATATTGATCAGAGAAACTCTTATAAATATATATTTGAAATAAACGGGCTATACACTGAAAAAAGAATTTATTAAATTCGTATAAATATTTATTTCAATACCTAATACATATTTACTTGTTTCAAATAAATTATTTATTAGGCAGTATTGAAATAAATATTTATCAATTTAATAATTTTGTTCAGTGCATAAAATTCTTCCAATATCATATTATCCCACAATTATCCCGATTTTCAGGGTAAATTCTGACAGTATGATAATTCTGTACAAAGAGAAACGGTAGAGCTCCCTGATTGCTTACACAATTCTATTTTGATATAATTCAATATATATATATATATATATATATATATATATATTTGATTTACGTCTAAAATCTACTTGATATTCTCCAGAAATACGTGCTACTTTCTCCAGCATCACCTTTTTCCTTCCAGCAGAGATGCCGAAGGTGTTCTCCACCTTCCATCATCGCGTTTTCTCAATTTGGATAGTGCCAGGTGCGCAGGATTCTTCGTTCGGATCAAACGTTATCCGATCGGATCGGTTTATGCAGAGTTACCGGATTCATCTCGGTTCCGGAGAACATCTTCTCGAGAGAGGGCGAGTGATAGTAGTAGTAGAAGAAGCCGCGTATAGTAGAAGAGACTCTGCTCCTCTCGCGAGTTTCACCGACTTACTTAGGAGCCCGCTCGGAGAAAAGCAACGTCAGTTCGCAGAGGCGATTTGCCGCGAGAACGCGAGCGCGAGCGCGAAAGTTTTCATAGATACGCGAATGGTGATACACGTATAGAAACTGTTCCCCTCTTTTGCAAGAAATTTCGAAAATGTAAAACTCATCCGCCGATCGCGACGTTTCCCGCGCGATGTCAGAGTCTTCCTTATATAGTTGAAGAAAAAATATCTCTGACGAGTATACAAATTAAAAACATTCTATACACAAGTTAAATCATCTAGGACTAATATAATTAATTAATAATTATATCAGTGTGTTAAAAAAAAAAAATAAATAAATGTGTGCTTCTGTGTACTTGTATAAATTTGATGTATAATAATTCATGGACATCGGGGATTGAAGTGCATATTCGCCTGCATGATTCTTGAAGAGGTCCTGAGTTTGTGCAACAGAAAGAACGTGATCTTCATTGTTCTATGCGCCGCGGTGATTTACGTGCACCTGATCATCGGGAAGAACGAGTGCGTCGGCGGTAGAGGATCGCGGTGTCGCGACGACGAGGAGGCATCGAGGTTCCTGATCGCGCTGCAACTATGCGGAAAGCGTTTCCCGTGCTCGCGCTAATCGCATTCGCGTGTGACATCTCGCGCGACGTTCCGGTCCACGGCGACCCCGTCGGGAATCCGGAAGTTGCGGGAAGAAGCAACGACTATGAGTACCAGGTAAACCGCGACAAAGCGTCCCTCTCGAAGGAAATTGCCTCGATTATTATCGCGGTGACAGCTCGATAAAAGCGAGAAATTACTTGGAAATCTTGCTATCTTATTTTCTGGCGAATCGACAAAAATTAATACGCAAAGGCTGATCTAAAAAATATTTTTTATTTATATTTTATACATGTGAATTTAATATTTATTTAGCAGAAAATGATATTAAATTATTAATATTAATTCTTTTGAAGACTTCACAATAATTTTAACAAGTTTTCTAAAGTAATATCTTGCGATTTAGATGTGAAGAAAATTAATGACTCAAAAAAAATTATCCGCGAATAAATAAAAGCTGATTTTTAAAAAATATGAAGATTGAATTTATTATATTTTACACATTGTAAATTAATATTTATTTTAGATAAAAAATATTTTTATATATCTTTTTTCATAAGTCGAAGCTATTTAGCGTCGAAGCTATATAATCTTAGTAGAATTCCTAAAGTAATATCTCGCAATTTAGATGCGGACAAAATTAATGACTATATTGTCGAGAGCCGAAAGTTGTTCCTCCGACACTTTTAACCGGTCGTGTTTCTTTTTATATATCGGAAACTGGTGTGGTACTGGTTACGAAATTTCTGTGGCAAGAACATTTGTCATATGGTGTCACAGTATGATTCTAAATCGGGTGGAAAATATATGCACACCCGTCAGTCCCCGACCTCTCGATTACGAAATGATTGTGTGACGTTCGCGGGTGACAGGTCCAAGTTCCGTCGTAATTACATTCATTAAGCGTCATTAAACTCAAGTGATTCAAGTTAAGGGCAGGATGTTAAGAATATTCTTTAATTCCGTCTTTTCGCGTCTCAAGAGTGACCAAAATTTCACGGGACGTTCTTTATGTCAGCACATCAGTATTTTTTTTTATAAATAAACAATTAAAAATATAAATGACAAAATTAATACTTTATAAATATTATTCGCTGTTTTACTTTTCGCAAACTTTTCGATAAAAAAAATTTTATAACGTAGATGTCTTCATCCAAGCCTAATCAAAATAAACCAATAAATCTAAAGCCGATTTAATGAGGATGTAACTATATACGTATCATGTTTCGTCATGTCCGTTTGACTTTTAACATTAAAATTTCAGGAAGGGAAATTAAAATAAGATCCACCGAAACTTGAATCGAATAAAATTATACACTTTTCGAGATCTCTTGTAACAGCCGGAAATTACCAATACTGCAATAATTGGTAACAATCCTATTCTATTCTACGGTTTATAATTCCGAGAGAAAGTGCGAATTTTCTGCGTATTCCCATGATTGCCATTATATTCCGCGGCGTATCGAAATCGATTCTGAGATTGCTCTATCGGAACGCTTTTCCTCTGGATTTTTTTCGCCGCGGAGCCGCGAAATCGACGCACCGCGACGAGAAAACTGACGCGTAAACCACGAGAGAAAGAGAAAGCTGGCACTGCGCGGAAGGTTCGAGACTTTACGAGCATTTTGTCGTGTATTTCCACGTGTATCTTTGCTATCAGAATCCGAGAAGCGAGAACACGAAGAGCAAACTTCAGCGCCTAATCCGGCAAACGCATTCTTCAGAAAAAGAGAGAGAGGCGGGAAATGCACGTGTAGCAAAAAGCATTGCACCGGTTTTCGTGCTAAGATTCTTTTAACACACCTAGAGAAAATATACAACTATACATATAAATTTAATAATCTCTATATGTCAGGAGAAATAAAAAAAAATTAATTCCTGTACAAGACACGTGTGCTCATATATTCATCAGTGATATTAATTAGTATCAAGAATGATGAATCTGAAAGTAAACGAGTAGCTAAGACTTTTGACTTTTAAGATCTGGAGAAAATATACAATTGCATATAAATTGAATAATCCGTATGTCAGAGAAAATTACGACACGTGTGTTCTGTGACATTAGTATCAAGAATGATGAATCTGAAAGCAAACGCATACACAGAGAGAATTTTCCTTTAGAATTTATCTTAAAAATCATGATAATCGTGGGAAAATATGGTATATTGGAAGAATGTTATAAGAGTTTCTCTGATTAATATTTACCACAATAAAAATATTCATATTTACCACAATAAGATGTAAAATATGTTCGATTAATTTTACTAGAAATAAATTTATTATGTACATATTTAAATTAGTAAGATGTATCATGTACATATAATATCTTTTGTTGTGTTAAATATTAATCAGAGAAACTCTTATAAAATTTTTCCAATGCCATATTGTCTCATTCTTGTCGATTACCATGATTTTTCGAGTAAATTCTAAGAGAAAATTTTCTCCTAAAACTTTTGTGTTAAATATTAATCAGAGAAACTCTTATAAAATTCTTCCAATACCATATTGCCTCATTCTTGTCGATTACCATGATTTTTCGAGTAATTTCTAAGAGAAAATTTTCTCCTAAAACTTTTGTGTTAAATATTAATCAGAGAAACTCTTATAAAATTCTTCCAATACCATATTGCCTCATTCTTGTCGATTACCATGATTTTTCGAGTAAATTCTAAGAGAAAATTTTCTCCTAAAACTTTTGTGTTAAATATTAATCAGAGAAACTCTTATAAAATTCTTCCAATACCATATTGTCTCATTCTTGTCGATCACCATGATTTTTCGAGTAAATTCTAAGAGAAAATTTTCTGTTAAAACTTTTGATAGAGACCTAGAGAAAATCTTTACAACTACATATAACTAATAATTCATATGTCAGAGAAAATAAAAAATTGAATTACAAGACACACATGTGCTCTGTGATGTTAGATGAAGAATGATGCATATGAAAGCAAACTTCGTAGCTTCTTCGATAATCGGCGAGCGAACAAAGCATATACGAGTCATTTCCTTTACTCATGAGAGAATAATTGTGTGAATAATTTCCCATGCGATTCGTGAATATATATGTGAAATTGGACCGTGGAAAATGAGAACGCGCGTGTGCGTTCGGTCCTTTTCGCGGCGAGAAAGCGAAGTGAAAATCATCCGCGAAAGCACGGAACTTTGTATTAATGAAGTTACGAAATGCTTTAATATAACGATAACGAGCCGATTGAATTAATGCTCCCTTACGAAACGCTACAATGAATCGCTTATATACTCGATCCGTCATTTACGCCTAATGCACCGATACTTTAACAACATAACGAAACAATCTCGATAATGACGACACTACAATATATTTATTTCTTTTTTATATAATAAATAAGAAAATAATCTCTACTCATTATAATCAGTAAAAATTTGATTAAATAAATTAGTATAAAAATAAGTAAATGCATGTATGTGGAAAAAAAGTTTACGTTAAATTAAATTATATTTTACTTGTCATAAATTAATGTTAATATACTTGGTATATAATTAACGTAGAAAATTCGTTTCGTATAGAAAACGAGAACGGAAAAACGTCTTCGCGCAAAAAGAATCGGCTCCTTATTTTGCGCGTTCTCACGCGCGTCGCATCCGGCTTGCGAAAGTAAAAGCGAGAAATCGCCGAATCTCCCTTTTTCAACGTGCCGCTTGAAGAAGATCATGACGAATAATCGAGAGATAGGTGTGCAAGATTCGGTGTTCGCGACGCGTGCTTCCTCGCCAAGCTGTCACCTCACAAATCATTCTGACATTTTCGACGCGAGAATGACAAATATATAAGGAAGCCTTCCATTATAAATATCTTTTCGATCTAATAGCTATATCGCAAAAGTTATTCTTTCCTGACTTAATAGATAAATTCGTTTTAACACATTGATTAAAAAATTTGTTAACTTATCTAAATCTTTCAACTAAATATTATTTTGTTAATGGAATATGTAAAATATGTAAAAATATTTAAATTAAATATGACATCAAATCTATAACAAAATTTATATTTGACTTAAATACTAATATATGTTCAATTAACAAAATAGTAATTTAGTTGAAAGATTTAATCAAGGTAACAATTTTTTTTAATGCAGAGTTTTAATGTGAATATTACATTGTTGAAAAAAAATATATATATACACAGAAAGAATTTTCTGTTAAAATTTACACTGAAAATTATAGTAATCGTGAGGCAATGTGGTATTGGAAGAATTTTATGAGTTTTTCTGATTAATATTTACCACAATAAAAAATATTAATATACATACATAATAAATTTTACTCAAATATATTTTACATCTTATTGTGTGGTAGAATATTAATATTTTTATTATGATAAATATTAATCAGAGAAACTCTTATATATAAAATTCTTCCAATATCATATTGTCTCACGATTACCATGATTTTCAGGGTAAATTCTAAGAGAAAATGCTCTCTATACGTAGGTATATATTTTTTGGCGAGATATTAATATATGCAATTGATGCAAATATGCTGTGACAGTATTTATTATACAAAGCGCGTTGCAAATATCTCTATACTTTCTATCGTTACGGTCGTTAGCCTTTACTGTTATTCGCAACCGCATGCCTCGTTTAACAACGATTTCCCGCGTGACTTGTAACGAATTGTAATTTGAGGAAGTTTATTTAACTTTATCCTCGCAAATTATTTCAAATGGCAAATGCAGCGATTGCGATTTGATGCCATAAAAATTTCCTAGAGAGAGAATAACTTCTCCAGATGTTATAATTAAATATTATAAAATATATCAGAGAAAACTCGCTCCAATTAAAAAAAAATTAATAAATTGTCGCAAATTATATTTCACTTGACAAAAATAATTCTTATATAATAAAAATGTTTTAAATTATTATTCCTACATGAACATGATATATTTTTATATCAATGAAACATTTTTCTTACACGTGTATATTATCATTGTTGTAGATTTTTAAAAACTTGCATTATACGAAACGTTGATCTAGATTATATTCGCATTCATATATCGCTTATCAATAACAAAAATCTAAATTAAATTAAATTCAGCTAAGTGCTAATCTAAATTTAATTTAATTTAGATTTATATTATTAGCGAAATTTAAATTAAATAAATCAAATAAATTTTAAAATTAATATTATATAATATATAATATTTAATGTTATATATAATATTTATATTAAAAATATTTAATGTTATATATAATATTTATATTAAATATTAAATTATTATTATAAGTCACAAATAAATAAAAATTTAAGAGAGGAATTCCTAATTCTTTCAGAAAAGACCTAATGGACGGTTCGACGACGCAGAAGCGCCGTCGCGAAGATCGGTGAAGGATCGCGAGCGAAGTCCGAGCGAGCCCGTAGGTAGATGGAGAAGCAACGGCGAGGCTCTCGAGCCGAAGTGGCGAGACGGCGATTACGTGCCCCTACTTCCGTTCTCTCACTACCGGCCCTATACGAAAGACGAGGAGGTCGACGACGCGGAGGACCTTCCCGAGACGAGTCGCCGACCGTTTAAGTATCGTTCCTCGCTCGATCAACCGAATCGTCCTCGAGAAAGTCCAGACCGACGAGGTCATCCTCCGTCCCTGGACGACTATGACGGAGCAGCGACGTATCCGGGAACCACTCCCGAGGATTATCCGCGCGAGAAACAACGTTCGTCGAAAAATCCACGGGAGAGTTCGACGCTCGACGAGGAAATAATCGAAAGCGCGGCGAGCAACGACGGGAAACGCGGCCGCAACGTCGTCGACGACTCGATTAACGACCGGGAGATGACCTCGAGGTACCGCGAGGCCTTCCAAGCTCGACCCGACGCGTACGAGCAGGAATTCAATGACGACGAGTACATGAGGCCTCGCCCGAGGAAGAGGAGACCGCCACAGAATTACGAATTCGCTCTGGCGAACGAAGCGGCTTCCAACGAGGAGAACGAGGAATCGAGGGATTCCCCTCGACTTGCGTTGTCAAACATCGATGAGAATCTCCCGGAAGTGGCGCAACAATCCTCCGACAACGAGCGGGAGAACGCGCTCGAGCTGAAGTCGCTCCTGAAGATGCAGCAAGAGGAGGGCTCGAGTCTGTCCGAGATTCTGCAACGCAGGAATCTGAGCCTGAGCGACCTCCTGAAGGGCAAAGCCGACGTGATCAACGCTCTGAAGTCGAGGATCGCCGACGAGTCCGACGAATACATCGAGGAGATGTCGAGGGCGATGTCCGATTCCTTAATGAAGCTCGCTGCAACGGTGACACCACCCTGGGGGTCCATTCCGCCTGAAAGCAGTACTATAAAAATTGTGACAGCTTCAAATACTTCAGACGACTCCATGTCCAGGATATCGATCCCGCAGAAAGTTTCAGAGAACCATGATCAAGTGGTGTCTTCGAACGACACGAATCGCGTTGAAGAGTCGAAGGATACTGAAAATATCGCGAACGGGGATTTTTCATGGCAAAAAATGACTTCAACGACTCCTCCAATCGTCTCGACCGTGATTACCACGACGACGACGTCGCCGTCGATCGCGGTGAACTCCATGGAATACTTTCTGAACGATGACGGGAACGCGGGCTCGACGAGCGACCGCGTGGCGAAGTTCGAGAACCTCGACGAGGACGAGATCATGGAGTTCTCGGATTTCACGGACTTCAAGAAAGGAAAATCTTCATTAAAAGCGTTAAACGAGGAGATCGCCTCGCAGCCACCTCTCGATATCGAGTCCACCTTGAGCATCGAGCAAATTCTCAGTCCCACGGAGAGCGATAGTGTTATCACTGATGACGACACTGAAAGTAGCAATAAAACAATTATTCAAGACAACGGTCAATCAATTCCTATTAACGAGCCAGGATCTGTGGAAGATTACAACACGTTTATCGAAGCCGAGTACCAGAACGATGCTCCAATCCCCGAAGACCATAAAAAACAGAATAAAGCGAGGAGTGATCCAAGCGCTAGTCAAATTGACGCTGTCGCGAGTCCACTTGAGAAGAAACAACCCGCGAATCCAGTCGATGATATAAAGAAGCTGTACGAGAAGAATCACTCGACCGAGTATCATCAGGTGACCCGATCACCGGAAAAAATTCACAATCACGCGAGTCTGGAGAATCATCAAGGTAGCAGACGCTACGAGGAGGTCGTCTCCGAGATCGAGCCGGAGGCACGAGCTGAGATCTTCGAGCTATTCGCGTCCGGCTCAGCTGGCAAAAGACTAGAGCGGCTTCTAAAGTCGAGGAACATGAGTGTGGAGGAGTTGATAGCGCTGCGTCAAAGAGGCTCCAGCAAGGTGCACTTGACGGAAGTGTCGCGACTCAAGGTAACCAAACCGCAGAACAATCTTCAAACCTTGGAAGCCACCGATACAAATAATGAAAAGATCATCATACAGCTGTCACCAGCTAGCAATTCCAATGAAGGTAAAAAGATCTCCGAGAAGGAAGGCACGAAGAAGCATGAAGAAAAGACGGAAGAGTCGATGGCTCGGTTGAAGCAGGAAATCATGAGCTATCTACACGATCCGTTCTTCGGCAAGGACGTGGAGAACATGTCGATGTCAAGATTACTGGATCTCGTGGAGCGTGACAAGAAGAATGCGTCAAGGGAAGCAACATTTCCTGAAAATGAGACATTAGATGAACACAGTGAACTGCAGAATTCTCGTCAAACGATGCACATCGTCGATCTACTTACGACATTTGAATCTCTTCCTTTCGCGAAGGACGTACAGCGGCAGTTCGACGCAGCCGAAATCGCTAACAACAGATTCGAATCGAAGGACCCTAAACTTCCAACAGACAAGGATAACGCGAGCGTAGTGTTAGTCGAAGAAGAGACAAAGATCCTCGGAGCGGACAACTCCTCCGGCCAATTTCACGCCGGATACGTGGAAGAAATCGTGAGGGAGGAACCGAACGTCATCGATATAAGGACGATTTACGGGGAGAGGATGAGCGACGGGAATGAGAAGAGGACCCTGTCGCAGATGAAGCCAAGCATCATAGCTAGCGGCGCGATATTGGGCGTAACGATCGTCGTCTTTCTGGCGATCTTCATCATCTGCCGGATCCGGCAGAAGCAGAAGTACACGTACAGGAACTCGTTCTCCCGCGCGGTGTTCCAGAACCCGGTTATGGCGGCGAGAAAGCTGTCGAATTCCAGCAGTCTGAGCACCGTGATGGTGAACGTCGTCGCGACATCGACGACCAAGAGGCCGGAGAGAACGGAAATGCAGGAGACCGTGGAAGAGCTGGACGGTAAAAGCGACATGGACAACGACTCGTTGGACGGGAACGATAGCTGGGAGACGATACCCGATTACGCGAAATAACTCGTTGCCGAAATGGCAGAATTCATACGATTTTAGTCTATCAGTTTGATGCAGAGAAGACTCGTCGCGTTTATCAAATAAAGTTAAAAATGACATTAATCTATTTTAAATTATTTTTTATCTTATAATTTTTATTTTAAACGATATAATATTATCATTTCTTCTATTTAAAAATTGAATATTGAAAAAATTAGTAAAATTTCTAAATATAAAAATTGAAAAAAAATTAATTTTTTTATACTTATATACCGACAAAACTTTTTGCATCAATCTAATAGAAAACTACCAGTATTTTCGCTTATCAAGAGTAAACTGTACCATAAAAGGCTGATTGAATGTCCTTAGCGAGCACTTTGAAACACATATTAATTAAAATAGCCGCGATATTTTATCGAGAAAGGATTAAAATAATTCCGTAAATGTATATATACATATTTTTCTAAATTACATCGACCGATACTAAGTTACAGAAAAATATGTAATTAAACTATTCCCCCTGAATAATATGTCATCTCGGCATTCCACTGCAAATAATCGAGTTCAAAGACTAAGATGACTTTTATCATAAAATTGATAAATTATGCTTTACTAAGAGTTAACTTCCATATAAAATAAGATATATTTATTTATAGTTTTATATATATATATATGTATATTGTAAGTTGTATTTTATATATAAAATTGTAAATTTTATTCGTTTTATTTCATAATTGCCTAATCCTCATTTCAAATATTTGATAATGCAATTGCTTTAATTACTCACCAGTATCTCTCGTAGGTGAAAACGTCCCTGAGTATGGCTGATACAGCGTTATTGTTACTTTGAAACACTCTGTTAAAGTAGGAATATTGCCTTGCGATATTTCGACATTGCTTCAATGCAGCCTCTGCGCAAAGATAAGAAAATAAAGATTACAAGATAAATCTATCTGAACATTATAATAGTGTAAAATAGAAAATATTATCTTTTATACATCTTCAAAGAATATAAATGATGCATGAATGAGAAAGTACAAATGTAGCTTTAAAATAAAAAAGCATGAGAGGTAACAAATTTCAAAATACAGTTTTGTTCTATGTATACCTAACGTAGGACTGCCTTTAAGCTCGATCATATCATTGGCTTTCATGTACAAAACTGTGTTGTAGCTACTAGGAAGTATATCCAGGTAAGGTTGCCACTTGGAGTTCTCCTTGTACCTCTCTACGAGAAGTGCTATTGCCAGTGCCACTTGCGGCATGTGCTGCACCAATGGATCATTTTGCAGGACTGTCAGTTCCGGTGCTGCGGTGTACGTACTGAAGATGAGAGCCCTAGGTATCTCGAGGATCAATTGATTCTCAGGAAAATCGATCTCCGCCTTTAATCCCAGATCGCATCCAGGAAATTCGACGATATTCACGCCGTCTACGCGTGCCCCATTCTCCGTCAACCAGTTCATAAATTGTCCAATCCCCTGGGATCGCTGGGACGATTCCGTCTTCATCTCCTCCAGACGTTTAACCTTCAGCAGAACTTCTGATATATCCAAGTAGTTGTTCCATAATTGCGTCACGTACGCCGGATTGCTGCTTACTGTAAACAAAGTAGCAAGTAAAAATAGTATATACTTATAATATCTCAAAAAATAACTTAAGAGATTTCATACGCATATATTGTATTATATAATGTATATAATATAATCAATGTTGTTATGCATATATTATATAACATATATAATCAATGTTTTACATATATTATATAATATATAATATAATCAAATATACATATATAATATAACAATTTTGCAAAAAACAACTAAAGAATAGATTTCACATATGCGTGTGTAAACAAAGAGTATAAAATACACAAGGAAAATATACCAGAATCCTATACACTTATCTCCCAATTTCCTTCAGCATCTCAGCCGAGAAATTTGAAAGTCTACACGCGTAAACTAATTACGTCAACATACACAATTGGTAAACTCAGTTTCCGACTGTTCCAAGCGTGGGAAGCCCCTGGCCCGCGACATGGTGGATCGCATACCAGGAAATGGAGAACGAAACGCGAGAGATACTCACGATGAAAGAGCTTCTCGCACAGGGCATTGAGCTCGTTCCTCCTCGCCGCGGATACGTGCCTCGGTTGCTGCTGCTGCGACGATGGGCCGTGTTGTTTACCTTTCGCGTGCGCCTTCCTCCTGCCCATTTTCGTCTACTATCTCGCGGCGCGCTCGTCGGGGCTCGCCGTCCCTCTCAGATGCATTATAAGCGCGTGACCGGCGGCGCCTGGACGCAAGAATAAACACCTCTTCGCCGCAACGAAAATAGCACGCACCGGGCGACCACATAACCTGAAGGCGGCCGCTCCGTTCCGCCTCTCTTCTCTTCCCGCGTCGTGTTATATTGATTTTCCAGTTGCTGTCACGCGGGAGAGGAGGGCGCTTCTCTCTCGTAAATTCCCGCCTCTCGATCGTTCCTCGCCGAATGACAGATGAAATATTTATTCTGGAATGCTAGATCTTTCGATATCCTCTTCCGTGAATCCTTCCACCGCGAGAGAGAGATTAACAATGATGCAACAATAATAAGATTTTATCTATGTATATATGTATAGAGATGCGAAATCTTCAAACGTAACGTTTTTTCCCGCGTTTTCTCGGTACTTTTACATATAGGCTATTCAATTTTTTTTTTTAATATAAATAAAAATGCGAATTATTTTGTAAATAAATTTTTCCTCGTGTAATCTGTATCTTGTTAATTATAAAATGCACTCGTCTATTACATATATACACATAGTATACATTTCTAATAAAATAAATGAGGTATTCGTGAAATTATATTATTACGTACAAAATCATAAATTGTTGTTCTTTCTAGATTCCTATTGAAAATAACTGTGTGAGTAAAACAAATAGCGCTATAAAAAATGTGAATTTATGTGAATATCGATTAAACATATAATGGTAAATAAGAAAATTGTGTAATGTTTTTATAAATGTGTATGTACATAGGTCAATTGAAATATTTTATAAACTACGTATATATTTCTCGAATTGTTCAACATTAATTTCAATATAAAAAAAGATAATGTGCTCATACCAGAACAAGATGTGTGCATGTCTTTAAACATCAATGTTGACAAGGTATATATTCATGTAAGATCCATCTTTTGTTATACATTAAAAGTTTGTTAATTAATTGAAAACATAAAATCCGCTTAATAAATTATTGAATTCTTGTGTATAACAAAACATAATACAATAAAATATAGCAAATATATGAATTTTCACGCTGCAAAGTAAAAAATAATTTTTATAAGCACTTTTTTATGATATAAATGATATATATATATATATATATATATATATATATATGTATATAATATATATATGCTAAAATATACGATAGAATCGATGAAAATAAAATGCTATTATGCAGAAACTTATGAGTGTATGTTTCTGTGTAGGGTTTGTCCGCAAAATAAATTACGTAACGTTACTTAAAACAATTTTAATGTGCCTAATTTGTATCACTTAAAACGTAAATTTAGTGTAACTAACACTTTTTTTCTCTTATAGTATAAAATATAAATCTCTATTCCTTTAATATACTTTTTTTAGAAGATAATGTCTCAGGGTCACAGAAGTAAAGAAACAAATTGTGCCTCATTGAAAGGAATATAGACACAGTCATTATTGAAAACTTACAATTATACGTATTTTGTACTCACAATCAGTACATATCAATCAATGCATATCTTTATAACGTTGTATTTGATTATGCGTTTGTGTGTGCAATAAAATAATAAGTATATTACACATTCTACACGATACTACTCCGAAGTTTTGCCGTAGTTTCTTTGCAGCGGAAAACTCGTATCCTAAATATTATATTAAAGATACAGATGCACATTATAATATGTATATAGCATTTTTTTACAGTCTAATCTCTAAATAGCGCCGTATCTTTCTGTTACTCCAATTGGAACTCGATGTTATATACTGTAAAATTATCTATCCTACTCTTTCGATTTTGAATACCGCTCCGCAGGTATCCTCAAGAAAAAAAGAATGCATCAACAAACATTTTTCTTTGAAGAAACGATTCATTTGACTCCTGACATTATTCTTCTTCTTCTTCTGGCATATAAACATACAAATTATGGACATCCATAATTTGCATAATTTCTTATTACATAAGAATCTAAAATACATACTATGTAATCTTGTCGGATTACTTACTTTCAACGCAGGTACACATCACAGCAATTCCAATAAAGTACCAGATCTATACCATTTCGTCTCTTTTGAAACAGTATTTACGAAACAGTAAAATTGTAATATATAAAAGTCAAAATTTTATTTGATTAAATTAACCCACACAAGGATGTCAGAGCGTGTCATATCATGTTTATCTCGTAGCAAAGATGGACGCATTCTAGCTATGCGCATACATGGTCCCGCGTATTTATCACAAAAGCATTAAATATATATACCGCAGTGACTCTAATCGCTGTACAGTGTGTACCGATACGTTGTAAAGGATTATTAATCGTTGAAGATTTTATAAAACCCATACATAAATATATAAGTTACTTTCGGTCCAAAAATTCGCAAATATTGGAGCACAGACACTGTATAGAGTTAATTTTACAAAATTCCTCGAACTTCTTCGCACGTATGTGTCGCTTGAATTCTATTCCGCTTCGTTTGACTTTTTGTATCACCGCATCCGCTTCTATTGCGACGCGGTATCTAAAATGCTTTGTCGCCATGTGGCGTGGAAGGGAATTTTCAAGATCTTAACTCGTGTTTTGGGCAACGCCGTTAGGAGAAGCTTTTGCAATTGTGGCAACGGTAAGATGTCGACTTGCGGAGTCGACAACTGCGGCTGTTGCTTATCGTCTCCTGCAAAATAATCAAATAGTGACATTACATATATAATAAAATAAGAAATATTATTAATGTAAAAATACGCGAATCCCTCTCAAGATAATTAAAATTGATAACTTGTAACATACCTTTTTGATTTTCGTTTTCATCCTCGACATCTGCGATCAATCGTAAGCAGGGGACTGGTTTTAAAACTGGTATAGAATCTCCAGTGACTTGTTTACTCATAAGATTGCACTGATCAACGAACAGTTCTGTAACCCTGAGTAATTCAAGTGTAACACCCCATATAAAATGCGTCAGATTGTTTGACAATTCTGTGACACCTCCGAGCACCATATTATTAGATGTTGCCGATTGGGATATGTAAGTTGGTATAATTAGTAACCTCTTGATGTTCTTGCAATTAGCCAGACACTTATCAAATCCATTCTTCACATCAAAATTGACCAATTCCATCTGACAGAGGTTCTCCAATTTTGATACACCTTCGAGAATGTCAAATGTACAACAGGATCCTTGACCTTTTTCAAGTCTGAGGCGTTCCAATTTATTTAATTTGATTAAAACATTAGTTCCAAATTTGTCCGGAAAGTCGGAACATTCGCCCAATTCTAACGTCTCCAAATTTACCAATACTTGTATAATTTCAATTTTCTTCTTTCCAAGTTCTTTAACTGATGTCAAACTCTGTACATAACAAGAGAAATCACATACATTATATATAGAATATATAAAATGTTTTAATAAAAATAATAAATTAAATATTAAGTCTCACCAGTTGCGTCAAGTGTATTAAATCCTGTAGAGATGTAAGATCTTGTTGCAATGACATCCCACTTATTGCTTTGAGTCTAAGTTCTTGGCATCGACTCAGATTCCCAATCGATTCCAAGTTGAGGGAATCACATTTAATCGACATTGCACTCAGTACCTCCAACTGAGGACAGCTCTTGATAACTTCTTCGACCACCATGACGGGACATCTGCATAGCTCGAGTTTGACAAGACTGGTCACTCGCGGTATAATAGTCAAGAACTTCTTCCAAATGTTGTCAGATTCGCCAGCGACTAGCATTTTTCTGAGATCTAGATGTTGCGTACCGCGTCTCTGTAATGTCTCCGCCAAACCGTCCCAATCAGTCACCTGGCTATTCTTCATACGCACTGTCTTCCACAGAGATGGATGAGCCGCGAGATCATGCCACATCTTGCAAACTCGTCCGGCCCGTAACAATTCTTGCACTTTAAGATATTGGAAAATACGCAGCAAGGCGTAATAACCGGCGCAAACTGAACTCATGAAATTGTGCTGCTGTTCCAACTCCTGCTGGTTTTGTTTCCTCCTGAAATTATCGAAAGAAGAACACAATTTAAAATCAGGTGTTTGACAGCCTATCTCATACAAAAATAAAATATATCTATCTGTATTATTACAAGTTTATTTTTAAAGAGACTTTTAAGGTAATCCTAAATACCTTTGAGAAGTCTGTTATTTTCCTTTTTTATCGACAAAATATGAGATCTAATCTCAAATTTGGAAGGAAAAAACAACAGACTTCTCTCAAGAATGTTTAGGATCCCCTTAAAGATAATTAGAAAAATTATATCTTTTATTGTCCTTAAAAAGCCTCTGGAAAAATAATCTCTGATCGAATATTTACATGCCTATTAACAAAGTGATAAGATTTGAAATCAAATAAAGAAATAAATATAAAAAGTAGATATAGGATTGGAGGATGAAAAGGACTGTGAGAATTTATGGGAAAACGCACTAAGTTTTGTATTTTCAGCTCGCATGTCTTTATATCTGCAAATATAAAAAGTAAAAATGAATTAGATTTTTTTCATTGAAGCACTTATCAATAGCTTTATTTGTAATTGCAGCATGAATGTAAACATTTAGACATAAATGTGCATTTTAATACCAAGTAAATAGCACGCGAGCGAAGAAATGCGATTTTGTGTAGGAATTAATTTACCTTGATACTACAATTACAAAAAATATCATGTGAATCAATAGGTGCACATCTTATTTATTTTTTCATATTTGTTGAAAATTTGGCCGCATTTCTAAGAAGCTAAGGCAGTGTGCTTCGATCATAAGATAAAATCAAATTCATTTTTAACATTCGATATTTTCATATTTCCAAATATAAATAAACACATTAAGTATATATTGCATTTACAATTTTTTATAATCTTTGCATATTTATAAAATTAATTTAATAAAATGTGTTGTATAACGTAAAATCTAATGTAGAATTAAGCTAAAAATAAAAGAGAATGTAAAAACGCTTTTTACAATTTTTTATCGAGTGAGAAGCATGTGTGGATTTTTATTATAGAAAGAGTATTTATGAACTTTGTAAATACAATATGTACAAAGCAACTGCCAAAACCTCAACAGAGAGTTGCCTTAACTTAAATTGCTTGGAAAAAGCATCTTAAATAAGAAATAAAATATAAGAAATGACTATACGTGTTTCAAAAATGTACACTTACTTGTTACTTTTAATTTTTGTTACTGTACCAGCTTTACTTGATAAAGATTGTTGACGAACTGCTTTAATTGTTTCGGCATTTGCTTCAAGAGTGTTTGCAGTATCTGTTTTATGCATTGGTGCACATGCAGATGTATCTTCAGACACTTTACTACTTGTATCTACTTTTTCCTTTTCAGGCACATAATCTGTGTCGGCAGTGAAAGATTTATTTTCTAATATTTTCTCAATTAACTTATCTTCTTTAGGAATATCTATACTATCCTTATTATTTTTATTAACTAATGCCTCGGTTATCTCTTCAGTAATAGCTGCAGATGTAAAATCCATCGAATGTGCCGTCGCATCTTTTGAAATTTCTTTATCAGGTGTAATATTTACTTTTTCCGATAGATCGATATTTAAGTGTTTGGTTGGAGGTGCACGTAACTTTGTCATGGAATTTTCCACATTACTCGAAATATCAATGAATGAACCATCTTGAAGCATGGGCGGTTTATCGCCAATCTTGTCCGGTCTCACTGTTATAGCTGGCTGAACTGCCATTGCATTATTTTTCGGTACTACAATGTATCTTTTGCCGCCCATTAAAGCAATATTTTGAGCCGGTTTCGGCATGGTACCGTCGTGACTTTGTAAGAATTCATTTTCCGTTTGAGGAAACCAAGTGCCTTCCTTTTTGTCTACGTTCGGCAGCGACGAATTCGCGGTTGATATTTTGGTAGTTTTCGAAGAATTTCTCGTTTGCGCGTCCGTACTGTCAGATTTCGGAATTCTTTGCAATTTCGGAGGAGATGAATTAGTCTGATGTTTCGGTTTCGCATTTTGTGCACCTAACATACTAATTGGAATCAATGGAGGTGGTGTCAAAGATGGATTGTTCGGCGTATGAGATTCTTTAGTATCCGGCTGACAATTCTACAACAAATTTATTCCTATGTATTATAAAAATTATCACATTTTAAATCTATATGTATAACAATGTTTTATACATTTTAAATTTCAAAGTAATAAAATAACAATTATTAATTAGGCTCGTATATTTTAACACAATAATTCAAAGTTATAGACCAATTAAACAAGCAACACAAAATAAAACACCAATGTATAAAAATTTATTTAATCTTAAATTGCTTTATTCCGTTAAGTAATTAAATCTATACGTTTCGACTATACTTAATCTTCTTCAGTATAAACATTATTTGACAATATTAATATAACAATTGGGAAGCAAGAAATTGTTAATGTCAAATTGTGACCAAGTCGTTCAATTATCAAACTGTTGATAAAGAAAATAAATAAATTTTTTTTTTAAATTAAATAAGATAGTGTCCTAAGAGTTAGTTAATTTAATAACAAATAATAAATAAATATATTAAGTAAAATTACTTATGTCGTGAATATTAAGTGTAATTACAATGTTGTGGAAAGTACAAAAGAATAAAATATTAAAAAATGGCTTTTTATTGGAGTTTAAGTCCTGACTGTTGGTGTGTCACATTAAAAGTTGAATGATTTATAAAAATAAAAGATAAACAATGAAAAACAAAGTACTAGGATTATATGTTAGAGAGCTCTTCTAAAATGTCAAAATACATGTCAAAATAAATGTCAAAAGTAATTCGGTCTGTATTCAAGTTAAACTCCTTTTTTTGTTCTTTTATGTGGATCATTTTAATATTTATACTGAAGAAGATTAATTGTATAAGTATAGTCGAAACGTATAGATTTAATTATTTAACGGAATAAAGCAATTTAAAATTGAATAAATTTTTATACATGTTGTTTTATTCTATCTCTGTGTTGCTCGTTTAGTTGGCTTTAAACTTTGAATTATTGCGCTCCAAAATAATTCTTGAAATAAATCATTGAAAAAATAATTAATACAAGCGTATAAAAGCCAATTAAATCCCTATATTTGTAACTCTAGAAATCTTTGTGTTGCTCATATTCTTAATTTTGTAACACAAGAAATTTAAATGCCTACAGCAATTCAAAATTAATTAAATTTTGCAACGTTCTACAAAAACAAGTATTAAGAATAAATAAATGAATAATAAATTTAATTCCAACTCTGTTCATTTTTCTATTTTAGCATACAGATCTTGAGCACAATGCTGTATAACTTTATATATAATTAAAAATACATTGTGTCAAAAAAATCTCTCAAATTCTAGCATACTACACAGTAACCTACCTTGCAGACATATTCATCACTGCCTGCAAATTCCATGCCATCGACACATTCAGGATGATATAAACAGAGACAGACTCGACATTGTAAGCTTGGTATTAATCCCATACTTGTCGAACATCTTATGCTGCATGGCTCTTGAACTTTGGGCCTGTAAGATGTGCGTTGAAGAAGGGAAAGGGATTCAGGAAAAAATACAAGTTTCCCATATTAAGGATACATGAAAGGAATCAAAAGGAAAAATAGTTATGAAAATTGTAGGCAGAAAAAGCTTCTCTCCTATTAAAGGCAAGAACTTTTGTACATACATATTATATATATTGCATGCATATTAATTATATTCCATAATTATTTGTATAATTCATGTATGTTGTCATATGCAATAAAAATGCATATGCACAAACTTTGAGCTTTATAAAAAATATAAAATTCAAGATTAATATTTTATTTTCTACTTTCACACAAAACATGAAATGCAAAACTCTAATAAAAAGTAAGTAGAAATTAAACTGTGTGGTACTATAACTTTAAGATTTCTCTATATTTTGTCTCTCAAACACACACAAAATAAAATAATTCACATACAAAATACTACATACAACAATATAAAAATATTATATGTATACATATATTCGATAATTAAATTGAGATTATAAACTTCAAATTTTTAATTTTCAAGATATGATTTGACACTAAAGTTTTTAGTATTAGCATGTTATATATATAATATCATATATCACAAAATATTCTTTTATATTTGATATTAATAAACATCAGTGTTTTAAATATTGAAAACTTTTATGTTTTCTATATGTATGTGTAAATATACGTATATATAACGTAATACCCATACACGAAAATATTTTAAAAAATTTTTGTTTTTTTTTGTTTTATCTTTCGGATTCAACTTGTATTCAAGATAGTATCAAACACAATGCATTACATGCTAATAATGGAAGTAAAATAATAAAAGTACTTACGTTAACAATCTTTTAGTTTTGATGGAAGTAACTTTTTCGACTGCTTGCTGACTCCGTCTTGTATTTGCAGTACTTCGTTGAGGTGGAAGCATTTCACTCTCTTCAACTGTTGATTTCATTTCTGTTAAACAGATTTCCAGATAAATTTATGAAAATTGTGTAATAATTTGCTCAAAAAAATTCTTTTATATAATTTCATATATTTAAAAAAATATGTAAAAGAAAGAAATGCAAAATAATATAGAATCCTTATATTTTCAAATTGTTATATTGTTATAATATTAATGTGATTATAATGTGAAATATATTAATGTAACTATAATGTCATATTTCCAAATTGTTAAATTATGAGATATATATATATATATATATATATATATATATATATATATATATTATACTATCAAATAAAATAAAATATAAGAAAAAAGTACAACTCTGTATATAGTATAGTTCTATATAGTAGTACTTACATTATATAGAACAAATAGAGAATAATTATAAATATAAAACAAATATAATACATATAACAAATATAATATTTGAGTATAAAGACATACTTATTTGAGGAGTTTTCTTTGTAGCTGCTTTTGTTTTATACGCCGAAGAGGCTGCTTTTGTCGCTTTGGGGGTAGCTTTTGTAGACACTGGAACAGGTGCAGGAGCGGGTTTTGGAACCTCTGCATGTACAGGTGCAGAAACAGAGGCAGGAGATTCCTGTACTGACTTCCTTGTTGCAACTTCCTGTACAGACTTTCTTGTTGTAGGTTCCTGTACTGCTTTTTTGGCAGGAGGTTCTTGTACAGGTTTTTTTATTGGTGTGGCCTTTTTAGTACTAATAGATTTTCTTCCCATAGGTCCTCCTGAACTCTGCAACATCAAATATAAAGCTTTAAAAAAACTCTTAATAGTAAATCAAATTAATATATTATTTAAGTAGAATTATAACAAATTTTATAAATTAAAATGTAAGAAAACTCTAAAAACATACTCCTATTTTTTTAGCATGTCGAACAATCTCCTTTTCAGGATCATTGACTCCAATAGGTTCTTTGAAAAATGTAAAATTGTCAATGGTCAACTCCTTTGAACTAACTGTAAGATAAAAATGTGATATATTCTAATATATTCATATAATTAGTTAAAGTTATATATATGTTGTCTTTTATCATTATATACTTACGAGATTCTGCAACCTCTCTGAAACTCCTAACTTTCTTGCCCTTTGGTGTATAATAATATATGTCAGCCATTCTTTTGAAGGAAGAATCATTACTCGCTCTAAATACTAGCTCTCGCTTCCATCCATATTTAAATGGTTCTTTATATAATGGATCTGACATATCAACAGCAGCCTTTTGCCTCCCCCCTGGACTGGCGCCACGAGAAACGCGACTGCTTTTTGATTTTAACGATGTTACAGATGGACTACTTGCAGCCGATGACGAATTTGCTGATCTAATGGAAGTTATTTCAATTTTGCTCGGCTCCGCCTCAGAATCTATGCTATTTGGTATGTCAATGGAATCTGTTTCTGATTTATCAGATTCCTTCTCCTTTTTAATCTTTCCTATATTCAATTGCTCCAAACTATCTGTCTCATAAATGTAGGTTCTCAAATCATCAGAATCTTGATCGTCTTCCCTTTTACCTCTAGTGTCATAGTTCCTTCTTGAATATCTCACACGTTTTACAAGTTGGGCTTCTGCCATTTCAGCTTCAGCTATGATAAAATACATTAAAACTTTACAAGTTTGATATTTTTGGCATAGAAATATAAATATATAGAATAATATAAATATCATAAGAATACAAACTTCTCTACACTACTAAATAATTCATTTCTATCATAATAAAAAAATAATAAAATAAAATAATTTATTAAATTTCTATTCTATTTTCGTTTTCGTTTTTTTTGCTAATATTTTGTTATACAGTTATATATCTTTTATACATAGATTAGTAATTATTTCCGAAGTAAAACAATTATTATGATAAAAATTATAACTATGTAAGTGCTTTATTTATATTTAACACATTATAAAAAAGATATTAAACTATGAACAAGATTAATTGCTATATTTTATTAAAAAATGTAACAATATATTTTACTTTATATAATTACGTCCTCTGTAATTCTTGTTTGTGATATTTCGGCTACTTATTGATTTTCAACTAGTTTTAATTTTATGACTAGTTAAAAGTATCATGTATGTAATAAAATATATTAAACGTAAACAAGAAAATTTTTTTCAGACAAATCTCAAAAATGTCATGCATGAACCCTCCAATAAATTGAAGGAAAAGAATATATTTTCCGAAAAAAAAAAACAATTATCTCTTCACCCCCGTACGAACGTAACATCGAATACTACCAATGAGCTTTTTCAGGACGTGACTCCCCGGCTGTAACTCGAGGCCCTTATCGAAGCCGTTGAATTCCGAGTCCTCGGAGCTGTCGTCGAGTTCCGAGAGCTTCCGCTTGCGTCCCCTGGTCGCGTGCGGTCCCGTCGTCGCGTCGCCCTCGACAGCGCTCGTGGAGTTGGCCTTGAGCTTCCTCACCTTTCTACGGGGGTAGGGCGCGTCGTGCTTCTTGGCCGAGCCCTTGAGATCGCCGTTAACCTCTTGCGCGTCCGCGCTCTCCGGGGCCGTTTTGCCGCTCAGCGAGTCGTCCATCAGTTCTGCGGACGCAACAACACCGTCGCCGCCGCTTTCGAGGTTAGAATCCTCGCGCGATTCTTCGGCGTTCCCGCCATTCACGTTCGCGCCGTCCATCACGGCGGCTCGGTGTCGCCGAAACGAAGCGGCCGATGTTTTTCGCACGTTCCGTTTCTCAAACGCCGCCTCTCTCGTCGCCGCAATTCGACACGATATCGCGCGAGCGTCCTCGTCACAATTTCCGTATCGCACCTCGTTCACCGAAGAGTACCGTCAAAATAGATCGACTTATCACAAAGGAGCACCACAAGCAGTGGTGATCCCCCTCACTCTTTTTCTCTCTCTTCCTCTACTTCTTAGTCCCCACGCGTCTCCGTCCGCCGCGATCCCGCGCTCATCTGGCCCGCGGATGCGCACCGGACGTGCGCAGACGACGACTACGCGCTATTTACACTCACCGTGCCCCCGGACTTGTCGCGCGACACGTCCGCAAACCCGCTCGTGCATCACATCCAGGCCTACGCCCGCATGTTCGCGCGCGACGACGATGCAGTCCGAGACGTCGCACGCCGACACACGCGAATCTCCGAGGCGGAAAAAAAATCGCCGAACACCAACGCAAGGGAACACTCGCGGAGCGTCTTGTCCGCGCGACGGAGTACCGGAAATGGCCGCGGAGACGTGCGCGCTCCGAACGCCATCGGACACCCTTAAGCCGCGCGCACACGAGCGCCCCCTCTCTTTCGCTGGCTTCGCTTCGATGCGGTCGATAGCCAATAGGAGAGCTCCTTTGGAAATGGCGTCTTTATCATTTCTAAAAAAGGTATGTTATTGACATTTCGTCCCTTTTCCGCGATGCCGATTATTTTGACAGCTGTCAAACTGTCTCGACAGTTTGACAGCTGTCAAAATAAAATTAAATTATAAAATTAAATAATTAATTATTTCTGAAAAAAATATATTATTGATATTTTCGCCCTTTTCCGCGATGCTAATTGACGGTCATGATAGTTTGACAGCTATCAAAATCAAATTAAATGATTAAATTATATAGATAATGGCACGCACGAAGCGCGCACTTGTATTATCTAGTATAACAAAAATTGATATATATGCTATTTTTTACACGTGATAAAATTGTACGAAGATAAGATAAAAAAAAACAGTTTGACGCAAAAGATTGTTGTGAGTGCGATACATATTCAGAATTCTTCAAGGCGGATTCTTATGGATGCGTCGCACGCATCATGCGTAAATAAATATATATGTACCGTTTGTACACATACACACATATATATACATATATATGCTTTTGTAGTGCGATACTACGCTATGCGATTGAGCATACGGTTTTGAAGGTGAAGATAGTTTGACAATTGATAATATAATCTTGACTGAGAGATCTGACGTTCGAGACGCTGCGCGTTCGTTTGTTCATTTCATTGTCGGTCGACAACAGAGGCCGAGTTTAACAATGAGACATTTTTGAGGCGAGGTTCTCATGGACATTACTTGTAAGAGGTGAGCAGTAGCAGGATGTTACGTATATTGTCATACGAAAGTTAAAAGCCGACGCAATCGCGATTTGTTTTGGCCCCCTCTTCGACGATCGACGACACGTATCATATATGTAGATCCTCCGATAGACTTCTTTTCGATCCTCCTATGTGTGCCTTTTCCCTACTTGGGGATCAACGATCTGCTATCGGGGCGTTTATCTCTAAAAATGGATCGTGAATTAATCGCGACTCTCGTCTGGCGAAAATCGTTGTAGAAACTTCGATACAAAAATGTGAATAACGTTGGAAAATAAATTTCTTGTACAAAATTTAATCGATATTACACATCGTTGTAAAATTATACATTGTGTATTAAGGCTAGATGTAATTAAAAAAAATATTCAGGCTAATTATATTAGTATATAGGATTATTAAAATAATAGGAGAAAATGAGTGTAATTGTATAGTGTATTATATAGTATATATATATATATATATAAAATATATATTAAAGTGGACTTATTTAATTAATAATAATTTCTTTTGCAGCAAAAAACGCATCCTTCAAATGGAGCGTGTTTTCAAAGCTGTACCGGCGGATTTAAGAGTAAAAATGGAGGCCCTTGTGCATGATTTGACTTTAGCACTTGAGGAAAGCAGCAGCAGCGCAAATCTCAGACGCAGATGGGGCATCAGGAGAAGAGCTCGTTCTACAGGGAATATTCGTAAGTGTAAGGGACTAAAACTAAACATACAATATTTTCAAAAATAATTTTTTGCACAAAAAGTATCAATCAGGTGTTAATAAACATGAAAATAATATAATATATGCATTCTAATCACACTTATGCTACATTAAACAATTAAGCATAATGTGAATTATTATAAAGATAAGATTATCTTTGTAAAAACTAATTTATACAACATAAATCAATTTTATATAATCACATGTCATCCTTGAGATTTAAAATAATGCTGATCAAATATAGTATTTAACTATTGATCAATATATAATGATATACAAAATATTTATTTTGTATATTTGCAAGTATAATACTTTGCAGCGGCATTAAGTATGAACAGACATTCAGACGACAGCTCGTCTTCTATTTGTGAAATTCGCATTCCAAAATCTGCCAATGTTTCGAAATATCAATCTGACAGCGATGATACAAATCAGACCAAACGTTTCGCACATTTCTCAAACTTAAATAACGCCAGTAATATCGAGAGTGACTCAGTAAATGAAAATTTTGTACCAAGAGCAAATACGAGGCGCAAAAGAAAATTTAAGAAAATGGCCATTGATTCTGATTCTAATGCATCCACTTCTCAAGCAGTGGCAATTATGTCTACTTCAACATTCGGTGGGAAAAAACGTATTTTTAGAAGTGATTGTAAAAATAGATACAGTGCTATATGGTAAGAAAATAACATAATTACTTATTCTTTAAATACAATAAGGGGCGACGAACATATTTGTATAATGTTCACATTTTAGGTGCGGAAAACGTAAGAGGTCATGTAGAGAACGTTCCATAGATTGTGAGATGAGAATATCTAAACCAACCAAAAGCGCAAAACCGAAAAATCGAGGTAAAATGCAAGGCGAGGACACTGTAGATCATTCACGTATATCTAGTTCAAGCATCTCGTCTAGCGATTCGGAAGCAGGTTTGATTACTAACGATGAAGATAGAGAAGGTAAACTTATTGGGTTATTGGAATATCAAAAATATGTTGCATAAAATATAAATAAAATATATATTTTTTGTCCATAGGAGACGATGAACAATCCGATTGGATCGGAGAGTCGAGTTGGCGAGACGATGGAGAGAGCACTAGTGATGATAAAACCACGTCGGATTCGAGTTTTCAAATGATATTGCATGGCGAGCACTCGGTAGCCGAAGCCAAGAAAAATTATAGACAAAGAATACAACGTATTCGCGAAGGTAGTATTCTTCTCAGCGGCAGAGAGATCCGCGCTGGGCGACGTCACGTCGACAACAAACCGGGTTACTCTATCATAACGTCAGCCAACGAGAAGGTCTCGCGATTCCTACAAGATCCTACTCAAAGCGAATTAAAACTACATCCTATGCGACAACCTGAACGAGAAAAGCTACGTCGACTCGCCAACATATACAGTTTAAGCTTGAAAGGTGATCTAGGCTGTCCGATATTATATAAAACGCGACACACCACGCAGGCTGTATGCGTGGATCAAGTGTCATTGAATAGATTGTCAGATTATAAGAGATTGCGAAAGACACCTCCAAATTCACCGAATTCGGATTCTACGATGCAAACTGAGGAGCCACAGACTTCCAGCACGAACTTTGGTCTAGAGATTATTCAACAAGGGCAAAATATACTAGCAGATTTACAAACATTTTCTTCGATTAAATGGGACAGCGAAAGTATGGATATTGAGATACAACAAGGACAGTCAAAAATCACTGATTTTGATCACTCCAAATCCACTTAAATATATATCTATTAATGTATATAGGTATATTTAATGTCGCAGGTTTTTAAATTTAATTTTTTTTTTTTTACAAAAAACCTATAAAGATATTTTAAATTATTTTATTATAAAAAGATTAAATGTTTTAAAGTTTGCTTTGACAAAAAAAAATATATATATAGATTGTTATACTGTTTTTTCTCAATAAAATGTATATGTACATATATATATATATATACAATCACATATATTTATCACTTTCATTCTTTATACGCACTTTTGTTATTGTAAAAACTGAAAATGTTTATAATTATATAATGTAAAGAAACTGTAAGAATTTAAATATAAAGATTTTATAACAAAAAATTAGTCTTATTTAAAAAATGTTAATAAATTTCTTTATTTTAATTATATATGATATAATTAATATTGTGTTAAAACTGTTAGACTTATGTTATAGTCTGGAAAAATTTTATATTTGTAAGAATAAAGATTTAAAATTAGTATTGCTTTCATATTAGAATGACAAACAAGTTTATTTAACATGTGCACTATTTGACATGTACACTATGTTTTTTATCCTTCTATACTTATAATATACACAATATTCAACGTTTCCTCAACTACAAAACATTACAGAATATACATTTATCATCTTTCAAGATAAAAGATATTTTAAATAAGTATCTATATGGTATTGGATAAGTTAATAATGTATAGAAATATATTCAGTTGAATTAACAATATCCAGAGCAACTGACAAATTTCTTGCAATCTTATTTCACAATAAGATATTGTAAGATTATAATAGATCATTATAAAGTTTATTTATTTACAATTTCATTACTAAACTTAATTAGTCTGACTTTGTTTTTAACAGCCGCCATAGCATTTTCATTAGCAGTCATTTGAAATTCTTGGAAACGTTGAGACACTCTCTGATTCATTTTCAGGTACTTTTCCATACAATTAAGAGCACACTTTTCCTCTTTGGCTCTAATTTCTCGTGTCGTAAAGTCGGTTATACAATCGACGAAGCAAATTTCTGAGAGTTTATTATATGAAGTCAGAAAGTCACGGAACTAGAACAAATAATATATACAAATATATTATTTAATATATAAATATATTAAATAAATAATATATAAATATATTATACATATGTATATTTTATTACAAATATTCTAAAGGTACTTTAACAATATTATAAACTGCGTATTCATATATACCTTGAATATAATAATAATTTCATTTATAAAAAATCGTATGTGTCTAAATAAAATTACTATTATTATTCACAAAAAATATATGATTACAGTTTATGACATTCTTAGAGTACCTTTAGAACATTTGCAATAAAAGTATATATATATGCATATACACAAGTGTGTAGAGATACATACAGATTGTATTTGATTATCATCCACATCAGTTGGAACTTGCATTGCCATTATAGAAGTGCAATTATTTCTGCAAAGTATCTTTGTCGATGATTTTTATTGTAATTTCGCTACATATACATATATATGTACCTCCTCGAGCTCTGACGGGTGCTTTCGAGGTTAGAGAAAAGGCACGTGCGCGAGATATATGTATACAAGGAAGTAGAATTATAGAACGCTTCTGATTGGCTCTCGCATAGGGACAATTTAGGGTTCGAGAGTCTCCAGCGACAGCAGCCAATCAGAGCGTCCGACGAAGCTTGCGCGGCAAATGAAACATCGCCTTCAGTAAACTTATCTTCTATTGGCACCTCTGAAAAATCGCGGAAGATTTGTATCGATTTCGATGGTTGGCAGCGCGATTATTTGTACGTTAAATTCCAAATTGTTGCTGAGGCAAAAAGTCGTCGAGGAGTTCGCTCGACGTTTTAATTAATAATTCGTTATTAATTTCACGCAGAGTCGATACATCGAAAGCTCGACGCTCGAAAAGAATAAAACTGTCGCTTCGTCATCGCGTATTCGTTCATCTCTGGTCAAAAAGGTAAAGCAGGTGAGGTATGCGAATAAGATAGGGCAGATAAAATTCAGCGCGCGAATTTCTTAACCACTGCAGTTAGGCGATAACTCTGGAAAGTGAATTCAAAGAGATGTTTGTTTTCAGGACGAGAGTTGAACGCACACATAACCGGATCGATTATTCGCTCATTGTTCGATCGCCGAGTTTGAGGAAGAAACGCGGGTCCGGTGGCAGGAAATAAAGGGCAGATGTTCCGTATCGACACGGCCGATCGAAACTCGTCGTCCATTTTGTGCCTTTGTCTTCGAAGGGCGATGAATAATGTATCATTGTCGTACCACGTTGCAGAGATAAGAGGTAATGTTCTACGCCAAATATATATATATATAATAAATACAAACAAAGTATGTATGTGTGTGTATATATACATATATATATTATGGGTGTCCACAGAATTTTTTAGGGGGGAGAAGCACGAAAATTTTTCTGTTCTTAATTTTTTAATTTTATTTCTTATTTTTTTTATATTAAATATGCAAAAATAAATTTCAATGTTTATTCAAAAGGAGAACAAATACTTATAATTTGTCTCTCCCTGGAAAAATGAATTTAAGTATTTGTTCTTCTTTTGAATAAACACTGAAATTTATTCTTGCATATTTAATATTAAAAAAAAAAATATATATATATATATATATACACATTCTGTGTAAGAGATGCTACGTGTTTCTTTTACGGACGAGGTGATACTTTTTGAAAAATAATTGGCTCCATCTCTTATGGACACGGACTCGCGTTAATAATTTTTATTTCAGACGTGACATTTTTACGCGGAAAGTCGGGTATCGGGGGAGCGTTTTGTCGTCCGGTTCTCCGTTGAGTTTTCGTTCCGCACGAGTATGTCGGCTAACGTTTTGCCTTCGTTACGGTAGCGCGAACTTAGGACAGCTGACAGCCAACAGGGTTTTTACGCCGGAGCCAACGGACTTTGAAACGCGCTGTACAAGTCACACACGTCTGTCAAATCTTGGAACACGTATACGTTAAATCGCCGGTTTTTTCGCTTCACGCAAGTTACACAAACAAATTCTTTTCAGTAGTTGAAAGACTAGATAATTTTTTTCAGAATTTCGAGAATTAACGAGAATTTGTGATAACTCGTGCAATTATTTTATCCGTGCTATTGTAAATAGATTCATAACCCCGTTTTATATATTGCTAATATAGTTATAAGTTGTTGGAATATTGCCAATTTAAATTCGATATGTAATTCGGAAAATAACGAGAATGTGTGATAAGTCATGTAATTATTTTATCCGTGCTATTGTAAATAAATTCATAACCCCGTATTATTGCTAATATAATTATAAGTTGTAGGAATTTTGCTAATAAATTAAATTCGATATGTATTTCTCTCGACATAAGCGCATGATTATGAAATATCGATTTAATTGCATTAATTTGAAATACATTTCATTATTGTGTCAATTAAACTGATTATTTACATAACATACAATTATAATTAACTCATGTTCGATATTCCAGGAAATTAAATCGTTGGAGAACCGCTGCCGCCAACATGTTCTCGAGAAATGTTTCTTCCGAGCGACGAGCGAATCTCGTAGTCGACAGAAAAAGATCCGCATCCGCGGGAGCATCGTCGCAAAAGACGCGATCTTCGAAGGACAGAAAGCCCATAAAAAGCTGCGCGACGAAACCGCGAGGTTCCCGCGAGCAGCCGCTTCTTTCGCAAAAAAGAGTAAGAAGGTGAGCGACGATGCGAGACACAAGGGTCGCCTGTGCGACGAGACGAGCGTCGCCAGCCCGGATAACAATGATGCGATTTACATTTTACGGAAGGAAATACACGACTGGAGAATGTCCGGGCAATTAGCGAACAGATTTAAACGCGAACGGCGCGTTACCGAAGATGAAACGGAGAAGAGTTCCGTTCAAGGTAAAAAAAAATAATTAATCGCTATAATTTCTAGCAATCAATAGCGCGTACACTGAAAAAAATTATTAACTTGACTAAACCGTTCAACTAAATAATATTTTGTTAATGTAACATATAACAATATTTAAATATGACATATTACATCTAACAAAATATGTATTTGACTTAATAATGCTAATATATGTTCAATTAATAAAATAGTAATTTAGTTGAAAGGTTTAGTCAAGTTAACAATTGTTTTCACTGTATTAGAATGCTAAGACGAATAATTACGCGTGCTGTAATAAATAGTACTGTTAAATATTTTCGAATTCTTTTGTTCAAAAGTATAGTATAAATATATGAAAAATTGTAAAATGCAACAAGAATTAAATAATGGTATAAAAAAATAAGACTTTTATAATAAAGTTCATCAAAAATATTAAAAATTTATCTTACGTTAAATTAAAAGAGAAAAATTAACTCTATTAATTAATTTTAATAACTTTCAGAAAGCTGCAGCCGAGTTATCGCAAAGGACCTACAAGATCCAGACGTTCTGCCCGAATTACCGAGCTTGATTGTCGTCGATCGGTCAACACGATGCACGTGAGTACACCTGTGTGTGAGAATTTTCTATGCATTTTTTTAAATACGTGTACATGCACTTGCGTGAAAACTCGCGAAAGTTTCGCGGAAACGGATTATTATTCTGGATTTTTGTGTCGAAGACGCAGTCACGCTTACGTGATTTATTAAGGATTCAAACGATTATACTTTGCAATACATCACGAGAGAAGTGACAAGATGATTGCGGAACTTGTTAAGCAATGAAACTTTGTTTTCCTTTTAGAAACACTAATTACGTCTCTGAAAATATCCTTTATGTGTGAGAGACGTTAATATCCTTTCGATTCAATCGACTAGTTTTATTCGACACATTCAATTTCTTTTTATCGCCGCATTAATTACGCGAGCGTACACCCTTTTCGTCGCATTATTTTCTCGACGAACTTATAATAAGCTCCGGTTTTTGCCCGATGCCGCGCGAATAACGCGCGCTGGTGATTTCTTGTCGGTGTCTCAGGTACAAAGAGCGGCGATTCTCAGGATATACGCGATTCCACGCGAAAGAAGGTAAGTGAACAACTTCCGCTTGCGCGTGTGCAACGCACGCGATTACGCTATTTTTATACGTGCACGTTCGATATGCACGAATCCGGCGTGTGATCATCGAGTCGCCGTGTCTCGAGCGATCATTCAAGAGATACAAGGGGAGAGAAAGAAAGAGAGATAGAGAGAGGCTCGCGCCTCGTTACGTAAGTAACTGTAAATAACGAAGGAGAGAAAAGAGAAGCGCTTCGTTCGCTCTTGTGAGACGTGGACACCCGCCGCGAGAGAAGCTCGGCTACACCATTCTGGAATTTTCGAAAGTTTCGACGAACCGGTTCCCGATCTCGCGCGCAACTCGTTCGTGACTCGCCGTCGATGATATCCCCGGATGAGGAGAGATGCACACCGCGTCCCGTTTACCGATGGAAGCCCGATCGTTCGCCGACGACGAGATCTCCTCCGACAGTTCGTGAATCTTCCGCGTTTTACCGCGCTGAAAAAAAAATTATTAAATTAATATAAATATTTCTTTTAATACTTACTCAATAAATTTTCTATCAAATAAATATGTTTCACATCAAATCAATATTAGTTTCAAATTAATGATTTATTAGGCAGTATTAAAATATTTATTCGACTTCAATAGATTTTTTTTCAGAGCGGAATAATCCATAATTGCAAAACATAATCATCTCTCCGTATTTATCCGGGACGATCAACTCAAGATTTTAAGGTTTTTTCATAAGTTGAAAAATTTGTGTTTAACAAATAACACATGTCAAACGGTCCGCAGAAAGTTTTGTGTTCATTTAACATAATAGATATGTTAAATGGAGACTATCAAAAGTCTAATACATATGTATGTTTTATAATTTGAAATTAATTCGATTTATGTTGAAACAACTCCTTGATTCCTTAAATAAATTCCAGATAAGAGATTGCGCTGTTTACATCTCTCAAAATTTATTCTCATGTTAATATTACGGCATATTAGACATTAAAACAATAAACAAAAAATACAGAAGAAAATTGAGTTTAGAAAAAATTAATAAATCTAAAGGACTACTTGAAATAAAGAACGGATGGTCACCGCATTTGATTCCATGTCTGTAGACTTAGACAGTCGACAGAACTGTATCAATAAGCAAGATATAACATCGTATTAGATCCCTTCTCTATAAATATCCCGACATATGTAGACGCACATTCTTTAACGTAACGGAATTACGCGTGCGAGTAAAAATATCACGGTTATTTATATGTGTATAACACACATACGTTTGCGAATCCGGTAAACACGGTGTAAAATTGTTGTAAAGCGACAACACGTGCGAGAAACGAGAGAGAGAGAGAGAGAGAGAGGCGGACACACGATGATAGAATTGAAATTTCGTGTCGACTTTGTCCTCCACGGTCGAGGACGAATTCGGCAATTCCTGCGCTCGTCATTCGAGGCACGGCTCGGCGCCCAAAAATATTTTTACTACGCGAGCACGCGAGCCGCATGCGTGCCGACTCATTAAGAGTAAACTGGCTATTGTTCTCACTAACCTACAGCACTGTACGCCTCATTATCATTTTTCGCTCGTGACGCCACTATTAAAGGCCCGGCAGGGCACCTTCACGAAACCTAAACACGCGTCAGGTGCGCCACGTCTCGTGGGATTCTCGCCCATTCGGTGAAAAAGGAGGAAAAAGTTCAGCTTCTTGGGGAGCTTAAATTGAATTGTTATTTTTTTTGAAGAGAGAGAGAGAGAAAGAAAGACTCTCCTTAATAATTCAAAACTAAATCGATACGAGGCTTCTCTTACGACCCTAATTAAATCAATCTGGATCAACGTGGTCAATTATTTTGCTCTCTGTTTCTAACAATAAATCTTTTCTATTTATTTCTATTTATGCATCGTTTGCGTATTTTAGTGATTTATTTATTGACTAATCTATATTTATTGAAAACATTGTAGAATAACAAAATATTGAAGGATGATTTAATTTATATCAACGAAATCGAAAATAGGATAAAGATTAAGAAATAAAAAATTCGATAGCAATTTGCTCCGTGAAATTGAGAGTTCTTATATAATAATATCTCAACGTCAAATGTAATTTTCTAGGATAAATTTTACATCGACTCTTCTTTAATTTGCGGTATAATTTTTACAAGATCGCGTGTTTTTCACGTTCATAAAATTATTTTCGTGCTCGTTAATTCTATTTTTGGCGTAATAAATACATAATTCAAGGTTCACCGCTTGAAAATTGCAAACATAATAGACTGGAAAAAACATTTGTTATCTCGACTAAACCTTTTTAACTAAATTACTATTTTGTTAATTGAACATACATTAGTATTCAAGTGAAATATATGTTTTGTCAGATCTAATATGTTATATTAAATTTAAATATTTTTATAAGTTCAATTAATAAAATAATATTTAATTGAAAGATTTAGTCAAGGGCACAAATTTTTTTTTTTTTTTTCAGTGTATTAATCCGCAAACAATGCCCCATTTAAAGCAGACATCGAGATGATTCCTGAAGCGCAATCTCTCTTCATCCCTCGATTATTTCGAAATGTAATCCCGCGTCAGCGCTAAAAAGAGAGTTTTCGGGCAACTTGCACGAGATAAAAAATTAATAAATACAATACATGATCCAAGGTTCGCCATTTGAAAATTCCAAACGACATAATATACTGAAAAAAATTTGTTAACTTGACTGAACTGTGCAACTAAATTACTATATTGTTAATTGAACATATACTATATTAGTATTTAAATTAAATATACATTTTATTAGATTACATATTTAATATTTAATTTAAATATGTTCGATTAACAAAATAATATCTATAGTTGGGAGGTTTAATCAAGTTAACGAAATTTTTTTTAGTGTGAAAAAATGTGTTAACCACATTAAACTATGCAACTAAATTACTAGATTGTTAATTGAACATAGTGTATATTAGTATTAAAGTTAAATATATCCATTTTGTTGGATAAAATATTGAATTTAATATTTATATCTGGAATAAGGTCTAGTCAAGTGAACAAAATTTTTTGTTCAATCTATATAATCCGGAAACAATGTTCCATTTAAAGCAGACAATTCCCGGAGCGCAATCTCTCTCTCATCCCTCGATTATTCCGAAATGTAATCCGGCGCGTCAGCGTTAAAGAGACAGTTTTCGTGCAACTCGCACGAGAGAGAGTTTTCAAGCACAGTCAGCTCATCCGCGGATAATGATGTAGGTTAGGTTCCCAAGCGGTATATATCGCAAAAATCAACATTCTTGGCGAAGTCGAGGCTCGCAAAAAGCGTAAACCGGTTTGCCTCGTAAATGGCACACGAGCGTGCGAACGGGAGACGAAGAAGGAGCCCCATACTCCGGGAGGAATAAAGGAGGATGCTTCTCTCGGAGAGGAAGGACTCCTCTTGCAGTCAGTGTATTCCTTTGTGTAAATAGCTTTTCTTGGATTTCTGCGGTTTCACAGCGCGAACATAAATCACATACTATCGCGCATATATAGTATTATTATGACACGTTTATGATGAAAGGAACATCGCCTGCGCGAGTTGTCGGTCATTTAATCTTCGTCGAACGCAATTAAAGATGCGACTTTAAATGTGATCTCTCTCTATCTCTCTCTTATATATATGTAAATTGGATTTTTTCAACTACGAAACTCTATGCAGACTTTTATTGACTTTATATAATAGATTTGACAGAAATTGCGAAAGCAGGAAAAGATCTCGATGACATAGATTTGCTCGAGCAAGCAAAAGATTTTATTTATATCTTGAGAATAAATTTAAGAAACATTTTCTAAATATTGTTTGATCGCTTTTCTTTTTAATACAGTTTGTAAAAAATAATTTCTCGCTTTATATTTAGTATCCTCAGAACCGGTTTAAACCATTTGCCCCAGTTTACCCGTTAGTACACTTAACTTATATATATCCATGTTTTGTGACATTTAAATTCATTCTATTTCAATTATACCTAAATCAACTTTGTGTAAAATTTCAAAAAAAATATTGAAATAATTTATTATCTTAATAATTTCCTAAATGTCGTCATTTTGACGTTTCATGACGTCAGTTTGCTACTTGGGAGTAAGATAATAAATTTCAATATTTTTTAAAAATTTTACACAAAGTTGATTTATATACGCAAACTGACGTCATTAAACATCAAAATGACGTTATTTTGACATTTAATGAGGTCAGTTTGCTACCTGGGTTCTAAGAGAAAAGAAATCATGGAAAAATATTAAATATGATTTAAGAATGAAAAAAAATACTTTATTCTACAAAATTCCCAAAAATATAATCACACAACATCGTCCTGTTACCCCGGTTTTCCAGTACAGATAAGACGGATAACGCGGTTCGCGTTAACGTAATCGTCGCGCGAGCGAAAAAGAGAGGATGATAAAGAGGGGAAAAATGGGAACTCTTCTAGTCGACTCGAGGCAGACGACGAATTTCCGGTTTCATCGTACGTTGACCCTGCCGCGCTCGAGAAGAGACCGTTCTATGTGGGTTATGTTTGTCTATGCTTTCTCCACGAGGAATCCGCCGATAAAATTGACTGGCGGCATGCCGAGGAGCACTAGCTGACGTCACGGAGTCGCGCGCAAACGTTACGTAAAAAAGAAAAAAAAGGTCCCCGAGAGGGAAGAAGAGGATAAGAAGGGAACCGTCTTCCTCGAAGCTGGCGCTTCCTCGCGGATAAATTATCATCGTAAAGCTCGCGCGCTATTTGCACGTGGCGCATTTAGCGTTCTAAATATAGCTATCCGACTCTCATCGCGTTTACATTATGTGTGCGGTTTTTTTTTCCTGCTACGCAGTAGAAGAGAAGTAGAGAAACAGACTCGTATATACGCACGTAGCGCTAAACGTGACGCTAAACAAAGGCGGTTTAAAAAAACCGAGCCTAACGCCGCGTGAAGCGAGCATCCGTATTCTACATTTACCGCTCTAATCACCATCATCTGATTCTGATATTCGTACTAAATGAATCAACCTTGGAAATCCGATTGTACATAAAAGAAAAAAAGCGCGGGAAATAATATGTTTGATCCGACATTTACATCTTTCCGCGTACGGTGGAGAAGCCCAGAATCGAAACTGAGAGACGAGAATAACAGTGTGGGAGAGATAAAGATTTGTCTCCGTTATAGAGTCGTCGGAGCCCGCCTTATTTAAGCTCTACGTGATGCATAGAATGCCGTTTATGCGAACGTAAGCGTCGCTACGCTACGGCGACACGCTTCACCGAGTAGAGTTCGCCAGCCAAGCTCGTCGAGCGAGCGAGCGAGCAACCAGTCAGCCAGCCGCACGTTTTTTACGTAACGCTACGCGTAACGCTGACGCGCGTGACGTCAGCGCGGTCGGCATCGCGCCAGCCGACCGCTGCCGACGACGACGACGACGACGACGACCACGACTACTACTATGATGAAGAGAGGGGCGAAAGGGGGTAGA